TAATTCCGATAATTTAAATTTATTCTCCAATGTACGTATATTATTAACTATAGATTGTACAACATATGTACTCCAGGAATTTTCGTTAGAATATGCAAATGCTTCCAATATTAATCCAGATAATTCAAAAACAAGATTACTATGTATATTCAATAATAATAGGGCCCTTTCAATTAAATTAGATCTAATAGATCTACGAATAGCAGTAAGATTCGTATCAGTATGCGCTCCAGCATGCATTTTTAAATTATCTTTTCCTTTACCCTTCATAGATAAAGCATTCATTTCTGACCTTTTTACAACATCCAAGTTAGAAAAAGCTCGATCACTGTTCTCCTCACTAGAAAATGTATTCTGCTCAGTAGAATTCGAGGGATTTAATAAAGATATAAATGATGGGTCCTGAATTATATCCATACCAACATTTCTAGGGCTATTATTTATCTGTTCATTATGGGATGAATCAGCATAATTTAAAGGCAAATCTGAATTTCCATGACTTTCAGATGTTCCAGCATCTTGGTTCAATTCAGGATGCGCCAAAAGATACTCAGTAGCAGTAGACAAATGATTACCACATCGCGCAAGAGCAGTTTCAGCAGCACTTCTTATAAAGCCCATATCACGAAGCTGACGAATCCTATCTTCACTAGGTCCAGATAAAGCTCTATGATTAAATGATACTAATGATGTACTATTCTCTGCTTTTCCATTTGATTCTCCATCAGTTTTAAAGGCTTGACTAAGGATTTGAATTAGAGATTTTGCATTTAAATAAGGCATTTTGTATAAAATATCAGAAAACCAAAGATCTTTAATAGAAGGAAATATAGATGACCTAAGCCAAACAATAAATTCATTAGAATTGAAATAATCAGGTTTCTCTTTATCTTTTTCGCGAGAGGATAAACCAAGAGTTTGAAGAGAAGTTAACAAGGCTTTTGGCAAAGTAATTGCCTTGAAAAAGTGAAGAATAATCTTAATCCCATCATATACACGAGATATAATAGAACGAACATCATCAGAAACTTCAGTTATTGAAGATAATTTATCAGCTTCCTGCCAAAATATTTTCAGAATTTGCAGCATAGTCTGCAATCCTCCGGACTTATCAAATGCAACAAGTACAATAGTTTGCACAGAAAGCTGTTGTTTTTCTAAAAAAAAGGTATATTATTATTTCATATTATGTAAAAAACATACCTTCCAACATTACTACTTGATTAAAACCAAGAATTGTGCTCCAATACATATATTTATTATTTATGTGCTCTACATCATCTAAGATATATTAAATTTAAAGATCAAAGAGAATAATGATTTACCAAGTTTTTCCCATTTTAAATGCCGAGCTAAAATTGTTCCAATAATATTCGCAATCTTCAAAGCTATTTTTCGTTGACCAGCATCAGAAAATCGATGTGTTATTAACATTTTTGTAAGCCCTTTTCAAATTAGTTAATTATTAAAATATTACACTAATTATACCCTGAAAAAAATTATTCAAAGATGTTGGAATCTGAACAAGTAAATAACGCATGATTTTTACATTAAGAAAAGTTTTAGAATCTGTATCAATTGATTTATCTGATTTCGAATCCTTTTTTTCTTTATCATTGATTTTAATTTTTAAATCATCCGAAAGCCTTGTAGCTTCTTCCCAATTATTTGGCATTACATTCAAAAGTCTAATATTTTCCCATACACAAATGCGAATCAGATGGCCTATTTTCTCTAAAAGTCCATCTAATTCAGGATTTGATAAAAATAATTGAAAAAATGAGAAAGCAGAACGTGCATGAGAAAATATAGGCAATTCATATATATCTGAAAGTAAAGAACTCAAAGAGTGTATTTGAGATAAACTTTTTAAAAATTCGTCTCCTTCTGAAATAAATTCTAGTCCTGATGGAAGTATTTTTAAATATCTTTCAAAGAAACTTTCGATACCCTTGTGTTCTAACAGAATATCTAATTTGTTTAAAGATTTTTGAAAATGCTTCATAATATCTAATAAAACATTTTGTACGTTCACTTCACTAATTATACGAAACAAATGCGACAAAGAATATGCAGCAGAGGTATCTATAAAATCATAGGGAAGACTAGGAATCGTATACTGTTGCAGAAGAATATTAAGTCCATTATTTCTCAAAAATTCACGACAATGACTAGAATTTTGAAAAAAACCTTCAAGAAACTAAATCATTATAAATTACTTTGAAAAAAAAAAAAAATAAATCCTACTCTTGAAACGAAATCAATATGCCAAATAATTATAAGTCGTTTTACACCACGTTCGTCTTCTTCTATATAATCATTCCTCTCTTTCATAACTACATCATTTTGTCCATTTTGAGAATTTAATTTATCACAAGTCGATGTAACTAACATATTTGGGTCATGTATCGTGTTCATTAATTCTGATCCCATTTCAAGAACCTTTTTAAGCATTGAAAGAATTTCATCAATTACGTCTGATTTGAGACTAGGATGATGCCGTACAAATTCATCAAAAGATGTACCTAAGATACCCGAAATTTGACTATCTTGTAGAACTTTACGATGTAAAGAAGATGTAAAAATATTGAAAAAAGAAGGCAACGGTTTAATACTATTAAAAAGTTCCATTCCTTGGGTATTTAGACATATTGCACCAAAAGCACTAGGTATTGCTGATATAACATCCGCTGATGGTAATATCAATGAAGACGTCATTTTCAAAAACGTTTCTGATAATTTTACTTCATGAATAATACTATATGATGTTGGTTCATTATAAATAAAAGTCGAAAAAATATTTATAGCTAATCAAGGTTAAGAAATATATAAAAAACAAATCTAATAAAAATCATACACATCGTAATAACAGAAGATCCAAAATCCTCAAAATAAGTGAAAATATTTTTTAAGGTCTCTAAAAGAGGCGAGTCAATAAGATTTCGTAACCCATCAGAAGTCCCTGTAGATTGCATCATATGTAAAGTAAACTTTAACATAGTTTTCAAAATAACGAATCTTTCTTGAGACATTGAATGTTCTAAGACACTTTTCGAGGCCTTATCAGATTGAGAAAACGTCTTAATATTATAATTGACTTCATCCCTAATCCGTTCTACTAAAACATCTAATCCTCGTGCAGAACAAAATGCATTAAAAGTCGAAGGAAATCCGTAAGTCAAATGATCGAGTAAACTAGTCGCCTTTGTAACTGCTCTAATTGCTTTAGGTGCTTTATTTTTTAACAATCGAATAAGAGAAAGAATAATTCCCGCAGATGTTAACATATTTCCTCCTTGTTGTGTAGTTGTTAAATAATGAATAAGCAAAAACAAAGCATCAACATATTCTTTCGAAAACGTTTTTGTAGAAGCAGGATTTTCCAATTCTATTATCATCGTTCTAAAAACGTACATCAAAACCCCATGGCTCACTGATGCATTCAATGCAGAAAGAACATCCATCAATTTCGGTCTATGATGTGCTAATGCTTCAAGAGCATAAAATGCAACTATTTCTATTTCCCTAGATATTTTATTATCCGGATGAATAAGATATGCGAGATTCGTTGTGATATCTGGCTCATAAATAAAAAAACGAGAATGTAATATATGTTCTTGCACAGTATATGCTATAATAATATTAGATAAATACATAAATTAAACGTATCATAATTACTTAAAACAGCTATCGCAAGAATTTTTATGCAAACTAACTGTTGTCTTTTCTTTTTATCATGAACGTATTTCGCAAATCTAATTCTCAACATCAAATCAAAATGGTTCACTGCCGGAATATTATATGTAGATATAGCTTCATTAAGAACATCCTCAAGTTGTTTGTTGTAAAATTTTTCAAAACTAATCTTAACTACTGTCATACCCTCCAATGAATCTTCCACCGATTCAACAGGAGAAAAAGACGAATTCTCCTTCATTTTAGCTTTATTCGTAGGCGTGGACACCTGTGCCTCTTTATCCCTAATAAAAAAACAACATTAACCCTCTTTCCAACAAAAAATTCAATCAAATACTTATTCGAAACCAAGGCTATCGCTTCGACTGGATTTAAATGACGAAAAAACGCATAATATACATTTTTACATCCATCCGCTAAATACGAATCCGATAACAACTTAAACATATCAATTTCCGATGTACCCCGTTCCTGCGATGATTGCTGTAAACTCATTGAAAGTTTTAAACATCTTTCCGATGAAATTGAATAATTCGACCTACAATACCTCTGACTACCCACTCTTTGCGCAAGTCTCAATAAAAGTGACAGCGTATGCTCCACAATATCAATATCCGTACTATATAAAAGATCATTAAGATACTATCGATAAATCATTTTAGCATCCAATTAATTCTCCCCCCTCCTCCCCCCCCATAAATACTTACATTGCACGAATTATATATATTTCTATTAGAACAATTATCTAAAAGAATCGTTGAAAACCGAAGAATAGCAATAAGCAACTCCTTTGTTTTTGAATTAAATGCTACCGTCTGCACATTTTTTAACACATATTCCTTACAAACCCTTTCAAATATCCCATCAAAAACGTTCAATAACCCAACCCAATGAAATAAATCCCCTCGCGCATACTTCCATTCTTCAAATCCATTCAATAACCCCGGAAGCTCCTCTTCCGGCACTTCTAACGCCCGATCAATCACTCCCTTTAATTCTACCGGCTAAAACACAATGAATTAGCAATTATATACGTAAAAACAAACAAAAATAGGCTTATTCTCTCCTATTTATAGACATACAAGCTGAGAAATTTTTTTCGGCACTTCTCTCTTTATCTTCATACTCTTCCTTTATTCAACTCAAACCAATACTCTTAAGATTCCTTACAATCCCTACAATGGCTTATTCATCCGATCTTTTGAGAGAGTTTCTTAACTCTTAAGGACTTAATAAGTCTTTATTTTAAGAAGTTGGTTAGTTTTTTAAAGGGTAACGGAGATAAGGTCGAGGAGAGGGGCTTAGGGACGACGACATAAATAAGTGGAAAAAAAAAAGAGGGAATAAATGAGGAAAATAATGGGAGAAACAGGGAAACAAGAGTATAAAAGGAATTGTATGATTTAAAAGAAGGGGAATAGTTTTTTTCCGGTAAAAAAAGGACGCCTGGAAGGATAGATATGAATAAAAACGAGAATATGGAGAATGATGGGATATACGCGGGGAAAGAAGAGGAATTAAAGAGAAAACAAGAGGTAGATGAAGAGATTTTATGAAGGGTAGAAGGTTTATTGCGTTTTCAGGGAGAAAAAGCGGATAAAATAGGGTATATAAGGGATTATATAAGTAATAAGAATGTAAAAGAGGAAAAAAAGGAATATTTGAGGGTAGAAGAGGTTCTTCAAGAGATTGGAAATGGATATGAAGGGATGAAGGATAAGAGGAAAGGATATGAGGATTTGAAAAGGAGAAAATCGGAGCAAAATGAGATAAAAACAGATATAGAAGTGGAAGAAGATAAGCAGATTGAAAGAAAGAATTCTATATCGCAGAAAGAATCAGAAGAGTATTTAGAGGATGAAGAAGGGAAAGAAGAGTTAAAAGAAGGGATGGAAGAAAAGGATTCAAATAAGCAAAAAAATCCGTTTAGATGGCTACGATCAGCGTCATCAGGATCGATAATTTCATCATTAACACGATCGCCATTTCAGGGAAATGCGGGAATCCCGATTATTTCACCGCAAATCCGAAGTAAATCGCAAACATCGTGTATTATTGAAGAAGGAAGCCAACAACCTATATCAATAAAAAAACCAGATAAAACATCAACCGAAAAATTGAGAGAAGAATTTGAAAAGATATATCAACAAGTGCCTAATGATGAGACTATTGATTGGGGTATATATATTTTATTATATATTATAATACTAAAAATTTACAGATTTTTTCAGACTTATGATTAGTGATTATTCATTTGTGGTTAAAAAGCACAAAGAAGAATTATCCAATGTTATTTCTTCAGGGGTTCCGCCTATACTTCGTGGAATTATTTGGCAAACCATGACTTCTTCTAAAAATACTGACATGGAATATATATATCATACACTTATTAACCAAAATGCACCTAACGAAAAAATTATACGAAGAGATCTTCATCGTACTTTTCCAAAACCTATTCTTAGGGCAATGGAGCAATATTCATATAATATTTAATATTTTTTTTCATGTCAAATCCTCCATTCCTATACATAACTTAGATTCGAAATTTTAACCTACGTCAAACAACTAAAATAAAAAAAATTTATGGAAAGACTATATAGAATCCTTAAAGCATACAGTTTGTATGATCCAGAAGTGGGGTACACTCAGGGGATGGGTTTGTTATATTTTTTTTTAATAAAAACAAACTAATAAAAGACAGCTTTTTTAGCAGGTCCATTACTACTTTATGTAAAAAATTCCATTATTTAAAGAGAAAACTTACGAATTAAGATGTCAGATGAAGAAGCATTTTGCATGTTTGTTAAACTTATGAAAGATTATGATTTCCGAAGTTTTTATGTACCGGGTATGCCGGGACTAAATTTACGTTTATATCAATTCGAGCGATTAATGGAAGATAAATTGCTGGCAATCTATCTTCATCTTCGTAGACAAGGAGTTAAAGCATCTATGTATGCATCCCAGTGGTTTTTAACGCTTTTTGCTTATAAATTTCCGATAAATATGGTTACAAGAATTTTTGATGTAGTAATAGCAGAAGGCATTGATTCAATTCTTAAATTTGCTATTGCTTTGATGAAGAAGAATGAGGAAGAGATTATTTCTTTAAAATTTGACCAGCTTTTGAGTTTTCTAAAAGAAAAAATTTTTTTTGTCTATAGCGTAATATATATATATATATTTAACAAAAGTTTTAATTGACAACATTAGACACCCGAAAAATCAACAGCAAAACTATCTTGGCTAACTCATGCAACAGATTATCGAGTAGATGAATTCGTTAATGATGCATATTCAGTAGAAATTGCAGAAAATGCACTTTATAAGTATGCTTCAGAATATGAACAAATCAAAGAATCGGAAATAGAAAAAGAGAACGAAATTAACATATTAAAGTCAGAAAATTCTTCACTTTCTCTTAAAGTAAAAGACCTTGAAGATTCTCTTAATACACTGGTCCATATTTTTTTCTTTATTTTTATCTTTTTTAACCTTTTATTTAGAACGAGGAAAATACTAAACTGGCAGACACTATGATCCAGAATAAAATTCAGATAGCCACACTAATTGATGAAAATGAAGGATTAATCTCAAAAGTATCTGAGCTAGAATTAACAGTTAAAACCCAGCCAGCAGAAATTGAAAAACGTATGGAATCTGAAATTCAAAAGATTTTAAACAAAAATCTACAAGTGATGAATAAAAATCGTATACTTGAAGATCAAATAACAGAAGTAGAGACTGAACTTGCACAAACAAAAATGGAACTAGCCATGGTAAACTCTATAACATTTAATAAGTTTATTTTAACATTTAAAGATTCATGATGAACATAACGCATTAAAAAAAAGATGGAATGAATTAAAAAAAGCACTTGAAAATTAATCAGAATATAATAAAATCCTTTATGCATCATATTTGAAATATAGTTAATAAAACATTTAGTATTATATAAAGACTCTTGTTATTTCTACTAGCTTTAATTGTTTAACTTTCTCTAAATATAAACCGTCTAATAAACTAAGTTCAATATCTACAATTTTCAGCGAAATAAAAAAATAGCAATGCTAAAACAAAAATAATAGTTTTTATACAAATATTATGATCTTTAAAGATAATGCACAAAACATATGACTAGAAATTATATTCCTATTTAAAGAGTTTTGATAAACTAACATCCGATGTACCCGCTTTGTTCATTACTTTAGATACTGCAAGCTCGAAATCCTCTTCTCTTACAAATATCCTTCGCTCACGTAAGGCGTATAATCCTGCTTCTATTAAAAGTAAAAATAATGTTTAATACATCAATCATCCATACCTGTACATACGCCTTTTACTTCTGCCCCAGAAAAACCATTCATTTTTTCTGCTATTTTCTGCAAATTAATACCTCGAGTTAAATTCATTGATCTTGAATGAATTCTTAATATATCTGCCCTAGCCTTCAATGTAGGAGGAGGAAATTCAATTTTCCGGTCAATTCTACCAGGACGAAGCAATGCAGGATCAAGAATATCAATCCTATTTGTTGCCATAATAACCTACATTACATTATTTTATTTTAGATATGCAAATATAAATATTTTCCTTAATATTTTTCGTCGGCTCAAATCCATCAAGCTGATTCAACAACTCCAACATTGTACGTTGGACTTCTGAATCACTACCCCGATTACCGGCCTCACTTCTTGTAGATCCAATAGAATCTATCTCATCCATAAATATAATAGACGGCGCATGCTCTCTTGCCATAAGAAATAACTCTCTAACCATACGACTTCCTTCACCAATATATTTCTGAACAAGTTCTGAACCACTAACACGAATAAATTTACTATCTGTATGATGTGCTACTGCTCTAGCAAGTAAGGTCTTTCCCGTACCCGGAGGACCATACAATAATACACCTTTAGGCTGTGCAATCCCAAGTGATTCAAAAAGTTCAGGATGCTTAACAGGAAGCTCAATAACTTCTTTAATTTCTTTAATTTGTTGATCCAAACCCCCAATCATTTCATATGTACTATCTGGCACCTTTTCTACCATCATTAAAGATACAAGAGGATCAACCTTGCTTGGAAGTATAGAATTAAGAGTATATGAACTTGACAAAAGAGAGACCCGAAGTCCTGCCGTAAGCTTTTTAATATCTATCCCATCTGCAATATCTACAACTATATAATTTATTATAAAAAATTCGTCTTTTTATACAAAAAAAAAACCATATTTTCCTTCTGGTTGACATTTTACTAAGACTTTCTTCTTTCCCATTGTTTTAATAACTTCTCCAACATAAGATGCCGGTTCTTGAAGAAGTTGAAGTTCTTCACGCAATAAACGTACTAAAAATACAAAAATAAAGATCCAATAAAAGAAAATATATACCCTTCGCATTCAATTCATTACGTTGAGCTTCAAGTCTTCTTAGATTCTGTGTTTTTTCATTAATCTAGTCCTTATAAATAATTTAAAAAAAAATTAATTATAATATAACCTGTAATTCTGCTTCTTCAATTTTTCTAGTATAAAAAGATGTAATATCTTCTTCATAAATAGATGTTAAACCCATTCTTATAAAGTGTAAATGATAACTCTAATAAACTCTTATCAAAAACAGTATTTTTAACAGGTTTAAAACCCGATATTACGATTAAGAGCTTTTCTAGGTCTTTTTTATCATAAACCTTTGTTTTTTTTAGCCTTAAACCAGTATCTAAACCTTAATAAATAGAATATCCATAAAGTTATTGAAAGTAATATTTTATTTTTATTCTTTTTTGTATTTTTTGAAGAAATCAGTGATAATACAAGTACCAGTTTGAATAATATCAGTATAATCATGTTTTATATATTGATGTTGTTTGTAACTTGCAGTATTGTCATCCATTGATCTTTTTAAATGATCAATTTTAAGTGAATAGTATTCCCTAAGAATATATTTTTGTTGATGAAATATATATCCAAATATTTTTTTAGAAATAATGTATAAAAATGTATATAAATGATTTGAAAGAAAGCCAAGAGCAACAAGTTCAGAGAAAATATATGTATTTGAAGAATATTTGTGAAAATAGATGAATATAGTCATAAGAATGGCACCTAACCAACTTAATAACGTTAAATATGAAGCCCATAAGCCAATAGTATCAGTACGAAAAGGAATAGAACGTTTTGTAGTATAAAGAAGCTTTATATAATCAGAAATAATCTTAATTATATTGCTTAAAAAAGAGCAAAGAGAGCCTAAAGGCCAAACAATTGAAAATAAAAGAATATACCCAAACTAATAGAGATCAATGAAGCTAGAATGAAAAAAGAATATAAAAATACCTGAATGATCAATTCCAAATAAGAATCAAAAACTGAGAATTCAGGTAATGTCGTCTGAGAACGAATTTTTTGCAAAAATTCAGATTCTTTTGAAGAATTATTCATATATTCATAGCCAATTCTTGAAAACTTGGTAGTATAAATCTTTCTTAGAATACTAAAAAAGAATCTAAATAGAAAAGGAAATGTCCATTGCTGAAAGAAATTTATAGCTCGTGCAGTGATCATATAATAAATGAATTGCTTCTTCAATTTATTTGAATTTATAGTAAATAGTTTAATTCCTATATTTTTTGAATCTATGAATATAGATTGAATATTTATTATATTTATTTTTGGAATAATATCAGAACCAAATGGTACTAAAAGTAATAAGAATGATAAGTAACAATAAATTAAAATTACCATAAAAACATGTGATAATAAATAATGTAGTATAAGAAATAATAAAGTTTACTAAGAAAGCCTTGCGAATAGATGAAGATTCGAAATCAATATCTGTTTCAAAATTCTCATAATAATTTATATAAGTTGACATTATATTATATATAATAGAAAATATAGGAATAAACATCATAAACAAAATAGAAGGAACAATGACCTTAATCAATTAGATTCAATTAATCTTAAAATGTTTATTCTAACCAAATATTTTTGAAAAGGACCATCATAGATCTCTAAAAAGTATATTTCCACGAAAAAAATACCAGTAAGAATACAAATGATAACAATTGAAAATACCATTTGAAATAAAAAAGAAATAAATTTCCAAAGTAATCTTTTCCAAATTGAAAAAACAAGAATAGTTTTTCCACTTATTGCATCTTTTCCAATTTTATCTCCCATAAATGATCTACGTCTCTGATATATTTTACTAATACCATAAACTCCCCATCGCAATGAAAGCTTTACTTCCTTCATCTTCCACATTCGTATAAATATAATAGACCATAATGTTATAGTAATTGCAAACACTATATAATATCTTGGAAAAAAAAAATGAATAAAAAGCCCAAAAATTGTAGGAAATATAAGCCATAAAATATAAAACTGAATAAAAAAAAAGTATAAAGCAATCTGTTCCTTTAAAATCTATATTTCTTATATTTAATAATCACCTTTTCTCCAAAATGATTCTTTAAAATATCTAAATCTGATTCATCTAAAACCCATTTTTTAAGTATCATATTCATACAATTCTAATAAATTCATATAATATATACAATTTACTAATAAAATACCTTATTAAATTTATAATCATGAAGAGGAATGATAAATTTAACCAATTTCCATTCATTTAAATCAAGACATATTCCTGCACCTCCTTCTGATACAGGCAATGAAATAATATCATAAATAAGTCTTAATCTTTCAGAAACCGTTATTTCTTCATCATCTCTCATATAAGGTGACACTTTTTCTATTCCATATAACCAATCTTTACGTCTATCTATTTGTTATGATTATTCCTATAAAGTAACACAGAAAAACCGAGAATTAGAGGCTTCTAAATGTAATCTAGAAGAAGAACAACTTATAAATAGAAAAATAGAGTCTAAATTGTCATTATGACATTGAATATTCAATCCAGCTTCAGAAAGTCGTTGAACCAATTTTTTAAACAGTTCTATTGTTCCTTTAAGTGTTTTATCATAATTAAAAGAAATAACATAATCAGAAGATTCATATATTTGTATCATATTTATATGTTATTTAAGAAAAGTAAGAAATATTAAAGATTGAAAGTCGATATCTATAAATATAAGAGAAATTGAAATCAAATTTATATAAAGACAAACATATTAGAATACAAATATAATAAAAAAATTATTAAAGACTATATCGATTTTATGTTGTATTTAAGAAATTATATATAATGATTCGTTCTTCACATAATTCATTAAATATTTTCTTTCTTAGTTTTGAACTAGATAATTTTGAAGCACGAAAAAATTCACCTCTAATTATATGAGAACTTTGTTTATTAACAGTTCTTCCAACATTATGAGTAATTTCGAAAGGATCTTCAATTGCAAGAATATAACGGTCTTTGAATATTTTATCAGAGACAAAAACCCGTTCCATCTAATTATAAATATGAAAAAAATATAAAAAAGAAAAATATTTAGCTTACTGCTTGAGTCCATCCTTTTTCTTGCTTTGTTAAAAGACCAGTTTGTGTTCTTATGCTTACAACATGATCTTTCCAATTAAATTGATATGCATAATAATAAAAAAATCCATAAATGAGTTTACCCAAACTATCTGTATTATCTGAAAAAGAACTAGAAATATCGATATCTTTATAAAACCAAACATTATACCCTAGTGATAATATAAATAAAATTTCAAGACATATAATTTCTTAATACCTTCACATTCAATCTCTGATTGAGATATAGGTCTTCTAGATGTTGCTTTCATTTGCTGCAAATTTGGTAAAAGAGGAATTGGGACAATATTTATAAGATAATGCAGAATAAGTAAAACATATCCATAACTATTTACTTTTTCAACACATTTAACTATTTATTATTCAAAAATTATTACCTTGAAAGAGTTCCATGATATGGATCATTTATTTTACGTCTTTTTGCCCAATATTTTACAAATAAAATAATTTTCCTTACACGATGATCACATTTAGAATATGTAGCCAAAAGTCTAGTATTATATATTGCAAGTTTATTATTAAATCCAATATCACATGAAATTCCTTGTGGGAAATTAAAAGAACCTTTGCTATTAACCTTAATTATAGAAATCCTAGTTCGAAAAAGTAATGTAGTTTCCATACCTAGTAAAATTAATCTTAAATATAAAGAAAAAAAATACAAATATACCATATTTTTTAATTTCTTCAGAAAAAATTTTTAAAAATTCGTCTGTACGCAAATCTAATGAATCATCCATAACACAAAAATCCATATCTGAATTAACAATCGCAAGTCCACTCGCTACACTCCCAAATAAAACCAATTTCGCAGCTAATAAACCATTAATCATAAAAATACATTCATTCATTCAAAATTCATACATGGTCTACATGCATTAAGAATTTTACTCAAAAAAAATCGAAATCTTTCCTTCTGACATATCTCTTCATCCGTTGGTACTATATGCCCCAAAGTATGCGATATAAACGTTGATAGAACAAAATGCTCATCATAATCCTTCCTCCATATAACTCTTCCATTAACATAAATCCCATAATCTCTAGGTTCACAATATTTTATATCTCGAAAACTATATTCTCCCTTTTTATCTCCAAAATTACCCCCATAAATACCAACACATCCACTCCCACTAACATCAACCGACTTAATAACCATTTTTTCAAGCGATTCCCTCATTTCTCTCATATCATTCCCCGTCTCACCTTTTTCTTCACCTTTTTCCTCACAATATCCCGAAATTTCACTCATTTTTTCCGCTTCTTTTTCTAATACAATACTTTCATCTACTTCTATCCCATCGACACTCTCCATTTCCTCTTATTCCTACTATTTCCTATCCAAACAAGCCTTTATCTATCTTCATAAAATTCTTCAATTTCTCCCCCAAAAATAACTCAATTTTTCTCATTCAAAATCCTTATATACTAAATCTAACCCAATAATTATGTATAAATCTTATTTAATTACTATTTACCTCAATATAATCCACTAAATCTATACCCTCCCGTAATAAAACTTTTTTTGACGTTAGCGACGACCACTCCAATAGACCTCAATAAACCTCACAAATGCTTCAAGACGAGGAAATCTATGGTTTGTACAGATTAATAGAGTTTTATAAGCTTAAACAGAGTACTAACAGTTAATAGTTAAGCAGGAAGATCATCATGGCATTAGTTTTTCAGAAACACCGACATATATGGACTTTAAACTTACATCAGTTGCTAAGAGTATTGAAGGAACTAAACATCATATTTTGAAGTTCCATTCTAGTAGAATGATTGATCCTTTAACGGAATTTACACCGCCAGTTCGTTTACATAGAAAAGATTTAATGTCAACGACGGAAAACCAAGAATCCATGTCAGAAACAGGGTCGAAAAATAATAGCCAAGAAACAGGTATACAAGGGGGAAATCAAGGCGGAAGAACGGGTATTATGAGGAGAAAGACGAGGAAAGGATATAGGGTAAATGGGGGGGAATGGAGGGTTAAACAAGAAGAACGAGTTCCATGGGTTTTGGAGGATTTTGATGGACGGAATACATGGATTGGGACGATGGAAGGAGGGCAATCTCATAACTATGTATTTTTTGTATTTGCGGTATGTATAAGGGTTAAAATTAAGAAAAAAAAAGTTTATAAAATGGACAGGAAAATGGGTTTAAAGTAGTACCGGCGAATAAGTATTATAGGTTTAATCAAAAAAGTCGATATCAGACGTTATCTATTGATGAGGCAGAAGCAAAAGTATGAAAATAAGAAGAATTTTTAATTTTAAAAGATATTTATGTATTAAAGATGAACAAGCGTATTATTGTTCCTCGTTGGTTTATGAAGAAAGAAATCAAGGAAAATAATCATGAAGAATATGCATCAGGGCCATTATATCGTTTAAAGACGGTAGCATCACAAAGAAAATCGGAATTTAATGTAAAAATAAATGGAGAAGTATAATATGGAAAATATTGTATTAATGTATTAAGGGAGATCGGGATGGGTATGAAGAATTAGATTTTAATGAGGAGTTTGCAGATGATGAAGAAACGCCGTTTATTGAAGGAAATGAGGAGGATAATAGGGAGTTAGAGGTGAAATTATTATAAATAAATATATATATATAGAGATTAACAATGTGAAGGAAAGAATCAAGCGAGAAATGAGGTCAGCGAATTCATTAGGAGATGAAGATAAATATATGAGCGAAAATGCATATGATGAAAAGAGAAAAATGGATAAAGAAGGAAGAAAAATGAGAAAATATTTAACTTATCATGAAAAAAATCATATATATGAAACAGATGAGGAGAATAATCCATATGTATCAGAGGTATTTATTGATTAGTTTGTTTTCTATGTTAATATATATATTATAGGAGGAAACAGATTCAGATACATCTAATTTTCAAAGGGAAAATCTAGTAAAACAGGAAAAAATAATTAAAGATAAAAAGAAGCAGCAATTACAAGAGAATATGATACAAAGTGAATTGAATACTAACAAGAATATTTCAATGGCGTCTAAAACATTATCTACAGAAGTATCAAATAGTTTATCAAATGAGTTCACAAAACATTTAGCACTATCCAGTGCTTTGAAAGCACAAAGTCAGAGCAGTTTTAATTCTATTAGCTCTACTAGACCATATCTTGTTACACTAAAATTACCAAAACAACATTTAATTTCATATGAGAATTCTTTCCAATCATCTATATCAACATTATCATCTCCTAGGGAAGCTTCTCCGGAGCGTAATAAGCGACGCAAACTAGACTCAGATCCAAATAATCTGGAGGATTCAGCAAACCTTAGTTCTAGTGATTCTTCTAGAAAGATAAAAATTCGAACAATAAATAATTTTCAAAATCATAATTTAAATTCACCGCTAAGTCCGGATTCAGGAACTGATACATTTAATACTTCAGAATCTACATCTAATCGTTTGTTTTCTTCTTAGTCTATAGATTCTAACAATAATAGATTCTTATTTAGTAACTGAAGAAGAATTGAAAAATGCTATACAATCTAAAAAAATGAATGCAAAGGAGCTTCTTAAATCATTTAAACCACAATTAGGAATGAATCCAAAAAATCGTGATCTTATACTTGAACTCGTAACACGAATAGCAAAAATGGAAAACGGATATCTTGTACTTAAAAACTAAAAACCCAATTGCCATGTATATATACCATTAAACTCACACTATGAAATTGTATAGTCAATATTTTTATTTTTACTAATTTTTTAAGATTTTCAAAGATAGATTTATTTAAAAATTAATATGGTAACAGATACTTTTTCGTATATTATCATTACCATTTTTATATTATTATTATTGTACAATTTAATAAAACACTAATTCTTAGATATAGGATATAATGTATAGGAATTCATAAAAAACTATTTAAAACTATTTAAAATATATTATTTTAATAAAACATTGATTTCTATTAATCATTGTTAAAAAAAAGATCTACAGGCTATTTTTAAAATTTGAATGTCATACCTAAAGCATCTAATAAAAATACTGAATATTTAATAAAACATAATATTTAATTTAAAAAGCCACAAAATTAACAAAATAGATTAGGGAATCTAATTATTTAGATATTATAACCTATTCATTTTATAGCTACTTATAAAGGCTTAAAGCTTATATCGACATCAATATCTCTTGACAATTTGATAATTTTACTAAAATAACATGCCTAAATCAAATTAAAAAAACCAATTATCAATTATTAAAAACCTTGTAAGCAGCCTCATCAAGATCTAAAAAGATATTAGTATCTATTATATATCAATCACTTATATAGTAACCAATATAAGAAAAAAATTGTAAACCAGAATTATTTAATATGTCTTGTGCTTCCTCATATTTCGTACCTTGTAAACGCACCTTAATAACAATTAAATCATATAAAAATAGTCAAAAATTTACTTACAACGATAGGAATAGAAAGACTCAAATCTTTCATGACTGAAACAAGACCTTGTGCTATATAATCGCATCTCACGATCCCACCTAAACCGTTAGTTGGTCATATAATCTTAAATCAATAATACCAAATATGTTCACAAAGATAGTTGTTACTTTAGGATCTTTAACAATAAGAGTAAATGCCTCCTTGATCGATTCAGCACTAGCAGAGCCACCAACGTCTTTATAATTTAGAAAAAAAGCAAAGAATTAAAAAATATTACCAAGAAAATTTGCAGGCTAATAATAAATTATTAAACAAAACAAAAATCATAAACAAACCTCTCCACCATTAAGCTTTATAATATCCATAGTAGCCATAGCCAAACCAGCTCCATTTACTAAAAATATCCATAAATTAAATACCCCCATTAAGAATAAACCATACCTAGACATCCAATTGATCCATCAAGCTTAATAAAATTTAACCCAAGACTAGATGCCTTGATTTCATCAGGATCTTCTTGAGATTTATCACGTAAAGAAAATATCTCAGTTTGTCTAAATTCTGCATTATCATCAAATCCAAATTTAGCATCCATGGCATATATCTTATAATCTATCGTCTCAGAAAGAGGATTTATCTCAATCTGAGTTGCATCTTTTTCAATAAACACTTTATATAATTTTAATATAATGTCAATAACTTGATCCCGAGTTTTCTCAGAAAACCCAAATTTATCAGCAATACTAGATGCTATATCCTGACTAACCCCTTTAGATATATCAATAGGCACTGTATAAATCAATTCCGGGGTTTCTTTAGCAACCGTTTCAATATCAACCCCGCCTTGAGAAGATACAACAATCATAGGTTTATACGACGTACGATCCATCAATATAGCAATATAACACTCTTTCCTTGAAAATTTCCTTTCACAAACATAAACCATATTACATATTTTTCCTGATGGTCCCGTTTGTTTCGTTACAAGTGTATATCCCAACATTTGACCTGCGTATTGACCAACCTCCTTAGGACTAATAATCCTTCATTCAAAACATTCATTCACTCAAAAAATACCCACGAAAAACCCACTTTTACACCCCCTTTTAACCCACTATCAAAAACACCTTTTCCTCTCCCTCCTGTAAGAACCTGAGCCTTTACGACAAAATCTCCAACGCCTAATCCATTCGATCACTATCTACAACATAAAAACACTTAGAAATACCCAATTGCTCTGCTATTTTCACCGCTTCTTCCGGACTCTTCGCTACCCCTCCAGAAGGTACATTAATACCATACTAAACCCAATAAATACCCAGAAAAAAACACACAAAAACAATGATCAAACATCTTTCAATATATTTGCAGATAAATACTCATGAATAGACAGGTTTCTCCTGCTTCCAATGATAAAGTTCTATATATTCAAAACTCTGTCAATTTAAGTCGGTTTAAAACCGTTCAAAAACCCACTTTAACAGCAAAACTCCTATTCCATAGTAAATATCGAGGAAAAACAGTTTTAATCATAAGAATTCCCGGTATTTAAGCCTCTTTTCTCGCAGAAAAGGTTATAGTTAATATGGTGAGGTCCGAGGTGGTGCAGATCGACGTCATTAAATTAATATATGAGAGGCCCAGCAAAGCCAATTGCTTAAGAAGAGGCCAAATCAAGGGATTTTAAGGCGGAAAAAGAATGAAAAATAAAGAAGATATCTTAAGAAACTCAATTATCAAGTCAGAAATTGAATTGTCTCTTAATAAGACGAGAAAACTTGTTGCATCATGGGTTAGTGGATCAGAAGGAGAATTGAGTTATAAAGGGGAGAATGAGGAGGAAAATGAAGTAGATGAGAGCCTTTTTAGGAATTGTAGAGAAAGGAGGCAAGTTTCAGGCATTTTTTTGGTATTAAAATGACGAAAATTGGAAAAGATTGGGTTTGGGAGCAAAAGCGGAAAAAAAAGAAGATAAAGAGGTTATAAAGGAGAAAACAGCATTAAAGAAGAAGCTGTTATTATTTAAGAACAAAGTAGAAGAAGATAGAGAAAAAAAAGAGGAGATAAATGAAGATAGTGATGAACTTGAAAGTAAGAGTAGATATGTTGAAAAAATATCATTGAAAAGGCAATCAAAAGAGTCATTTCATGAAAAGAATGATAAAAGGAAGGGAAATGCGTCTTTTTGTATGTATAAATGTAAAAAAAAGAAAAGGTGTAAATGAACACCAAGATTTAAATAAACAGCAAAAAAGGCTCTAGCAGTGATAAAAAGGGTTTAAAATAGGTAAATATAAGGGAATTATAAGGAGGAAATGTCAGTCATTGATATTTGATAAATTCAAAGATGGAAGATGGAAAAAGAAATCTATAAACTTTTTAAAAATCAAATATTTTATAAAATAGAGTTAAAAAAGAGATAAATATTGATAAATCTGATGGTTGATTGAAAAATTAAGGGATTTATTTCAAGTTATTATATTTGAAATCATTTGTGGAATAAACAACTCTTTAAATTGAAAAAAAAGAGGAAATATTTTATTTCTAGTCACTTAAATAACATGGTTTAAAGGTATAATTCAAATATATCATAATTTTGAAAATTATATTTAACTTTATAAAGATATTTTTAATTATTATTAAAATTGGCACAAGTATATAATCAAAAAATCAACAATATTAATGTTATATTTTAAAATATGTCTATTTTTAAAAGGAAACATACAGGCAATCTATAAAAGTCATTGAAACAATCATTTAATTATTCATATAGTGTATAAATAAATATTAGATATACGATCATACTTGAACAAATTCATATAAATTTTTAAAATGAAAATATACATATTCTTATGGATTTTCTTATATTTATCAGGAAAAACACTAACACATGATAATAGTCCATATATTAAAGATCTTAATTTTGAAATATATCATGAATTAACACCAGAAATTGCACCAATATTAAGAGGTTATGTAAAATATAATTTTGAGAAGGAAACAGCTATCTATAATTATAATGAAACACTTTTTTCATTTGCAGCAACATGGAATTATATAGATAAAGGATTTTATAGAGTAGGAGTCTTTAATTCCAAAAAAAAGCTTAAAAATGGGTTTATTCCATGGGTATATATAAATATATTTGAATTAAAACTTATACATCCAGAATCATTTAAGAAAACTATTAGAACAAGACAAAGATCTTCATGAAGAAATAATTATTTATTTGGATAATTCTAATGACATATGGCATGTAGACTATACATTGAATATTTTAGAAAAAAAAGTCATTATTAAAGGAATTTAAAAATAAACTAATGAATTATAGAAGAATCAAATTCCAGAAATCACTACAAGCTCAAGAATAGTTTTTCCATTATCTGAAAATGGAGTAATGCCTGTATTTAATAAACCTATTGCTCTAGATCCAGATGGAAAACCTATAGAAAATAAAGAAAAAACATTTTTTCAAAAATATTGGATGTATATAGTGCCATTTATATTATTTTTGCTTTTAAAAAACAGGAATGTAGAATAAGTATTTAACATTTTTTATAAAAGAAAATATATTAAAAAAATACTTTGTATTTTCAAACACAACATATATAATTTTCAATTGAAATGATTTAAAAGTTATTTAGGAATTTATATAAAGGGTTATATAATAAATCATTCTAATAAAGATTTGGCAGGAAGCATAATCCTTAAAATCCCAAATAATTTTATCAAATACATGAAAATTTCTAATTAGAATATCTGACAAATTATTACTAATTCATATCAAATATATTTAGAAAGAAATTTCTTTTTGTAAATTTTAGACTAGTTTTAAATCTGCAAACCATTAGTTTTTCTTATATTTTATGATGATATCTATAAAAAATAATACCTATGATTGCGTATATATGTACCATATGCCTTAAATTATGAAGAATATTATAAAAAATATCTAAAATATATATAAATGTATAATTAAAACATAACATCAAGACGAGAAATATGCGAATAAATCTCAGATGACATTCTATACTGAATCAAACCAGCATAAATCATAGCAGATTTTGCACGTTTTCGTAATTCAGTCAATTTCTAAAACAATATCAGAAGTTATTCTTTCCAAAAAGCAAAGTTTATTACAGCATTACGAGATGTGTCAGAAAAAGGACTTAATTTAAGCTTATTATTTAATTTATAAAGACATTCAATACTCATAACGAGTAGACCGGGAACATTACGTGCAATGCTCTCATGAAGAGATGAAAAATCTTGTGCCTGTTTTTTAATAGCCCCAATATCTGCATTACAATCCAAAGGAATAATATTAAGCTGTTCAATAATCTATAAATCAATAATATTAAAAATAAGAAAATAAATTCAATTAACACACCATTAAAGACTGTTCCCATTTGCCTTCTTTATATGCAGCACGAGCATCTGCTATTTTTAAAAGAGTTTTGCAAGTATCTCTATTTACAGGAGTAATTTTGGAATATATCTCAACGTTATTGAAATATACAGACATCATATTCTCTGCTAATCGTCTTGGATCCTCCATAGCCATTAAAGATAAATTGACCTTCAAAGATGAATTTCCAGAATCAACATAACTACTAAGTGAAGGACTACTTAAAGCTTCACCAAGAACTTTATTGATAATGGAAACTACAGTATCAAAATCCTAAAGCAAGTATATATATATTTAAAATATATCTATAATTTAACAAACCTCTGATAAATGATAAAGAAGTATAGCATCAGCAGTGCATCCATCATCGTCTGCTTGTATAGCAGCTTGCTCTGTAATTGTTTTTAAATATTCACTTTCACTATGCAATTGTATCAATTCAAGTCTTTTTTCAATAATTCCAGGCTAATAATATAATTACTAATTAAGATAAAGATATAAAATAGAATACTTCTCTTGATCCATCAGCCTTCACATCTCCTAGTAACTGAGAAAAATTACGAGTACTTAAAATAAGTTCTTTAATTGCTTCATAACAAATATTTTTTTGAGCATTCCCAATTGGAGGGGATAAGTCACCATTTAAACATATAAGACAAAGATAATCAACTGCAACTTTAGGATCCAATTTCTGAAATGTTTTTGTATATACACATATAAGTCTTGAGAAATTTAAACAAGCAATATTATTATCATTAATTGACACTATTTGTTATGGTTAACTCGATTATAAATAAGTGTAAATCATACATAATTCAGTCTCTAAGGAATTATCGGCTGCTGGTACATGTAATAATCCATAATATGTAAGACCTATTGCAAAATGAACAGCATCAATAGGATAATAAGAATATAAATAATATATTGCCTAAAAATAATTAAACCTGAAATAATTCAAAATCTTCTTACTCGTTCAAATTGCCCACTTAACAAAAGTAACTGAAAATATACAATTGGATTAGCGCCTTTAGATGTAAAATGCTTAGCTCCAAAACTTAAGAGAGTTTTTTGTAAATCTTCTAAAGTAAATCTTTCATGAGCCGATTCTCCAGAATCCTCTATACTACGTATCAAATTCAACTGAAGCCACATATAATCTTCTGCAAGGGGCAAAACTTCCGGTAATGACCTCTTTGATAATTCACACCTGCCAATTATTTTATAAATTACATATTTATAAGGATCAGAAGTTTCTGTTATAAATCGTATACGTTGATTATATTCAGCATGTAATCTATCATTAAGTTGACGAGGAAGCATCCCATTAGGAGACGTAAAATATGCTTTTAAATAAATTGGAAATGCTTTTTCAATTTTCTGAAATAAACTTTCATGTTTCAAAGTATATTGTACAGCTTCTTGTAAATACCCACACCTAATAAGATAAAATAAAAATGCCCATATAGGAATATTATTCACAATCTCTAGATTACTCTTTACCCATCTACCATTCTTCATAAACTTAATATTCAAATATGCTCGAATTTTGTTTTCAGCTGATGGAATACCACCCAATTTTGCATCATGAGGATATTTCATAATTTCTCTTTCAATAAGAGAAAAAAACCTTTAAAGAAAAATTAATACAAAGAAACATATATTTCAATAAAATAAAAACTTACTGCAATTCAAGAAATGACTTCGCTCCAGAAACAATTTTTTTAAACATAGCTGGCTTTGAAACTGGATTATCAATATAAGAAACATACAATCTCTCATTTGTAATTTTAGATGATGCTGATTCATATAAATAATTGCTTTCTTCAACAATTTTTGAGAGCAATTTCCATGAATCTGAAAGTTGCTGATATCGCTATACATATATATCAAACATAGTTATAAAAAAAACCATTTAATAATACAATATCACCCTTAGATAACCTTGATACATCACCAAATGCATTAAATATACCAAAACCTTTTCCTTTCAACCTAAACTCATTCAACAATGACACCGTTTCTGCATATTTCTGTCGAATTACTGAAACAACTGGTGCATGTTGAACTGATGATTCCACATCATCAAAATCCTTAAAAACAGACTTAGAAAACATCGGTTTCTTAAAATCTGACTCAAAAAAACTCCTCTTCATATTCGATTCTGTCACATTTTTCGTTTCTTCTTTAGATCCTTCATCTTGCTTAATATTTGACACTTCTTTTCCTTCCTGAAAATCATTCAATAACTTCATCTTGTTCTTTTCTAACTTATAATTGACATTTCTCGCAACAAACGCATCAAAATCCCTCTGACTTTGTTTAATCATATCTTCTATCGCTAATAATATATTCCTCTCCTTCTTATATCTAAGATATCCCTACATACACTTAGTCCATACATTTTCTTATTCATAGATCCTCTTTTACATCTATATCTGTATCTATTAACACTGCTGATTCATAAAATGGAACAAGATGTATAGACATAAGTGTTTGTAGCGTCTCTTTTGCATTCATACCACTTCCCGCAAGAAGATAATGTCTATCCCCATTTAATCGAGTCCTTTATTTCTTCTCCTCTCTTACGCCTTTGTATCTCCATCTCTCATACCAAGATTTAGCACTTGTTCCTCTGAACACCGCCTAATCTGGTCCAAACTAAGCTGTATCTGAGGTAACTCCTCTTCAAACAGTTCATGTTCAAGCTTCTTAGAGCTTTCTAATATCTCTCCAAGTGATGGCATCTTTATGCCCGTTTCTTGAACATACATTTTAAACCAAGACCTTAACAGGCTATAGACCCACGGCTATTTAAATACGGCTGCTTAATTACCCTTATTTAAACCTTGATAAAACCTGCTGTTCCTCTTCAAATAATGAATAAACCATGGTCCATTGCTGTAGGCTGGACAAGTTTAACACTTGGTAAAAAACATACACAATATATATATCTTAACAACTCGTAGCTGCTGGAATAGCTTATTATTTTGCAAAGAAGGTATTTATAAGGGAAATTTAATAAAATGTTTATTATGAAGGATATCAAGGCAAGACATAGAGAGCGGATAATGGGGGGAGAAGATAAGCTAAAATTAGGAGATAATTTAAAAAGAAATACAGTAAATAGCGAAATTAAAGGGAATATAAGGGAGAATAATAAAGCTCGAGAAGAAGGGTGTAAAGAAGGGTGTAAAGAAGGGTATAAAGAAGAATATAAATAAATAAAAATAAGTAAAAATAAGTAAAAATAAGTAAAAATAAATAGATATAAACAGATTAAATAAAAGTAAAATTGTATGATAATTTGAATATGTATTTATAATGCAGAAAATGTAAAAAAAAAACAAAATGATAAAGAAGGCCAATGAAATGAAATATAAAGCCAAAAGAAAAAATAAGATCAAGAAAATAAAGAAAATGATTAAGAATCTAATAATTCATTAATTTTTTTGATCAAAGCCTTTTTAATAAATTGTTCACGAGCAAGATTTCGAGTATGCTATATATATATATTAATAAAATAAAAAGAAAAATAGAATGATTACTTTAAGAAAAGTATCAAGATCAATTCTTTCATTTTCAAGGAATTTTGAAAGAATATGAATAGTATCTTCAATTGATTTTTCATCAGTAATTAAATCATAAAATCTAAAAAAAGATAAGAAAAATAAAAGAAATCAAAGAAAGAATTACTGTTGAGAAAGAGTATTTTCAGAAATAACGATATCATCAATTGAAGGTAGCTGTATATTTTTGCATTTTTGGATTAGAGATTTAGAAGCAAGAATTTTTTCTTTTAAAATATCAATATTTTTTTGACATTGTTCTTTTATATGAATGATTTCAGTTTTCTCACGTTCAATTTGAGCTTGAGAACGCAATATTTTTTCCCTATCATTTTTTACTTGAAAAAACAATTGAGCCATTGTTTTTTGAGATTCCTGAGCATTTTCATGTAAAATTAAAGCAATTTGTTTAATAAGTTGTTCAGTAATAGGATTCAATGGCCTTTTTACTAGACTAATGTTTGAAGAAGACATAGCAGGAACTTCTGTATCAATATAAGTAGAATCAAGTATATTAGCAGATTTTTTTTGAGAAAGTTCAATTAAATTGTCCTTTTGAAATGAAAAAGGTGTTTTAATTAAAAAATTTGAAGGTTTATCAGGTAAAGGAGGAGGTGAAGATTGTTCCAGAGAAATTTGAGATCTAAATAATTTTGATAAATCATAATCATTCGACAAGTCTTTTGAAGAGGTAGAACAAGATGATTTAGAAACACGACCAGACTCTAAAAAAACAATTGGAAGATCTTTTGAAAATGCCTTTTTCAATGAAACAAAAAGTCGGGCTAATGTAGATTCCTAAATTGCAAATTTAATCAAAATCAAAGCTTTAAATATAAATAAAAATATACACATGAATACTCATCCCAAAACTCTATACATGGATGGTAACAACGACCATCTGAATGAACATAACTGCTTTGTTTAATAACGAATCCTTCTTCTACTATAACCCAAACAATAGGTGCCTCTCGTGGATATAACAATGGGACCCATAAAACAACAGGAATATTATATGTTTGTTCAAATGAAACAACCGGTAAAATAACCTTTATAGAAAGAATACATTCTTCTCTTTGTTTTATAGATTCTAACCCATAAATTAACTGTATTTCTCCAAAATAATAATAAAAAATTCATTATTTTACGTCTTTCTTCAATCCAAACATCTACTGACAAATAAGAATCAATAATATCCTTTATATCTTCATAAGTTCGTTCAGGAAATGTATAAATCTTCTTTTATTAGGTCCATTTAATAAAAAATACAAGAACCAACGTCAAAAACTGCTTTTTTCACCCAATCCAAAGCTTTAAGTGTCGTCATTTAATAAGAAGAATGATAGGAAATCACAGTTAAATATATAAACCCAATCATAAATATAAAACCAAGTCAAAATAGCCTTTTTTTCTAAATATCCATTTCATATTTTAAAATATCTCAGAACTTAAGATTATAATAAAAATAATAAGTAATTTTAGTATTATTTAATGTTTATTTGTATTTATAAATAAGAATCTATTTTTTTCTAAGTTAAAATATATACGAATATTAGAAATATAAGCTTTAAAAGTCAATCGAAGTCTAAAACAAATCTACATATTTATATAAGTGTTTTATGGTTAAAGATGATGTAAATATAATGTTGAAGAAATTAGAAGATAGAATGATAATATTTTTAAAAATTAATTTAATGCCTAAGATTAAAATTTAATCCAAAATCATCAAAACTTTTTAATCTGAATGTCTTATTACGAGGGGTGATCACTCTTCTTCTATAGAACGCTATCCAATCCTGCAATAATCTTCTTATTTTTTTCCAATCAAGCTGTGCAGCAGTACTTAAAAATATAATTAATATAAATATTGTAAAAAAAAAAAAACTTACTTAGTTAAATCATTTATGAGACGCAATTTTTCTTGAGAACCTATAGTTTCTGAAGGAAAAAGATCCAAAGTGAATGCAATATTTTTTATTGTATCTTCTGGATGAATTTCTATTAGACAAAGTAAAATACCTGAAGCATCTGAAACACAATCACGAGGGAAAGAATATGCTAGTCCATAAAAAATAGTAGTTACTAGTTGTTGTCTGTATTTTTGTATCATGTTTCTGACGATTGTTTGAAGCTCTAAAGGTGTCTCAAGAAAAGTTGACGCAGGAGAAGAAAAAGAATAAGAAAAGAGATCTTTTAAAAAATGAAAAATAGAAATTAAAGGATCAGACAATTCTAATGAAAGAGAGGCCAAAGATATTTGAAAAATAAGTTCCAATAATGAAGAAGTTATTAAACGAACGGAATGCCCCAACAATACATCAATAAGAAGTCGAAAAAAATCATCAATTACTATAATAAATATGAATTCTGTAGTAAAAAATAAGAATTGATTACCATCAGGGATTTCTTTAGGGTTATTCCTATTTAAAATATTAAACATAGTCAAACATTGTCTTTCAGTAAACTGCCAAATTGCAAATCGAGTATCCTCAGAACATGTTTCCACATTTGAAAATATTCGTATACATGCACCGCTAACCCATAAATAACAGCCATATCCCATTTTTTCAAAACACGAAACTAGTTTTTCAGCTAAAGATGGAAGAAACTCAAGCATATGTTCGCGATATGAATTAAGCAAAGTCTTAAAAAATTTACATATACTTTCAGAAATAACTAATGATGATCCATAAATATCAAGTAAATGAGATATAAAAGGCCAAAATTCCTGAAGTAATCGTATACAAGGATGTTGTTGATCTAATGAAATATAAGGTGATACAACTTGAGCAAATATAGTAAGAACTTCAACTTCATCTAAAAATAAAATTAGAAAACTTAAAAGCCTTTTTAATAAAAAAGAATACCTGCTATAGATTGATAGAATTTTGTACTAGTATCATTTTTCTGCATTTTTAAAAGAATGTTTTCAGTAATAGGATCATAAAACAATTTTAAAATATCATAAATTTGATGCGTAGGTTGTGCAGTAATAACGTAAGCAACACCCTCAGTAATTTCAAAAAGAGATTCTATATCTAAAGTAGGGGCCACTTTTTGATAAAATAATCGTAATTGAGTAATATGATCAACAAGTAGCTAAAAAATATCAATAACCAACAAAATAAGAAATAGCGGTAACCTTTCCACAATCCTGACAAAAATGTTTAAGTGCTTGTGAAGCAGCACTTACAATATCTCTACTCGATGCCTGAAAACCATTACATATATAATTTAATTGAAGTTCTAAATATTCAGGATGTTTTGCGGTCCATTCTGTGTATCTTCCTAAAAGCAATGTAGCCGCATATGTTATTTTTTCATGACTAGGTAATTTCGTAAGAATAGACATAATTTCAGGAACAACTTGATTATTCTCTATACTAACTTCTCGAGCCATTACTCTCATGCTAAATAACGGTGCTTCTATTTCTTGCCATTTAACAAACATGCCATTTTCATTATCATTTAAAGGTTTCTTAATCTTTTCAATTGCTTTTTTTAAACATGCATCATCACCTATAACAGAACAACAATCCTTCAATACATCCCCCATTTGATGTCTAAAACTACGAAATTTTTCCTCTCTTTCTCGATCACCATCAAATAAATCGTTAACATCATTACCATCAGGATAATGTAAATCTCGAATCATTATATCTACCAAGTTAGAATAAATATCCGAAAAAATTGCCCTTGATTCAGTATACGCTTTTAAAACAAGAAGTTGTTTTAAATCATACCAGAAATTAAACCCATATTTAACTATTTCTAATTCCTCATCCATTTCAGCAAACATGATTATACATTCAACTAAAGGCCTAAACTGTTGCGGAGAACGTGCAATTAAAACTACCCATGTCTCTCCTGCCTCACAAAATAATCGAGCATACCCTCTAAAAGCATCCGAGTCATTTTTACTTTCAATTACTCTAGGTCTCAACTTTCGAAGACGAGAATACAACTCCTCAATCATATCCAAAGACTCATCAACATCCGACGTTTCTCGAACAATAGAACACAATAAATCAATAACCGATTCAAACATATTATCCAAAGAAAGTGAAGCAAATATAAAATCAAGCAACGGTGTCATAACAAAACTACCAAGCGGCATTTCTTTTAGCCATGAATTCATACATTCAAAAATTAAAGGATTAATAGAAGTATTAACATCAATATTTTGTACATATAGCAATAAAAGCTTAAGAACCTTGTCCAAATTATCCGTCAAAAGCTCTTTAGAACGACGGTTTAACTCTTCTTCCTTAAAATATTAATTTCATCCAAAAATACTTCATTCATCATTTACTGATAGCAAACACTTTTTATTATCCACTTCTTCCGGTAAAACAGTTATAAATTGCAATAAACACCCCCATGTACTATTTTCTTTTCCAAATATATTTACCGCCTCCCCAATCACATCCCTCCAATCTAACATCTGCAATGCTAGTCCCGCCAATGCAATGCATAATTGTGTCAAAATAGACTTGGGTCCCGAACAATATAATAATATCATCTGAAAAAGCGATTCTTTTAGCGACGGTAAACTCTCATTCGGAAGCTGATGAATATCATAGTTAATCTTAAATAATCAGAACTTATGTCCCTCTTTTAAGCTATTTTCTTGCAAAAAACCTTGTTTCTTAGCGTTTGTGCCGCAAAAAACTTCGCTTCAATAGATCCCTCATTATCCCGTAAAACTAAATGCGTCGTATCCCATGCATCCCTCTATTCTACATGTTAGAACCTTATTTATGCCCAATTTCTCCCTTTTTCCTACACTTTTTTGAAATTCTTCAAGATAATGGTTTGCTCTTTCTTTCTCGTTCCGTGACGAATTAGAATACAGCGTTTTCAATGCCTCATAAAGCGCTTTTAAAGGCTCTGAAGAACCCTCTGACATGTCTATATTATGTCTTTTAAGCCCAGATAATTGGTGAGCAGGTTTCTTGTGTCGAGTTATAAAAAAAGGACGTCGAGAGGGAGCAAGCGACAGACGTCAAGATTTTTTAGAGGAGCAAAAAATCGGGGAAAACAGAGGAAAAACATGTCTACGAGAAGTCAATCAGGGAGAACACAGAAAGTGATGATTCCTCCTATTGTATATGGCTTTTGAAGGAAGTTTTTTGGTTAGAAACTGATGAAAATATAGAATTTTATCTTTAAGCTTTTACAGCAACATATTGATGTGTGTATATGGCTTTATGAACAGATAGATATAAGGATTGAAGGGAAGATAAGAGTATGAATGTTTTTTTTTTAAAAAAAAAGAGTAATTAATAGGGATTTGATGAATTTATGAATCTGGTTATTGATGAAGCGATAGAAGTAGGGCAAAAGAGGAATTCTAGACGACCACTTGGTGAGGAATAGCTATTAGAAGGGGCGGAATATGGTAGAAATTAATAATAAGTATAGGTCGTATTTTATTGAAAGGAGATAATATTACATTAATTCAAGCGCTTCAAATATAAAATTTTGTTAAATATAAAAAAAGAGATATATTTTATCTTATAATTTGGTTTTGAAGTAATAAAATATCAAGTTTTATATCTAAAGAGTTTATGGGTACAGTATCTACAAGTTGTTCGTTTAAAGCGAGACCTACTATAAAAAATTAGCCATTTTTCAAAGATAATTTTAGCAGTGTAGAAATAGATACTTTTTAATGGAGTATTTCGGTTATTTTTTTCAGACCAATGATTTATTTTAGCAAGATATTTATCATAATATCTAATAATTGATTAAAATGGAGGGGGGGGGGGATAAAAATATTATTTACAAACCCTTTTCCATGGCCTAATCTATTTAAATTTCTATCGAATGCTATGCCGGGAATGATAATTAAATCTAGCCCATTTTTATCCATAGCTTCTTCTCTTAATATACCATTTGCAGTATTTTTACTTGGTTGAGGAATACCCCATTTATTTTTAACAAATAAAGAAGGATCTTCTGTTGGATGGAGATAAAACATAAACATTTCTGAACCATCTATAAAAGGAACATATATTTTTTTTCCTTTTTGATTATTATATATAAAGTTCATTAAAAAAAAAATAGAAATACCCATTTGATGAGAATGTTTTATTATTTCATCTGTAGATATTTCTCCATGAACCATTGACAAATAAATACTGATTGATTTGCTTTTTTTAAATTCTGGAAGCCTTATTAAAGAATCTGTAACAGCCATGGCTATATATTATAAATATAAATCAAAAATCTATATAAAAATATACATTGATTTTTAATATGATTCAATGGAAGATCTACAAGGACTTTCCAAAGTTTTCTCATCTCAGCTTTTAGCTCTTGAATATACATAATAATCAGGTTTAGATAGATAGATAGTATATATTAAAAAATAGTATAATAAAGAATCAATTGATTTTTTTAAAAAATAATTACAAATAAAATACAAAAAATCATACAAATTATCTAGAAAATTATAATTATCCTTTTTTTTTAAATAGTTTTTCTTAATCATAATATATTATTAACTAATAACAAAATAAATTATAAAATATAATATAAAAAAACAAATACATCTATTAAATATGTAGTATTCTCAAATTATAAGAATATGACATTTCTATCATTAAAATAAAAAAAAACAAATTGTATATTATAAAATATTATTAGAATCAAAGAATTTCTCCAACCAACGTGCTTCTTCTTCCATTTCTTGATCACTTCGTGACTTTCTAGATGCATCATCAATCTTTTGAAAACCCTGTGTCTTTTCACGATATAATTTCCCCAAATCAGCTTCTTCAGAAGCTAATCTCTCATAAATCTCATCATTTTCCTTTAAATCAAAAGGTTTCCTAGGTATTATATGAACATGAAGATGAGGAACTACAGAATTAAGTGTAAGCAAGAAGAAAAGACAAAAAAACCCGTTTGTCCAGCATATTTTCCATCTTGAATCGTAACAGTACATGATGATGCACAGAATGCCCTCTCAACAACAGATGATACCTTTTGAACAGTAGAAAAAAGACATGATATCTTAATTTAATCAATAATATAACAAATATGTTATATTAATACTTCTGATTCCATTAAATCACGAAGACGTGGCACAGGACGTCTAGGAATGACAAGAACATGTCCTGGAAGCACAGGTCTTAAATTTACAAGTGCCAAAGAATCCTGATAAAGGATTAATAAACTTTCTAACTAGTAAATCAATCTACTTTTGCATGAAAAAACACTTGTTTAGAAACTAAAAAAGGTCCAAAGTAGATTTCAGAGATCATAATGAGTACAAAAGAGAAAATAGATAGAAATATATTAGAAATATATTAGAAATAGATCAGAAACAGATCAGAAATATAGTTTATAATGATAAATAACAAAATATATTTATAAATTAATCTATAATAATATTTATCCATTTTTACTCTTAGTTATACTAAGAATAATTACAATCTATACTCTTTACTAATATCGAGTATAAATAAATATTTTAATAGAATAGAAATCCATTTTAAAAGATCAATTCCTGTTATTCTAGAATATTTTAACAAGATAATTGCTAATTTATTAAAAATACATTATCTAATATAAATTTTATCTATATACACAAAAACTCTCCCATTTAAAAGCAAAATAAAACAAAAAAAAACATCTATCTTATATTTACATTAATTAACAACATAAACAAATAGATATCACATTGTTTATTTTTTTAATTCTATAACTATCTTTTAATTCTTAAAAAATACATATAAAATTCATTTTTTCAAAAAAAGATATTATTTATCTTAATTGTTCAAATAAAAAATATATTAAAGATTTATTCTAAAATATTTATATATTAAACCATTTTTTTACAATATCCACCTCCAATCTTACTAAAAATACCGTATCAATTAATATCAATCATACGCCTATCAAATGAAAAAATATGTTATTGCTTTAATATTGCTTTTATGTAGATATTTCTCTAAAACTAGAGCAGATGATCAAGTTAAAAGTGTTTATCAAGAAAAATCAGTTGTTTCTTTTTGTCCTTATACAGATCCAGAGACATATATTTTACAAATAAAATCACTTAAAATAATACCAGATCCTCCACAAAGAGGTAGTCAATTTATAGTAGAAGGACAGGGTATTCTTACTGAAGACGTTTTATTGGGAAGTTATGTTTTTCTAAGTGTAACTTATAGAATTATACCTATTTTAAATATACGAATAGATCTTTGTGAACAAGTTTGAAAACCAAACATAATTAAATGTTATATTTTTAAATGAATTAATAATCTATAATAGACAGAAAAAGTAGGCTTTCCATGTCCAATTTCTAAGGGAGAATACCAGGCATCTAGAGAATTTTATATTCCAAATGGCATTTTCCCAGTAAATAGCCTTTTTCTTTTTATAACATTAATAAAATTTAAATAGGGCAGATATATTATTAAAGCAGATGCATTTTCAAAAAATGATAAGAGAATTGCATGTTTTATTGTTGATATCACATTTTTTCCAAAGTTTTTAAGCAATTAATTATTATTTCAATAACGATTAAAATTAGCTAATCTACATTCTATTTTTTTTAATATTTTTATACTATTAATATAATATCCATTAACAAAACATGTCTTTCTATTCCAAATTCTCAATTATTCTTAACCATTTCTTTTCTTTTTTACACTTTTTACTATGTTTCATCTCCCATCAAACGTTTTACTCTTTTTAAAATAAAATCTTTCTCCATATCATAAGGATGATCTTTAATATTCAATATAAAAAATATAATAACTTTATAATAAGAATTCACCTTTGCTTGGAATCTCTAGCAAAGAAGGAAAAGTCTGAGAATACGCATCAATTTTAGGACGAATACGATCTGCTATCTAAAAAAAAACCCATCATCAAATATAATCTTCATTCTACATCTACGTACATGTTGATTAATCAAAATAATCCCAATATCTGTACGTAAATCCGTCAATTCTTCAAAAAAAGTTTCAATCACTGATGTCTCTGTTTCTATCAAAAATAACGCCTTATTTTCAAAATTAACAACAAATATCAACTAACCTGTTCCAACGACTAGAAAATTCTTCTTTTGCTCATTATCAATATGTCCTATTCCTGCCAAAAGAAATCCTGTTACTGAGTCCTATATAATCCGTCAATTTCACTCAATTTTAACGCAAAAAAAAACAATATATTCATCTATACCTCATCTCCAATGATTCCTATGAACGGTCTAGTATGAATAGTGTCTAAATTGTTCATTATTCCTCAGAAATCAGGGACTTAGTATAATTTTGATATTTCCTGACGTTACAGCTAACCTCAAAAAAAATAAAGAGATAGAATCTTAGGATTTTTAGGACAGAATGGGGGATTTTAAGGGATGAAACACTGGAAATCTATTAGCGTGACCCAGTCGGATAGTCCGGTCCTTTTTTCCGGGGAAAAAATCCTTTTTATACAGCCATCAACAGAGATTTATGATTCGTATGAAGATTGAAAAGTATTTATGAGGGATAACTGAAGGAATACTAGAGAATCGAAGGGTTATATTCTTAAGAATGGGATGATATATCTTACGACGCACCGTATTTGTTATTTATATCCGTCTACATGTGATATTCAATCATTAGGATTGAATCTGTCGCAGATTGAAGATCTGAAGACATCAGTAGAATTCCATAGAAGAAATATCCATATTACTGCTTACGTTTTAATATTAGACATATTTTTTTTTCAAATCAAATCCAAAAATAATTATATATTATAAGAAATCAAAGGAGAGAGATGAACAGAAGAGATATGGTAAATATGTAGAGAAAAATGAATCGTTTGTATCAATTGGAGATACGTGGATATGTGAGGTGTGTAGTTTTTCGAATCCAGTTCCAGAAAGTTATTCAATTGATCAAAATTTACCACCATGTTTGGCATGTGGTGTTTCTATTATTAAGAAACGTTTGCTATATGATTCTAAAAATACAGAGGTAACTGTTTCTGATTTTCAACAAAGTGAATCGTCTTTATCATGCAAAAGATGTACATTTTTTAATCATCCAGCTCTTAAACAGTGTGAAAGTTGTGGTTCATCACTTGTTTATCAAGAAAAAAAAGAAATCTATCCAGAATCTTTAGTTGAAAGAACAAATCAAATATCATTAGAAGATTCTACAAATGATTATTGCAAAATAAAGTTTAAATCAGGTGGAGAACGACTTTTTTATGAACGACTGAAAGAGGCTATTAATCAAAAAGAATGGATGATTAAACACAATCCAGTAGAAGAACAAATTGTGGAAGAGAGGAAAGCAGGAGGAATCAGTGTTTTACACTATACAGATGAAATCATTAAATTAAACAATGCTCGTATTTTAAATCAAGGCCTCTCAAGTTTGAACGCATTAATGTCAAAAGCTAAAGAATTGGTAATATCTTTACATATCTTTAATACATTTAACATTATAGGTTGCATTAGCAAATTCACTTCGATTGCAACTTCAAACATCTCCTAACGTTTCTCATAATATACTTGATACATTACAAATATCATTCCAAACAATGGGTTTAGAATCATCAATGACAACACAAAATCTTTCAAATTACCTTGTTACAAAAGAAATTACAAAAGATGATAAACTATATTACATAGAATTAGCAAAACAAGTCGCAGAATTCCTAGAAAGTGGTGTTTTAAAGAAAGAAGGTGGTATTATGACTTTAGTCGATGTATTTGCCTTATATAATCGAGCAAGAGGCGTCGGTAAGCTACCTACTTCTACAATAATCATTCTTTTCTAAGAGAAAAGACTTAATTAGTCCAGAAGACTTATTTAAAGCTTGTCAATACTATGAAACTTTAAATGTATCAATTCAACTCAAGCGCTTCAAAAGCGGTCTCTTAGTATTACAGGAAAAAGATAAAAGTGAAGAAAAAAGAATCCATCAACTTGTTCTTTGGATTCAAACTTCTTCAAGAGGAGTTAGTATTTTCGAAGTAGCTGATCAATTTCATTGGAGCATGGGTATTGCATACGAAACATTAAAGGTTCTTACCACCTCTTTCTATATATCTATACCAACATTCAAATACTTATAATATTCTAGATTGCTGAAGAAAAGACAATGTTATGTCGTGATAAATGTTTTGAAGGTCTTTATTTCTGGCAAAACCTTATTATTCATAATAATATCGCAAAAAATCAAACATAACAAAAACATATCAATGCAAACTTGTTAATTAATGTTTAGAAATTAACTGGACTCGTTCCATAACTAATCTTCGACGTCCTTGACCTAGCCATTGACCTGATTCATCAAAAACCAGCTCTGTACCAATCATATTTTCCCAGCGACCTTGATAAATATGACCTCCCCATTGAAGAAAAGGTGTATTGGATTCTAAAGCCTTAAAAGAAAAGGTAAAATAACATTTTTTTTAAAAAAAATATTTTATACTTTTAATTGTACAGGTCCTTCTGGAAATCCCCTTGAATTTTTCTTAAAACAAGGATTCTTAAGATCAATAATTACAAATTCATCAGAGGGATCCATTCTTTATTAGCTTTTTAGTGGATAAATAATGTAAAAACCTTATTTTCTTTATCTAGGGTTTTTGTTATTTTTCAAGGTAATATATAAAGGTTAAGATAAGCAGAGAAGGATAAAATGGAAGAAGATAAGAAGAAAAGCACAAGACTAGTTCGACGTTCATCTAGAAAATTTCTATGTTTTCATATATTTTTTGAATGGATAGAAAAAATATATTATCATGATTCATGGTTTGAATATGAAGGAAATGGAACATATTTATTATTAGTTTTATGTCAAATACTTTTTATTTTATCAAGAAGTTTAGGAAAACAAGAGGAACAACTTTTTTTTTTAAAAAAAGATATTAAAATTAAAAAAAAAGACTTTTTAAAGACAACAATGAATCTTGAAACAGATATATGGAAGAGGAAAATCCATGGGATGGTGCGTTTTTTATCTTTTGTTTAATTCAAGAAAAAAAATAATTTTTTAACTGAGAAATATTTCAGTGCTTATGGATTTCAATTGGATTATTCATTTGGAGTGTTTTTTGTACAATTTTATGTTTTGGAACTTCTCGTCAATATTGTCTATTTGCTCGGGAAGAAGAGGTTTTTCCCAATTATTTTCTATATAAATATGAAAAATGATGAGATAAATCAATTAGCATCCACCGCCTAGTACAAGTGCACGACGGAGAGTATTGAATAAAGAAGGGGTTTCAGGGACCCTTAGAAGCTTAATAGATCGATTTCGTTTAGTAAATTCAAAAGAAGAAAAAAAAGGTTCAAATATATCAGAAGAAGTATGGGAATTAAGAGTATGGAATCCATCAACTTTACTTATTCGATTTTTTTGGTATTAAAACTTGAAAAAAAAAGCAAATTTTATTAATTAAAACCAGTTTTTTTAATCCAATTAATTTAATTTTGCTTTGGACTAATCCACTTAGTCCTAAAAATATACTACTAGCAACAGGAATTTCTATTCAGGTTTTAAAAAAAATATTTTTCTTGAACAATTGTTTAATTATTTACTTACAACTAATAAGCTTTACTTATTTCACCGAATTTATGCAAATTATGTTATTGATAAATCAATCATTCATAGCGAAGTATTTCACGAATATTCGAAGAAATTTGTTGAACCACGCTTATTTCCATACAAACGAGATGTCGCTACATCAACTCATCCAGAACTTGTACACATTGAAGCTCACACACCCCAAGAAAAACCAAACAAAATAATGCATCAACCATCAGTATCTACATCAAATCGAATTCGATCTTTAATTGAAGAAGAATGGCATACACCATGTCAAAAATCTCATGGTGGGTTCAAAGGGTTTCCTATCACACCCTCGAAAAAGGTTCAACCGTCACCAGCAAAGGGATTTCGTCCTGCAAATTCATGGTCAATTGGTACATCTGGAAATCATCTATCTTACACAAACATTAAAACAACAAAGCATCAATAATAATACCAATTTATATTATTATAATATACTAGCTTTACAAAAAAACTAATATTATAGGTTATAACTTTTAATAAAGTAAAACTAAGATCAGAAGCTATAAAAAAATATAGTATCATTATATATTCATAAAACATATATAAAGTGTTAACATCACTGTCTACTATAAATATATACAATAGAAATGTCAAATTATACTAATCGAAGAACAGATATATACCCCAAAATTTCCTATAGATTTCGTGTAGTTCTAATAATATCCTTAAATAATTAATAGAAATCAATCATGAACATATCAATCATTATAATCAGCCATATCAATCAATAATAATTATAAATAGTTCCGCCTTTGATGACATCCGAATATATTTACACATAATTTATCAATAAAACAGAAAAAACTAAAGTTTCTCAAAAAGAGTATTTTCCGAATTTTGTATTTTAAAATCAGGATTATTGTTAGACAAAACAGATATTTGTTGCATATTAAATGTATTGTCTGACTTATCATTGGCAACAAGCTCCTAATAAAAATCAATATTAAATAATATCTTAAAAATTAAAACCTCATTTGCAGTTTTTCTTTTTTTATATTCACTAAGAGATATTTTTTTCGGAAAAGATCCTAAAATAGAAGTAGGACTTGTAAGTAATACAGTAGATTGAATAGGTTCTAATTCTGAAGTTAAAGGTGATGCAATAGTAGTAAACGAAGACATATGAGATTCAGATGCAGAAGAAAATCCAAGTTCAGGTTTAAAAAGTGAGGGTGTAGAAAGCTTATCTGATAATTGAGATGGTTCAGAAATAGGTACAGAAATACCAGGTTCCGGAGACGCAAAACTCAAAGACAATCTGTCTGATGATTCTATATCAGGTAACAATTGTTCCAATAAAGCTATATCAGTTAAAGACGGGGGACTTTCACGCTTAACCGAATTAATCCCTATATCTTTAAATGTTTTAGAACAAAGATCATTCTGGAATCCAACAACACCATTTTCCAATTTCTGTTTCTTTTTTATAACTTTTTCAGCTTCATATTTAAAATTTTCCTGTATCCATCGCCTCATCCACATCTTTTTACATGGAAGAATATCATTATTCTCTGAATACTCATCCAAAATACCATTTGTAATTTTTCTATGTTTTTGCATTCGAGCAATTCTAGAAGGAACACGTCCAAGACATTTTGGAAACGACTTAGCATCGGAAACATCATTTTTAGGAGAACTTGGAGGTGTGGAGGAACCCGATTGTGGACAGACTTGTTTAATCGCAACAGCCAATGATGTTCTACGTTGATGACCGTATCCTTTGTGATTTCCGTTTGATTTCACATTACCTCGTTTTCTTTTTTTAATAACTTGAGTTTCTTCCTGTTCCAATTTTTCTATACGTGCCAATATATCCTTAATTTTACGCTCTTCTCTTGCAGACAATAGATCATTCGAGTTAGAATCTGTAGAAGATGGAATCTTTACAAGTGATTCAGATATTTCGTTAATGTTCCGAAGCTTATTCACTGTATTTGTATCATTCTTTAATTGAGATATAGATTTATCAGGATCATCATTTTCAATATCATGATTCGTATTATTTAGGGGGAAAATAGCTTTTTTCTTATTAGACTTAATATTACCCTTAGAAATACTCGAAAACGCTCGTTTAAGTCTAAATAAAATACAATTCTTGCCAATCTCGCAAGCACATTCCAGTCCATTAATATAATAAATCAGTTCTTGACCATATTTAACATCATTTTCAGGAACACATTCTTGATTTTCTATATAATAAGCTGGATGATCTACATCCCAATCCCAGCCAATCGTAATTTCTGATCCAGATTGAATTTCTGTTAATGAATAAAGTGCAATATGAATAAAAAAATTGCTACTTGACGCAACAGTAATTAATTTAGCGTTAGGTTTACAGCTTCGACGAATAAATCTTGAATCAGTACCATATCTTCTAGTATCAATACAAAGCTTCGAATCTGAAACAAAATAAACAAAAGGCTTGGGTGCAAGAAGGAATGAATAATGATTAATAGAATTAACTTTATATTCATCCTGCAAATAAATTTCACCCTTAATTTCTCTAATAATTTGTCCGGAAGCAATAAATTGATTAGATTGCAGTGAAAAACGTAATAATGAAGAAATATTTGTATTTGATGTAGGCTGAATAGACGTCTCCGGTAATTGCTTTGAAGTAAAGTAATCATCTAAAACTACATGCATCCCTGACTTATCTTGTAATAATAATGAAATATACATCTCCGCCCCTACTGATGAAATCAAATTATGCTCAATTACTGAATATTCCGTATTATAATCAAAAAGTAACTCTGAATTCACATTCAACCCATTTGACCTTTCCATTAATTGAAATCGACTTTCTATATCCTTTGAAAAAAATCCACGACCTCCTGATCTAGACTTTCTACCTCCATCATGCTTAATAACCGTATTTAACGGCTTTTCTTTCACAGATCCCAATGAATGAACTTTTGACTTCATCATACCACATTGAAATTGCCGTCGTTTTCGACCATGACTACTATTCGCTTTCACATGCGCTGATTCTTGTTCTCTACGACGTCGTTGCTTTTCTATCGCCTTTTTAACATCTAATGTCCGAGGAAAACAGAGATCACATAGATATTCATCAGGAACATGATGTTGATCAATACCAACGCATACAGCGTGCTGCCACACATAACATCGCTCACACTACACATATCAACCCTTCTATACCAAAAAATACTCCTTATCCCCCCTATATCCTACCTGAATCGTAAATCCGTCATCATCTTCTAAACCACATATACAACGTATAATTCCCGCTTCTAAATCATATCCAACTGTTTCCAGCCCCATATTAGACTATTATAACCCTTTAAATGTCAGTTAAAACCTATTTCATACAATAACTAACTTGTTGATTCTGAAGCTTCTTTTTCTTAAAAAAGTTGAACCCTCATGAAACGATCTTATAGTACTCAATATTAAAGGGAAATTTGTCCTCCGTAAAAGCCATATGTTAATTTAAGCAGAAGCTGAATGGTTCTTGAAGGAGGGCTAAATCTTAAGCACTGCTTAATATATGTTCCTGAGATGAAGTTTTTTCCGAGGTCAAAGTGAATTTTAGTTGGTTGCCTAGGCAGGTTGCCTAGGCAACCAACGTCATGAAAAATTAGAGGGTAAAAAAAAGAAGGGTTAAAGGGAAAATGAGTAGGATAAAGAGAGTTTTTAGTATAAATAAAAGAAGAAATAGGTTTAATATGGGGTATATTTGTTACAAGCGTTTTTTCAGCGATTTTTTTTGAGTAGAAAAGCCTTTTTTTTTAAAAAAAAGAAACGTATTTGTAAATAATTATAAAATTTTCTAGATATGAATTTTTTTGTAGAAAAAACCAATATATGATATATTATTGACCATATACAATATATATATTGTTTTTATTTTGAATAAAAATAGTTAAGAATGGAGCCAGATTCAAATATACTTGAATGTATTGATATTGATGAACATTGTCATGTTAGATTTTCAAATATGAATAATATAGAAAAAAAAGGTAAATTCTAAAGAGAATATGTTGTTTATTTAGAAAAAACGGAAAGGATTGGGCTATTATTCAATAAATGAGGCTAGATTAACATTATGTATTGGAGGAAGAGAAGTTAGAATTCGTCAAAATCCAAATATTTTTCATTGTCATAAAGAGGATACAGGAAGTGTTTTATGGAGAGCATCGGTGGTTTGTTTAGAATATCTTCTTTCTCAACCATGGTTTATTTGTAATCTACAAGAATTCCAAATTATTGAATTAGGAGCGGGTATTTCAGGAATAGGAGCTATTTTATTAGGAGAAAAGGTTGACAAATACATTTCTACAGATAGAGAACATATTTTGAAATATTTATACAAAAATATAGATGAAAATCTTAAAATTAAAACAAAGATTAAAGGAAAACAAGAATCTTCTCTTGAAGAAATAAATATATATGTAATGGAGCTTAATTGGTTTGAGAAACCAAAAACATATTTAAAAAACTTAGAGGGTTTTTTGGGGGAAACATCTAAGAATCTTTGTATTCTAGCATTTGATACTATATATAATCCAAATATTACAATTCACTTTGTCAATACATTAGTATCAATTTTCAATCATTTTCAAGAAAGGAAGATACTTGCAATAATAGGGTTAGAACTTCGAAATTATGATACACTTTATGATTTTCTTGAAAAAATGCAATCACACTTTTTTATTCAAACCATTTGTGATGAACAATTGCAAAAAGAATATCAAATATACATTGTACAATCAAAATAGAAAAAGAATATAGTACAAATATCTTCTTTAATGAGGTTTTTCCTAGTCAAATACAATTTTTTAAACTTTATATTTTTTTACAGAAAGAATACACAAACAATGTTATAAAAACACTACAAAAGACATTTATATCTTATTCATATATTAATTGAATACATTTTCTCTTATTCATTATGGATTAACGAAGTTCAACGTCATAAAACTTAATTAAATATATCATAAAAATACAAGTTATAAAATATACAGTGAGAACTATAAAAACATATATATCTAATGGAATTCTAATAAAAATATAGATCTAATAATAGGATATATACAAAATTTTTTAAATATGAAAGAAACATCAATTCTTCCATTTCTTCATATTATAGAGAATCTTAAAACAACACCTAGAACAGGTTGGCTAAATTTCAATATAGATAATCCAGGTTTTAATATATCTATGAATTCATATATTTAAACAAGAACAGAATCCATTGTATTTTAATAATATTCAATAATAACATATAAATTTAACATAAAATAGGCAAGTCATATGTATAGAATGTCTATTATTTCTATGTTATGTACAGAACCATCTATTAATCGTGATAAGTAAGTATTTATTTATTTATTTTATGTAAAAATAACTTATATAGATGTATAAAAATGGCACTTATTCATGATATGGCAGAATGTATTGTAGGTGATATAACACCGTTTGATAAGATATCACCAGGTCTATATCAGTTTAAAATGTTTAATTTTTAACATTATTTTAGAAGAGAAACATCAACGTGAATTAGAGGCTATGATAACCCTTACATCTAAAATTCTACCTAAAACAAGATCACAAGCAGCCAAGGAAATGATTGATCTGTTTTTAGAATATGAAGAAGGAAAAACTCCAGAAGCATTATTTGTAAAGGACATTGATAAATTTGAATTATTAGTACAAATGGTTGAATATGAGAAAAGAACAAGAAAAAATTTACAACAATTCCTATGTGTTATTCCAAAAATAAGGAATTCTTTAATTTTAGAATGGGTAAATGATGTTTTAAAGGAAAGAGAAGAGTTCTGGGCATCTATAAATCAATAAATTCATTTTTATTTCAAAAATTAAATAATATAAACATTTTAATGTATATAACTTAATAATTATCATTAAGATAAATAAGTTTTGCCATTTTATGTCTTATAAATAATCCTATCAAGCCCATTACAGCTTGAATTCCCATTATTATTATTGTTAATTTATCTTCTCTTCTAGGTCCCAATCTAACTAAAAGAAAGTTAATAATTGTAAGATTTGTCGTCCCTTGAATTTCTTTAGTAATTGGATCTATTTTTAATCGTACAAAACCCAATTTCGAAAATATCTTAAGAATTATTCTGCATAATAAGGATGGTTTCTTTGAAAACATAATCATTGAGGGTTCTAAAAGACCAGTAGATAAATTAAGACTATATAAAGATCATAAACAAAATCATAAACAATATAAAAACCATACTTAGGCATTCTATGTCTTGGACATTCAACAATTCCAAATAATTGGGGAAAAGACAATATAAAATTAAATATTTGTGGGATAAAAAAGAGAAGAATAGTTTTTGAAAAATGACCTATAATACCGACAATTGCAAATATCATTCCAGAAAAACAACAATAAGTATCGCCAACAAAAACAGATGCAGGGTACCTAAGTAATTAACTATATTCAATAAATAAATACTAAATATTATACCAATTATAATATAATAAAGGTATTGAAGTTCCCAAAAAAGGTAATAAAAAATAAAGTGAAAATAAATGAGAATCAATAGAAGGTCCTGTTAATCTAAAAACATATAATAAATCATTAATTATAATGCAAAGTGAAATTATAATGGACTGTCCCACTTCTACTCCATTAATTCCTGCAATTATATTAATGCTATTAGGGCAAAAAACTGATAATGCTGCCATATAAAGATAATATAACCATCCTTATTAAATATTAAAAAACATTGTTAATAATCCCATATTATACCTATTTCAATAAGATTTCCAAAATATGGCTGCAAAATCGTTGGAACAACTACATATGTAACATCAAAATCGATATAATACACAACAAGAATAGGAATTGCCGAAAATACTGGCATAAAAAGCTTGTCTCTCCAACGTATATCAAAAAGATCATCTGCCGCTCCTAAAAGAACCATACTTTGAAGTGATAAAATCGCCGATAAATATTCACCCAACTAAACCATATTTAATTCAAAAATATATGATTTTTTTCACCACTTTATTATGAAAAAATAACTTAAATGTCTTCTCCCCTCTAACAACCTCATAAATATCCCGATTTCCTCCTCCTGACGTCATAACAAAGTACTTATAAAATGCAAATGGAATAAATAAAAACATAATATATATATAAACCATAGAACATACGATACCCATTGCCTCTGGCCTATTAATCATTATCGCTGATTTTCATGATTTTCCTTAGTTATTTCTACTTTAAAGGTTTTCCCTTCTTATTTAAATCTTTTCCATAGAATCCAACTTTGATAAAGTAGGGTCCTAATATAGGTATTGCCTTAAAAACAAAGATACCAGAGACAAATGAAAATGCAACTGAAATAGCCAATGGATGTTCATATTTATTAATTATCAAAGCAATTGCACTGATTAGAAAAAAAATAGAATTCAGAGGCCATCCCATATAAATTAAAGTTATTTTTTAAAAATCCCCAGCAAAAGTTAAGAAAAAGTTAAGAAAAAGTTAAAAAATGGTAAAATTTGTTAAGAATTGTTAAGAATTATTAATAAAAGTTAAAAAATTAATAATAAAAGTTAAGAAATTGTTAAACGAAAGTTAAAAAGTTAACGTCAAAAATTAAGATTTTAATAAAAAATAGTAATTTTTGTTAAGAAAAAGGTAAATTTAGAGAAATTAACTTAAGAAAGGTTAAAAAAGTTAAAAAGTTATTAAAAAGTGGTTAAAAAAAAGTTAAAAAAGTCAAGAAATTGTTAAAAATTGTTAAGAATTGTTAAAAGATTGTTAAGAAATCTTTAAAAAGTTGTCAAAAAATCCTTAAGAAAGGTTAAGAATTGTTAAAAAGTTCTTAAAAAGGCTTAAAAAAGGTCAAAAAAGGTCAAAAAAAGGTTAAAAAAGGATTAAAAAGGATTAAAAAGGATTAAAAAGGATTAAAAAAGGGTTTAATGGAGTGGAAAACTATTAAAACAAATCACGAAGACTTAATTCATGACGTTTCTTATGGTATTCAACAGAATTATATACAAAAAAGATATAAATAAACGACTAATATTATAAAGATTATTATGGAAGAAGATTAGCAACATGTTCCTCAGATTTAAGAGTAAAAGTATTTGATTATGATGATATAACATCAGAATGGATAGAAAATGATTCCTGGAAATCAGCAGATGCAACAATTCTTAAAGTAATATGGGCAAATCCTAAAGGTATGTATATTTATATATTTAGTGAGAAGAAAAAAGAATTAATTAGGATTATTAGTGGGACAAGTAATAGCAATTTGTTCTATAGATAGAACAGTAAGAATATTTGAAGAACAGGAACATGGTTTTGTATAAAAAGTGTTTTATACATGGAAATCTTATGTATTGTTTTAGAGGCAAAGAATTCAGGAAAACGGTGGCATGAGAAAGCACGTCTTGTAGATTCTCGAGGAGCAGTTCTAGATATATGGTTTGCACCTATTCATTATGGACTTAAATTAGCGTCAGTATCAGCAGATGCGGTTATTCGTATCTATGAAGCATTATCACCAAATGATTTATCACAATGGACATTAATGGATGATATTATACTTTTATCGAATCCGCCTCCACGAGATACAGAAAGTTCGTTTTGTTTAACATGGTGTCCATCTCGATGGGATGATCAGCAATTGTTAGTTGGGGCAATGAATACAGTTTGTATTTATAGACAAAATGAAAATAATAAATGGAAGGCAGAAGAATCATTAGATGGACATACAGATTTAGTACGAGATGTTGCATGGGGAGCGAATATGGGGAGATCGTATCATATTATTGCTACAGCATGCAAAGATGGACATGTACGAATTTTTAAATTAACAAACAAGTCGAATCAAATTTCTAATGAAGATGCTATATATAATTCAGAACCTATACAAGCAAAAAAAGGTTATATAATAGAACTAGTTGGTGATTTTGATGATCATATGGCACAAGTATGGAGAGTGAGTTTTAATGTTACGGGTACTATATTATCAACTGCAGGAGATGATGGAAGAGTAAGATTATGGAAAGCAAATTATGCAGGAGATTATCAATGTTTAACAGTAATTTCCATGGAGAAAACTCAAAAAGAGGATATTATTGAAGAACAATAAGAAAATTGTCTAACATATTATATCAACATTTTTGAAAGTATATTGAAAACAATCAATCATAATCAAGAGGATTTTTTTCTAAAAATCCATAGTCCTAAACGTACATAAGAATGTATTACGCTATACCAAGTATTAATTCCTTTTTCAATTATATTAAGTATTCTATCAAATTCATATAGAGCGAATGTAATTACAAATAATATCCACATATAAACAAACCATCTTATCGTCTTAGGTATATAGACTGTTAACCATAATTTAGAATGATAATTAAAGGTATAAAACGATTGTTTCAATATATATAATTTACTTTTTTGATTAGTTTTAATAGACTCCATAGAATTAAAGTATGCTTCCTTTGACAAAAATAAAGGATTTTTCTTGATATTTTCATTCAGATAATATAAACTTGAAAGTATTAGATCAAAATCTTTTTGTTTCAATGTCAATAAATAAGATAAAAAATCTGGTGATATTTTTCTAGACCATAAGAAGATATCCCTTCTTTTAAGATTGTCAAAAGGTATTATATCTGCTGATTCATGATTAAAAGATGAATCGATTATCTTATCTCTTAATAAAGTCTTTTTCAAAAACTTTTCAGAAAAACCAAAAAAAGAATATCTATTAATGCCAATGCGATCATTAGATATATTATTTATGTTGCAAGTATCTTTTTTTTGTTTATGCCAAATTATATTTTTTATCCACTTTTTTTTATTAGATTTATTTTGTAAATTACAAGATCTCTCTGGTTCTTTCCATAAAACAATCTTCATCAATACTATTTTAAAGGATAAAAATTTATATATTTTCAATATAAAGCAGCTATTTATTAAGCAATTTATATTAGCTTGCACTTCAAAGCTTATCAAGCTAAAGTAATCGATAAGGGAAAAACCAGCCATTTTTGATATTTTATTAAGATTATTTAATAACTTTATATTATCTAAATATAATAACAATCTAAAACATTTTAAATAAAAACAGATATCAAGTAAAATAACACTTATGAAATCAAGATTGTTTAATTTTATATAAAAAAACAAATCATACGGCACCAAACATTTGGTTATATAGCAAAGGAAAATTTCGACGAAGAACCTCTCTGTCCTCGGAAACACCTACAAAAAGTGCAGCAATTCCTGATTTGATAGGAACGACTGCAATATTACATACTTGAAGACCAATAAAGAATGAAATAAATATAACGCCTATATAATAGGAACCATTATTATTGTATTGAGGATTAGTAAATCTCAAATAAAGATAAGAGGAGAAAGCAGTTAGGCAAGCAACAAAAAGAGAACCACTTGAAAATTAGTAAAAATCATAAAAAAAAAAAGAAACTTACAAAAACAAGACATTATCAATTAAACAATCATTAATCAAAGCATCTATTCCGGTTCGTCTGAACATATCCCATGTACTAATAAAAATTAATAATGATAAATAAAAATTATAGAAAAATTACTCTTTTGCTGCCCTTAAATATTTTTTACCATAAAGAGCAATTTGTGCATAACCTAAAATATTTAATAACGTGTTTAATGAAATAAAAGAAACATACAATAATGGTTAAAATACTGAACTAACCAGTCCAATAAGATAAGTACACAGGAAGCAAAGCATGAAAATATTGTTCCTATAATATCACCAGAACCAGCTCTATCACGCATAATTGATTTAAATATATCTCTTAAGATTTGAACGATAGATGCTACCAATGATCCAAAACAAACACTTCCAAAAGAATATGTTGTAGTACGTTTAAAAGAAGCTAGAGCTGCATGCTTTGGAATACCTTCCGGTGTATTATATCCATAATAATAGGATCCAAATATACCACAAATCGTAGTATGAATTACATTCTTAATAACCTCCGTAATCCAATAAGCATTAAAAACTAAAAATTATCAAAAAAAAAATTCATAAAATGAACATCATACATAAATAAAAAATAATTAAATGCAAATACATAGAATTACATTTATCTGGATTGTCAATACATGATTGTTTCCTAAACCCATCTGGTCCATATTCCGAAAATTTTGTAAATGAAGCAAGAAGTGTTATAAAAAACCTTATTATAATTAATTACATAATTAAATCAATAAAAAATATCATAAATTACCATGCAAAAAATCCTATTGAAACAACCATTCCAAAAAAACTTATAAAATATACACTAGGAAAATACGAACAAACTTTCATAGTAAACTGGAGATACATAGTTGCCAATGGAATACGTGATCTCCATGTATAAAAACAAAATCCATAGAATATTGCAAATATCAAAAACACTAACCCATTAACCCTTAACCTAACCCTAACCCTACACATGTAATAACATACCTATTGAAGCTGTATATAATCCTCTAATTAAAAAAAATATTCCAATTCCTAGCATAAAAACCTTTCAAAATTAACATATTCATCCCTATTTCTTTCTTTTTTTTTCAAATAAAACTTACTATCTGAAGAATTCCGGTCGACCATATAAATTGTTTTGTATATATACGTGCAAACAAAAAATACAAAAACGATAATGCCGCTGCCGACCCAACAACATATACATAAAGAAAAATCGTATTTCTATCATTTTTTTTTACTTTTTTTTTTTTCAAAATACATAAACTTACAAATTTATCGTAAATGATGACGTCTTTGAAAAATCCTTCTTCTTATACTCCGCTATTCATCTCATAAGTCCTTTTCTTCTTAATTCCTCTCTTCTAACCTGTATTCAAAAACTCATGGATCGACACTCCAGAAATATAAATAAATCCAAAAAGACTAATAAAAAACAAAACTGACGCCCATACCTACATAAATACCCTCTTAAAACATATATCACATCTATCCTTTTCTTTACTCACATCTTTCCACTTCTTCTCTACTTTAAATTTCTCTGAAAACTCAATTTCTTCTTTTCTATCTTGTGTCCAAGCTTCTTGACCGCCATATCTCATATTCTGATAGTACGGATTGCTTGTATCTTGCGTTTTCTCCACATTAGCACTCATTTCTACGCTTTTTTCTGGGACTTAGAAAAATTTTGGTTTTTGGAGGTTGAAATTAATTTTATTTTGCGGGAGGGTGTCCGCAAGGTATTTAAGCTCTCGATAGCCGGTAACCTCCGCAGAACCTCCGTCAAGCAGGAGATGGGTAACAAGAGGAATTAAGGGAGATATTGGTAGAATAAAGAGCAGAAACGAAGGATGTAGCGTTATAGAGGGCTATTTTCTGCGAAGGAGGGTTTTTTTTTGAGAAAAAAAGGACGAATTTAAGGGTATTTTTGAAATCAAGAAATAAAAAAAAGTATAAGAATATAGTGGGGGAAATAAGGATGAAAAAGAGGAAACAAAGGGCTAATATGGACAAGAATGAGGGAGTTTTTAATGTAGGAGGGAGTTTTTGTGCGGAAATTCCAGATAGAAGGAGCCAGGAGACAGAGGGAAATGAAGAGACAGGATCGTCATTTGCGCTGAGAGAGATGTTTTTATCGCTTGAAAATGAAGGAGAAAATAGTAGTATGAATGAGGGAGAAGAGGGGGTACCGGTGGTTTTGAAAGATTCGAGTTTAATGAAGTACGGGAAGAATGTAAAGAAGATAGAAATAAATGAAGAAAGTTCAATATATAATGGAAAGCGTATCCAGGAATTTTCGATTCCAAAGAGTCTTGAACGACAGAAACAACCGAGACTTTATTTGAGCGATAAAGAAATAATGCCTATAGGAAATGATAAAAGCAATATTAAGGGGTCAGATATAATTATGGATAAAATAATGGAAAGAAAATATTGTAATGGAGCATCGGAAGCATGTTGTGATATTTCAGATGAAATAGTAGTTTGCAATGATTTTTCATTTAATAAAAAAAGTGGTAAATCAGGGTTATTATCAGGAGTAAAAGAGCGGAATTGGATAGAAATAAATGGATCAAGTCAAGAATCAGAGGAAAGAGAGAATGTTTTCCGATCAAAAATATCTAAAAATAAGTTTTTTAATGAATTATCGGATTTAGAATATCATGACGATGACGATGGTGGTATATTTTATTTTGATGATTCATCATCAGCATCATCATTTAAGGAGTCCAATGGAATAAATAATAGGAGAAGATCGAGTACGGAAGGATCAGAAGCAGAAAAAACATATAGCATTCTTGTTAAAGATAAGAATTCTCAAGTTAATCATGATAGTTCAAAAACACAAATTTCCTATAGTAATGATGAAGATATATTTTGGTCGGGAGATTTGCAAGATGAGAATTCATATATACCATTGTTTAGAAAACAAACGTATGAGGAATATAATTCATCAGATGATCTATGGAGCTTCTGTACTTCACTTTTTTCGGAAACAAATGATACGAGTGACATAAAAGAGGTTAATTCGGTTTCGGATAAGCCGTTTTTTGAAAACAACTTTGACATATCGAATGAAAAAGGTTATACAACAGATGAAGATCAAAATTTCATAATAAAAAAAAAAAATCAAACAAAAGTTGAAATATCTGATAATAATTTTGGAAAAGGGCATTCACATTTTACAGAAACAAACAATCATGCTTCGGAATCACATAATTTTAAAACATCAACGTCGAATAAAAAAGAAAATTTCAATATAGAGACTGTTTCTACAAATTCATCTTCAAATTCCAGGACTACTACTTGTAATACACAGAATAAGCCTCCGATATTAGGAACATGGACACGTGATTTAAAAAGGCCAATTGGCATCATTGATGGTACTAGTACCAATGTAATTAACCCTGTGACATCATCCTGCACTATTTTATCATCTACTTCAAATCTTTCACCATCATCCATTCCAAGCCTAGATGATATACTAGATACGTCAGCATTTGTTCAGCTTTCTTCTTCAGATTCATCTTCCTCCATTACTAAAAACTATTTGTCTGATTTTTATCGTTGGGATAAGATTCCTATAGGAACATTCCGTCGTCACCAACAAAGATTTATGAATACGCGTGATGAACTTATCAAGGGAGAATGGTTTGTATTGACAAACAAATCAAGAAGACAACGTAGCAATGTTCCAATTTTAGGAACTACTGTTCGTCATAAGAAAAACAAATTGAAAAAAACGAGACATAAGAATAAGCTCAAGACTAACATTGAATTATTCGAAGAAGATCAAGAAGTAGGAATGGAACATTGCGGTCTTGGCCTTGGTCCTCAGTTAAGTCCACTTTTTAACGGACTCTCTTAAACATTTAGACATATATATCTTATTAGTAACTATCCAAAAATCTTTTTCGCAATTTATCTTAAAATGTACATATATAAATTCAAAAATTCAGTAGGAATCCAAGAAAAAAGAATTTAATAAATAAATAAAGCTTGTTTTATGCAAAACTTTATTGGGATATAATCTAATTTATCATTTTAGTTCCTGCTTTTTATAATTTTTACTTTTATCAGAAATTTTTGAATGATAATTTCTAATTATATCTAGGATTTAGTTTTAGATGAAGCATTTTTTAAGTCTAATTAGTAAGATAGTTTCAAAAAGACATTGTTTATGTAGTTTTATAAGTATTAAGAATTTTAAAAGAATAAAAATATTTTAAAAGATATACTCATAAACCAAAATAACAAATAATGATAGCAATTATAATGCAGAAATAATCCATAATATTCGAAAATTAAAATAGCAAGGTTTTAGTACCCAGAAATAAAACAAAGTTATTATCTTTTACTAGTTATAAAATTGTAAAGTAGAAAGATTCTATTTTAAATACAAATTCAAAAAATTAAACAAAAACAAGCCTCTTATTTAGAATTTATTTAAATATATAATATACTGACCATATTATAAAAAGAATTAAGGATTTTAAACACTGAAAAACCGAATTATGCTATATGTATAAAAAACTCAATCCCTAGATTTTGAAAATTCACACTAATATTATAATTAATTATAATAATAAAAATAAAATTCAACACACCCTTATGATCAAATTATCATATCCATATTTATCCATTTTTTCAATAGCTTTTGCCGCATCCATCCTATCATAATAACTAATAAATGCAAAACCCTTTCCTCTTCCTGTTTCTTTATCTTTAGCCAAATAAAGTCGGGAAATTCTCCCAAATCTTTCAAATAGTTCACGAATATCTTCTTCACGTGCATCTTCTGATACATTTGTAACTCTCACCGTAAAATATTCATCTTTATCCCGTCTAAACATAGAATCTCCGCCTGCAGATCTTCCAACTCTTAAATGAGGAACAATATATCGTCCTGTTGTTTCTGCACTAGACTCAGAAGGCATCACTGATTTATTCGAAATATTTAAATTCGCTGCATTATTCACTTCATCAAAAGGCTGAAGAGTATCTTTATAAGGACATCTTGCCGTAAAATGATCTCCCTTACAAAGACGGCATGCTACCTTTTTATCCTTAAACGTATCTTTCGTCGTTTTATTAACTGATTGATCCTCCTCAAAACCCTTATATACATTCTAACCCAATCAACCTAAAAAAACACATAAAATCCCATAAAATAAACCTTTGACCATCCTAATTGAAACTTAAGAACTATATTTTCCCCAATACTTGTAGTACTCGGATCCGGTCCTGGTCCACGACCCTTTTCAACACCAAATTTCTTCCAGTTTTTACGTTCTTCAATTGCTGGATTATCCTTCTCCTTTACAACCATTTTTTTGATCTTTTTAGTTATTTTAAACTTTTTTCCATTCTCAACATAATATTCAACAACTGTTCTGATATCTTCCGGGCCTTCAAAGACATTAGGCATTAAGGAAGACTCTTTATAGACCCAATTACAATAAGAATTACTGATTAGAACCTTTACCTACCAGAATATTCATCATCTGCCCAATCTAATAGCTTTGTTTGAGTTCTAAAAAGCCAAATATTAGCCGTTTTTCAACCAGAAAAAAAGTAAAACATATAAACTTACACTGACAAATCGTTTAATGACATTATATTTTCTTAAAACAAATTATTTCTAGACTTATAGCCTTTTTTCAATTTTTTGACGTCTACCGGTTGATCAAAATAGCCAATATATATAAGCCTTAATAAATAGCAAGATAATTCAAGATAATTCAAAATAATTGAAGATAAAGTATAATTTAAGTATTATTTAAATATGAAATAAGAAAAACATAGAACTAAAGGAATAAAAATAGATTTTAAAGATTTTAATAATAAAAAATGATTTTTTTTTGATTAAGAAAGTATTATTCCTAAATTATGATTAAATTTAATAAGAAATAAATTAATATTGAATATTCAAAGTATAAATTTTAATTTTGAGGGAAATATTTCTATATATTAGTTAAGTGAAAGGAATTGTTAAAAAATGGGGGAAAAAAACCTAAGAAATCAGTTAAGACTTTGAAAAGCAGCATCGATTTCTTCTTTATATTTAGCATAGATTTTTTTTCTTTGAAATTTTTGTGCAGCTGTTAATAAACCCTTAAAAAAATCAGTATGAAAGTAATATATATATATATAGATAAATAAATAGATACGTTTTGAGAAGAAAATTCCTCGTCAATGAGAATTATATTTTCCAAATATTCAATTGTAGCAAAATTATTTCTTTTTGCTATTTCCAATAACTGATTTAAAACAAAATATCGAACTTCCTTATTTTTACAAATAAGAGAAATATCATCTTCGAATGATATTTTATTGTCTAAAAGACGCTTTTTAAGAGTATCTGAAGGAGTTGCAATAGCTACAGGCTTAAGATGATATGGATCTGCATAAACACAAATATTACTAATAATATTGCAAGAACGATAAACTGATTCCAACTTATAAATATTAGAAAAATAATAAGATAAATAAAGATATTGATATACTTTTTCCAATGCAATGTATTCCCCATTTAATGTTTTTACCAAATTTTTTTTTCGATCAATTATTCGAAGTTGTCCATCTTCAGTCCATTCACCAATATCACCAGTCTTGAACCAAAAATCATCAGTATAAGCTTCTTTATTTTCTTCATCACGATTGAAATAGCCTTTTGATATAGATGTACCACGAAGCCATACTTCTCCTTGTTGTGGAGTTGAACTAGTATAATAACCAGCATCTGGAACATCAACAAGTTTAGCTTCAAGAGTTACAGAAAGAGAACCAACAGTTCCTAAGGAAAAACCAGAAGGAGCCATTATTGTACATATTCTAGATAAATGTAAAGAATTTATAAACGAAAATCATATAAACATACGCACAAGTTTCAGTAAGACCATAACCAATAAGCATAGGACACAAAACCGTACTCAAAAATTTTTGAGTTTCTAATGAGATAGGAGAACCGCCATTAAAAATAACTCTAAGACGTCCACCCATAGCAGCTCTTATATGTTTAAATACGAGAGCATTTAAAATGCCAACACCAGGAACAGAATGAAATAAAAGACGAGACTTGATTCTATACGCAGCCCAAAACAACTTTTGCTTTATACTAGAAGATGAATTGAGTTTTTCAATTATTCCTTTTCTCACGCTTTCCCAAACAGCAGGTACTCTAATTTAAACCATTAATATTCACAAAAATAGACTAAATATACCCTGTAATTATTGTAGGCTTAAATGTTTGAATATCACCTTTAGAATTCAAACAATTAGTATCACTCAAAGTTTTCACAGTTCCATAACCAATAAGAAGACCAGAATAAAAAGAAAATAGCTCAAAAACAAACTCATAAATATGTGAAAGGGGAAGATAACATAAGACAGAGTCATCATCAGTTATATAATATCCAAACACAGATGATATTGCAGAAACTTGTCACTTTTAATATAAAATTTAATAAAAACGTTTAAAAACCTGCTGCAACAATATTTTTATGAGACATAACAACCCCCTTAGGAATACCAGTAGATCCTGATGTATACATAATACAAATAAGATCATCTGGTAATGGAGGTTCTGGTTCTACTAGATTATTTTTGCCAAGACATTCTAATTCTTCAATAGAAAGAACCTTTAGATCCTTAAACTCTTTAAAACTTTCAAGATCATTCTCATTAGCCTTTCCAGAATATACTATAAGCTTTAATGTAGTAACAGAATTAACAAAAACTGCAATAACTGAAAGAAGAGCTGCATCACAAAATACTCCCTTAATCTCTGTCTCAATAAAACATGGCAAAACTCCATCCCTAAGAGTATCATATGCCGCAACAATTGTTAATGTCTGAGAAATACATGCTTTTCAAAAATTAGTATATATTATATAATATTTATATATATATAATAAAACAAAATACATACAAAATGCCATAGTTAACCATTCCAAACTAAAAATCATAAAAAACTATTAAAAACATAAAAAAATACTACCTTGTCGCTGCATATATTGAAATTCTATCATTTTTTGATAATCCCATGTAACGAAGCCCTGATCCTATATTATGTACTTTTTCATAAAATTCTTCATATGTAACATATTCAAAATCACTAAGTTCATAATACATCCAGTCCTTTTGAACCTTTATCTCTTTCCCACCAATAACTTTAGTCACTTCTTTATTTTTAGTATGTAATTGAAGTATTCTACGAAATCCAAAGGCTTTTCTTGATCCATAACACTTATAAGATCTTGTTAAGATATCATAAACCGTATTAACATCAGAAGATGGTCTGGCGACCAATTCATCCATTGAAAACGCTGATCTTCTAATACGGCTTTCGCCTTTAATATCTTCTGTACTATATTCTATTGAAAATAGCCAATTTTAGCGCTTTTTTTCCCAAAAAAAAAGGACAAAATACCCTTAGAAAATAAAGATTTCATAGTCTCCTAATCTAAAGAAAATATCTTAAATATCCTGCTTAATTTTAGTATATTTTATGAGAAGCTTTTAATAGAAAAAATTGCTGTCGAAGCAACTACGAAATTTAAGAGATTGTTTAAATAAGATAGAAAAAGGGTTTTTAATAATAAAAACAAGAGAAAAAGAATATAAAATCGAGTTTTGCCTAGTTTTTTTGATATATTAGCCTTTTTTCAGCTTTTAAAAGTGAGCGGAAACAGTAGAAAATTGAAGGAAAAATAAGTTTAAATAATTTAATATAAAAAGGGTTTTTTTATAAGAGAAAAACCAACAGAACATAAATATTTATGTGTATAATTGAGAAGAAAATGCCATAAATGCTTTAATAAAGCAGAAAAAAAAAATTGATGAATTTTAAGGGAATTTGAGGAAAATTTAGATATCTGGGTTAAAAGATACAATATTTATGCTTATTATTCCATCAGATCAACAGAATTTCATTAACACAGATGTTATTTTGAAGGAGGTGGTGAAAGAAGATAATAATGAGTTGATAAGTCAAAAAAAACAAGTTGAAAGTGATAAAGAAGCGGTTCTTGTACGGTTTAAAATAAGATTAGAGATTTTGGATGATGAATTATGGAAAGGGATTGTAAAAGAAAGAAGAGAATTGCTTAAATTAGGAGTTTCAAACATTTTTTTTACATTGAATGAATCATTATTACATTTGATAAATTATGAATCAAAATCAATAATTGCGGCTTATGTATGTTCAGAAGCGGATTTAGAAGTACTTTTACCGGTTTATGAGTTTATTTTTGGAATAAGATCATCATACAATGATCCTATATATGGAAAGTTGATCAAAGATTATTTGCAAACATATGAAACAATGCGGTTTATAGAATTGGAAAATAAATGGCATTTCATGATAGAATTATGCATATCTATGAGATATATTACAGAGTTTTCTATTGAAAATTTGAAAATATTTCAGAAACGTACAAGATATGGAAAAAGTCTTGTATCAGAACTTATGAATTATGCATTTCCAAGTACATTAGAAATTCAGGATACTATTAACATGTCTCTTTTTTATGACAATGTTTGTGGTTTACCGAAATCAAAAGCATCTAATTTTATTTCTCCAGATAAATTGAATACAAACTTACTGCCATTTCAAAAAAAAGCAGTTGAATGGATGCTTAAAAGAGAAAAATGTATGCCTAATACATTAAATTCTGATGAAGACGATATTCCTCCTACATGGGAGGTATCAATGGATGTAGATGGAAAACAGATATATTACAATAAAGTTTATGGAATAATATGTTCTAGTATTATTGATGTTAAAAATACATTTACAGATATTGATGGAGGAATTCTTGCAGAAGTATTGTTTCTATTCATTTTAGAATATATTCCTAAATATTTTTAGGAAATGGGACTTGGAAAGACAGTAGAAGTAGTTGCTTTAATTTTAAAGTAGAAATTTCAATAATTAAAATATGATCTAAATTATATGTAGAAACGAGAAAAAAACAGCATCTGGATCAGAAAAAGTCTTTGATCCATATACTGAAAGTTATGTTATTGCATCAAAAACAACATTAATTGTTACGCCAATTTCAATTTTACAACAATGGATAACAGAATTTTCTAAATTGGCGCCTCATTTAAAGGTTTTACATTACGTTGGAGTGAAAAATTCATCATCAGATCTCTCTATTAAAGACTTAATAGAATATGATGTAATTATTACTAGTTACAATGTCTTAAGGTAAATTATTTTCATAAATAAATAAATATATATATATTGAATTATTTAGTTTTGAGATACATCATACAAAATTAATGCCAGAAAGATCATTAAGATATGGAAAAAAGTATATTCCTAAACTTTCACCTTTAGTACAAATACAATTTTGGAGAGTATGTCTTGACGAAGCTCAAATGATTGAAACTGGAGTATCAAATGCATCTCGTATATAGTTTTTATTTTTATAGTTTATACTGATTTTTGTAGTTGCAGCTCTATCTATTCCTAGAGTACATGCATGGTGTATTACTGGAACTCCTGTACGCAATTCACTTTCTGATCTATATGGACTTTTATTATTTTTACGTTTTTATCCTTTTAATTGCAACAAAATATGGAAACGTCTTATTGATGATTCAAGAAATGCATCTGCTTTTATATCTTTATTTAAACTAATAACTTGTCGCCATACTAAAAAATATATTGGAGATGAAGTAATACTTCCTAAGCAAGAAAGAGCAATTTTATTGTTAGATTTTACGCCAGTAGAAGAACATAATTATTCATTTTTATTAAAACAAGCATTAGAAGAAATTGGGTTTAATGATCAAAAGAATCCTGCAAGTATAAATTGGAAATTTGATGATTTTAAAGATAAAATGAGACATTGGTTATTGAGATTAAGACAAACATGTTGCCAAATGCAAGTAGGAACTGTCAATAAAATGAATCTGGGTGGCCAATTGATTATGTTGTCTGAAGGTAAAGAAACATAAGTTATAAATTCATATTTAAAATTAAATAGCTTTGGATGTAATGTTAAAAAAAGTCAATGATACTATTGATAATGATGAAAGATCTCTTTATACATTAAAATTCACTATTGGAAGATTATATGAAGGCAAAAATAAGCCACAAGAAGCGTTAGATATCTGGCTTCCTATATTAGAAATTATCTATGACAAAATGAAATTATTTGAACAAGAAATAGAAAAGGCAAAACAACATGGTTTAATAGATTCAAAAAATGAAATCAAAAACTCTATGGGTACAATAGATGAAAATACAAACGATAATTATTATAATACAGAAGAAAAAAAAGTTCCAATAAAATCTATACAAACTCATATAAGGCATTGGCGAAATCTTGCCCATAGATTTACTTTTTTTATTGCAACAGCATATTATCAACTTGGAAACAAAGAGAAAGAAGATGAATATTACAGTAAAGCTGAACAAATTCGAAGAGAGGTATTTATCTGTACATGTATTTATTTTTATTTATAAAATTAGATTTTATCAGAAACAGAAAGTAAGGCACTTTTTTTAATGAAAAAGCTATCAGAAAGAGCTAAAAATAATGAATTTGTAACAATTCAAAAAATGAATATCTCTGAAATTATAAACAAAATTCATTCATCTCATGATAAATCTTTATTAAATATAATTAAAAAATTAAACAATCAAACTGATAAAATTAATGAATGGCGCCGAAAAATAATTGAGTTATCACTTTATGCTTTAGTAGATCATAACGAAAATGTCACTGGTGAAGAATATATTAAATCATTGGATATTATGGAAGATGCGTATCAATACTTGGTTTTATATAATTGTTTTTTCATTATATTTATTTTAATGAATACTAGGAAGCTCTTCGAAGTGCAATTGCATCAAGAATTGAAACTTTAAGTATAAACAACCTTCGTAATATTTTAAACTAATTTTTAAGATGGAGAAAAGAGTTTTCTTACAATTGTAGAAACACAATCTCGCCTTTCTAATCAACAAACACAATTAAAACATCAACTAACATGTATTACAGAGGAATTGCGACCAGTACCTAGCTTATCTCTTAAATCAATAATAGATAATTCATATATCTCAAAACAAATAAATGATACTAATATAAAAGGAAAGAAATATAGAAAAATACAAAGTATTTCAAATTTTGAAACATATAATCTATCAGAAATTTTAAAGAATGAAATAAAAATAACTGTTAAATTAGAAAAGTAATAAATATTTATATTTTTTTGAAATAATTAAACAGTAGTAGAGAAATATCAGATCTTTCATATGTACACAATGCACGAATTGAATATTATCGTCAACTTCAAATAATTTCAGATTGTGTAGCTGAGTTAGATGAAGAACTTCTTGAACCTCAAAATTATGCAAAAAAAATGAAAGAATTAGACGAAAAAATAAAAAGTTATGAATTGACCATACATTCAAATCAAGGACGTTTACGCTATTTAAAGTATCTTTCTAAAACATCTAATAATGAATCTGAAATAGATAAAATATGTGTTATATGTCAAAATATATTTGATTTTGGTAAGCAAATCCATATATTTTAAAATTATTTATTATGAAATCTAGGAATTTTAACAGAATGTGGTAATAAATAACACAAAAAAAATATGTAATTTAATACATAGTAGGACATATATTTTGTAAATTTTGCATGATGCAGTGGCTCACTAAACATCAAACATGTCCATCATGTAAGGTAATTTTTAATAGGAAATTATATATATATTTTTCTAATTATTTAATAAAGGCAGAAATTAAAGAAACAAATTACTATAACATAGTACATAATAATTCTAAAACCAACAACATACCTAAAAATTCTAATATTTATTCTTTAAATCAAGATTCAAAAAAAAGAAGTGATGAAATTGATAAAATGTTTTTAGAAATTAAAAATATAGAATTAAAAGAGTCATATGGGGTTAAAGTTGATATGATTGTTAAACACATACTGGTAATTTATTATCTAACTGAAATTACTTTTAATAAAGTATATAGTGGATGCGTAAAGGAGATTCAATTGGCCCCAAATCAGTCATTTTTAGTCAATGGAAGGAGATGTTAGACATTTTGCATCATGCATTTACTAATAATGGAATTAAATTTAGCAGACTAGATACAATTATCACAAAATCTGGGAAAAAAGGAAATATAGAAAACGATCCTGTGGCAAGATTTAAAAATGATAGTTCTGTATGTTATGTGTGAATACAAATTATATTTTCTTATGTTAATTTAGATCGAAGTTTTTATGCTTCATGCTCGCTCACAATCAGCTGGTCTTACATTAACGAATGCAACAAATGTCTTTTTATGTATAATATAATTTATATTTATGTTTTATCTAATAATTTTTAGGCGAACCTCTAGTTAATATTGCCATTGAGTTGCAAGCTATAAGTCGTATACATAGGATTGGTCAAAACAAACAGGTACTAATATATAGTAATTTATAAATCATAATAAATTTTTAGACATTTGTTTGGTTATATATAATAAGAGGGACTATTGAAGAAAGAATAGTAAAATTAACTGAAAAAAAAAGAGCACAATTTGCCGAAATATATAACAATACATCAAAAAATTCATATAATAATTCAAATTTAAATGATTTATCTGAAATAGAACTACAGAAAAATATAAATAAACTTACAAATACTACAGGCGAAATCATAGAAAACAATACTTTATTTTATCTTTGGGGGAAATAGTAATTAATATTTATTACATAGCGAAAAAACAACGTCTATAATTATTTACAAATACTTGTGTTAAAATACGTGGCATAATTTCTGTTTTCATAGCAAACATTAATTCTAAAAAATCAACTACTTAAATAAATATTATCAATCTTTAAGAAATAATTTATCTGATAAAATTATCTAATAAAAATAATACTAAATTGATAAAAAACATTCATTGAAAATCATAAAGTATTTTCAATAAACAAAAATTATAATTTATAAATCACGAATAACAGTATCAAATGCCTTAGCAACATACTCTATATTCCCAAGTCTAATTTATTAAAAAAATCCTAACTAACTACAGAAATTTACCTTAAACCAGCCATAGAAATCCTCCCATTCGGAGGCATATAAATATGAAATTCATCATGTAAACGGCGAATATGTTTCTCGCTCATATTTAAATACGAAAACATTCCCACCTATAGGAATTAGTATTATATATTAAAAAGCTGCTATAACTTGTTTTATTATATGATCCCATGAACCAGGCGTACCAAGTTTTATTAACTCTTGATAAAACAATTCCCTCATCTTCCTAATTCTACCCCACATTTCTAAAATATTAAATTTCAATTCTTGAGTAAGCTCTTCACTATCTAAAATAAGAGAAACTATTTTTGCTCCATGAGAAGGAGGAGACTAATCATTATTATAAAGAAATCAAAAAAAAAAAAAACAGTTATATACAGATATTTCATTTCTCTGTAAACGAACAAGCTGACTCTGAACATTTTTCGCTATTTCAGATGATTTGGTTACCAAATGAAAACAACCACATCGTTGACCATATAACCCAAAATTCTTAGAAAACGAATGGCATACTGAAAGCTCTAAACCTCGCTCTGAAAAATGTCGAATAGGCCAAACATCTTCATCTAAATCTCCTGATACAAACCCTTGATATGCAACATCAAAAAAAGGAAATAGTTTTTTTTCCTTTAAGATAAGATAATACAAATTAAATCATTTTTAAATCATACTTGCATCACATCACATATTTTTATCCATTGTTCTCGACTAGGATCAACTCCAGTCGGATTATGAGCACATACATGAAGAAGAACAATACTATTTTCTGGTGCTTCTTGTAATGTTCCAATCATTCCTTCAAAATCTAATCCACATGTCGATTTATCAAAATATGGATATTCTTTAACAGTAAAACCAACATGTCCAAAAATAGGATGATGATTTGCTATTTTAAATTAAAATATTAAAAAAATATTTTCATAAAAATTACACCATGTAGGTTTACTAAAATAACAAATTTTTCTTTTGTTATATATAGACATAAATAAAGCTCCAAGATGATTCGCTCCCGTTCCAGATATCGTTTGAATTGACGAAACCTTATTATTTATTATTCAATAAAAAACTTTTTAAGAAATAATACACAGCCATTTTTAATTAATGGTGATTCTTTCCCAAAAATAAGCTTCTTAGAGTGCTCTATAAACGGGTAAAACCCATCAATAGCTAAATATTCATGATTATATTCTGGATCCGAAATTAACATAGATTCTGCCTATTTTCATCAAAAAATATGCTATTTAGGCCATTTTTTTTGCCTTTTTCACGCAAGAAAGTGGCGTAGTATTTCCATATTCATCTCTATAAATCCCTACACTAAGATCTACCTTATTTTCGAAATCATCATCTCTATATATCTCCATTAATCCAAATATAACATCCTTCTTAATAAAAGGAATATCTGCAAAAAGGCTTCCCATTTTTATTAAATATTTATTAAGATTCCTATAAAAATTATTAAGATTTCTTAAGATTTTCTTAATACTTATTAAAATTTCTTAACTTTAATGTTAAAAAAAATCTTGTCGTTAAGAAATTTTTAGACTCGATTATTAAAAATCTTAAGAAATCTTAAGAAATCTTAAAAAAGTCTTAAAAAATCTTAATTAAAATTAAGAAATTAAGAGAAAATGTTAATTTTTTGTAAAAAAAACAATAAATTATAAGTTTTTTTTAATAAATAAAGGAAATTAGTGTAAAAAATAGAAAAAAACCTTGATATTTATATAATATTTATATAAAATAAGGGGAATTTATTAATATTAAGATTATTTTTTATTAATAAATTAATAAAATTTTTAATATTAAAGAGATATATATAAAGGTATGTATTATAAGGTTATTATTTTTATAATAAATTAATTGAATTGCTAGATATTTATTAAGATTGGAAATTATAAGGTTTTTATTTATAAAAAACAGAATTAATATGAAAAAATTTAATATTGAAACATGCCTTTTTGTAAAAGAAACAAGTATTAACAAGTATTAATAGTTTAATAGGCGAAAAATAATATATCATTTTTTGATATTAAATTTTTTCCACAAAAAACAGCAAAAAATGAAGATATATTTGCAATTGTAGGGAATAAAAGAGTAGAAAACTTTTTATATTAAGTTTAAATAAAGTTAACATATGAAAGATTATTATAGCGAAAACAAATGGAAACAAAATTTCAGTATTATCTACATATCATGATTTAAACGTATACAATAATATTTATTGTATATTTTTTTGTTGAAAGAACTAATAGAAAGAGGAAAATCTATGTTGTTGTGCATGGACTATAGAAAACGACACAAATAAGCCATTATTATGTGTTGCAGGAGCATCAAGTGTAATTAAAATTATAGATATATATTCAGGAAAAGTATTAAAAGTGTTAAAAGGACATGGAGATGTAAGAAATCTTTATATATATATATTAAATATTGAATTATTAGGAAATTTTAGATATTAAAGTATCACCAGTAAATTCATCTATTATAGCAACAGCATCATTTGATCATACTATTCGTATATGGTCACTTATGGAAGAAAATACATCGCAACCTACATTAGTTTCATGTGGAGGAGAAGGAGGTCATGATGATCGAGTTTTAACAATTGTATTATTTTATTATTAAAATAATTTATCTTATTTTTTATAGGCATTTCATAGGTCAGCTCAATATATACTTTCTGGAGGAATGGATCATTCTATAAAGATATGGACAGTACCTACTTTTTTAAAGGCAAATAAAGCAGAAAAATACTATAAAATTCAAGATAACATGATTTTTTTACCATATCCTGTAAAAAAATAACTTTTTTTTTTAAATTAACAATTATTAGCATTTTTCTACAACTGCAATACATACAAATTATGTAGATTGTGTAGAATTTTATGGAGATCTTATCTTTTCTAAATCAGCTGAAGAAGGCAAAATTATCCTTTGGAAAATTCATGGATTTGATAGTAAAGCAGACCCACCTCGTCCAGATTGTGCACCAACAACTTATGAATGGTCAGAAACAAGAAGCTTTTTCGGAAGCGGCCTTCAAAAACTATTACAATTCATGATCCTGGATTGTAATCCATGGTTCATGCGTTTTACTGTTTGGAATTCACTAGATACTGATAATAATTTCCAAACACTCTTAACAATTGGAAATTTTAAAGCAAAAATATTCATATGGGAAATATCCGAAAATATAGACTACAAAGATCCATATACACTAATTAAACCTCATATCGTACTAACCATTCCAAAAACTTCTACTGCTATTCGACAACTTTCAATCAATAATGATGGTTCTTATCTAATAGCCGTCGGAGACATGGGTTTAATTGCTTTGTTTAAAGCACAATTATAAACTTTATCAAAAATACTTCTTAACTACATTCAATACACTAAATCTATCAAATCAAATCTACCATTTTATCTAAAAAATATACTCATCTTTCTTAACACTACATATTCATGATTTTCTCATTATAAAACTTATCATTATTTTCAATTAAAAATATACTAATTTAACAATAAATATACATATTATGACCTTATTTATACATAATTCTAGTCCTTAATATTATCAATTCATCATCTTATCTTATCTACCTTATTACTTAGTGTAAGCCCCGATGCCTAAGCTCCAACCTCCAAAAAAAATTTAGCAAAAAGTGGAGGAAAATAGAGGTTTTTAGCGTATATTTTTGATAAAAATGAACATTATTTCAAGTAGAAAATGTATATATTATGGTATTTCAGGAGTTAGAAAAATTTCGGTTTGTTTTTATATACTTTTTATATAAAATTCTGATTTACTTAAGACTTTAAAGAAAAACGACTTTTTTTTTAAAACAGATCAAACATATGAAAGATATCTTAAGAAAATTACACAGAATGGGTTTTTTTTCATGTTTTTATGATTAAATCTTATTAAAATAGACTTATTTCATTATTCATATGGGGCGGTAGTGCTACACTTGCAGGTATCGTTTAAAACCTTTAATATAAGAAAATACATAATATTTTATAGTACTTTTCTTTTCTCAAGGAATTCCTCGTGTACGTACACAAATTCATCAAGTATATTACCAATTTTCTATATAACTAATTTTTTAACATAAATATAGCAACTACCTGTATTTGGTCCTTCATTTAATGAAGATATTCCTTCATCTGATATACCTCAATAAACAAATTTCTTTTTCATTAATATATTAGAAAATTTACATTTTTTCACTACGAATATTTTGATTCAATTTCAATACATTTTTCGATTCATTTAGATTTTCTTATTCAAAATCATACTTTAGTACTATTTATACTACTTTTTTCACTTTCTATTAATCAATCTTCAAAATTCATTCAAAATTTCATTCAAAAAATTCATTCAAAAAATTCACTTAAAAATTCATTCAATTCATTTCTATGGATAACAGGTATTCTGATTCATCTCTAATCATTCATTTTCAGACATTCTTATCACTTTTTTCAACTTTATTGTCTTCTATACACATTGTCATAGCAACTGTTGTCAAGGCAACCCGATATGTCTAGCTATCAACATCTCAGCTTTAAGTCATCAACAATGCCTCCTCGACCTAAGCAAAACGAGTCAGAAGTGGTTCAAGAACCTTTAGATAGGTCAGGATCTCGTCAAAAAAGGTCGCCAACAGACCGTCATGAGAATTGTATAGTGCGTGAATCAGGACCGGTAAATATATAAAGAATAATAAGAAAAATACTGAGAAGTAGATATTTAATGCCAATACACTACCAGTAACAGCGTTAAGAAGATACCAAAATGTGTATAAACTTCGTACACAGATAGGTAGTAGTTCGAATGATGCGCTGGTGAATGCAGTTCAGCGTCATTTTAATGCGTTACCAGTTAAAGAATATGATATGATAGTGCAATTTTTGTATACAGTGAAAAACAAAGGTTTAGAGATATCTAAGAAGTTAAGAATGCTAAGTGTTTGTTAGATAAAACATTTAGAAGATATTTCCATGATGAAATAGTTTAAAAAAAAAAAAGAATTGAATAAATACTAGTCAAAATCGATAAGTTGAAATTAAGTGAAAACCAAAGTAAAAAAGAAGAGAAACTTGCCAAATATGAATGTAACCAAGTATGAATGTGCTGAGTTCATATTTTTTTATATTTAAATTAATCATTTTTTCCTACAAAAAATGGATTAATGAATGATTATAATATATATATATATATATATAATTAAATTAAGGAATAGTTGAATTATATTTAACGAATATATATGCCAATTATATATAAATAATATTTCATCATGTTTTTTCAAGAATCATTTGAGTATTGTAATCTTCGAAATGTTCTTTTTAAAAAACCATCTTGAGATTTTTTATTAGAATCAATTTCTTGATTTATCCTAGAAACAGTTCATTATATGAAAAAAATAGAAAAAAATAAATATATTACGGAATATCTTTTTTTGCTGTATGATCACCCATTGATAGTGCAAGTTGTTCAAGTAATGTACGTTCATAGGGTGATAATGTTCTAAAGTGATTAGAAACGTAAGGAAAAAAGGAGAAAATACTTTGGCATAGATACTTTAAAATCATATTTTATATCTCCTTTTATACCATTACTATACAAACGTTCGACACCTTTTCCATTCATTACGATAACATCACCAGTTGCTGTTCCAGAAGGAATTTTTAATTCAACATCATCATCCAATGTTGGAACTTTAATCGTGCCACCTAATGCTGCTGTAGTCATAGGTATGGTTACAGTATGAAAAATATCTGAACCCTTCCTTCGAAACAATGGATGCGACATAACACGAATACGGACATGTAAATCCCCATTTCGAACCCTTGCTCCAGAGATTGCTACCTGAGGAGCATTTCCTTCTCCGGCAAGTCGCATACGCATACCATCTTCGATTCCTTTTTATAATATAAAACAAATTTGTCATTATAAGGTTTAACATTACCAGCAGGAATATCCAGGTTGATAACCTTCTTTTCTTTAACCACACCATCTCCATGACAATTCCAACACTCTGATCCTGGTAAAATGGTAACACCAGCACCTTTGCAATATTCACAAGTACTAGCAACCTGAAACCCTCCTTGCATAATATGCACTCTAGTACCTGTACCTCCACAACGTTGACAAGCACTACGTTTTTGTCCTGATTTTAACCCACTTCCAGAGCATGTTTTACATATTACTAAAGGATTTATATGAATCGACTTTGTTCCACCTTTTGCTGCTTCCATAAACGAAATACTCGTTTGAACCTAACCCGTATGAAATTAAATAAAACTTGAGATAAAATCTTTCCACCTCAATATCATTGCCTACTAATACTTCATTAACATTACTACGTGCACCCGTTTTCCCTCCAAAACCAAATGCACCAAACAAATCATCAAACGGAAACCCCCTCATATTACTAAAATTCCCAAAATCTTCAAAATCACTAGATCCTTCTGTGCCAAATTTTGAGCTTTCAAAAGCCGATGAACCATATTGATCATATTTACTTCGTTTTTTTGGATCACTTAAAATCTAAAAACAATATCAACCCTATTTTCGACTAAAATACTCCTAAAACATGCCTCGTATGCCTGTTGAATTTCAAGAAACTTCTCTTGTGCACCTTTTTCCTTGTTTGTATCTGGATGATATTGTTTTGCTAACTAATTCACTCTTAATCAATCCAGATAGAAAAAAAAAAAACAACAAAGAAACCTTAAAATACGCCTTCTTGATATCTGAAATGCTGGCATCTCTATTTATATTAAGTGTAGCATACGGATCTTTCATAGCCAACGCTTTTCCCGATGTATGGAAAAACGACTAGAAACAGAGAGAAAATAAACAAATAAACGACGAAACCATATCCACCACTTACTCTCCGAACTCCTTGATATAAATCTTTGTATTCAATGGCATTTTTATTCCAAAAATTCCTGATTTTGCTTTTTTCTATTTGTTTCATTTTTGGACCCACCAAAAACTTGTTTAAAAAGCGGAAACTTTGTAGCCCACTTGAACACCTCATCCAGCGTGGATTAACCATCTTAAATACCTATAAAACCCCTTAAATCCTTGGTATTTTTAACCTTCTTTTTCTCAGAACTTAATTTTTTTTTTTTCGAAGTCAGCTGTCTCCACCTGTTAACTTCAAAAAAAAGGTTGCCTAGAAATCCAGGAAATTCCTCCGTATGAACAACATATAAAGCAATGAATGACGGTGCACTTGTTATTCTTGGTTGTTTGGTGCTTTTTTTCTCTTTAAAATGGGTTTTTTCCGGGCATGGAACAGCCAATACAAGACGTCTAAGAAATCGTCGTAATGTTTCACAAAATATGATAGAAGTAAGCATCCAAATGACATGAAACAGGCTGATACAGATCTGTATTTTAATAGATTATCCATGCTATGTTTCCAAATATCCCTATTGAATCGATAGAGTATGATCTTGGAAGGACAGGATCGGTAGAAGCCACTACAGAGACATTGTTAGCACAAGGCCGACTACCGACAGTAATTATGATGATTAGAGATATGCAATTGATGAGTTAATGATGTTGTTTAGCCGCCGCCATCATTTGTTCCACATATGAGTCATCAAATTTCTGCACGTATTTCATCTCTTGATAAAAAACCAAATTTTTCACATGATGATTTAATTAAACGCTATGACCTTTATTCTCGTATTAAAGCAGAAGAAGAGCGGCCGGTTCGACAAGAAGAAGTATATAAATGGTATCCTGATAAAGAGCAACGAGAAGCACAACTTCGTCGAAAACGTGAAGCAATGATTTTAAATGCTCGACGCTGTCTGAAGGAAAAAGACAAAGAAATCCTAAATAAAGATGCTTCAAATAGCAAAAATGAGATATTTTAAAAAATCGTAGTAAACAGCATATTAAAATTAGCAATTACCATTTCATGGCATATTCAAATATATAATATAGAAGTATAAAACATTTGACATAAATATTATATTGTTTCTACAACTGATCCATATCCGTGAACAAATTTTGTTGTAAAAATTCTATTTGCATTCGAAAACATGCCGTCTTTTAATGATACAACAATGAATTGTGCCCTGTATCGAATCAATCTTATAGAGATTAAGAAAAACGATTACCCTTTAAATTTTGTTTTAATAAGATGCCCAATATTTTGAGTATGACTTAAATCAAGAGCAGCATCAACCTCGTCTAATATATACATTGGTGCAGGTTTGAATTGCAAAAGGGACATGATAAAAGATAAAGCCACTAATGACCTAAACAATGAAATATATAAGCTCTTTTTTTTTTGAAAAAAAAAAAAAAGAAATTATATAGGCTTACCTTTGACCACCGCTTAATTCAGCCAAACTATCCTTCCAAACCTTACCAAGGCATACTTTTATTTCAAGACCATCAGCTATAGTTTTTTTATCCAAAGGTACTAATTTTGCAAAACTTCCTGGAAGAAGATCTGAAAAAATTTTGCCAAAATCACTTTATATCCTTGAATTTCATCATTTCAAATAAATCCAAAACATACCTATTGACTTTTTCCCATGTTTTTTGTAAAGCTTCCATTTTATACTCTTCAAGACTTTTGATTGTGTCTTCAATTTTATGCTTATCTTTATGAATTGTTTTCACCATAGTCTTTAAGGCATTTTCTTTTTTTTCAACGCCATCAATCATATTTATAACTTTTGGATTAATTTTTTTTTTCAAAGTTTGAAACCTTTCTGTAAGACTATTCAATGAAGCCTTGCATTTTTTTATATCATAATTAGAAAAATCAAAAGCTGTAGAAGGTTTCCCAAAATTTCTTAAAAGTATTACTAGATATATGTATATCAATGATAAACTTACTCTCTTTCGTCCGATATCCATTCATACTCAGTCTCCATTTGATTTAATAATTGAAGGGTAGATTGTTTATCTTTATTAAGTCTATTAATCTCATGACGAAGAGATTGTAATTCAAGGTTTGCCTCAGAAATATAACTTGTTTTTGTTTTCATAGCATTTTCAAGATGTTTGAACTCTTTATCATATCCAGTTAACTTGGCTCGTTCATTTTCTAAAATTATCTCAAGTTTTTCATAATTCTCCTAATCACACAATAAGTATATTTATTAAATAAAAGAAAGACAATTACTTTAGTCTGAGCTTGTTCAGATTTTAAGGTATTTATTTCTGAGTTTTGAGAAGAAATTAATGCATTATTTTCCTTTAATTGCTTTTGAATAATCACAAGATCTCCTTCAAGTTGTTCTAAATGAAGTAAATCAATAAAACAAAAAAAAATCAAGTAATAAAGTTACCTTTTTCCAACTTTAAAGATTGATATTTTTTGTATTCAAGTTTCACATTTTCAGATTGTTTCTCAACAAGGGTTTTTAATTTTTCCAAAGTTTTCTAAAATTTTTTAACATCTAAGCAAGTATATACATAATATAAATATAGGAAACCTGTAATTGCAAAAGTTTAGAATCCTTATTGTTTTTAAATTCTTCCATATCCTTTTCAATTTCTTTAATATCTTTTTTATATTGTTCTTGTTTTAATTTCACTTCAGTCAAAGTAGTTTTGCATGATTCAATATTAGATTCTAATTCTTTAACTTCATTCATAACCTATAACTGTAAGAACAAAAGATTTTAAATAAAAATAGTACTTTTGAGGAAGAATTTGAGCTGATTTGTTTTTCGGTTAACTTAATTTCATGTGATTTAAGATCATAATTTTTTTTCAAAGAAGAATTTTTATCAAGCTTTTCCTTATTTTTCTCAAGGAATACATTGATTTCCAATAATCTATTATTATACAAGTTTAATTCATTCTTGATCTCATTCAATTTTTGCAATTGAACCAAGACACCATTTGATGATGTGTTTGAACCTCCAGAAAGTGTGCCAGAAGGATCGTATATATCTCCATTCAAAGTGATACTTTTTAAAGACAAATTAGGGTCAAAAGTCATTTTCTTTGCAATCTCAGCATTTTCACAAATAACAGTAGAACCAAAAACATATTCCATAGCTGCTTCAACATTTTTTCCATAATTAATTAAATCCAATGCTAAATTTACTTTTCCAGGAGCTTGTTTCTGAGCCATATCAATCTTCTAAAGAAAAATCAACGCCATTCTTTGTATTAAAATATACTTACACCAACAGGAATCTTGGTAGATGATATTTTCGATAATGGTATAATTGTTACCCTTTTTTTTAAACGGCCATGTTGAAGTAGTTGAGCAGCAATAATTTCATCCTCAACGACAACCTTGAAATAATTAATAATCTAATACGTTTTTTTTAAATCAACAAGAAAGACAAACATTATAAAGACGTTCGCCTGCACAAACTTCTAAAGCCAAAGATGCTTTATAATTTTTCTCATCAAGAGTAAATAATTGTGCTACAAATCCTAAAACTTTTAAATGATCAAATTCGGGAGAGGGGCTTGAATATGTAAAATCAATATTTGCAACGTTTCTTTTAAGATTTTCGTATTGAGAAGTTAAACTAGTTATTTTCGCTTCGTAATCACTTTTTTCTTGATAGAAATTGTCATTGATGCTATTTTGCAAACCTAAAGCCGATATTTTTTCTTCAATTACCCTTAATTCTTGTTTCATTTTTTCAAGACCGTTTAAAAGAACTTCATTCTCTTTTTCCGCCTTCTTTACCTTTGGTCCTAATTCTATAATTCGTTTTTCAAAATGATCTATCTTTAATATAATCTGTTTTTCTTCAGTTATTGCCTTATTCAAATTATTTCTAGCCTCTTTTGAAATAATATTAATAAATAGTGCGAATCATTCAATACAAAAATATTACCTTGTAGCTGATCTGTATAATTGTTTGTTTGGCCTTCTCTAGCAGCAATGCCTGTAGATAAGGTTTGCAAAAGTTCTTCTTTCTTATTCATTTCATCATTTTTAATATCAAATTCCGCTTTCAATTTATTATAAAACTCTTCTATGGAATGAAAATGGCTCTTTTTCTTTTCTAATGATACATTAAGCTATTTCAATAAATAAGTACCATCGAATTAAGAATAAAAGTAATACCTCTTTGGCCGTTTCTTCCAATCTAGTCAATTTAATTTTTTCTTCCGCTAAACTTCCTTCTTTAAGCTCAATAAGAGTATTAAGTCTGACTAATTCATGAGAACAGTTTTTAAAATCATTTTCTAATTTTTGAAAATTTCCGCCTTTTCTGAGCTGGATTTCTTTTTCTTCCTTTAATCTTTTTATATCTTCTTCGATAGACGTTACTTCAGATTTCCTAGTTTCAATGCTGGATTCCAAATCTATTACTCGACTATTTCTATTTTCTAAATCTGCTTCAAATTCAATTAATTTATCCTATATCAATTAAAATCAATATCATTATATAATGAGATAAATCAAACATTAGATTTTAAATATTCATATGCAACAACTAATTTCGTAAAACGTTCAACATCTGATTGTATCTGTTGATACTCAAGAAATGCCTTTTTTTCTTGTCTAAGCTTTTCAAGTTTTGGCTCTATTTCTTCCGACAAAAGTGCATTGATCTCTTCAACCTTCCTATCCTTTTTAGTAATCGTACGGATCGCTTTATCCTTCCTTTCTTCAAACATTCGTGTACCCGCGGCTTCTTCAATCATCGAAAGAATTTCCATACTTTTCATATTAAGCACTAATCATAGGAAAAATAAGCTCTCCCTCAAAACAAAATTACACCAAAATTACATACCTTTCGTAATCTTTCCTTGCATAATCAAAAAATTCGGATTATTAATATTAAGTTGAACAGAATGAAAGAGATTTTGAACAGTTTGTTGTTGAGCTCGATGTCCATTAATAAGATATTTACTCATTCCTCCCATAATAATCTACCAAACTCTTAAAATTAAAAATAAACTTGACAAAATAGACCTGGCGTGTCACTGTAATCTGAGAATGATCCTCAAATCTTGAAAAAACATCAAAATCTTCCCCCACAAAAATTCCTCTTTTTTTTTTTACCCAATTGGACTCTTTTCAGAATCCGAATTATCAAATACAACCGTAACACTCGCTTTCGTTATACCTGCTTGTCCACGCTTATATATCAAGTCCTGCAGATTTTGCGCTCGAACCGTACTCATATTCGTAATACCCAAAACAAAACAAATAGCATCCAAAATATTCGATTTCCCACTTCCATTAGGTCCCTAATACCCATCAAAAAACCTTAAACCATTTCCTCTTAAAAAAACCGTAATTGCATTAAAACATGTATCAAATCCTGTAATCACCGTTCGATGTGCATAACTCTATTTCACTCATAAATCTCTCAAACTTTCCCTATTTAAAAAATACCTTAAATCCATCAATAACAATCTCTGATAAATACATCTCACCCCGTTTCCCCCTGTTTTATTGGTTTTTTCTTGAAAAATTCCTTCTCCATTCTTCCTTTTATATATTTTGGAGGTTTATTCGTTGCCATGGCAACAATCCAAGAAACAGAGACCTCAAAAGTGTATAAAAATGTATAAAACTAAAAGAAATTAAGACAAACATACTTAAAAATATGTATCAAAAACAAATACGTGTCTTTTTTCCTATATTTCGACGTTTTAGACAAAACTATATTCTATATAAAATAATACAAAAACCCGGCTACTGCTCTTTAAAACTGCTTCAATATCTTATCTACGTGAACTACTCCGTTCATATTATTACATGTTTTTTATCTGAAAAAACCTATTAAATCCCCAGTGTCACTTTTTTATATAAAAGATGTAGACGAGGACCCACCGGAACGGTCCTCTTTAAATAAAAATTAATAAAAAAAGCAAGAAAATAGTGAGTTTTTGAATGAAATAAAGGTATTTCGCGCTAATATATGAACGCAGATCGATTAGAAAGATTTGTTTTGCTAATTTAGTTTTTTTTTTGGATTTTTTTCGTTAAAAAACAAGATTAAAAATTGATAAAACAACAAGAATTAAGGTTGATTGATAGTTTTAAAGAGATAAGAAAGATGGGACAAGCGTCATCGTTGCAGAGCCGACGACAGGAGAGTATTTTGGAGAGAACAGAAGGGGGTCATGGAACACAAGGGGGACAGCATCATAACACAACAATAACAGAGAGGTTAACGTCGTCAGTGGATAATACGGAGCAGAATGAAGGAGAAGGAGGAACGTCATGTGAGAATACGTCTAGGGCAGGTCGATTTCGACGACATCTTACGGCGTTTTCGCGATTGGGAGGGCTTTCGCCTAATCGTCATCATACGTCATCATCGGTTTCGAGAATTCCGTATTCTATTGGTAATCGACGACGATCTATGTTTGGGTCGTCAATTCCACGAAGAAATACGGTTTTTGAGTTACCACAGACTCATTTTTCAGTATCATCGAATCAGCTTACTACAGCAGAATATTTAGATTTACATACATTGAATCGAGGTGATTATACATTTACACTCAGGGATCTTCCCTTGGTTGATATATCCGGTATAGAGAATCATATTCCAGAAAGACTTGTGACAGAATCATTGGCAAATAATGATCATCAACTTTTTAGGGGAATTATTCGACGATCTCAACGTAATACATTGTCTAGAAATACTAGAAGGGCGCTTGAGATATCAGGGCGTATTAGAACTAATAATGATGCAATTATGCAACATTCATTTAATGGAAATGGCTTAAATGCCATTTCTCTTCGTCCTGGAGAAGATCAGGCAGCTGTGCTTTCTCGTATTTTATCAGTAGCAGCGGCTGCTACTGCTGCATCACTTGTTGGGAACAATGAGCAGGCTATTGCAGAAGCACAAGACATAGCTATGTCTCAGAATCCTACAAATGACAGAGATTCACATGTTGTTGATGGAAGTTTTGAGGGCTTTTTGAGAGCATTGCAGAATGGAAGGCTTGCAGCTGCTTTAAGGAATGGAGGAAGTGAGAACGGAGGTGGAATACCAAATGAAAACGAAGAAAATTCATCTATTCAACCTCTTAACTTTTTCCGTATGTTTCGTTTCGGAAATTCGCAAGGAAACACTCAAGAAGGCGAGGATGATTCACAAAATCCAAGACTTGTGCCTATAATTATTGTTGGAATTAGGTCGGTGCCTCCGCGAGATATTGCAACACCTGATACACAACATACATCTCCTTTTTTCGACACACTTGCAAATTTGTCAGTAAACATGCCTCTTAATTATGAAACATCTTATCAGAGAGATGCGGAGGAGCGTGAAACAAATGAGCAAGGCGTTTTTTCATCAAATCCATCTATTCATCCTGTTTCAATGCCAGAAAGACCTATCTCCAGTTCTATGAATGTCTTAAACGGAAATCTATCTAACCATGAAGGAATAATTAGTAACCTAGAGTCATCAGGGCCATCTTCTGTTTCAGCATCAATTTTCCAAAATTTAGGACCAACAGTCCAAATACCACGACATGATACAAATATTCATGCTTCAATGTCATCAGGAGAGCCTAGTGTACATCATCATCATCATCATCATCATTCTTCTCATATCGGAAGTTCATCTGCGCAAAGACTTCCAAATCTTAATGAACATGTTTCTGAAAATTTAAATTTAAATAATAACAACACTTCTGAATTAAACAACAATAACACCGAAAGGGTTGGCGATAATAGTGCTAGTAGAATTAATAACAATATCGATGGAACCAGTAGAAGTGATAACAATAGATCTGATAGAAGTAGTACTACTAGATCTGGTAGTAGCAATAATGATAATCGTCACAACTCAACTAGATCCTGGATTATATATGTTCTTGGTGGTTCTTATCCAGAAGACCATCCAATTCTTACAACACCTAGCTTGTTTACTGATGTATCTATATCCATATCTATATAACAACTTATTCTAACATATTATAGTCACCAACATATGAAGATATGTTATTATTATCATCTTTAATCGGATTGGCTAAATCACCTGTCGCTACAAAAGATGAAATAGAATCAGCAGGCGGGTTACATGTATTATCCGTTAATTCTCCTTCCGCTGATATATACCTTGAAGAAAGGTGTGTTATATGCTTAAATAATTACGAAATAGGCGAAGAATGTCGTCAGCTTAATAAATGTAAACATTTTTTTCATAAAGCTTGTATTGATGAAGTATATATTTCTTTAATTTTATTATTACATATTTATCATTTATAGTGGTTAATGACTGGTCGTAATACTTGTCCCACATGCAGAGCAGAGGGCGTGAATTCCCGAAAGAACAAATCTCCTACATCTAACATTACATCTGAACAATCCAGCACGAATATACCTATGACTGGCGTCTAATGTGTAGTAGCTGATTTTCTAAATATAAAGATTATATCGGTCGTTTTATACATGCCTATATACATCTATAATATTACCAAAACAAATACTTGGAATTCTTTTTTTTGTTGAGCTAGTATTCATACCTAAAAAATGATGTTTTCATATTACAACACAAACGAAAGCATTCTTACTCATTGATGCATTCAACAATTATTCTATTAATATATTGTATGGGTAATCTTGCAACTATTCAATCATCTCATCTCCTTATCTATTTTTTACTCCATCCTTTTTATATATTTTATATATTTATTGGGCTAATATTATTCATTTCTAACATGACTATCACTTGATTTACAAGCTTAGGATATTTTTATATAAATATTTTTAAGCACTATAATTTATCTTTTCTAAAAAGATTTTTCTTAGATCAAGTATTAAACATGTAATTCTATCTCATAACTCTAATTTTCTTTTTTTTTTCTTTAATCAACCTCTTATCATTCATAATTACCTATTCATTTATTATATAATCGTCACCCTATATTACTATATAATATCAGTAGGAATATATCTTATCTTAACCCTAACCTAACCCTAAGCACTAAATACCTAACCTGTAGTCCTTGGCCCTTAGCGCCTAACCCTAAGTGACCCTAAGTAACACGTATAACCCTAACCCTAACCCTAAGCCCTATTATAAAACACTCATAAAACACTAATCTATATAAACCTTGATCTATAGCAGCAATATAACCCCTAATACAAAACCCTAACCAAACTCCAATGCAAACCCTAGCACGAAACCCTAACATAACCCTAACATAACCCTAACGTAAAATTCCAATATAAAATTCCAATATAAACTTAGAATAAACGTTAACCCTAACCCTACACAGAACCCTACATATCAACCCTTATAACTTAACCCTGACCCATTTCAACCCTACAATCTAACCCTAACCCTGTAATACAACCCTACTCCATACAACCCTACTCCACACAACCCTAACCCTACTCCACTCCAACCTAACCCTGTGCTACTCCCCACCATCGACCATCTTCCCTTATCTTATCTTATCTAATCACCCTTAGGAACACCCAGCTGTTCCCAATATTTTGGGGATAGTAAAGTTGGGAATTTTAAACCTCTAAAACTATAAAAAGCCCAACAACCCTCTTAAAAAATTATTTAAACTTTTAATAAAATAAAAATCTAATGGAATGGAGAACAAAGTTAACAGATATAATATGCACGATGAGCCTTTAACATTTAAGAATTGGTATAAAAAGATTAATTGGATCAATAGTATATTATTAATTGGACCACCAATATTGGGTATATATGGAATGTTTACAACGTCATTAAAAATGAATACATTTATATGGTCATTGATATACTATTTTATGACGGGATTTGGAATTACGGCAGGGTATCATAGGATGTGGTCACATCGATCATATAGTGGTACGCTTTTTCTGCGTATTTTAATGGCATTGTTAGGAGGAGGAGCAGTTGAAGGATCTATTTTATGGTGGGGACGTAATCATCGTGCACATCATAGGTATACAGATACAGATAAGGATCCATATTCAGTTAGTAAAGGGATTTTTTATTCGCATTTTGGATGGATGATTATACGGCAAGATCCTAAAAAAATAGGGTATTCGGATATATCAGATTTAAAAGAGGATCTGGTAGTGATGTGGCAACATAAGAATTATCTTAAAATTATGATATTTATGGGATTTTTGTTTCCGATGTTTGTTGCGGGTTTTGGATGGAAAGATTGGCGTGGTGGGTTTTTTTTTTCGGGGATATGTCGACTTGTTTTTGTTCAGCATGCTACGTTTTGTGTTAATTCATTGGCTCATTGGATTGGTGATCAACCTTTTGATGATAAACATTCACCTAGAGATCATGTACTTACGGCGTTGGCAACATTAGGAGAGGGTTATCATAATTTTCATCATCAATTTCCTATGGACTATAGAAATGCTATATTATGGTATCAATATGATCCAACTAAATGGTTAATTATTTTATTTAAAAAAATGGGATTGGCATATAATCTTAAAGAATTTCCATCGAATGAAGTCCAAAAAGGTATATTACAACAAAAACAAAAGAAACTTGATCGATGGAGGAGTAAACTTGATTGGGGTACTCCTCTCGATCAACTTCCTGTCATAGAATTCGAAGAATTTCAAAAACAAGCAAAAACACAACCACTAATATTAATTGCTGGTATTGTTCATAACGTTGAAAAATTCATTGATTCTCATCCTGGCGGACGTGCATTGATTACATCTGCAATAGGAAAAGATGCGACTGCTATATTTAACGGAGGTGTTTATAATCATAGCAATGGCGCACATAATCTTTTATCAACTATGCGTGTAGCCATTGTACGTGGTGGAATGGAAGTCGAAATATGGAAACAAAAATATAAAAATCTAGATAATATGATTGCAAATACTACACAAGTAACTCGGATTCCTAATTTAACGCAACGCATCTCTTTCGCTCTCGATTAAAAGTGTTTTTATTTCTGTTAACATTGTTCCTATTCTATTACATAAAATTATATTCTACTATTATCTAATTTTATTATCTACATAATACATTCGTTTTGATATTAATCTAAGTCCGTTTTAGATTAATTTTCTATAAGTTTATAACCCCATTTTTGACTTGAAATATAAATAATATATTTTTACAAGAAACATTATTTGCTTAAAGGGCTTTATGTATAAAAGATTCATACAATCATTATCTAAAGTGAAACCTTCTCAAATTAAAAATCAGCCTAGTTCTATAGAAATCAATCCTAAACATGGACTTTGGGATTTTTTTAGAGATTCTGAGGATCAATCATTAAGAAAAGAGGTTCTTTCTACTCCTAAGAATGATGCAAAGCATGGTTTTATCATATCTTTTTTTTTTTAAATAATAAGGCTTATTTGGTATTATTAAAGGCCGGGCATGGATGGCATCAGAACTACGGCTTAAATCCTTTGAGGATCTTCATCGTTTGTGGTATTTATGTCTTAAAGAACGGAATATTATTGCTACACAACGTCATGAACGTCGTCGACTGCGTATTTTTACAGGAATTGAAGAATCAGCCAAAAGAGACAGACAGGTAGGTTTCAGGGCGTCTTTTTATTTAGTATTATGTCTATTTGCTGTATAAAAATAACTTAAATAACATGTTTATTTTTAGGTGCGACTTACAATGGCACGTTTGAAATTTGTTTTAAATGAAAGGATACGTGCATGGAATTCAGCAAAAAAGCTAGCAGAACAGGATGGACGCCCTATAAATTAACTATTTTATATTTTTAAGGCGTTTAAAAATGATATATTTTCAATATATTCTCTATACTTATAGGTTATATAAAATATCAACATTTTTACAAATTTTAAAATTATTTACACTATTTAGAACAAAAAAAGATACACAGACATTATTATTGATTGGTCTATACTTTTTTTTTCAAATTTACATATTACTTATTTCAAAAGATCAATATTTATTCATGTTTATTAACCTATTATATCTCTGATCTTTTGTTTATTAAAACTAACAGAATTGTCTTATTTTGATTCAAAAGAAGTACATTTTTAAAAAAGATTGTCTTGAAATCAAGGGACTTCAAATTTTTTCGGTGTTCGTTATACTTCGGCTTATAGATTTTTAAAATAAAAAAGCTTTATTTAATAAGAAACAAAGGTATTTATCATATATTTAAAGCTATTTCTTTATTAAAATACCTTTTTTTTTAAGAATTATAAATAGATTATTAAGATGAATGAAACATATGATTATATTATACTTGGTAAATATGTATAAATTTACAAAGTATTAGTTAAAAGTCATTTTATTTAAGGAACTGGATTAAAAGAATGTATTCTTTCAGGACTTCTTAGTGTAGAAAACAAAAAAGTACTTCATCTTGACAGAAATAATTATTACGGAGGGTTAAAAAACATAATTGAATAATATTACTAGCTATTAAAAATGATTAGTGAAACAGCAAGTTTATCACTTACTCAGATTTATAAAAAGTTTTATCCGGATCAAAATCCACCTTCATATTTAGGAAATGACCGTGACTGGTCTATCGATTTAATTCCTAAATTTATTATTGCAAATGGGGAGTTAACTCATATGCTTTATGTATGTCATAAGGGCCAAGATTTCCTGTATATTTCTTAATTTTTATAGCATACGGATGTTACACGTTATCTAGAGTTTAAATCAATCAACGGTAGTTTTGTATATAAGGATAAGAAAATAGCCAAGGTACCAGCTACAGATATGGAGGTATTTTATCTTGTTTTTTAAAAGACTTTTGATTCATTATTTAAGGCTATACGTTCGCCTTTAATGAATTTATTTGAAAAGAGAAGGATGAAAAGATTTTTGGAATTTATTTGCAATTATGATGAAAATGATACTAAAACACATCAATGTGATTTTTTTATTTTTTATTTTCATTATATCTTAATATTTATAGCTCTCGATTTTAATCATGATTCTATGGACAAAGTATATTCTAAATTTAGCTTAGAAACGGGTACAAAAGAGTTTATTGGTCATGCAATGGCTTTATATCTTGATGATAGGTAGTTTTTCTGCTTTATTGTCTTTATTTACATTTTTAAAGCTATCTATCTCGACCTGCACAAGAAACATATAAACGAATTATCCTATACATCAATTCTGTGGCACTATATGGAAAATCTCCATATATATATCCTCTTTATGGACAAGGAGATCTTCCTCAGAGTTTTGCAAGGTAGTTTTTTTTTTTTATCTCTTTTATAACATATATCTCAGACTATCTGCTGTTTATGGAGGAACATATATGTTAAACAGAAAAGTTGATGAGATTGTTTATGAGAATGGAGTTGCAATTGGTATAAAATCTGACGGAGAAATAGCCTATGCATCAAAAATTATTGGAGATCCGTCATATTTTCCTGATAAAGTTAAAAAAACTGGGAAAGTTATTCGAGTTATTTGTATACTTAATCATCCTATTCCAAACACAGATAATTCTGATTCTTTACAAATTATTATACCTCAAAGTCAAGTTCGACGAAAACATGGTATGAATTTATTTTTTTATTGTGTTTATTTAAAAATTTAGATATCTATATTGCTATGGTATCATCAGTTCATAACGTTTGCCCAAAGGGTTATTATCTTGCAATAGTTTCGACAATAGTTGAAACAGATAACCCTCATATAGAAGTAGAACCTGGTCTTAATCTGCTTGGACCTATTGCTGAAAAGTTATTTTATCTTTAAATAAGCTTTTTTAACATATATTAGATTCATCTATGTTAGTGATATTTTGGAACCAATTGGTGATAATAAAGATAATATTTTTGTTTCAAAAAGTTATGATGCTACTAGTCATTTTGAAACAGCTACAGAAGATGTTAATAGGATTTATCGTGAGGCTGAAGGGAGAGATTTAATTGTCAAACTAAAGGAAGAGACTTAATTATCAAGTGGCCAATTACCATAGAAGATTAATAAAAATGCAAATAATTATTAATGACTATAATATGTATTTCTTAAATTATTGAACTATTAAAATTTTGATACAATCTATATATCTAATTTAACTATAATTACAATTCTTGGATTATAAGAAATATTTCTATCTTTTTATTATAAATATTAGTGATATATAGAAACTATTTTATAAATGCTAAAACAAAATAATGAATTTTCCAAATAATATACATATTTATATCAATTTTAACAATGATCTCAAAAAATATATATTCTAATCTTAAATTATTCAAAATTAATCCTTTTTCTCCTCATTTCCAGCAGGTTCAGCAGACGGCTGATTCTGTTGTGCCTCTTGTTTCTTTTTATATGCATTTTCAAATAATTTCAAAGAAGCCTGCTGTAATTCTGACATTTTATTTTTCAATTCATCGGAAGATACTGTTTCACCGGATTGTGCTTTAGCAATTAATTCTCTTAATTCAGATATAGAAGAACGTATTTTATCAGCCTCTTCTTTTTCGATTTGTGCTTCAAAATCAGTCAATGCCTTCTGTGTATCATGTACAACAGCATCCGCACTAAATAAAGATATTAAAAAAATAAAGGAATTTATTAATTTTACCGATTAGCAGCTTCAATAGATTCCTTTCGTGATTTATCCACTTCTGCATATTTAGAAGCTTCATCTATCATAGCTTGGATTTCTGCTTCAGATAATCCAGATGAACCGGCAACAACTATAGATTGATCTTTACCAGTTCCTCTATCTTTAGCAGAAACATTAACGATTCCATCTGCATCAATGTCAAATGTTACTTCAATTTGAGGTACACCTTTGGGAGCAGGAGGAAGTCCACTTAATACAAAATTCCCAAGATACTTATTGTCACGAACAAGCTCACGTTCACCCTGATATACTTTAATCTCAACAGCTATAAATAATTAAAAAATAAATTACATAACTTTTATATATTTATACCTGTTTGCCCATCAGCTGCAGTAGAGAACACCTGGGATTTTCTTGTTGGTATTGTCGTATTACGAGTAATCAAACGAGTAAATACACCACCCAAAGTCTCAATACCCAAAGAAAGAGGTGTTACATCAAGAAGAATGATATCTTTAACTTCACCAGAAAGAACACCGCCTTGAATAGCTGCACCCATAGCAACCGCTTGAAAAAATGAATAAAAATAGAATACTAATGTAAGTATTACCTTCATCTGGATTTACAGATTTTGCTGGCTCTCGTCCAAATACATTTCTAACGGTCTCAATCACTTTAGGCATACGAGACATTCCACCAACAAGAATAACTTCATTAATAGATGAAAATGGAATACCTGCATCCTTAATTGCCTTTTTACATGGCTCAATTGTCCTTTTGATAAGAGGTTCAACAAGTTTTTCAAGTTGTGATCTAGTTATCTTAATATTGATATGTTTAGGCCCAGTAGCGTCTGCCGTAATAAAAGGTAAATTAATTTCCGTCGAAACAGTTGATGAAAGCTCGACTTTTGCCTTTTCTGCTGCTTCACGAATACGTTGAATAGCCATACGATCCTTTGACAAATCCATTCCTTGTTCTTTTTTAAATTGATCGACAATATGACGAACCAAAGTAATGTCAAAATCTTCCCCACCAAGATGTGTATCACCATTCGTTGATTTAACTTCAAAAACACCTTGATTTAATTCCAAAATTGAAATATCAAATGTTCCTCCACCAAGATCAAATACTGCAACTACTTTATCCGCTTCTTTATCAAGACCATAGGCAAGTGCTGCTGCTGTAGGCTCATTCACCACTCTCTGAACCGTCAAACCTGCAATCGATCCTGCATCCTATTAAAAAAATATTAACAACTCATTTTCATAATATATTAAATTCTATAATAATTTATACACTACCTTTGTTGCTTGACGTTGAGAATCATTAAAATATGCCGGAACCGTTACTACTGCATTCTTAACCGGTCTTCCAAGATAACTTTCTGCCGTTTCTTTCATTTTATTCAATATAAACCCTCCAATCTGGCTTGGACTATATTTTTCTCCACGTGCCTCAAGCCATGCATCCCCATTTGTGTATTTAATAATTTTATATGGTACCTTTTTCATAAATTTACTTTTTTTCCTTATTTTACCCTTTCTAATACCTGATCAATATCTTTCTTCACCTCAACATCATCATAACGTCTTCCAATAAGCCGTTTTGTTGCAAAAAATGTATTTTCTGGATTAACAATAGCTGAAAATTCTTAAATCTTCTTTTTTTTAATAATTATTAAATACCCTGTCGGCGTGCCGCCACTCCAACTAAACGTTCTCCTTCCTTAGTAAACGCTACAACTGATGGCGTAGTTCTAGACCCTTCTGAGTTCTCAATCACACGGGGTAATCTTCCATCCATTACTGCAACACATGAATTCGTTGTTCCTAAAATCCCATATTAATCCCACTTAAAAATATATTCATTTCCTTCTAGATCTTGCCTAGATCAATCCCAATAACCTATTTTTTTCTTATCAATCTTGTGTCTTATAATAAATATTATTATAACCTGTCCTTGAACTTTTTGAGAGCTTTTTCGCACCAAATAAAGCCCTTTTTTAACATAATTACCAGATATCCTTCTTAAGACAATATCCTTCAGTAACATCCTTATGTTTCTCTTTAAATAAGCCTTAATATTAAGCCTTTTCTTTGTAAAGATTTAAGAAATTTCGACTTAAAAATTTTTAAAAAAAATCTCGACTTAACCCACTTAGAAATAACTGTATATAAGCCTTTTTTTTAAATATATATATATATGTATATAAAGGTAGTTTTGTATATCATATAAATAAAATTGAATGAAAAGAAATTGTTTGTATATAATGAAGAGTTTTTATGCAAGATATAAATAAGTATATTTGATTTTTTTTGAAGATTAGAAAAGTGAATGAAGATTGAATCAGTATGAAGAATGTGTAGTAATGATTTAGAGTTGTATTTTTTTATCAGGAAGAGCAGATAGAATATGTTGACGTAATTGTTGTGCAATAGTATTATCTTTTACCTAAAAAAAATAAGAAAGAAGAGTGATATAGATATAAAATGAGTCTACTTTTATTGCAAATTGTGTAGGCTTTCCGTCTTCAAGAGCAACGATCTTTAAAAACTTATCAAGATTACATTCGTCAGAATCATCAATATTTCCACCTTCAATTAACATTTCTTTGAATAGAGATGCATTTAAAATAACTTTATATACAGCATCGGCCCTCATAACTGATAAAGAATTAATTGAAAGAAAAAAAAAAGGTGTAAAAATAGATACCAAGTCGTGATCTTTTAATTATTCCTTGAGTTTCATCAATATTTACACGTAATGTTCCAATTCCTCGTTCTTTCCAATCTTTTGTAACTGAATCCACAACATAAAGTCTAGCTCTTGTAGAATAAATTGTTTTTTCATGTTCTTCTCCTGTTTTTACTATAAAAATATAAGATATTTGATCATTTTATATTTTTCTTAAAAACACCTTCTTGTTCCAATACAAATGTAGTTACTTTTGTCATGTTATCATCAAAACTATCATGATAACTCAATTGCTGCTCAAGTAATATACCAAATGCTTTATCTGACGCCTTTTTATATGTATCTGTTAATGAATTCGCTATTTCTTCCTCAGAAACGCTTTCTTTTGTATCTTTTTCTGATGAAGATACAAGAGATTCAAAATTAGGTCCTGATATATTTGATCCAAATGCTTTTTTTGCTGATTGGCCTGATGAATTGACAAACATAGGATTATTAGATTTTAAAGAAGAAAAAGGTGAAACAGATGACTCTGAAAACGTTTTAAACGGTTTAAACATTGACTATCATAGTAAGATTATGCTAGAATTCCTTTTTAGCCTACTTGAGACTGATAATCTGGACTTTGATTGATTTCTAGCAATTCTTTTTCTTTGTCGTCTTTTTTAGGCCTTTTTCCTTCAATTTTTTCAACAAAACTACTCTCTTTATCTTCTGAGATACGTTTTTTACATATATTATTCTTTATTTCCTCAATTCCTAGGCTTTTTTCCTCATTTTCTTGGTTTTCTTCCAAAGATTTTGGTTCATTTTTTAGCTCAGTAAAAGATGTTACTTCTTGAACAAACAATTCTTCTGTTTGATCTAAGGAATTATTATCTTCTTCTTTATTCTTCATAAAATTTATTAAGAAATAGAATTCATTGATAAACTTGTTTTTTTTCCAATAAAATAGATATACAAAAAATATATATAGATATTTTTTAAATAAACTATTTAAAATTCATAAATGTATCTAAAATATTCTGTAAAGGTATTTGGAAAAGTCCTTTACCTATAAAGATAAGTTTTGTAGATAGAAAAGTATTTGAAGTGGGTTCAGGAATAAATTCATAAAGCTCACGAACACCTTGTACCAACCATGATGTATTTTTGAGAATAATTCTTCCCTTAAGTCTATATATTTCTACTGGATATTTATCAGAGCCAGTAGATAATATTTCACCTTCCCATAACATAGATTGAATCCAGGATTCGAGCTGAGATTTTTGTTGTTCATTTTCTAATATTCTCAATTGGACTGTTACTGTTGTAACATTCTGTCAAAACATTAATTTTTTAAGTATAAATCTTTGATTGTTTTATACTGGATCATGATATGTGATTTCTTTTGGTTCCATGGATAATGTAGATTTATTATCATATGCATGAAGATTTAGAATAGAAGAAACGTCATCAATTCGAGAATAAGTGGAAAAAATGATTTTAGCTTGTGAATTTATACCTTTTATTCTTTCTATAACAATTTGAAGTTGTTTTTCATTTAATAAGTCTGTTTTATTTATAATTAAAACGTCAGCATGAGAAATTTGTACATGAGCAATAGTTATTTCATGCTCATTAGATACATTTTCAAGATCACGGATAATATTATGAGAATCGATTACAGTAATTACTCCATCAAGATATAATGAAAACTCCAAAGAATCATCTAGCCAAAACATAGAAACAATAGATCCTAAAATCTTATAAAGCTTTGTTTTATCTAGAAAAAAATCAATACCTATATTAGCAAGACCAGTTGTTTCTAATCTGTTTATTATTAGAAAAGCATAAAAACATTTTTTTAGACAATATATAATCAAAACTCCCCCTTCTCTTTATTAACTTCTCAATTGCTACTACAGAATTATTTCTAACAATATTAATTATATTTTTTTTATAGATAATCTTACTTTATCTAGAAATATTAATTTTTCTAGACTTATAAAAAAATAACCTACCATACAACACATACATCCATTATTTAATTCAATCCATTCCTCTGAAATTCGTCCATTATTACTTATTGATAATGATTTTTCAATATCTGATGCTTATCATATATTAACTTTTTTAAGAAAATGTTGCTAATACAATCACCAAATTCTGAATAAATAAATACTCTGTTATATAATATAACCCCAAAACAAATATACCATTTAATATAACAGCAATTTTTTTTGCTTGTTGTTTCTCCAATATATAATTAAGCAATGTAGTCTTTCCTGATCCCAAATACCCTTAAAACAAACACTTTAGATTCCAAATATAAACTGTATTTCTTATTTTCTCAAATGCTTACCCGTTAAAATTGTTAATGGAACTTTTTCTACCATATAAAAAATTGATTTGTTTTACATCCAATTAATAAAATTACTATAAGAATAAACATCCTTATGTATAGTGTTTAAAAGAATATCCTACTGTATTTTTATCTGAAAAAATGGTGCTTATTTGTATAAATCTTTGATAATTGTTGAACTCATAAATTCTTAAAAAAACAAAGAAATATACAAAATGCTAACAGTAATAGAAATAATTAGATGAAAAACTTCTTATTTTATGTATTGGACAGCCTTTTATGGTCTTGATAATATGTACTAGACAGATTCTCGTGATACTGTTTCAATATAACTAAATGTTTAAAGATTAGCATAAATTGTCAGATAATGGATATAATATACTTTCTTTTAAATTTATATCTAATTTTATGGAATGTATGCGTTATATATGCGCGCTTATATGTAAAGGATTAATTAGTTGGTAAGCTCACATCGGATAAAGACAAACGTCAAAAAAACAGCTGCAGACAAACAACCTCAAAAAACGAGTAAATAATATGGTTTAATGCAAATTTCATAGGTTTATTCGTATTCTGTGATTTATTTGGATGAAATTGATATATTTTTTAGTTTTATTTGATTATTTAAAGGTTAATTTTTGAGTGATCTTTCTATAAGAATTTTTCTCCAGAAAAAATATATATATTAAGGGAGAATGTCATCATTTATGCATTCAAAGGCATCTATTAGACCTCTTTCAGAGGATTCAACATGTATTAATGTGATTTCGCCTTTGAATGAACCTATTAAATCGTCAATGGATGAGCCATTAGACATAAAGACATTAGTTGATGCGCCATTTAAAAGACAACGTCTTCGTCCAGGAATGAAGAAAGAGGCATGATTGTTCGTTTATATGGATAGAAATGGCTGAATGGTATTTGATAGGATATTCCTATAATGCCATTGATAGAATCGGATTTTGAGGGTTTATATTCATTAGAAGAGTATTTAGATGGGCTTCTTTCAAACGAAACATTACATCCAATGCCTTTAAAGCGCACGAAGGAAATAGCAGAACCACCTAAAGGTGTTGATCCATGGATTTGGGTGTACGAACTTATAAAACGATTTACAGTCGATTTGAATATGTTAGTAGTGGGTATGCTTGAGGATTCATGTTCTCCGGAAAAATGTCCAGAGATGAGAGCAAATGAATGGCAATATTTGTGTGCATGTCATAGTCCACCTCAAGAATGTGTACCCATTGATTATATTTTACATACACTAGATAATACATCAGCATTATTATGTTCAGATAAATACTTTCCGTCTAAGTAGCAAGTTATTCGGTATGAGGATATAATTAATTGGAATTTTTATAGAACATCGATTCCTCTTTCTTCAACTCGTCATTTTTCCTCGATAATGCGTCGTCTTTATAGGATTTTTAATCATGCATGGTATAAACATTACGAAATATTTTGGAAAGTTGAAGTATATTTTCTTTAATTTAATTTTTTATATGATTCAAAATATTAGAATGAAATTTCTTTATATCGACGATTTATGGCAGTTTCTGAATATTATCATTTTAAATATGAGCATCCCGATATGGTTAATGAAGCATACTCTAAAGAAATAGAAGATGGCTATCAAGATCAAGAAAAAGTCGATCACTATAATTCACAGGCTCATAATGATCATAATTACAAAACTCCAAATAATTCTTACGAATATGATAAAGAAAACAAAGGAAACAAAAACATAACAGCACCTTAATAAATGTTATATCAAATATATAATGTTTTAGATGCTACATGTTTAAACAAGAAACTATAGTAATTAAATTACAACATTTATAGAAATGTACAATAAGTTTGTGACAAAATAAGTACTAAACCAGGTATCTATTTACAATTTGGAAACGATTTCCTTCATTTTTTCATCCGAATAAACTTGAAATCCATGGTCATGTGTTACACTTGCAAGCTGCACATTTTTCGCATCTAATGTTTCTTCCATGACATGTCTCAATACACGAAGAATGAGCATTTCTCCTTCTTCTAATGTCATCGACTAAATGATATTAACACTATATCAACATCTAAAACATATTTACAGAATGATATTCATTTTGAAGTTCGGATTGAGCACCTTCGCTTCCTGCGCCAATCGCTTTAGCATCATACCGATAATATGTTCCGGATGGCTCAGCATGATATCTAAAAAGATCAGCTTATTAAGAAAAATCATCTTTATACAATTGTGGGCCATTTTCATCAATACCAGCTATTAAAAGCGCTACACCAAAAGGTCTTGACATGACTACTTCATCTGCATCTTCTCCAAATTGAAGTGCACGGTCACATATAGATTGCGTAACTGATTCAACTAAAATAGGTTCGTCATAAGTAAATCGATGATTCATTGATTCAACACGTGCATGCTCTACAAGGATTCTGGCATCTGCAGTAAGCCCAGACATAGCACATCCCAAATGACTATCAATTTCCATAATTTTTTCTAATATGGGCTCCATTAAAGGCGATGTCACCCGTTTTTCTACACCTAAAAGTACACCTTCCGATGTAGCAACTCCCATAGCAGTCGCACCTAGCTAATACGGATTCAATAATTCAACAATTAATTCATAAAGGTATTTCTATGTACTTTAATTGCTTCAATAGCATATTCTACTTGATATAATCGTCCTTCTGGTGAATAGGCATGAGAATTACGATCATACTCTATTGAAAATTAATCTTTTTCTACCGGCTTTTCGAGACATCTTTTATAAACTAATTTACCTGATCGTGTAAGAAACATGTTTTGTTGAGTATTTTCAAGTATTAATTAAAATTTAGAAATTTTTAAGTTGCAACTCGCAAGTCTCAAAACCCTTAACCTTAACCATAATTTGGTATTTCAAAGTAAATACCTAGCCCTTGTCACATGGCACAGTTAAGATTTATAATGTCCAATAATTTCGAGGGTTATTTTTTTCTACATTTTTTTGCTATCAAGATTATACACATAACCATTGTTTTCAATGGATGAACGAACATTTATTGCAGGTATTTATTTTTCTTATTTGAAAACATTTTTTAATATAAATAGTAAAACCAGGTTTTTTTAAATTCTTAAATAATATTATTATACTTATTTAATGTCAGATGGTGTTCAAAGAGGTCTTATAGGGTTAATTATTAGTCGTTTTGAGAAGCGAGGATATAAACTTGTTGCTGTTAAGTTTATTAAGGCGTCCCGTGAACTTTTAGAAGAGCATTGTATGTTAATTTGAATTGCTTTTTTTTTAATTTTATTTTTAAACTAATCTTATTCTTTCTTATTAGATTCGGATCTTCGTAAAAAACCTTTCTTTGATAGGTTTTTATTTATCTTTTGATTTCCCTTTCTTAATTTTTTAGTTTGATTACATGTTAGTTGTCATGGCAACAGCTGCCATTAATCTTATTAGATATGTCATCTGGACCTATATGTGCAATGGTTTGGGAGGGAAAACAAGTAGTAAGAATTGGACGAGGTAAATAACGGTTTTAAAAGCTTTATTTTCGAAAATAATTTATGTTTTAAAGCAATACTTGGTGAAACAGATCCTTTGGCATCAGCACCAGGAACTATTCGAGGTATCATAAAAAAATATTATATTATGAAAGAAATGGCTTAGTAAGTAGGTGATTTTGCAATTGATATAGGCCGAAATGTTTGCCATGGTTCAGATAGTGTTTCAAGCGCAAAGCGAGAAATTCAACTTTGGTTTGATGAAAAAGAACTTTTAACTTGGGAAAACCATAATTATTCTTGGGTTTATTTGTTTAAAATATTTTTAAATGAAACTAATTTTGAAAGATTTACGAAAGTTAGGAATTTAGAGTTAACGTTGAGGAGTGAAGTAATTGAAAAAAAAAGGTTTATAATAAAAAATAAAAGAAAAAAAAATCAAATCAAATTAAAATTATTGAAAAAAAGATTTTAAAAATATAATTGTTGAAATAGAAAATAAATAAATAACTTGAACATAAAAATGGAAGAGCCCTCTATTGAAACATGTGTGATGGCTCTTATTTCTCAGATTTCTCTAGAAGAGCCATCTGAAACATCTTCAGAAGCCGATAAGGCGGCTTTTATTTCACTTTACTATATATTCAAAGATACATTTTTATTTGCATTGGATTTACTTGATCAACGGCGTATTGTTCTTTATACATGGGATCAAGAGTCAACTGATTCATCTACCACATCTCCTTGTCACATTTTTTATATTTATTCAGAAGCAAATGAACCTCATGAAACACCATGTAAACGATATGAAGTTAGAACATCAGTTTGGTATTGCTCATGTCCGGAGTTTTCATTTTCAGCATTTAATAAAGACTATGATTTAGCATGGAAGAAAGCAGTTAATTCAAATAAGTACTGGGGAGGCTCAATACAAGGGAAACCCGTACCTATTTGTAAACATTTATTGGCATGTGCATTAGTTGAACAAGGAAAAACATGGGCTCGTGAACGAATTACAGAGAAAAAAATTAGTAAAGAAGAACTCGTTTTTTATGCAACCCAATAATGATTTCTAAATGCAATAAGGAAAATGTAGAAATTAATGAGATGTAGTTTCAGTTGTGTTCATCGATTTTAGGGAATTATGATATGGAGCTTGATTCCAGGAAAGATATCTGTGATCACCAAGTTTTCTATTTCATTTAGCACATATTTGTATAATTAAAAGTTTCAAACCTTGGTTTGAATAAATAACAACATGTAAAAAATGTCCCGACAATAAAACTTAATGCACCTGAAATAATATATAAAATACTAAAAAACAAATTCCTTCCCCCAATAAATGATCGTGTTGAAATAATAATTGTTTTGCTACCATTATATTTGGTTACAGGGAAATCTAACTTTTTTTAGCCAAAAACTTATAATTATTATTTATTAATACGCATAGCAATTTCTATTTCGTATGCTCCTGCTTTCATTATACTTGAATCGTTTCGTAATGCTAATTTTTCAAATGTAGGAAGTCCTGCTGTTTTCATCCATACATGAAATTCCTCCCATTCATTAATATTAGGAAAATTTGTTTCATTATAACCATTCGGATATCTCAATATCCAATTAGGCGGAGGTGAAACATCTGAAGGACGATATGATGTTTTTATATATATTTTTTTATCTGAAGACCAAGAAATACCTTTATTTGTCATAAAATAGGGCGCTAAAGCCATACCTGATAAAGAACTCAGTTTTTTCGGTGAACTAATGGTATCTTCATCGTTTTAATCATTTATATTTATAAATTATAGAATTTAATATCTACCATTAAACATAGAATTCGCAATTAAACCACATGGATAAATTGGTTTCCCATCATCACTAATAGAAAGAGGATTACAATCGTCTGAACTTCTAAGTTCTGCTGCTGTCTTTGCATATCCCATCATTTGATCTTTACTAAGACTTTTAACATAACGCCGGTGATTTTGATAAAAATTTGTTAAACGATAATATACAAAAATTGGCGGTTTTAAATCTACCGGTATTTCAAACCGAATCAAACATATCGTTTCCTTAATTGAATACGCTGATCTCTCATTATTTTTTTTTTTCCATATAGCTCGGTTCATAGATTGAACATTTGATGGAAATGACATTTGCACATATTTCTCTGGAATTGCCCTAAATTCTCCCAGAGACGCTTGTTTATCACAGTACGTATAATTTATAGCTATTTCATAGACCTTTCTCCCTTATAAACTCCTCTTTTTTAAAAAAACCCTTCTACCTGAGACGAAAAATAAAACAAAATCCCTCCAAGAGGTATAAATATTAGTCCAAGAGCAAAGAATATAGGAAATACGTATTTCGGCGTTAAGATAGGGTGCCATGCCTTTAATCTTTGCTGATAAAAGTCAGTATTTGGAGGTTTTCTCATAATTTTGGTTTTTTGTAGGTTTCGAAAGTCAGTAAATGAGTATTTATAAGGCCAGAAAGGGCCATGTAAAAAGATGTATAAAACTCCCATATGAAAAGAATGTATATGTTATTTTTATGTAAAATGTTGAATAGAATAAGAAAAATAATGAATTGCTAGAAAGTCGTTTTTTTTGAAAAAAAAAGAGTAAATATTTGAGATTAAGAGTAGAAAAGAGATGTATATGATTGTAGATATGTCGTTATTTAGAATTGAGTTGTTTTATAGCGATTTTTTTTATGAAAAAGAGACCTGTTTAAAAATAGAATCAGTTTCAATAATATACTTCTTTATTTCAAGATTTTGCCAATAAGTTGGATCATCTACTAAGTATTTTATGAAGCTTAAGTGAGAGACGATTAGTATTTTGTTTTCTTTTCGATTTGAAACCCAATTTCTTAGCCAAATGGCTCTTTTTTCAAGCATACTTGGTTCATAAGCAAAAAAACCTGTTTTTATGAACTGTTCTTGACTGCAAAAGCTCCAATCTAATGAAGGAAACCATGATTTAAGATTTTCAAGTGAAGAACATGTATCACAATTTCTATCAGAAGTTTCTTGAAGTTCAGGTAAAATAATTAAAGGTATAGAAGGATAATTTATATGTTTTTGATCTTTTAAGTCCAAAAATCCATCAAATCCAATCATAACAGTTTCTAATGCCCTACGCATTGGCGATGAAATGATTAATTCAACATTTTTAAGCTGTTCATAGTATAATAATAAAAGTCTTGCTTGATCTTTGCCAAATTCTAGTGAATTTTCTTAAAAAAAAGAACAATTTCAAATTGATAATAAGAAACCTGTTAATACTGGGTCTTTTAAGTTATAATCCTTGTTTACATTGTGTTCTGCCTGTGCATGGCGCATAATATATATCTCTTTATGAAAAGCCATTTACTTAAAAACAAGTAGAATATCTAAATATGAAAGATTGTGTATTATTTTATTAAGATTTATGTTTAATTTGATGACTATTTGTATCCTTAAATAAAGCAGTTTAATATTTAAGATCGACCAAGATTTTGAGAATATAAAAAAATATATAAATTGAGTTGTTTTAATAGAAAATATGTGTTTATATTGTAAGAGTGATTTGAGGAATATAATATATAGTAATTAAACTTTTTTTTTCCATCTTCCTCCTCTTTCTGCTTCAAGTTGTCTTTCTTTAAGTCTTTCGTTATTCTGTGCTTGTGCTTGTTTTCTGTAAATCTGTTCTTGTTGTGTATTTGGAAAATCAGATTCCCAAAACCCAGGTGGTGTTTTGGGTCTAAAAAAAGCAGCTCTATGTCGAGATACTTCTTGAAGATTTTTATAAATATGATCTTTATTTGAATCTGTATATACTTCCTTTTTCGAAGGTGATCTCCATTGGGGCTTAAAAATAGTAGCAATTGGGCCATGTGCTTCAAAAAACTAAATTGTATATTAATTTAATAATAATATCAAAAAAAATAATTACCTTAATGCAATTGTCACATGCACATGCAGGAAGATGTTTTCTAGATGCTTTATCTCTAACTACTTCACCATATGCATAAGGAATATTATCATTTTTATTCAAGTCGATAACATAATCATTTAAAGATTCTTCTGTATTTTTAGATTTTCTTTTAAAATAAATTAGTTTGTTTCATTGAAGTTTGTATATAAATACTTTGCATATCTTCCTAGCTTTTTGTTATCGAAATTAGATGCAAATTCATTTTTCTTATCTAGTTTATTGTTTTCATCATGCTGAAGAGAAATTCTACGTTTTAAATTTGTGTTTTCATCTGAATTACTTTTTTTTGTAGTAAGAGTGTTTTCTATGATCTCTTTTTCTGAAGAAGAATCTATAATTAGTATATCTTTCTTTTTTTTCAATAATATTGATCCTAAATCAGTATTCTAAATTACTTTAACTTTGTAAAATATAATCAGAATATAATAATACACTAGTATATTCCTTGTTTGTCTTCAAAGTATCCATTGTTTCATTAGCTAATGATTGAACGTTACTAAATGTTGAAAAAGTGTGAGATGTATCAAGATCAATAGAAATTTTTGATATATTCTCCTTATTCATATCTTCAATTTAATTAATACTCAATATTAGTAAGATATCAATGAATTGACCTTTTTGTTTATTGAACAATTCAGTTTTTAGATATATAGATCTAGAATCTGGTTTAGGTGTTGGTAAGAATTTAGATATATTTAGTACTGTATTTTTTTCAACCTGTTCAGATTTAGGTGTCATTGTTTGAAGATTCTTTGAGATATCCTTAGTATTATTAGAATTAAAATTGATTTTATAAATCAATAAAACTATCTTACATGAAAACCTTCAATATTCTCTTTAGAAAAGGATTTTAAAGAATTATTTTCATTTTTCTTGATATCATCTAAATTATAATTATGAATTTCTGGGTTATTATTTGATGTAACAGATTTAAATAAATTAGATTTTTCTAAATTTCTTATGAATATCTAAATTTTCAATTATTTAAATACCTTCTTCATTTACTTTCGAATCGTTAAACAACTCTTTTATATTAGAATCACAAATGAATGATTTTATAGTTTCACTTTCATCTTCTGTTGTAGAATCATTATATAAGCATTCACCTATATGACATGCATCTTTTTGATTATCAAAAATATATTTATCAAGACATTCTGATAAAATTGATGATGATGGACTCATATTAGGTTTTGATGAACCACTCAATACTAAAGATTCTAAAGTCTGGGAATTGGTTTTTGGCTTATTTGAATCTACTTTATTCATCAATAAAGATTGCAAATTCGAATCGCTATTTTCTCCTGAACTCTTCTTTCCATTTAAACTGTTTATACCCTTAGATAATTCATGATCTTTACATTTTTTATCTATTTCATAATAATTTATATATTCTTTCCATTTTTTCTTGTCTTTTCTATATTTTTTTGATAAATAAAGCAGAGATTCCTTCATTTTCTCATATCTATCAAGAAAAAACAGTAATATATCATATTCTAAACTTTTTTTGCAAATTGATTTAATATAATTACTATCATTATTAATTATAAAAAGATTATTTAAAAATATACTTATAATCTAATAATAATTCTATATAAAGATTATCTTTAATATTAACATATTTAAATGAATTACCATGATGTTTTTCTTTTTCTAATTGGTCTTTATATTCATGAATTACTTGGATTTCTTTATTTCTCTTTAATTTGAAAATAAGCTTATTTTTTAAGGAAAAAATACGGAAAAAAAACCTCCTTAATAAGAGATCTTATTATATTATTCTGATAATCTATTGTTTCCTCATATTTCCTGCAATATTCTGAAAATTTTTCAAGTTTTTTCTTTTGTAAATTTTTGTCTTTAAATAATCAGTTTTTTATCAAAAAAAATGCTTCTTTTTACATTCAAATGTTATATTTAATAAATTTCTATTAAAATCATCTATTTCTCTTGAAAATTCTCTTATAATATCCTTTTCTTCCATAATAGCTTCTCATCTTAGATCTGAGGTGTCTATCGTGAAGATTAATAAATATATATACTTATCAGAAGTAATAAACTGATAAGTTTCTAAAGATTGTTATTGTATCCGTTGAAACAGTTACAATTATTAAGAAATCCTGTATTAGAGATGAATTTTTTGATAATATTTGTATTAAATTGTTAAATATATTAATATATTGTTTTATATCTTTTTTTCTCATTTATGAACAAGATTTATGTATGAGAAATGAGTAGAATGTTATCAATTCTATGTAAGAAGCAATATATATATGAGTAGAATTGATATTATAAAAGAATGTAAATGTTTTTCTAGATAAACAAGGAATTATGGAGAATTTCTCTGATTATATAGAAAAAATAAGAGTCAATTCAATAATCTAAGTCAATTCATTAAATTATTATCTAAAATATATGAATAGATGTGATTTTCTAGGTAGAAAATTATTTTTAAGTTGTATAGTTCTTTAACGTTAATATAATTTTAATTTATAAGATAAAAGATAGAAATAATCTTCTTTAAGTCCTTAAAAACAAGTATTTTAATATATGGATATCTTATAAATGTTGAAGATAGAATTTACAGTGCTAAAAATATTTACATTATATCGAATGCTTTTTAAAGTCAAAACATTGATTATAGAAAGTGTTAATGCAAATATATCTATGGAAGAAAAATTTGACAAATTATAAACAATATAACCTATATGTTAAGAAAACAAGATTCGTATAATATTTCAAGTAAAAATCTTATAAACCATATAACTAATAGAGTGGTTGTTTTAAATAAATATGACTTAAATTTCTGTATTTTAAGATATATTTACTTTTTTTTTTGTTTATCCTTATAACACTCTATATCCTCCTCAGATATCTTTAAAAATAAGACAAATTAATAAAAAAAAAAAATCCTACCTCTGGATATGTTTCAAGAATATAAGCGTATATTTCATCAATATAATCACCTTGAATAACAAGTTCATCTACATCACAACCATTTTTTGTTACACTGCTTCCTGTAGCAAATTTTTTACCAAGCAATTTTGCTGCTTTCTTAACATCAATTCCATATAACTCTAATCCTTGAACAGAAATGACATATTTCTTTCTATTTCTTTCAAGTCTTCTAAGAAGTACTTTCGAAACCGTATTTTTTTTCGTTTTCTTTAAACCTTTTATCTTTTCCTTTGTTTGAATTTTATCATTTTCATCAATTTTCTCTTTCTCTTCAGATATTGTATTTTGTTTTTCTATAATCAGAGAATCTTGTATTTTTTTATTAAAAATTTATAAAAATCTTAATATAAAAAACCTCCAGAATAAAGTCGAATATAAAGTTCCGTATGATTTTTCTTGAGCCATTCCATACATTTATCAGTAAAGTTTCCATATTCACAGTACTAAAACATTATTTTATCAGATTTTTTTTATAAAATAGATTAAAAATAACCTCGGGAGGAAAAGAACATACTAATTTATTTAATACTATTAAATTAATTTAAATAATATCTTACCTCCACAATATATAACATCCTTTGCCTTTTTAACCACCTCAGAAAGAGCATCTGATTCCTGAGATTCTATTTCCTGTATCATTTTTTTAACGCTACCGGAAAGTAGAAAATCCTTTATTTTAAAAAATAAATATGATAAATATATATTAAAGTTGAAATAAATTTAACGATCGATTCTCCAGTATATAAAAAGTATTTCTTTTGGAAATTAAATTCTTTAATTTAATTATCCACGATAGCAGTGTTAGATTCCAAAATATCATGAAAAAAAGCCGAAACTTTATTGAAAGAATTTTCTAATATTTCGTTTATTTCATTACTGTCTTTTTTTTTGTTAATAAAGAATTATGAAAAAATTAATAAAACCTGATCTAATAATTCTTCCGAATTTTCCTTTTATACGTTTAGGAAAATTCCATATAGGATGTTGATTACTCGTTAATACAAGGGAATGCTGTATAATCTTAGCTTTCTTATAAATATAAATTAAAAATATAATACTTTAAAATACCAATCGGCAATTTCTTCGTTTGAAGAAATTGCTTTTAAAGAATTATCACCATAAAATTGTACAATAGCATCAACACGATCATAAATATCTATACAGAAAGAACAATGAGAAAATTGAAAGAAGAATAAATAGAAAAATTACTTCGATATTCCATTAAATGAATGAATCCTTGACAACCTTGTCCTACACCGATAAAAATAATATTTTTAGCATCAGCCATTCTAAAAAATTATATTAATTTGACTTTAAAATATGCTTTTTACTCTAAATGATTATCCCATATATAAATACAAAGTTCCTGAGCAGCCGACACTACGTTATAAGATTCATTCTAAAAATATAAAAATCAAAAACATTATAATCAATTTCTCCTTACGTTTATCGTATCTAAACAAGAGACGATATTAACATCCATAAGACCATATTTATTTTCAATAGCCCATTCAATATATAAATTAAGAGAATCGATCTAAAAGAATAAGAAAGATTTAAATTTAAAAATATTATACCAAAAATGAATTGCTTAAGTTTATTTTGTTTACAGAGGCATAAGAATAACCAATGACATCAGGGCTATCAATTAATAAATAATTTTATCCATATAAATGAATAACATACGAATCATGAACAATAACAACGAGCGTTTCTACTTTATAAAAATCTCTCCTAGATATTTATTAGAATGGAAATAAAAATAGCTATATATGAACATACGTGCAAATTATTTGGTTTTCAAAAGATGAAATAGATTCGTTAATTATTGGTAATACTATCATCTTCCATTTTTCAAATAATTTTTTCGTTTGATAACTTCTAATAATATCTTTTTTTAATCAGCGCTACCCTTCTTTAAAACGGTATATCCTACTATCTAATCTCTCAACACATAGTGATCCCATGTCTAAAAATTAATTTCAAAGATTAAAAATTAACGAACTTACTCAATTCCAAAGACCTTGGTCTCATACAATTCCAATATTTTGAATGTTCTAACATGACTTTCTGTATTATTTCAATACATGCATCGCTAACTTTAGTTATTTTTAATTCGGGAGGAGGCTCTCCTATTAAAGTTTTTGTTACAGCTAAAGCAGAACTTGATATTGAATCAAGATTATAGCCACCCTTAAATATATTAGAAGGAGAATTATAGCAACATATATATTAAATAACCTCTAACACAGTTACTAACTTTCCTTGCGCCAATCCCATAAGCATATGAGTCATATGAGCATATCCAACAGGAGTAACAAGACATTCACCAATTTCATCGCCTATAGCTGCATCAAACCCCGAAGAAACTAAAATATTTATATGATTTTTCAATATATATCTAATATATACTTATCACCATATTAGGATTATATTCATATGCTACAGGTAAAACGACTTTTTGGAAAGCGTATATATAGTCATCGTCTCCCATTCCTTTACATGGCCATGGAATATTGATAGTCCTATTTTATTATACTCAAAATAAAAAATAAAAATTTAACAAACTTTCCACGTCCTTTTCCAACACCTACTTTATCATAGTTTCCATATTTGGATCCAGGGTAAAATTTGCCATCTTCGTATCTATGCAAAGAGATATAAAGAACAGAACTATCATCATAAAAAATTCTTTGAGTTCCATTTCCTTTTTAAAATTTAGGATAAAAAAAAAATACGTTGAAATTACCATGATGAACATCCCTATCAAAGTTATTAATAACTAAACTATTCAAAAATATTTTAAAAACCAATCCAAAATTAAAATACGCTGAATATTGGAAAATTTTTGAAGAATACATTTAGCAGCAATTGCTACATTACTAAACAAGCAAAATCCCATAGGACAATCCGATTCTGCATGATGACCTGGCGGTCGAACTAATGCAATTGCATTTCGAACCCTTTCCTCTGCAACTGCAATACATGTTTCAATAGTTCCTCCTGCTGAAAGTCTTGCACAAAATGCAGATTCATTATTAAAATATACTGAGTTATATATACTTTCGAAATATAAAAGCTCACTAACCGACATATCTTGCATACTTCAAGATCATAATTATATTCCATAATCTAACTTTACCTGCTGTTTGTAACAACCTATCCCAATGATTCTCTGTATGCACCAAAAGCGCTTCTTCTCGCGTTAATTCTCTAGCAGAAATCCTCTCCATAACTTCTTGTTCATCCATATTCGACCATGACCATCCATCATAATTAATAAGTCCTGCATCTGCTATTTCTTTATAAATTCGATAAATTCTTCGAGGATCCTCAGGATGAAAATCAACCGGATTAATCGTCGCATGAAATCTCATACGAACATCATAACATAATCCCGTTTTCATGTTAAACTTGTATTTTCTTTTCAATGATTTAGCTTCACTAGCTGATCCTGTATCATTAGAAACCCCTTCTCCTCCTTTTTTTCCAAATTTTTCATCAAAACCCTCTTGTTCCTTCATCTTGAGCTCTTTATCTTCATTTATAATATAACTATTATTTGTATTTTGTGTCTCATTTTTATCTTTCAAAGAACTATCATTTTTAACCGTAGAAACTTCGTTCAAATTAGAAATTCCTGCAATTGACATCTTCCCCTGATTCATTAAGTCTTATTTTACGCTTTTTTGCGCTATTCTCATCCTTTAATACTCAACAATTGTCTTTTCTTTTCTCAATCTTTTTTTTGTCAGATATTTATCAAATTTTAAGATTTTAAAATCGGAAAAAAATAACATAAAATATAGACTATCTAAAATCATGTTATTTCTTTATTATATTGTGAATTCTTACCTTTTTATAGGCTAATTTATGTTATTTATTTTATCCTCCGTATCGCTTTTTAAGAATTGTCCTTTCTTTCCTCGTTATTTTAAAGAGGGTTGTACGGAGACGCAAACCGGGACACCCGTGTAAGGGACACGCAAGTAAGGGGCACACAGGTAAGGGGCACGCCTGTAAGGGACACACATCTATTGGACACCCATCTATTGGAGAGATATTCATTGGAGACCTATTTATGGACACCCCTTTTAGGACACCCCTTTTAGGACACCCACTTATACAACACCCATTCATAGTAAATCTTATTGGGATGTATTCTTAGAGACATATACGATGGGACACATTATTTTGGGACACGCCGTCTTGGGACACGCGTACCATAGGACACCCCTATTAATAGGAGACGCATACTATACGAGACATAGTAAAGATATTTTAGGACACATAGTATAGGACACACCTTACGGACACCTATTTTGGACACATTAAAAACACGCATACTAAGAACACATCTTACGGACACGCCTTACGGACACTCCGTATGGACACCTCTTACGAACACCTCTTTTAGTAGACTTGTATGACGGGACACTCCATTTTAGAACACCTGGGTGTTCGTAATATCAATATCTTCAAGGACAGATGGACGACGACTTTTCGATTATCTTTATAAACAATAAAGTGTTTTTTGGAGGTAAAAACAAGAGAAATCATGCCTTTTCTTTCAAGAAATGGAATTTTCCGTGCAAATTTATATATAAAAGTGAAAGAAACGAGAAATTATACAGAATTTAAGCATAAACTTTCTAAACCAACATTGTTAGGTAAAAGCTAAAAATGAGTATTTACAAGTATTAGAATAAAGAATAGACCTTGAAAAACGATGGGAAAACATGTCTTCAGATGAAAAAACAGATATACAACGTCAATTAAATGAACGACAACGTGGTCCTTGGCATGACTTGACAAAAGAAGAAAAAAAGGCAGGTATGTCTGTTTTTCAAAGATATAAAACAAATGAGTATACGATGCAATTCCACGTATTTATCTCATTATTTTCATGTATTTTTTGGACTTTAAATCTTAGAATGTTTTTTAGCATATTTTATTGCCTTTGGACCATATGGACCACGATCAACCATTCATCCTCCAGGGTTTTTTAAAAAGGTTGTTTTAGGAACATTAGGCATTCTAACTATATCAACAATTCTATTCTTTACTGTTCGCTCATTTGGTGTGTATTTTCTTCATCTATATTTATCTACTTATTTTAGCCGCACCACCTCCTCATACTATGACAAAAGAATGGCAAGAAGCTTCCAATGAGCTCCTTAAAACACAAAATATAGAGCCAATCACTGGTATTAGTAGTCAAGGATATAAAGGAAAAGGAATGGTTCAATCTAAATAAATAACATATTCATCGAATAAATCCTGATCTTATAATATATTTAGCATATGATTTTTTAAGAATTCTTAGGAAAAAAAGTGTTTTATGTTTTTCTTGAATAGAAAGGGAATGGGTTACAAGTTTATGTATATTTTTGCCCATTTCTTTACTGGTTGTATTTCGATATTTTTATAGATCTTTAAAAAAATAAAATTGGTTATTTCTTTGTAGTTTAAAAGACGTGGTTCGTTTATATTGCCTTTTATTTATTAAAAGAATTGGAGTGTTTATTAGACTTGGGGTTTTAATGGTTAAATCATCATTGGTTAACAAGTCAACACTTGGGTAAATAAATTAATATGTTTTGTAAATATTTGACAAAAAAAAGAGCTTTTTTTAATAGAAATATTAAGAAAATTGAAAATAAGGAGGATTCTAAAGGTTATAATATGTTTTTTTTTGTTTTATATTGTATATTTATGGGTTAAAAGAGGAGAATGTTTCATTACTTAAAAAAAGAAAAATATTTGAGGATTTATCAGGAAATAAGGAAAACAAAGCTAATTCTGAATTGAATTTACCAAGTACTAATGAATCTGGTTCTATAATATGTGTTTTGAAGGACGAAAATGTAGAAAAATCTGAATCTAATAAGTTTTTACAAGAAAATGAGAGAAATAGTTCACAAAAAGAACCTATTTTATATTCATTTCTTTGTGAGACCTTTGAAAAAATAGAGGGTACAACTAAAAGATTGGATATTCTTTCTTATACTACGGATTTTTTATTTTCAGTATTAAAAAAATCACCAGAAAGCTTATTACAGTGTCTATATTTAATGATAAACAAAGTAGTATGATTTATTTATTAAAGAGGTGTTAAAATTCTTAGGTATCATCAGACTATGAAGGATTGGAGTTAGGAATTGGAGAATCCTTATTAATTAAAGCAATTGGAGAATCTATGGGTCGAAATATAACAAAAATAAAAGAAGATTATAAAGAATATGGTGATCTTGGTCTTATTGCAATGGTTAATTTTATTTTAAATGATAATAATATTGATAGAAATAGAATTCACGGAATAATCAACCTACAATGTTTAAATTTGCAGTTCTTACAGTGTCTAATGTGTTTAAATCATTAAAAGAAATAGCTACAACATCAGGAAAAGATGTATTATATTTTATTTTCAATTGAATAGTTTTTAATTATCTTAGTCACAAGTAAAAAAGTTAGGAATTATAAAGAAGCTTTTGTCATCTGCAAATGGGAATGAAACAAAATTTATTATACGTTCATTAGAAGGAAAATTAAGAATAAGACTAGCAGAAAAAACTGTTTTAATATCTTTGGCACATGCAGCAGCAAAAATGGAAGCAGAAAAGGATAATTCAATTGTTACACCTTCATATCTTATCAATGCAGAGAATGTTATTAAACAAGTTTTTAGGTAAATAATAATATTTTTATGTGTTTATTTTTAAAAATTGTTAGTCAGGTTCCTTCTTATGATATAATTGTTCCTACACTTCTTACTCATGGTATTAAAAATCTTTCTAAACATTGTAAATTGACTTCAGGTATCTTTAAATTATGTAAAATAAATTATTAATCTTTCTAAGGAATTCCTTTAAAACCTATGTTAGCAAAACCTACAAAGACAATTTCTGAAGTTCTTGATAGATTTGAAAATCATAATTTTACATCTGAATATAAGTATGATGGAGAACGAACACAAATTCACCTTACAGATAATGGTGAAATTAAAGTATTTTCAAGAAATTCAGAAAATATTTCTGATAAATATCCTGATATCATTGAAATTGTACCAAAAGTATATTGATATCATTATTTAATCTTCTCTTAATTCATAATTTTAGGTTATTAAAGATGGAATAACAAGTTTTGTATTAGATTGTGAATCAGTTGCATGGGATAGAACAAAAAAAATGATTCAACCTTTCCAAATCTTAAGTACAAGGAAAAAAAAAGAAGTTAATGTCGAATCAATTAAGGTTAATATTTGTATATTTGCATTTGATATATTATATTTAAATGGAGAGGTAATTGTTAATATTTTGTTAATTCTGATACTGAAAATCTTAGCCTCTTATATTTAAACCACTTAATGAAAGAAGAGATATATTATTTCAATCTTTTAAACCTTTAGAAGGGATTTTTTCTTTTGTTCAATTTAATGATACAAAATCTCTAGAAGATATTCAAATGTTTCTGGAAAAAAGTATTCAAGATAGTTGTGAAGGTTTAATGATTAAGATTCTTGATGGTGATGAATCAGCATATGAACCCTCTAAAAGAAGTAGGAATTGGTTAAAAGTCATATTTTACTATTTCATTTATATATTTTAATAAACAAATAGATTAAAAAAGATTATATGTCAAATATTGGTGATTCTTTGGATTTAGTTGTTTTAGGTGGATTCTATGGTAAAGGAAGACGTAAAAATACATATGGTGCTTATTTACTCGGGTGCTATGATCCTGATAAAGGTGTTTATGAAACAATTTGTAAACTTGGTACTGGATTTTCTGATGAAATCTTGGAATCATATGCTACTTTTTTTAATAATCATATCTTAGAACATAAAAAATCATATTATCATCATAGCACAAAAGGTGAACAACCTGATGTATGGTTTCAACCAGTAGCTGTTTGGGAAGTTTTAGCTGCTGATTTAAGTATCAGTCCAAAATATTTGGCTGCTGTTGGAATGGTATAAATCTTTATACCCTTTTACTATTTATTTAATAAAATTAGGTCGATCCTAATAAAGGAATATCTTTAAGATTCCCTAGATACATTAGATCTAGAGATGATAAAACACCTGAACTTGCTACTACTTCTCAACAAGTCGCTCAAATGTATCAAACTCAAATTTCAAAACTTAGCACATTTAATCATGAAATTGATGATGACTATGATTATTAATATTTTCTCATTCTATATTTACTCATTTCATACAATTATTTCTTTCTATTAAAAAATTATGATAAAGTATTCAAATTATTTCTTTTTTTTACTTTCTAATTTTAATTATATTTAGATATATAACTATCTTCTACTCTTCTAATCTACTCTAACACATTTTATCTATCTTAATTCTTTAAACTAACATTCTTATTCTAGACTATATAACCTTATATTCAACTTTATATTCAACTTGATTCAACTTTTACACTTCAATACTCATTTTACATCTCAATTTACACTCAGACTATTACAAACACTTCTTCTTCTCTTTATTCTTCTTTTTTCAAAAATATATTAATCATATTATTTAAAACTCAAATCTCTCTATTTAATTACGAAAAAAAATACAAATAATATTCTTCATATACATCTTATTTATATCTATATATTGGGCAATTTAAACACTCTATTTATTTATTATAAAGCTCATGAATCTTCTATTTTTTACGGTCTTTTCGGTGTGAAAAAACTTAACCTTGAAAATTATAAGTTAAGATAAAAATTTAAATTATCTGGTATTAATAATTAGATATAAGAATAAGTATAATAATAGGATGAATTATAATATTTTTAATATATATAGGATCTGGTTTTTTTTTTGAAGTATATATTTCTAAAAAAAACCAAGAAAAAAGAGAATATATATGAATTTTGGAAGTTTTAAAGAAGTTTGCCGTTCAAGCACTCTTCCAGGTATTATAATGAATTTACAGATATATTCTGGAGGTTTTTATTTATGGGGATTAGTTTGTAATCTTTTTTATGAAAAAATTAAGCCATATTGTGTTTTATATGGGGTGAAAAGTACAGCAACAAGTTATGTAAGAAATCCGGGTATGAATGATATAAATATGGTTATATGAATATTTAAAAATGAAGGGGATATATCATTTTCTATTTTAGCAGCGTTAGTTGCATTATGGCTTGTTATTCGCTCACAAACGAAGTTTGCAGCAGTTGGTAAAATTAGAGGGCAAAATATTAATAAATAGGGATTAATATATATAATATAGGCCGAAGAGAGATGCAAATATTAATATTAATATATTTTTTTATTAGCATTTTTCAAATTTTTACAATAGGAGGATTTATTACAAATATTAAATTACTAGCAGTAATTAAGTATTTATAAGAAGTTAAGGTATTGATTGGATTGTGTAGTATTTTACAGCGGTGCATATTGGTCTTATAGCTGCTTTTTTTTGGGTCCTTTTAGTGAATGCAATTGTTGGTTATCAATTGTTTGAGGATGGAACTGTTTTTTCTGTTTTGGTAGGAGTTTTGAATATTATGGATTTTTTTTTTTCTTATGGTTCTTGTATTTAATAGATTACACTTATTCCTTCTCTGTTGTTATTTTTAAGTTCTGGATATATTGTTTTAGATTCAATATTTTTTTGGACCAAATCGTTCGTAAGCAGCTCTCTTATGTTTCAAAATTATGGAATATATATTCTTTATTTTTTATGGTCTCTTCTTTGTATAATTGGATATTTTATATTGGAATTTATTCTGGTTTTTAAAATATTGCAAGAATGGAAACCATTATGTTAGTATTGTTAAATTTTTGCTCATTATTTATTTATTTAATGTTTAGTATTATTGTCTGGATCTTTAATCTTATTCATAATTGGTCAATTATTTAATTTTCTCATAAGCAAACATATTTGTCAAGGTACTCAAGGGAAAATAGATGGTTCATTTATTGGAACGTTATTTGTTCTTTTAAGTGTAATTCTTCTATATAAGTTTTGGGATTCAATTACAGAGGGTATAGTTAATTATAGAATGATCTTTACGTGCTTTAATGGATATTAGATGATTGGGATGAACCTATGTTTCAAGAAACTCAAATGGCTAATGTACCGAAATTTGATTTTTCTCCATAATTTAGAGAAAATAAAAATTAGGGATTTTCGTATAACTTGGTTAATTAAAAATCTAATATTCTCTTTATCTTATTATATTTACTATATTTATGTTATCATAGTTGCGTAAAATTGTTGTATGATATTATTAAATATAGAGATGTAATTTAATTAATGTTTTATAAATAAATAATAATTCTTTTATATTTAAATATTTTGAGACTTTTATTTATTATGATTTTTTAATACATTATGAAATGTTTTACACAATTTTTTAATAAATAAATTTTGATTTACTATTACAAATTTTTATTTTTTTATGCAGATATTTAATTATGAATAATATTAGCCTTTTCTTAGTAATTATGTTGAAAATGAGCTTGAAAATTTAGTGAATAAAAAGGCTAATATCAAATTTTTATATTTATCTGCTGAATATTCGAATTTAAAACGTTTAATATATATGTTTTTTGGATGTAGAAAAAAATGTATCAAACATAGGTGTTAATGATTGAGCAAGTGTAAATGAAAATACCAATTTAGGTCCTACCGTGAGAATTTTTGGAGTTAATCCTTTAAAAAATGAAAAAATGCCTATTTTATTTAACCGTATTATATTTATTATAAATTTAAATTACCTTCATTTTTAATCATACTTTTTAAAATTGATAATCCACTCCTTGGATGATCAAAATTTTGATTTTGTATACGAGTTTTAATTACGTCTAAAGGCGCACTGATCTACTTCAAACATTATTATAAAAAAATTAAAAAAGATAAAACTTGCAGTAAGACTTGCAACTGCACCTGCAATTGATGCTACAAAATTTTGTAACCATGTAGCTTTTGTATAATCAGAAAGTCCAAAAAGATGTTCTTTTGCAAGCGCATTTCCCCCAAAAAGCTAAATAAAATAAGAATAATTCTAAATCATTATTTCTAGTTTTACTGAAAAACTTCCTGGCGCATTTCTAGCTGCTGTCCAACCCCATCCTCTATATAATTTGAAATTTTCCTCAATAATAATTTGAAATAATTTTCTTCCTTTAAAAGCATCAGGATTAGTTTGATGCTTGACTTTTAACATGTCCAGAGGAAGAAGTATAATTTCTCCTACTCCAATAATACTTAAGAATATTTAATTTCTCCCTCATTTTTTAAACAAATTATACCTTCCTGCTGTTGCATGTATCATTGCTTTACTATTTTCTTTGCCAAAAATTTTTTGAAATGATCCTCCATAATGACTTGATAAATAATCTGTAACCTAATACATAATATATCCCTTAGTTATTGCTTAATTTCATGTATAATATTACAATAGGTTGACCAGAATATTTATATACCCGTTGAAGAATTTTATATCCTGCTGCATATTCTAACCCAGGAAATAATGATATAAACTTCAAAGACAACGGTGACAATGTATTCTTATTAAATATAACTTTATTCAGATGTGATAATGACGTTATTCTTCCTTGATTACTCATAAGTCTCTTTGAAATTGTATCAATCTGAATTATAATCAATATTACTCAAAAATATGCCATTTTTAACGGTTTAAAAGGCATACCGGGTGAAATAATCCTAATTCAAGTATTCCTGCTGTAACTGATCCCATTATCCGTGCAATATTACTTTCTTTATGATGATTAGAGACCGGCGTCTTTGTAGATCTTGTAGTTAACATTTTTTAGCCGTTCAAATTCGACAAAAATCAATATTCCTATATAATAAGTGAAAAATATAATTATATTTAGGATTTCTAACGTCTTTATGGCTTAATAGCCCTCTTTTTATATTTTTGTAGTCCTCTTAAAGGCCTGTACGATCAGCCTATTAATTAAATATATTTTACTTATATAATGATAAATAAGGAGTGTTTAAAAGAACCAATGAATCAGATGTGATTTTTTAATTAAGAATGATTGGTAATATTAGTTTGTTTCTATTTTAAATTAAAAAAAAAAACACATTTTTTGTTTCTATAAAAAATATCAAAATAATTATGTTTTATAAGGCTATTAAATAAGTATTTTATTGTTAGAATAGCTGTGTATTTAATTATAATAATGATTATTTTATATAAAATCAAATTGTATATTTAAAGGCAATCAATCGCACTTTACATAAATTTTTATAAATTGTACTTGAAAAGGCATATTATTGTTGGTTCATGTAGATTTATGTTTATTGAACCTCTATCTAATGCCTTAGAATGAAAAAAGTTTTTGTTCTGTAAAAAGAATAGAAATAATTGTATTATTCAATGAAATGAGGAATTTAGAGAAGAATTGTGCTTCAATGATTAAAACTTCCTTACCGCATTGAAAACATTTGTTTTTTTATTATTAAATTAAATATATCTATTACATTTATTACATTTATTACATTTATTTTTGTTATACTTGCTAGACTTGCTACACTACATTATCTTTTTATCTTATCTAAATTGTATTTAAATACTCAATAAGAGTTTTAAACAAAAAATAATATATAGAAAGATAGATCTGATAGTTTTCTATATAAACTGTTCAAATATATAATTATCATTGAATTTATGTGCTATTTCTTTTAAGAAATTCAAATTCATAATATTTATATGTATATCTAATCTTATTTCTACTCTTTATAAGAATTGTGAATCATATTGTGTTTGATTAATCATTGTGAATCATATTACATTATATCATGTTTATATATATTTTGAATTATAAGTTACTATAGAATCTTGGCTCCCAAAAACAAGATATAAAAACAAATATATAGATTAGTGGGATTCTTAGTTTTCTTGTAAGATTTGAATGAGGAGATTAGAAGGAACATTATTTTTAAAGATTAAAAGACTTTAAAAGCTAGAAATTAGTATTAATTCAGTCATTTAAGTCAATATAGCAATATTGGAAAAAAAAGGACTTATATTCCACCAGAAGAGTTCATTGAAAGATAATATTTACATATAATTGATATAAAAAGACATCTATAGTCTTTTTTTCCTCAAAAAAAGTCATTAAAATTAAGCCTTTATCATCTTTTTATATTATTTTAAATATCAAACAAATTTCTAAGAAAATAAGGGAGATGGAGAATAGAGTTTATTTTAGACATAATAATGGGACCTCTATTTCCGAGGAAATATGCTTTTATGACTTTTTTGATGAATATTATTATGATAATATTTTAATTCCTATACAACAAAGAATAATAACAAATGAGAAAGATTATACAGGGAATGGGTCGCTTGATGAGGAAACTATATCAGAATATGAAAAAGAAGTATATGATATTCATTTGGAACTCGTTATTCCATGTAAAAATGATCCAGATCTGTGTAGACCATATCTTAGTAAAAAAGCTCGTCAATTTCTTCGTCATACAGGGCAATGGGAAGAGCTTATGAAGCTTGAGAATCATATTATTCATGTAGACTTTACGGGATATGAAGCATTTGTGTTATCACGGCTTTTATTTTTCTTAAATGATGAACAAATTGCAGAAAGAATCAATTCCTTTTTACCTGGACGAACTTTTGATGATTGTAAAAGGTTTTTAAATGATAATCCTAATTGTAAAGCACAGAAATGTCCAATTGCTATTAAAGTTTTGATGAAAGGCCCAGAAAAATCAGTACAAGATGATAGAGTTCTAAGATCTAATTGGATTACTCTTTTTCTACAACGCCAATGTGGTGGATGGTTTCATCCTAGATATTCGAAAAGTATATCAAATCATATAGATTCAAAAATAATACAATTGCTAAAGCCCTACAAGTTTTTTAATAGAACTAGTGGTGATGTTGTTGATTTAACATTTGATCCTTTGGGAAGAAAGTTTGCTTTTGGATGTTCTACAACACAAGATGATTACAATCGTGAAGGAAACTTAGTTATTTGTGATATAGATAGTGATGTTGCTACAGTTTTAACAGATCATAAAATAATTGTTAACGAAAATGTTTTTTATCCAACAGTATCTAATGTTAAGTTCTCTGCTGATGGTTTATTTCTTTTTTCAGGCGCTTTTGATTCTACTATAAAAGTATGGTCAAGATCTGGTCATTTATTGAATTCTTTTAGAGGTATTACTAATAATTTATATTAAAATAAATAAATAAATCTTAGATTTGAATGGAAAAATTGATGTAATGGTTTCACACCCTTTAAATCCTAAAATACTTTCTGCATCTTCACATGATGGGTTGACATTTTGTGTTTTTATTTTATAAATATTAACTTTCTTTAGTAACATTCATTTATATAGATTAAATGAAAATGGATTATGTGCATCACATGTTAAATTAGGTACAATTAATCACAATCTTTATGGATCTGCAATGGCATTTGGAAATCATTTATTAAATCATCTTCTTCTTGTTGGATATGAAAATATAGACGAGTCTAAGTATTTAGGAACAGCTGTTGTATTTGATATTATGACAGAAACATTTTTAAAAGAATTGAAGACAGAAAACACTTCACACACTTCTATTTTTGCACATAATTTTTCTGATTATTTTGTCACTGGAAGTAATACTTGTAAAGATGGAAAAGTTAGAGTTTATACTGCAAAAGATTGGTCCATAATCATTGAATGTTATTCTTCTCAAAAAGATATTAACCAGGTCACACTAAGGTAACCCAATTGATAATCTTATCAATTCTATTAACTAATTCATAGTCCATGTCTTAGATATTTAACTTCAAGTGCTACTGATAGATCTACTTATGTTTGGGACACAAGAAAATTCGATATACCACTTCACATTCTACATCATGATCAAACAAAAATGTTTTATCCTGATGATGAAAATATTGAGGATTTAGACTCTGGAACTACTGTTTCTTTCTGGGGTTCATATGCTCATGAATTTATAACCGGTGGTTCTGATGGTTATTTAAAATTATGGGATCTTGGAAATAATCAACCATTTGTTCAGAACTTAGTAGAAGTCAATTCTGCAATTACTTCTGCTTGTATCTCTCCTGATCATGATTTATTTATTATTGGTGAAAGTATTGGTCATGTCACTGTTCTATCTACAAAAGGTACTGGATTACCTTCTTGCTTTAACATTAACATTCAATCTTCAAAAACGATCACATAATTCACTATTATTATACATTCACTTATTTTCTTATAACCTAACCTCCTCGTTATATATATATATCTTGTCGTTCAACTCATCAATAGAGGGGTTTTATAGGAAATGGCTGCACAGCGTTTAATACCAAGATATGCACATACATCAGGCCTTACTAGACTTGTATATTCTCAGGATGGTTGTTTTTTGATAACAGTTGGATCAAACCAGGTGATTCGGAAATTTACAGTTGAATCAGATGATGAACCTTTAACAACTGAGCATCATCAGGATGCAATTACAGGAGTAGCTGTATCAGTATGTTTTTAATTGGGTTAAATGGGATATTTATATGGTTATATGTAGAAAAATCAATTTGCAACCTGTTCAGAAGATTCAACAGTTAGTTTATTCTCATTAGAGACAAATGAGTGTTTAACAATGCTTACACGATGTTCATTACCAGTGAGAGAGATTGCTTTTAGCTCAGATGGGGAGTGGTTAGCAGTTTGTAGCGAGTAATGAGATTTGGAATATACAAAAAAGGTTTTAATAAGAATACAGCGAAATTCGAGTAAAACTGGTTCATACTACAGATTATCTTCGTAGTATATATTTGCCAGGGTTTTCTAAGCCAATGAAGCATGTATCATTTGAGCCAAATGGAAAATTCATAACTACATCATGTACAGATGGTATTATATATATATTTTCATTTACAAGTGAAGAAATCGAGCTTGTTCATACAATAGAACATGTTATCCCGATGTATGAGTCAGATTCAGAGGGATGTTCAAGGGTAACATGGCATCCAGATGCTAGATTTTTTGCAGTACCTACTAGAATGAATGATATAGCAGTGTTTTCTAAAACATGGAAAAAAAGGATTACTTTTAAAGCAGGACATATGGAAATGATTACGGATATTGCATGGTCACCGAATGGTGTATATTTATGTAGTTCAGGAAAAGATGGGAAGCTTTTGGTATGGGAAACGAAGACACAAACCATTATTGTAAGGTATGTTAATTTTATTTTATAAAACAGAGTTAATATGGTAAAGACAAGATTATAAGAATGTAATTTCTCTTGCTTGGCATCCAAAAACTAATGTTTTATCATTTACTACAAACCAGGGTCAATTATATACATTTTCAAATATTATTCCAACAAATTATCAAGAACCATATGGTCGAATTGCTCATTTGAGCCCTTTGTTAGATGAAACTACCATAAAAGATTCTATTACTAAGAAAAGATATGCTAATGAGTTTAATAAAAGAGAATTGAGTGATGAAGATTTAATTGATATTGATAATGATAATGATATGAGCTGGATAGAGGATGATGATGGTGCAGGATATGTTCCAAAACATAAATATGATGAAGATAGTTATGAAAAATCATTTGATGGTCTTTCTGATGATAACTTTTATTATACTACAAAAAGAGTTTTAGATAATCATATTAAAATTAAAATACATAAACCTCTTCAACCAGGAAGCACTCCATGGAGGGAAAAAAGACGTTATCTTGGTATTTTTTAAGCATATTTTATTTTTACTAAAAAAGAAAGTACTTAATCTTGTTGGATTTATTTGGACTGTTAATCAAGATACTCATAATACAGTTACTGTAGAATTTTTCGATAAAGAAGCACATCGTCAATACCATTTTACTGATATTTTTTTCTATGATAAAGCTTGTCTTGGTATTTTCAAATATATTTCATCATACAAGTTCAAGATTAATACAATTAGATGACAATGGTGCATTATTTGCCAGTTCAGCAAAAAAAGGAAGTCCTTCAGTTATGTTTTTCAGACCCCATGAGAATTGGACTATTCATACTGATTGGAAGATTGAGTTTTTTGAAGATGAAGATGTTTTATGTATATTTATTATCATTTAAAGCTCAATATTTTTAATCTTTTTTAGCAATTGCACTCAGTAGTTCAAACATTATTGCATGCACTTCAAAAGGATATGTAAGATCATATACATTAAATGGGATTCCTCTTCGAATTTATCGTCAAAAGTGTTTTCCTGCTGTAGCGTGTATATCATGGAAGAATTATGTAATGATAGTTAACAATGGTTCATTAAACTCAGATGGTAAAGAAGTAAAAGCTTCACAATAAGTTAATTATTTTTTCAAGGTTCTGTATCTTTAACATATACTCTTGAACATGTTTTACAAGATAAAGTATTACAATCAAATGATCTATTAGCACTTCCACCTAAAGGTCATTTACGGTCATTATTTTTTTCAAATGAAGGTGTAAGTTGCTCATTTGAATTGTTTTTACTGTATTTTTTCTCTAATAAATATTAGGATCCTATGATCTTTGATTCTGATGGTATATTGCTTGTCCTAATGCATTGGAGAATTCAAGGTCAAGCAAAATGGGTTCCACTTCTTGATACAAATCTTATGAAAAGAAAAAAGGGAAAAGATGAAACATATTGGCCAGTTGCAGTAGCTAATCAGAAATTTTATTGCATTGTTTTAAAAGTAATGTCTACTTATTATAAACAATTGCTTGTTTATTTATATAACTAGGGAAATGAACAGCATCCATATTTTCCTCGCCCCATGTTTAGTGAATTCGAGTTTTTAATACCATGTGTTTTATTACCTGAATCAGAAGAAGTTAATAATATATACGCATTAGAAGAAAGGCATGTTAGAGAATCTATTTTATTATCTCTTTTAGAAGATAATACAGAATTATCAACAGATAATGAATCAAATAAATTAGAAATATCTAAAAAAGAAATTTCAATTGATAAGATTTTATTACAATTGTTACAAATTGCTTGTAAAGAAGATCATCAAGCAAAAGCTTTAGAGTTTGCAACACTTTTAAGACGCTCTGCAAGTCTTGATGCAGCACGCAAAATTGCTGCTCATTATATGAAAACAAATTTAATAGAACGAATTACTGCTTTAACAGAATAATTATTATTAAAAAAGCATAATTTTTCTGATTCAAATCTTCAAAAAAAGATTCTTACAAGCAAACATTTAAGTAATATTAAGCAAAGACGAAATTTAGATGAACCCTTTCTTTAATAAACTTATTTTTAAATATTTAATGAGATCTTTTTACACTTTATTTTAAAAATCAAAACTCACATTTCAATTTAACAATCATTCAAATTAAAAAATAGGATTCTTCTTCAAAAATATAGGCTCTTCTCCTTCTGGTGCTCCTGGAATCACTTTTTCAAGTTTCTATATATCATTCATAAATAAAATATTAGTTTTTTATACAACATACTAAATTATCAAAAACACATTTATTAAATTCCATTTCTTGGCTTCTACATGAACGAAATTCATGGTTATGCGAATCTAAACATTTCCAATATCTTTTAAATTGGTCTGAGCAGTATGTATGTAAATCTTCTAAGCTATAAGTCGAATTATAATTTGTCAAAAATATATATGAAAAAAACAACTAACACACTAATTGCACATCGTGTAACACGGAAACCTTCTTTTAAACATGGTTCTTCAACTTTTCCTCGACTTTCTGCCTTGCAAAGCATATAATCTTCATTATACGCCTTACAACGTGCTCCAATAAAATATGAAGCGGCTTTAAGTGGTGCTGATGTTGCTCCTACTTCATCCACATGATGATTCTCTTCAGGAAGTGTCACTTTATCCTTCTAATCTCTCTGATTAATCTTATTTTTACAAAAAGTCTCTAAAACAACCAATTTATCATCATTTAATACGGTTTTTTCTGGATTCCTATTCATATAAACAATTAGAATCAAGGAAAACTTAGATCTCTTTAAAATACTTGATAAACTTACATATTTTTCTAGATTCTTATTTTTAAATACTATATATCCGTCGATACCGCCTATTAATCAGCCTTTTACCTGTTGCAACTGATCTCTACTCATCCAGACAAGATAACACAATAGAAACATGATGGAACACTATGTGACAAACAGTTCTATATAATTTCTGTATAATTATTGGGTATTATATTTTGAATTATATGAAATGTTTTTTCAAGGTATATTTATTGTTATATTTAAGATATAATTTAATAAGAAGCAGGGCAGACAGGATCTAAATTTAATGAATTAAAAGGTGCATATTTTGAGTCTATACTTGTATATATTTTTTAAAATTTTTTGAAGGGTTTAATGAGACACAAACATTAATAACACCTACAGCAGGGACGCCAGCGCCTACGTCAGTGCCTATGACTGGAATGGCACCATCAAATAGTTTATTTGGTGCAACATCAGGTGCAACATCAACATTAGGTGGTATAACACAAAATACATCAATGGGAGGTTCAAATAGTGCAATTGCAGCAGGAAATTCAGATACAGCAAAAGCGCCAGTTCAATCTTCTTTATCATCGTCATTTGGTGGATTTTATCAACAAAGTACTTTAAGTAATCTTCCAGTTTATTCATGGGGAGCACCCTTTCAAAAAGTAGTTTCTCGCTTTCTACCACTTCAGATCCAGACGCCTGCTGATACATTAGCAGCAGATCGTTCTAAATATGGGGAAAGTCAATCTGAAATATTAGGTAGAAGTTCTATTCTTGGACTTGATCAATTTCCATCAATAGTTGATCAGCTTCAAAAAATTAAAAATGCATGGGATCCAACACATTCTGATTGTGCATTTCAATACTATTTCTATAACAGAGTTCCAATTGATCAAGTAGCTTTATATGTTAAGCCTTTGCATCATAATCAACAAAAATGGGATGAAGCTATTGCTAATCGGCCAGAAAATAGGTAGTTTCAGTGGGATTTTTAAAAAGATGGACTTAATGTTTATATAGCGTTGTTCCAGCGTTAGCAGTAGGATTTTCTGATATTCAGAAAAGGGTTCAGCTTCAAGAACAACAAGTTACAGCATATCGTGTTCGTATGCATGAGATTATCAATAAGCTTAAAGAATTATCACAAAAACATGATCTCAGTACAACGGTAAAGATTTCAGATGCAACATTAAGGCATTTAGAATTATCACGTCGTTCATTAGCATTAGCAGCAAAAGTACAAATATTAAAAGGAAGAGGTTATGCACTTCAACCTGAAGAAGAAAATTTAAAACAACGATTAATAGAATTATCAAAGAGTTTAAATGATCCTGGTGTCTTTGGAAAAGTAAATGAACTTTGGGCACGTATGACATTTGTACGTGAAAAAGCAAAGTCTATTGAAGAAGCAAGACAAGGCAAAATCATTATGAGTATTAATTGGAAAAGAGATAAAGAGCAATTAGATAGAATTACAAAGGTATTGACTGATCAATACGCTGGAATTTCATATGTTATTAATATTCTAAAAAATGATTTGAACGAAGTCGATAAAGCATTACAAAAAATACAAGAACATAAGAAATTACTCGAACAACCAAAGTCACGAGGTTCTAGGAAATTCTCTTAATATTGGTTTTCACTCTCATTTTCACTTTTTCTTCTTAAAATCACATACATATCTTTCTATATACATAAAAACGACTATCTTTTTTTCAAACATTACTATTTACTACTTTTTTATTCTAACTATTTACAAGTTTACGCTTAACAAGTGCAACAATAACAGGTGCTATTTATAATTAACTTTTTTTTTTCTCTTGAAAACAAACCACAATATAACAAAAAGGCAATCAAAAGGGCCTTTTGCTGTTCATTTCTCGACTTTTTAATATGTTTTTTGAATTCCTCGTTACGAGAACAAATCGCATCATTAAGCATTCTTTATAAATCAACTGGATCAAGAAATTTGATATTTTATCAAGGCCAAATTAAAGATAACAAATTAATAATTTTTATTAATTCAAAGTCGATATATTATCAAGAAAAATAGGATAAAAAATAGAGAGAAAAAGATTAGAAAAGTATGAAATAAGTCAGAAACAGTATAGAAAATATTGATTGGATTCTCTGGAAAAGTTAAAGATACTTTATATTTCGAGTAAAAACTTAAAAAAAAAAAGTGGGATTTTTCAGCGGAAAATAAAGAGATCATATAAAGATATCTCTGTAATAAGGGAAAACTTGTAAGAGACAGAATAATTGATATTTTTTTGATTGAAATAAGGCTTATAAGTATCAGGTTGCCATGGAAACGTCCACGTTTGCTCGGAGATAGTAGGAGGATTTCAACGTCATCGATTTTTATAAGCAAAAAGTGGGATTTTTTTGAGGCAAAAAGAGGATAAAAAACGAGAATATTTTGTAAATTTAAAGATTAGAAATGAATAAGCAGGAGGAGAGGACCAGAAGCCAAGTTTCGCCGAAAAAAACGGATGAATTTGACTTAGATTCGGACGAAGAATTATCAGAGCTAGATGAAGAGCAATTTAAGGATTTAAAGGACTCACAGACAGAGAAAGCAGATCTAACTGAATATACTATGCATGATCTTCCTAAATTTAAAAGAAAAAGTCTTTTAAGGGAGGGTTCAGTAAGACCAAAGAAGAATAAATTGATTAAAAAACGACGACGTACTCAAGAAGGGTTTTTAGAGGAAAATAAGGATGAATTGAGGAATGAAATGGATCCTGATAAGTGTATGATGAATATCTAGAACGAATCGTGTATAATTTTTTTGAATAGTAGCACGTTGGGAACTAGATCAGGCGTTAAATGAAGCAATTATGTCATCACGTAGAAAGAAGAGGAGAGGAGAAGAAGTATAAATATGAGATTTTATATATTTTTTGGTTAAAAGGCATAATAGGATTTGGAAGGGTTAGCAGATGATGAGATCATTGCACTTCGTGAAAAAATGAGACAAGCAGCTATTGAGGATGCACAAGCAAATGCAGAGAAAAGACCTGCAACGCAAAAGCTTAAAATGTTATTAGAAGTAGAAGATGCATTACGAAAGTATAATATTTTTTTATATTTTCAAAGGAATCTTAGATATATATAGAACATCATTTACTGATTCAATCCTTGATAACAATCTTTTAGAAGTAGTTAGAATTTGGCTTGAACCTTTACCAGACAAATCACTTCCTGCTTTAAATATACAAAAGGTGCTTTTTTCTGCGCTATCTCGTTTGCCTATACAAACTGAACATTTACGTGAAAGTGGTGTTGGAAAAGTTGTTCTTTTTTATAAACAATCAAAAAAGCCAGATCCATTAATAAAAAAACAAGCAGATCAATTAATTTGTAAGTAGATATATTTTTATTATAATTATTAATAATTTTATAGCTGAGTGGAGTCGCCCTATCATTAAAAGAAGTTCTAATTATAGAGATCGCTCTATTTCTACAGTATTATATAATCCAGAGTAAGTATTTTAAAACAAAATAATATATTGCTTAATTGAATAAGTGCTGCTATGTATAATGATCAGAAAATATTGAACAATGATATAATTGATTCTAAAGCGTATAAAAAAACAATCATACCTGCACCTGTTAATACATCATATGAAATTGCACCTAAAGTACATTTAAAAGTAAATCACAATATTTCAAGAATGCGAAATGATGATCACCTTCGAAGATTAAAACAAAAAATGCAAAAAATGAAACAACCAGTAAAACGTAATGGCATATCTATTGAAGGAAGGGGGCTTCTGTAAAAATATTTTTTAGATTTTTATTAAATATTCAAAGCAGATGAATATTCTTATTTGAAAACTATTTCTATCTTTGATATCATTATATATTTATCTTAATTTTTATTATTAGTATTATATTTTATTGATAAACCTTGAAATTTTTATAATATAAATTTTTATATATCTTCAAGCAATTCATCTGATTTTAATTGATGAAGAGAAATATATCGTGATTTATTATCTGGATTCTCATTTTCTTTATTGCGACCAATTATAGTCATTGCTGTTCCAATAAGAATTAAAACAATTCCACAGAAACTCCATATATCAGGAAATTTTCCCCATAAAACTCTATCATAAAAAAGAGAAAATATGATCTGCAAATATATAACAGAAGATGCACGTCCAATCTTTTCTATTTGTAATCCCCTTGTAAGAAAAACCTGAGCAAAAAAACCAGAAATACCAATAACAAAAAATAAAAACACTTCTAAGAAATTTAAAGGTAAATTAAAAGGCGAATTAAAGGAAATAAGAAACAATATAGAACCAATGGACGATATTAATGAGTACCATAAAATAGGTTGTAGCGAATTTATACTATCACCCAACTCTATATAATATTAATATATTAATATAACTTGTTTTCAAAACATACTTTTAATAATTATATATGAAAAGCATACCGCTAAGACTCCAATTAGTGAAATCATAATAGCTAATACCCTTTCTTTAGAATTTGCAGAAGATATTATCTCAGAAGTAGAATAATTATCATGAAGTGCATGAAAAAAGTGATTATTTAGAATAAAACTCGGCTTTACAATAAACATTACTCCAATAAAAGAAACTAATGCAGCATAAATATCAAAGAAATTAAAAGTTTGATATAAAATAGGATGTCCTAATAAATTTATAAAAATAGGATTTAAAAACGAAAGTGCTGTAGCATCTGAAAGATCTAAATGACTTGATTTTTCATTAATCTGAATATATATAATATATTCCTCTTACTGTATCGAATAATAAGTGCAATAAATCCCTATAAACCCAAAAAATCCACGAAGAAAGAGGAAAATTCTAGTATTTATATTACTTGCGCCTTTCTCCATAGTTTCTGCACATTTATAATATATTATTGCCAAAATATATGTAGGTACCATTCTAATAAGAATAATTTGAAAAGCATTCCATGATCTAACAGAATTTTGATATAACATTTTAACACATGCATTGACTGTTGATAATAATGTATGAGAAAGCACAAGAATACCGATCCCATAATATTTACTAAAAAATATCTTAATTTTACTAATATATATATTAATCTTTGTATTTTCTTGATTTTTTGACATTTTTCTTCGTTTTTTTTTTCTAAAAAATCCTATGTTTGTCTTCTAACATTCAAGTAATCTTTCCCTCTTTTTTCTTCTAAAGAATAAGGTTGATTTATCACTTATTATTAAGTTTTTCCTATTTTTTTGGTCCGACTAAGCTTAGATATTTAGTATTATTAAATAAAAGAAAAAATAATTTAAGTTTGCTTGATAATAGATCTTGATAGAAATGCCAAGTTAATAATCCCTCAATATCATTATTAATCTATCAAGTCGAGATATTTGTATTAAAATTTTTTCTTCTATAGTTCTGATATATTTTAATTCTTGTTGTTCGTTAGCTGGAAGAAGTTCTTTTTCATGTTCTTGTACATCAGTTCTTTCAATTTTTGTTAACAATTTTTGTCGTTGTTTTAGTTCATTCTTTAAATGTCGATGATAATAAGAAATTTCTTGATAAATATTGTCTATTAAAATAGATTTGGCTCTTTCAAACCTATGAAACCATAAGAAATAAATACTAGATGGTTGTCTTTCGGATTTCCGTGGAATTTCTTGAATATCAAGAGCACCGATTTCAGTTAGTGCCATAAGAATAGGACGAATACTTTGTTGTTTTAGAAAAGCAATTGAAGCAAGCTTTAAAATATAAGTATATAAATTAAAAGGAATGAAAAATATATACTTGTTTTTCATCCACTTTTCCTTTTTCACGAATAATTCGAAGAAGTCTTGTAGCGATATAACCAAATTTATGTTCGATAATTCTTTCATATTCTAGCTCTTGAAGAAGACGTGATAGTTTTTTATAATCAACTTTCCATTTTCCAAAATGTTTAGCTTCAATCTTAAAAAGAAGCGGATATGAATCTTGAGATAAGGCTTCAAGATGTAGAATAATATGTTTTAAACGTTCTCTATAATTTAAATCATGAATTCCGGAAATATTATCTTCCTCGATTTGTCTAGAAAAATCATCTGTATCAATTGCCATTTTATCTGGTATTTCATTAGGATAAAATTCATTTATTGAAGATATTTCTTTATCAGAATCCTTTTTTATAGATTTATCATTATTATCTGAAACTGTAACAAATGTTTTAGATAAATCTATATCTTTCGGAAGTGTTTGTAGAATACTCATTGTCGTAATAGTATCTGTTTAAATAGTTATACTTTTTTTTTATAAGATAAAAGAAAAATACTTTCTTGATTGTTATTATTTTGAGTTTCAAGTTGTTGTAATATGTGACAATATACTTGTGCAGTTACTTTCCCTATACGATTCTCTACAAGTTGCACAAGGTCTGCATTACGAGATATTGTAATGAATTTTTCATGATTCACTCTTAGAAATACATTTTCCTAATTTAAAAATAAATAAATAAATAATACAAATATATTTCTCACATCTATAACATAGGATGAATCACCGCTCTTTTTTTGTCTTTTATATCTTTGCTCAATTAAATCTACCTCTTTTTTTTTAAAACCTAAATTAGGATCCATTTCTTCATCTTTTAAATTCTGAAGTTGTTTTTTCATATTTTTCAGTACTTCTTTGCTTTTTTTTGCTTCTCCAATTTTAGAAAAGCGAATTTTTTCCAATTCCTTGTTTCTTAAATCATTTTCAAGATCATAATCTGGTTTAAATTGATGTAATAAAACAACACGAACATATCTTTTCTGAAGCATATGTGTTATCGTAGATTGAACCAATTTATATTCCTCATTATTCTTACTTTTCAATGGACAAAATACCGTATATAGATCTTGTACCTTCACTTTTCCATGACAATGAATATATTTAAGAATCGCTCCTGCCTTCCATCGTTGGTCTCATACTTACATCTAATAATTAATTTCTTACTTCTTTTGATATTTTCTTGGAAATTATTAATATTTCTCTGCCATATCTTAATATATTAAGGATTTCTCTCCATGTAGTTTCATAGTATGTTGATTCATAAAATCCCTCAATAACCGTAGAAAAAAGAACAAAATTATGTTGTATAAGAACAACAAGTGCTTTCTTAACATATTTTCTCGGTATTTTTGACATTTTACATATTTCTTCCAGCGATAATCTTCCATGAAAAAAAAGCATATTAACTGTCGCCTAAATACCCGATAAAAACACAAAAAAATGCTTCATATATATATTTACTAGGACTATTTGTCCAAAAAAATCCTCTATTATTAATTGGCACAACTCTATTGCATATTGCGACATTTCCTCCTCTACACTATATCTATTTCCCTCATTTTAGCCCTTTTTTCTCCCGGAAAAAAACTATACATACCAATATACCATGTAATTATTCATTTTTTACATGTTTTTTCTCGTTTAACTCGTTTTTTCCCTTCTTTTTCTCAATTTTATGAATTCTTCATTTTTTGGTAGTTGGTTCTCTTGCTCTGTTACCATCGCAACTGCTCTCAATCTCAACCTCAAAAAATATAACACCTTAAAATACTCATTTTTAGCCCTTTTTTCGCCGTTTTTTGCCTTAAAAATGGCACTAACAGATAGGATTTGTTTGTTTTATAGGACCTTCAAAAAAACCGCATCAAAATCGGCTGATTTTTCGAGATTTAAGCTTATACAGACAAATGGTGTAAATGTTATTTCTAAGGATACCGGCGGGTTTAACACCTCATTATCAGTTATTATTCGTTCTGGGAGTCGTTATGAACCTGTATTTGGGCTTTCTCACCTTTTAGAACGGTTTGCATTCAAGGTAGATTTTTTTTTGTGAAATTGGAGAATTATTTTTAAATAAGTCATGATATATAGAGTACAAAGCGTAGATCGTCCTTGAGAATTGTTAGGGAGACGGAATTGCTTGGAGGAGGCTTTTTTTCCGGGCGTTCTCGTGAAATTTTGACACTTTCAGCACAATTTCTTCGAGATGATCTTCCATATTTTGTGGAGTTATTAGCAGAAGTATTAATAAAAACGAAGTATAATGGTGCTTAATATGAGGAGAAAGAAGTATATTTGTTGATAATAATAGAATTTGAGTTTAATGAGGCGGTATTACCATATGCTTTATCGGAGAACAAAAGATGTTATAATAAGCCGGGAATACTTGGACAAGATATTATACATGAGGTGGCATTTCGTAGGGGACTTGGTAATCCTATTTATACTAATGAAAGAAATAATGTTACTGTTGAAATGATTGGGGATTATGCAAAGAAGTCATATGTTAAGAATAATCTTGTTGTTATGGCGACGAATGCAGATGAATCGAAGCTAGAAGGGCTTCTAACAGAGCACTTTAGTGATCTTCCTGTTGGTGAACCAGCAACGTCTCCAAAAACAGTTTATTATGGGGGTGAAAATAGAATAGGTTTTAAATCTAGTATGAGCCACTTTTTAATTTCGTTTTCTCGACCAGCAGCGTTTATGCCATCATCAGAAGAATACATTTTATTGAGCTATTTACTTGGTACAGGATCTAGAGTTAAATGGTCGTATGAGAATTCACCTTTTGGTATAATTGAAAAAAATCTTTCAAATGGTACTAAATTGATGTCAAATAATTTTGTATATTCTGATGCAGGATTATTTTGTATTCATATTTATGGACCAGTTGAAACACTTCAGATTGCTGTTAAGTCTTCTATTGAAGCATTGAAAACTTTAGCTGAAAAAATTGATAACAATGATATAAAAAGGGCTATTTCTCAGACAAAATATTCTTTGTTTGATGTGGATGCTAATCCGATAAAAGTACATGAAGAATTAGGATCGTATTATCTTAGTTCTGGTTCTCTTTTTGATCAAGAGTCTTTTGCTTCTCGTATAGAGAAAATTACAGCTACTGAAATTAAATCAGTAAGTATTGATATGCTTAGAATCACATATGACTTATTGCTAGACTATATCTAAAATGCTTGAAACAAAGCCAAGTGTTGCTGTAGTTGGAGATACAAATGCGTTACCATATTATGATGAGTTATAAAAATTATATAACAATAATCTACATTATATCATTTGAACATAGTTAAATGCAATGTACCTTAAATAATAGATTTTTAAATTAAATTATTTTTTACAACAATGTTTCATTATTTTGACATACAATTATTACCGGAAACCATGAATGGTTATATTTTATGTTAATGGATACATCATTACATATGTTATCGCTTTTTAATGCTTTTTCTAATATTATTTCACAAGTTAGTTTATTTTTCAGACATAACTCCACGATATTTTTCACATTCTTTATGTTTGTTAGACATTTGACTATGATAAACATATTCTTACATTTTGAAAATCATCATAACATAATAACATACTAGAAATTTTAGGGTCAGTATTTTTTATTATCTCGAAAATGGTTTTTGCTTTTGAAAAATTGTCTATTAAAATTTTAAGTAATTCCACAATCTATCAAATGTTAATAGATATATATATAAGAAAATGATACTAATGTGTCCGACATATCTGAATCCTTAATAAATGTTTCATGGTTTAGAAATTCTGGTGTTTTTAAGAATAAAAATGATTTAAAACGTTGCTTGTACATAAAATATTTTGGTACTTGCAGTTTGTTAGGTGAACAAATAAGAGAAAAGTGTTTCAAAACCAAGAAAAGCTATAATCGAATTATTAAATAACCTAATAACATTTATATTTTATACTTTATAAAACGAATTGCATAACAATTGTAAGCCATTGGTCCAATCTTGATCAAATTTCATTTGTTGAGTAGCTAAAATAGTATCACTTTTTTCAGAAAAACATATAGTTGGATATTTCTTGTTAGAAAAGCGAATATTATAAGAAGATATTTCGTTTAAATGGGCTTGATATATCTTTAACAAATAATCTAAATACCTAATTAAGCTATTTAATATAAATTCCATTCTCTTCTTATAAAAATTACCTATATATTAATGATAATTCATGCGATGAGTGAAGTTCTAATTCAAATCCTAAGAAACAAATCAAAATCATTATTTGTAGCTTTTCATAATAACACCAAGATGTGAAAATATTTGGATATATATTGTCTTGCTTTTGAATTGAATCTTCAAAAAAGTGAAAATATAATTGCATATCAATATTTTCTGCCTGTTAAAGAATTACCTTTTTAAAGAACTATCAACATATATTACGCACCTCAGTTTGAAGAAACTCTAGATCTAAAATAAGTTTACAAAAATTTTGATGCTGACGAGAAAGATTGTGACACATTGTACGAAAAATATTGATATAAACCTATTATAATTAAGCTAATTTTTTAAGATATCATATCAACTGACAGGAGTAGCTGTTTTAATAAAATTATTTATAGAATTAAAAATACAATATGTCGAATCATCATAAGTTTCGTTAGATTCATTGATAACATTAAACAGTTCTTTTGTCGAGTATATTTCAGATATAGAATCCATGATAAATTGATGAATAGGATACTTATTTAAAATCATATTATTATTTGAAAAAAATAAAGTCTATTTTTAAAGTTAATGTAAATATAAAAGAAATACAAAAGTTTACCTGAAGCATAGTTCGAACAAATATACCAGAAGTAGGCTTTTTAGCTCTAAAATATCTAAAAAAATTCTATTATTGTAAATTAAAATAAATAATTATAAATAAGTAAAAAATACTAGAATATTTGAAGGTGTTAAAGTAGATGGATTTGCAATGCTTAATAACAATATTCCTCGAAAATCTTCACATAAATGTTTAAAATCGTTGAATACAATATCCATTGGAAGAATCATTATAGGCCTAGGAGGCATAGTAGTTGAAAGTTTAGCTTGAACAGAAATAGAAAAAAATATATCCATTTCTTTACCGAAATCAAAAATTAAATTTTCTTTATTAATAAGATATTCAAGATCTTTAATTGTTTCGACTGCTGATGAGGAATTCAAGGCACGCAAAAAAGATATTTTGGTTTCCAATCTAGACCGGATAACTTCGATATATTTATGATCTTTTTCTTCAAATTCACTACTATGACTATCCAACCACGAGATAGAGAATTCCAACAAATCTAAAATTTGAACTGTATCAATATTATCAAGTAAAGATAAACCATAAGTATTGAAAGACACTTCTTCTTCCTATTTATCTTAATTCAATCTATATTTTATTGAAACCTAATGATTTATTACTTCATAAAGAGTGCCTTTACTAAACGTTTGGCAAAAAATACCACATGTCTTAATTGAAGCAATCATAAACGGCCATATAACAACATCCACTAAATCTTTATATATCGTCTGTTTTTTTTTGTTTTTCATGTAAAAATCATTTATATGAATAACACCTTGGCGTTCTAGTAATAGTTTTTGAATATATACATTCGTAAACACTGTTTGTGATAAAAAATACCCCGATTGCCATGATATCTTTCTTATTAGATTATATCAATTAATTTTACTGACTAAACCTCTGCTGCAAAGGTTTTATCTATTAAACCAAGAACTTTATATGGCTCCAATTCCGCTTCTACATCCCATATCACTTCATTATCTATTTCTAGGCTATTATCCATCTTCGGATCCATCATCTAATCTTTTTTAAGTCATTTCTTTTAATTTAAAATTTACTTCAAGTGCACTAATTGAATCTTCTAATGAAAAAGATGAATCATGTACTAATTCTCCAAGAGAAAGATCTATAAATAAATAACAATTTCTCCCTATTAATCCCCTATAAACGAACCTTTTAATGCTTCAAAGAATTCTTTTGTTACATCTTTAAAAGACGTTAATTGATTTTGTTGAAAAACTGATGTAAAAATATCCTCTTTTTCCATATGTAAAACAATATCTATCTTATTTATAATATACAGACCGCTTTAAAAGGCTTTTAATGAGCAAATCTGACCTTATTAAAGGGCATCTCTTCATCAAAATGACAGAAGGTCGGCAAGAGGTAGCCGAAGAACTTATATACTTGAAAAAAAATCCAGATAAGAAAAACATACATGAAATGATAAGAGAAATAATCAAAACTCATCCTGTAGAATTAGTTTAGGAATGATATTCATTCTGATAAAATTTAAGTGAAGAGTAAAAAAAAAGAGAACTTACGAAATTAATTCTTGAAATAAAAGTTTAGCAGCATAAGGAATTGTGAGTTTAGTAACAGATTTAGTGCTTTTGCAGCGATTGCACCAGCCCTTGTATCCTATTAGACCACAAGTTTCACAAATATGAACTTCGAATGCATCAGATGATAACATTAAACGTTCAAGAAGAAGTTGAGATGCGCCATATGCAATAAGACAATCTCTTTCCATTTCTCCTAAACGTAAACCACCATCTCTAGATCGACCTTCAGTTGGTTGTCGTGTTAAAATGGCTCTAGGCCCTCTAAAATGTAGATCATAAATAAAAAAACAAGTTTTATAATAGAAATTTACCTTGCACGTGCATGCATTTTATCAAGAACCATATGTTTTAGCTTTTGGTAATATATAGGACCAAAAAAAATGTATGCTTGAAGTGCTTCACCTGTTATACCTATAGAATTATTGTAAATAAAGAATAAATATTTTTATAAATAACCTGAAGTGAGCTGATCTTTTCCAGAATATGAATATCCATTTTCTACTAAAATTTGAATTATATCATCTATTTTGCTACCTCCAAATGCAGTACCATATTGTAATGTTCCATTTAAAACACCTGCCTTTCCTGCTAAAAGCTCAATCATTTTTCCTACTGTCATACGAGATGGAAAACCATGAGGATTCATAATAATATCGGGTGTGATACCATTTTGATCAAAAGGCATATCTTCTTGTTGAACAATTAGGCCACATACACCCTTTTGACCATGTCGTGAAGAGAATTTATCACCAAGTTCAGGTCTACGAGTCTGACGAATTAAACATTTTATAAGTGTTTGATCAGAGTCAGTAGTAGTTAACATCATTTTATCAATATATCCAGGTTCAAGAGATTTATATATCATAGGAGCTGCTTTCCATGACAATTCATGTTGTTGAATTCCAGTAGCAATTGTATTATCATTTGCATTAGTAGGTATTTGTTTATTAATGTAAATTTGTCCTGATTGAATCTTTTCTCCAACACCTGCTAAACCATCTTCTTCTAAAGTTTCATATTTCCATGCTAATTGCCCATCTTCACTTTTATCAGGATGCTCAAGACGATCATATCTAAAAATTAATGAATCATACAAATATAAAATATAAACATACGCTCCATTAGCATAACGCTTAATAGTTGTAGCATATTTTCTCATAACCTGACATCTACCAAATCCTCTATCTATACTAGCCTTAATATAATATATTAATCAATAAATATCTTATAATAAGGATATACTTTGTTTAATATTAAAGCATCTTCTATATCATATCCAGAAAAACTCATAACAGCTATAATAGCATTTTGCCCTGCAGGAAGCTAATATAATATTAAAATTAGATATCTTTTGCAAAAAGAAAACCTTATCATAGCCTATCAATTCAATTGTTTTTGTTTTTACAAGAGGTTGTTGAGGATAAACCATTAAATATAGCAAAGAGTCAATTCTTAGCAATTGGTTCCATGCAATAGTACCAATAGCTTGCTTTCCCATAGCACACTGATAAGTATTCCTGGGAGATTGATTGTGATGTGGATAAGGTATTAGACCTGCTACTGCTCCTAATATAGTAAATGGTTCAATTTCTAGATGAGTAGTTGATTCTGAAAGTTTATTTTCATATATTGATATATAGCTATCATTTTCCTCATTAACATCTAAATATTCTACTAATCCTCTTTTTAAAAAATCATCAAATGTCATTTTCCCTGCTTTTAAAGACTAATCATGATCAATTAACTATAAAATATTTAAATTTATATACCTTTAGATGTCTTGATGTTACTTTTGATTTCCCATTTTCTACAATTATTAATGGACGACATATTCTTCCTCCATCAGATGCAATATGTATAGAAGAGTAATGATCATTAATATATATACTCACAAATTCTGATATTCGTCCTTTTCTACGAAGTTTTCTGAAATTTGAAACAAATTTTGCTGGAAATCGTGTAATTCCAAGAATTGTTCCATTCAAATAAATGATATATGTTCCTGGTGCATAAAGTTCATGTCCAGTTATTAAACTTATATCTTTTTTTTCCATTAAATCCTATAAAAAAAAAATACATAACCAATACCTTCTGTTCCAAGAATAAATGCAAGTCTTTCTATTGGTTCTTCATCATTATCAGTAGTTATGTGTGTCATTAAAGCTAAATTTTTTATAAGACCACATGCTTCTCCTTCTGGAGTATCAGAAGGACATACTATTTTATATTATTTAATAATAAATAACATTAAACACATACGCATTCCAAACTGAGAAGGCTGCAAAGCCCTGGGTCCACTTATTTTTCTTGTTTTTTCAAATTGACTAGATATTCGTGTCATCATTCCAAGAACACTAATATAACTTAAACGACTTAATACATGAGTAACGCCGGATCTTTCCATTTTGAACCTTTTTAAGGACCAATTTCCGGTTGATATAGCTCTAATCATTCCAAATGTTATATGATCACCATGTATTGAAATCTGATTATAAGCATCAAATTCTTGAGTTCTATTAGGCTTCTTAAGGACTTTATCAATGTTTAATTTCAAATTCCTATTAAAAGTTTTAAAAAGATCTTCAAATAAAAGAGAAAGAAGTTGTCCAGCACTATTAAAAAGTTAATTATTATGTTAAATATTTGAATCTTTTACAGTTCTAAACGTTTGTTTCCAACATAATCACGATCATCTACCATTTTTGGATTTCTCATAGCCATTAATACTCTTCTTGTCATAATTGCAAAATATATTATCTTAGGTCTGAAATTTAAATTTTTTATTGGAATATGAGCAAGAACAATGGCTGCCAAAACTTCTAATGCCTCTTCTGAAGGCGATCTCCTTTGAATAATTCCAGAAGTTTTTCTATTAATCTTGACTCTGGTTCCTAAATATTCTAATGCATGTTGCTGTGTATATATTTTAAGTTTGGCACACTCTTCAATATTAATAGAAAATATATCTTGATAAATAGGATCTAAGCCTGCAACAAGTTCAAGAATTTCTCTATCTGATTGAAGACCCATTGCCTTAAATATTAGTACAATTGGAACATCTTCTGTAATTGAATTATGTTTAAGATATATTTTTGTATTCCTAGTTAAAACATATGTTTTAGATTTACGTTCATGTGTAGAACTAAAAGTAAATCGCTATTTTTTCCTTCTTAATTCTTAATTTACCTAATAACAGAAGCCTGTACCAATCCTTTTTTTGGTTCTGCTTCAACAATAATACGATTTTTACTAAGTTGTTCTTGTACCAGAATAACTTTTTCTGTACCTTTAATAATAAAATATCCACCTGGATCAAGTGGGCATTCATTCATTCTTGTAATTTGTGCTTCTGTCTTATTAAATAAAATACATTTATTACTTCTTAACATAATAGGTAAACGACCAATCTGAACACCCTTTCTTCTTACTACCTGCTTCCCCCTTGTATATTCAATGTCAACTACTATAGGTGCTGCATATGTAAGATCTCTTAAGCGACATTCATGAGGTGCTATTGAATTATCAATAGCATCTTGATCTTGACGTGTAGGAAATCCAACCTCAATATTAGTATATCTAAGAAGATAAAGATATTAAATATGAAATAACAAATACTGATCATCCATTACTTTAAATAAAACCATGGTTCAACATCGCTTGTTACTTTTTCATTTGCTTTAACAATCTTCTTAAGATCTACATCAACAAAATAGTTAAATGAATCCGTATGCTGTTTAATAAGTCCTTTAACCTTCAGAAATGCTGGAAGAAGATTCCATTTATCCTGAAACAATTGGATACTATTAAAAAATATAATAGATTTTCTGCACCTGTAAAGTATGGACTGGATCTGTTAAAGATTTTCCCTTGTATTCTACTTTCAAAAGAATATCAAATGCCTGATTAATTTTTAATGATTTCTGTGTAGTTTTACTATCTTCATGACTTTTGTTTAAGTCATTTATCTTTTTCAATGTCATATTTAACTTTTTCTAAGGAACATAAAGATTTTATATATTTTAAGCTAGAAGAAACAATAATTCTTAAATAATTGACAAGATGTGAAAGATATTAAATGGTTTTTAAATATAAATATATATATCAATATAAAAAATATATTATTAATATGTTTCGTACGTCAGAGGTGTTGTAGGGTTATTGTGTAGAAAAAGATATAAATTAAATCTATTTTTATAGGAAGTGTATAAGATTTCATGTTTAAATTAGTATTTAGTTGTATATTTTTAATTTAATAAAGTTATAAAGTTATATTTAATAAAATTATATTCAATAAAATTAATTCTATTTTCTTTACAAATAGATATTTTTAATAATTTAATCCTTTTTATTTCTAAATAATTGTTAATATTCTCTTTTAAATAAATACATTATTTGCATTTTTACATCTAAAAATGATCTAATATTGTATAATAGTTTAAATATTTATAAAAATACAGATATATCAAAGTTATACATGATTTTACTAGATAAAATAGTATTTTAACATCTTATTATACACCAATCTACGAATGCTGTTTAAATTAACTTATATTAATCGTCTTATTTATAACTTTTCTAAAAAAAACATCTAAAAAATAATACATATATTTTTATATAAAATAAATCTTAAATTTCATTCTAAAAAATTCTAAATAAAATACTCTTCTACATATATTTTTGCCTTTACATTATACTAATAACCTCGTTTCAATATATATTAATTCTCAACGCGTTATATTTTATAACCCATAAATTAATAAAAAATATATTCTAATTAAATCTAAATCTATCTATATATATAACAAACATTCCTTTTACTCTTTTATTCATCATTTAAACGTCTTATTAACCTAGATTAACCCTCCACTTGTATAATATATAACCAATTCAACAACCAAAAAAAAAAAGCTTTTATATACACAAAAAAAGCTACATTTCAATTCATAATTTATATCAAAACATCTTAGAATCATTCTAAGTACAGACTTAAACATTTATTTATAACATACTCATTTACAGTAATCTTTAAAAATTCGATAAATACTCCTCGATGATTAATCTTGAGATTTAACCTCATTAAAGACAATATTAAAATTCAATTGTATTATTCTTAATATCTTAAGAAAGAGTTGTAGAATTGAATCAAAGAGTATATTTTCGTCTTTTTTCGTTTATGCAAGTGTGATAAGTTAAGAATAGTTTTTTAAAATTTTAAAAAAGGTAAGATAGAAGGAAAATAAGAAAAAAAAGGCCTAGAGTATGCATATAGTTGGTTAAATGTGTTGAATATGAAGTAGAAGGGACATTGTGGCTTTATTTTGACATTTTCCCTTTTGAATAGTGAAATAATTATAAAAAATAGGTGCCCAGAAAAATGTCAATTTCTTCTGGATCACCAGACAATAAATTCAGTAAAAACAGTATTGAAAACGGGAATGATATTGGTAATAAATCGGAATTATCATTTTTGAACGCATATATTCCGATTAAACACATGGCAGTTTCTTCTCCTTTCAAACATAACATTTCTGTATCAACTTTTAGCACAACGGATCATGAAAGCATATACAAAAATCATAATTCATTAGATTCTTCTAAAAATAGGAATGAGGGAGTGGATAATTATACGCATAAAGATTATACACCAGAGTTATCTCTCTCGGTAAAAAATTATTATTATATTTATCTTTTTTTTTAATATTTTTATATAGTCTATTAACAAGACACATGCGGTAGAGTGGTTTAAAGGGATTTAATTTTTATGCTTAAATTTGATAGCTTGAGATGAAACGTCAGCAATACGAATTACAACGTATCGAACATCGTCGACGATTCGAAAAAGAAATGAAATTATTAGAGCTTCGTCAAAAACGGGATGAACAAGCTTTATTAGGGTATAACGATGATACGATTGGAAGTATATCGGCAAACAGTGCGCCTAATACGCCGCCGAATTTACAAATTCCAACTGATACGCGTATGTATTTTACTTCAGTGCCTAGACTTACATCTCCTTTGCAATTTTATGAGCAATTTCATAATGGGGGACAATTGGCAACACCACCGTCGGACGATAATTCAAGGTCGTCTCAATTTTCAGAATCACATAAAGAATTGGGAGAATCAGAAATTCTAATGAAAAATCTTACTATTAATTCTTATAATAGGTAAGTATGATGATAGATTGAGTTATTATTACAAACATGATTAACTAGTAATAATAAAAGTTCATCAATTCAGCAAGGAAAAGATGAAAATTGCAATATTTTTCAAGATAATTTTTCAAATAACAAACAATTGTATCTGCATCAAACATCTACATTTGAAAATAACATGAAAAATAAAGAAAAAAGTATGTAAAATTAAAATAATTAGAAATAATATACTAATTATTAAGCATCACCTTTTACTAAAAAATACTTAGAAATGGATACAATTAACGATCATTTCCCAATTCTGATTAAACGAAACAATTTTCCTGAAATGGTTGTATTATAAACACGATTCTCAGAAATTTTAATATATAATTAGTTTACATCATCAAATACTACTCTTGATTTAACTCATTCAACACATCAAGATTCTCATGAAAAATTTGTCGAACCTGAATCTCAAGATACACAAAAAGATGCTAATTTAGTATATTCTTCTTCAGAAGCCAATCTTAGTCATCCATCTTTTTCATTAAATGATGAAAACCTTATATCACCTAAATTTCATTCTATAAAAGAAAAGGATTCTTCTAGTCAGAATTTACAAGACTTTATGAACATAAATTATAAATCCTTTACGTCGAAAAATCAGCCATCTCTATCAACGTCTAGTGCTTCTACTTCTTTTAATTATTTAAAACCAATGTCAGAAAATTATTCTGAGTCTAATAAACAATTTGACAGTAATTCCAATAATGTAATCCCATACATATTTATTATACTTCTTTTCTAAAATATTTAGGTATCTCAGTATTCAATGGGGGTTTTGCCTCCAAATGCTAAATCTTCTTTAAATGTTCCTATTCTTCCATCGGCTGTTTCTTCTTTACATTCATCAAATATATATGGAAGATATGGTATCATGAATGTTCCTTCATCATATCAATCTACTTCATATGATTCGTATCCACTTTATTCAGTGAATGATCAATCATCAACTGAAACATCACAAACATCTTTTACATATATAAATAATAGAGGAACTCATCATAAAAAGAATGCAAATTCTGATGGTATATATTAAAATCGATTATATATTTTTTAGTAATTCAATATTTTAGGAAATAGATTTACAGGAGCAGCATTGGAAGCATTTGTAGGCGAAATCTATTCTCTTTGTAAAGATCAACATGGTTGTCGATATCTTCAAAAAAAACTTGAAGAACGTGATCCTCGAAGAACATCAATGATTTTTATGGAAACCTATCCTCATGCTGTAGAGCTTATGACGGGTAATTTTTATACTTAAATTCCTTAATTCCTTAAATCTATAGATCCATTTGGAAATTATTTATGTCAAAAACTTTTAGAACACTGTAATGATGAAGAACGTACTACAATTGTACGATCTGTCGCTTCTGATTTAATTCCTATATCACTAAATATGCATGGAACTAGAGCTGTCCAAAAAATGATAGAATATCTTTCTACACCTGAACAAGTACTTTATCATTTCATAATTTTATAATACTTATTTAATTTTAGATACAAATTATAATTAATGCACTGAATTCTAATGTTGTTACTTTAATTAAAGATTTAAATGGAAACCATGTTATTCAAAAATGCCTCAACAAATTATCTACTAATGATATCCAGGTTTGTCTAAATATGATCTTTATTAAATTAACTTTCTATTTTAGTTTATATTTGATGCTATTTGTTCTAATTGTGTTGAAGTTGCAACTCATCGTCATGGATGTTGCGTTCTTCAACGTTGTATTGATCATGCATCTGATTCTCAAAAAATACAAATTGCTAAAGAAATTATGAATCATGCCTTTAATCTTGTTCAAGTATAGACTTTTAAAAAAAAGTAGTATCATTTTTAATTTTTATAGGATCCTTTTGGAAATTATGTTGTTCAATATATTTTAGATCTTGGTGATGCTAGATTTAGCGAACCTTTGATTCATCGATTTATCGGCAACGTTTGTCTTTTATCAGTACAAAAATTCAGCTCTAATGTCATAGAAAAAGTAAAAATAATCTATTATTAGATGCAGCTTAATTAATTAAAATTAGTGTATAAGAATGGCTGAACCTTCAACCCGTAGTTTACTTATTCAAGAACTTCCAAGAAAAATAACAAGTTTAATTCGAGATTCATATGCTAATTATGTTATTCAAACTTCATTAGATTATGCTGATTCTGTTCAGCGAAAACAATTGGAAGACTGTATTCTTCCTTTACTTCCATCTATTAGATCCACTGCTGTTGGGAGGAAAATAGCTATGAGAATTGAAAAAAACAATAATTCTTCTGGGAATGATTCCGCTGGAACACTTAATAATTCTTTACGAGAAAACTCAAACACTCATCATATAAATGGATTAGCACCAACTACTAAAAATATACATATGTATCTTCCAACTCTTCATCATTATTCAAATTATCATAATCAGGAATATTCTTTAATGTAATCACCTTCAATTATGGTTTATTTTATCTTTTATGGCTTACTCATTTTATATTTTTACATTGCATATTTAACTTATTATAACGATTACTGAAAACATAAAAATTAATGTTAAAAAAATAACGGCCAGGACGATACCCATACATTGTACATAAAGGATTAACAGTTTATTTGACATATACACAAACTATAACCTAGGATAATTATATCGCGTATTTTAATTATTATTATTTTATGTTATAACTACGTTTAATCTCAATATTTGACTTTTAGACTCGAATTAATAGCACATTCTAACTAATTTATTTGTTTTTTAAAGAAATACTTTTATTTTTATATTTAATTCATTTCTTCTTTAATTACTCTCTTTAATCCCCTTCTATACCTTCTCTCGAGCCTTTAACCCTCGTAATCTATCCTTTTAACCTCTTCAACCTCAAAATAACAAATAACTCTTATATTTTTATGAATAAACTTAGGATATAAGAATAAAAGACTCCATTTAATACTTATTATCTTGGATTATACCATATTATCCTTTTAAACAGTTATTTTCTATAAATCTATAATAAATATAAGGAAATCATTATAAGTTTTTAAAGAATGAAGAACAAAGTAGAAATATGGGACGATGAAGACCTCTGGGGAGATATTTGTGACGTATCAGAACGAGTTTCAGAGGTATCATTAGGCGGTGATCATATAAAAGAAGTATCATTTGAGAAAGAAATGATGGCAAAGGATATTAATGAAGTAATGGAAAAAGCAGCGATATCAGGTATTCCTTTGCCTCGGAATATTACGCCGTCGTCGTTAATAGGCGGTACTATTCGTCGTTTGGGGACACGTAAGATGGGAGTAACAGTAATGGATGATTGGGGCGATGATATACAATTAACTCCAGGAATATTGAATGAAAAGTGTATTCAAAGGTCAGCAGTGATTGAGAATGATGATGTATTTGGGGATATTGAGGATTGGCCAAGTAAATTTGAAAAGCCGCAAACAGCGGTTCAAAAACGACTTCGAGAAGGGTTGCTTCCTCGGAAGAGTGTAGAACCGTCAATAATTGCACAAAATAATCCATGTGATGATATATTTGAATCAGATTTTGATATTCCAAACAATATAGATAATTTTCATATTCATTATCCACATGCGAAAACACATACCTTAGGTATACCACATGGATCGACACTAGAAAGCGATAATGATGATTGGGGAGAATCGTCATTGGGTATACGAAGTGCAGGTGCGGAATCTATATCGGCAAGGGCATCAGTAGCATCTAGTTTGAGTCCATCTATGAATTCAATGACATTAAGCGAAGATGAGAGTATTTTGGAGGGAATAGAACTTCCATCAAGTGCATTGGATTTACAAAAGAGATTTGACATATGTAGACAAAAAAAGATAAATGAGCGTACTCTTAAAGAGGCACAATTTTTAAAGGAAGACTTTTTTGCAGATATTGAAGTTGACAGAGACAATTTTCTTGATTCATCAAAGAATTTTAATTCCAATGTCAATATTGTTAAACATTTTATGGATAATGATAAACAAAATGCTCAAAGACAGCCACAGGCAACAATTAAGCTTAGTTCAAAGTCATCTCGTATTCCACAACCAGTTTTACCACTGCCTAAAATGAATAAAGAGAATATTTCTAGGCCATCATATTCAGAAGTTCGACCTTTAGTCCAGGAGAAAATGATGTCAAAAAAGCCTTCATTAATGAATTTTCAAGAACAAGAAGATAATTTTCATTCTATGTCTACGAAACGATCAATGCCTTCTTTGCAGTCTCAATATATATCTCCTCCTCAGTATAATTTACAGGATAATTCACGACTTAAATCGAATACTTATAATATTCATCATAATCATCCCAAAACTGTTTTAGAAAATGGGCACTTAAAAGCACAATCAAATAATCATAGCTCATCTAATCAAGTATATTCAAGAGGAAGTGATGAATTTCCTGCAATGGCTAATAGGATTCCACGATATGCTTCACCTACCAATGCATCCTTAGCAAGAGGTGCTATACCATTAAATAAGTTTCAAAAATGTACATCTGATGGAATACCTCGAGATCATTCTCCTTTTAGGATTTTAGCTTGTCCACAAAAACCATCAAATTATGGAGATGGAACAGAATTAGATGCATTTGACGATTTACCTACATGTTCTGCCACAGAGAAGAAATATTCAGAAAAAATTTATAAAAAAGAACATTCAAAATTAAAAGAAGCTTCAGATGTACTGTTGGAGACTTATTACTCAAAGATTCCTGAGATGGGTAAGTTTTTTTTTTAATAAAAAGTAATCAAATAATCATATTTCTAGATCGATACAAAGAGGAGTCTTCTAAAGGTATTGCTCATCCAGCAATTGTTAAGAACAGTGGTTTCAGACCTAAAACTAATATACAACTATTTCCTACAAAAATCAAATTGAAGAAAAAAACTAAGCAAATGCCTACACTTATTCGTAATTTAAATTCATCGCCTATTCCTAAAGGTACTTTTTCCTGCTTATTATTATTGATTAAATTCTTATGTAGTTGTTGGACAAATGAAATATAATCCTCAAACTCGAAATTGGGAAGGCAATGAAATAGAATTACAAAAATTTGATTTGTATTATACATCACCACGTCCAGCACTTATTTCTCATATTTCTGATAAGAAAGATGTACAAATTGTTGGTGATATGATGTTTGATCCTCAAAAGATGTGCTGGATTAAAATCAATCCATCATTAGAGGATGAAAATGATCCGTTTGAGGGAATCAAGGATTTAGCCAATAATGATCCCTATGCTTTTTTCGAATCAGGGAATAATTCTAACAGTTTATCAAATTCAAACTATTTAGATACCCAGAATTTTGTTGTAGGTGAAGAATTCGATGTAGGTCCAGGATTTGTTCGAAAGCAAAGGGAGGAAGAAGAGAATTGGAAGAAAAATATTCAAGGCTGGATTAAACAAGGATTTCCAAATCGCAATCATTTACGAGAAATTAGAAAAGTATTTTTAACTGTTAATATTTTTTTGCTAATATTTGTTATAGATAGTTATAAATGGACGATAATATAAAAGATGGATATATGTAGTATTTATTTTAACTATTTGAGTATACAAATTACGTATAACTATATATATGATTTAACTCTAAAATAATTTTAAAACTTATTCAAATAATCGAAACATTTACTAGGTATGTTAACAGCTCTAGACCAGCTTTTGCATAGTGTATGTTTATAATATAGTAATATTGAAATTTTGTAATTTTTTCTATTTGATAAATGATGTTTTCTACAATAATCTTTTATCTAAATAAATTGAAAAAAATGTAATATGGAAACATATTTTAAAAAAAATGTTAAGAAAAATGATACAAATACTTTAATAGATTTAGATTCGAAGAACCAATACAATTAAGCAGGTAATTCAAATTTCTTTCCACAAAGCACTTTTGTATAATAAAGCCAAAAGAAATCTGCATACAATCCCGTCTAAAATACGTTAAAATATATAAATAACAGACTATCTTCCATCATACTTGAATAAGACCTGCAATAATAGCAACAATATCATAAAACCTTTCTGTTATGTATCGATAAATCCAATTTGGAATATAAAGTCCTCTATACAATCCCAAACAAAACAAATAATGCGTAGTTAAGTTTTCCGCCTCTCCTGTTCTTTGTAACATTAATAATTGCGGAAAAATAGCAACTGATTCAAGCCATATACTAAAACACCAAAAAATCTTTAAAAATATTAAGAAATTAAAAAAAAAAAAAGAAATTTATGCACTTCTAAAAATGTATATCTGTTTGGAAAAATAACCGCTAATATAGCTGCTCCACCAATTAAATACTGTATTTTAAAAGTATCTATATTCGGGTCATTTGTAGGCTTAAATGGTCCCTTCATAAGATATATAATATAATTCTGACTAGCAATAAAAAATATCTTCATAAATGTATTATAAAAAGAAATATAATTAAAAAAAAGATCTGCCATAAAATCAAAAACTTCTAAATAAAAAACTCTGTTCTTATTCACCAATATATCGAGTAACATAAACAATTGAGAATAAGACTTGTGATTTAAATGATATTCCAGAGCAAGACCTTGATTTACGGATCTTCTGAAGCAAAATAAAGACACTAGCAAGATGTGAAAGATCACCTAAAAATGGTCATTTTTCACCGTTCAAAAACCAAATAAAGACAATATACCAAGAAATCTAAATAAATTCATCTTATTTTACTTTTTAAAAGGGCCTTTACTACCCTTTTTTATCTCTTTTATAAACTTAATAATATAGACAATTTATTTGTAGTCGATCGCAGCAATTTTTCAGGTAATATTGAGCAAAAAAAAAGACGATTTTTGCACCAAAACACAATGTCTTATATGATTAAAGAAATGTATGAAATAGATTTCAAATGTATTTATAGGAATTAAAAAAATATATAAAGTTTGAAAAAGATGAAGAATCATTTTTAATAAAATTTAAGAATTGTTGAGTAATGTTGTTAAAAATGAGGGAAATAAGTGGTAAATGATGTAATAAGAGTATTTTATTAAAGAATTTTTTATGTAGTAAATTATTAGTTATTATAATATTTGTTTATGAGATAAAGGTTGTTAGCGAGGAAAGAAATCTAAGAGGAATTGATTAGAATAAATAAATAAAAAGTTTAATTTTAGTTTAAATCTTAGCCATTATTTTATCTAGATTATGTATAGAAAAGAATATAGTTTTTATAATTAATGATAAGCCATTTTTTTAAATATACAAGAATTGTAATTAAGATCAGGTTTAGATATACACTCAATACACTGGTCAATTATTAAAATCTAATAAAAATAATGATATGGAAACTTTTGCATGGTTTTAAATTTTAATTGACTTTAAATACCAATATTTAATTCATAAATATTATAATTCATGGATTGTAGAATCAAACAAGATACTTTTAAATATACTTAAAGATCTAATTCCAACTATAAAAATAATATAAAAAGATATATTAAAAATAATGAAAAGAGAGGGAGAGAGAGAGAGATTATTTTACAATTGTTTAAATATAAAAATTTGTTAATTCATTTTTGTTATTTTTATAAATTCAATGGTTCTTTCGTCGTAATAATAAATGTTTTAAACTCTATAAAAATTACTTCATTCAAACTCTTAAAATATATAATAAAACAAATATTTTTCATGTAAAAATGTCAAAAAAAATCATAATTCTTAATCAAATAATTATTTAATTCAATTCATTTCTTTTATATCACATCAATATTCCCAACCCTAACCCTAACCACAAGCGCTAACCCTAACACCAAGCATAACCCTAACCCCAAGCACAAACCTAACCTCCAACTATAACCCTAACCTCCAACTATAACCCTGGCCCAACCCCGACCACAGACCTAACCCTACCCTTAATACACGTAATATTCATCCGTACACACATATTATCAACGAACACACAGTGTGTCCCGTATTTAATATTGAAACTAACGGTTGTTTTAATTGACAAGCCAAACGTCACGAACGAACCACCCGTGTTGATATTTTTATTAATTGATTAAATTGATAAAATTTATGGAGAATCAGTGCATTTGAATGAGAGAATCGTAACGGCGGTGAGAAGAGGAATCGAATGATATAATTTTTAATAGTTTTTATAGATTTTTAATAATATTTATAAACATTATTTGTAGTGTTTTGATGAAAAAAGAAAGATAATAGATAATTATAATGAGAACATTCTCTGGAATAGAGAATATAGATGAGAAACAAGAGGATATGATAGAAACGGTAGTTCTAGGAGGGCAGAATTGCTGGCGAGGAAAAAAGAACGAGTTAAAAGTATATAATAATTGATAAGAAAGAAGTAGTATTTGATCAGGGTTTTAGAATGAGGAAGAATATAATACGAATATATCATGTGAGTTAGATAAAACATTTGGAGATGTATGCATGCATTTATAAGTGTTTTATATGGGAAAACTAAATATTTTTGATGATAGAGCGAAGAAGACCAAATAACACAACAATTATCGGAGATTAAGATAAAAAATGACCATATAGGACAAAAGACAGATGAAACGAAGAAGATGGGGACATCTAAAGAACAGGAAATATTAAAATCGGTTCATATAGGAAATCCAACACCAATTATGCATGACCATGCACGTTCTATTTCTATGTCTACGGATGCGTCATCGATGATATCGCCACTTACACCAGTGGATTTTGCATCATCATATGCAACATTTGCAGAATCGGCAGAAATAGCCCGTTTAAAAGCAAAATTGAAGGCATCACAACGACAAGTTCAACATCTTGAAGAAGAAGTAGCACAGTCTAGAATTACGGCGCAAACAATTGATCAAGTAATCAATATTTCAGGCGCAGAAAATTATTTACATAAATTGGATGTTTCTCAATTGAATGATTTTCATCGATATTCTCAGACAGCAAATTCGCATATGACATCATATTGGCCAGTATCCTATACCGAGGAATCTACGCCAGACTTTGAATCCGAAGAAAATATACCATTATCATTTCCTAAACGAAGCAATAGTAATACATGGAATTTTATACCTCGATCAAATAGTCCTCTTAAAAATACGACTACTATGCCGTTAAACGAAATACAGGCAACTGCTAGATCATCGCCAATCTCTACTCAGACTTCGGAAACCGGAATGATAAGGCCTTGGAAGGTACATCGTGCTTCTACTAGTATTAGTGGACCTCCAGTAAGTGGTGGATTTAATCACTTTGCCTTGTCCGGAAGAAGAGCGTCTACCGATTCTAATTATGCTTCATTTAATAATTTTGGTTCTTTTCCTAATCAACCTCCATCTCCTGCTATGTCTGCAGTTTCCACAGGTTCATCATCAGGAATACCTCGTTTACCCATGGCTGTACCATCTACTTTTAATTCTATCCAAGTTCCAAACGATCATCAGGGAAATATTGTACCAGGAAATGTAGCAATGAATCAACATATTTGGAATTCTAATGTAACATCTTCTTCCAATGGTATACAAAACAATTTACTTATATTTTTTAGACATCTATCCCTCAATCTGCTTCAGGATATATTCATTCTCAAGAACCCATTAATTATCGTCGTCTTTTAGATAGAAATGCTGCGTACAATTGGCAGGTATTATTACACTTATTTTAATTGCTTACACCCTTGATATATTAAATTATTCATAAGGTTATCGTAGACAAAATCGTATATTGTAATGATCAACAAGCCTCAATATTTCTTCAACAAAAACTTAAGCTAGCTCCTGCTGAACAAAAACATGCTATTATTGATGCTATTGTAGCTCAAGCTTATCCTTTAATGTTAAATCGCTTTGGCAACTTTCTTGTACAACGATGTTTTGAGCATGGTACCCAAGAACATATAGATGGAATTGCTTCTGCTATTAGAGGTAATGTTCTTACGCTTTCAATGGATGCATTTGGATGCCATGTCGTTCAAAAAGCATTCGATAATGTCGCTGAAGATGTAAAAGCAACTATGGTTAGCGAATTGCTTCGTCGAATTCCAGAAACTGTAACTCATCGCTATGCTTGTCATGTATGGCAAAAGCTTTTTGAGATCCGCTGGGAAGGATCACCTCCTACTATCATGAAATACGTAAATGCTGCTCTTGAAGGCATGTGGCATGATGTAGCTCTTGGTGAAACAGGAAGTCTGGTAGTACAAAATATTTTCGAAAATTGCTTGGAAGAAGATAAGGTTAAAAACTCTTTTTAAACATTTTGTATTAACATTTAATCATAGAGGCCGTGCATTGAAGAAGTTTTAAATAAAATTGATATTATTTCAAGAGGTCAATGGGGCAATTGGGTCATTCAGCATATGGTTGAATATGGATCTCCTTCAGATAGAGAAAGAGCATTATCGCATATTCTCGAAAATTCGGTAGCTTACAGTGTTGATCAATTTGCTTCCAAAGTAGTGGAAAAAGCAATTAAAGCAGGAGGTCCAGATATCTTAAATCAATATTTAGCCAAAGTTACAGAAGGACGAGCCGATAGACCTCGTATCCCTTTAATCGATATAGCTTCTGATCAATATGGGAATTATCTTATTCAGCATATATTGCAACATGCATCTCCAGCTCATCGTGATCAAGTATCAACTCAGATTCGCAAACATATGGTATCATTACGTGGGAGTAAATACGGGCAAAAAGTAGCATTTCAAGTAGAAAGATGGAGAAGTCATCATCATCATTCATCTTATCATGGAACATATAGTTATTAAGTTTTTTATAATTTTAAGTTTACATAAAATGCGCATAATTAAGTTTAGATTTAACACATTTATAGCACTTATGCATTCTGGATTAATCTTTAGGCATTATGTATTTGTTATTTTTTTAACGAAGCTAGATCTTCTGGTTTCTGCTTTGCTGGCATATGTAAAAAATTTTAACTTTGCGTTCAATCATTCATAATATTATATGGTTTGTATTAAGGAAGATATAATTAACTTGGATAATTTTTTAAAACATAAATCGCTTGTTAATAGAATCTATAATTTATTTATAAAACATTTATTAATCCTTCCTATGTTTTGTCCAATAAAACTGATGTATCCGCACTTTCATCCTCTTTATATTTTAAAGTAGTTTGACAACCTTTTCAATAGAATTATTTTAAATAATAATAACAATATTAATCATACCAATACACTCAAACAAAATTTCATGCGCAAAAACATCACAATCAATACAAAAATGTTTATGACAATCAGAACATGCATACCGAAAACTAATTGAAACAGAATTATGCATAGTCGAAAACGAATCTGTTCTATTTTTTTCTTTAAAATGATTCATACTATTATAAAATAAATCTGAATTAAGTTCTTTAGGTTTTTCAGGAAAAGGGATTAAACAAGCATAACAATGAGTCGAAATTGCTCTAGATTTAATATTAAATCAAATATTAAATAAATAATTTGAAATATTACTCTTCCCATGGAACCTCTACCCAATTCTTAAGAGGAAATAAATGGTGATAAGAACGTGCTAAATGAGTAGACATAATTAATGTAAGATCACAGTTTGGACAATTAATTGGAAGCGAACAAACGTTTGAATAACATCGTGGACAGAGATATCCTTCTTTAATTACATTCGAATGACTAAAAAAATAAGACATCAAATATTTTCTTAATAAAAATATTACCAAGAACACAATGTTTCTTCTTCAACTAATTTCGACGGAAATCCCATCATAATTAACGTTCCTGATGATTCATACGACTTTCGTAAAGCAGGAGGTATGACAAATTGCATCAAAAGATCTTTAAAATGCTGTTCATTCAAAACAATACCATAAGACGCTGTTTTTTATTAGAACTTCTTTAAAAATAAAAGATATATATTACATTCGTCACCTGCATTCGTCTCTTTACATATTTTCCGACAAATGGAAACTGAAGCAGAAAGACCAACCATATATACACGAATTTTATCATCAACTAAAGCATCAATTGTCTCATGAATATCACCTGGATCAAGTGACATTAATGAACCAAAAATTAGTAAAACTTCTTTTGTTGCATGCTTTGGAGCAGAACTATAAAACCAATTAACCATATTTTTCAATTTTTTCATTTATTTACTATAAAACTGTACGAGACATCTCTAAAGCATTCTGTAATGACACATCACCTGATGGATCCATCTGTTTCAATCGTTTTAAAGCAATCAAATGCTCATGAGGACTTCCTATACATAACCTTTTTAAAAAATTCTACTAAAAACTCCTAAAACTACCTCCTTGATAACTAATAAGCATAGAACGACCATCACGCATGCCAAGAATTGATAATTGACCTAACGGATTCTGCTCAAAATATTCTAAAACAAATGCACATGCATGGTCAATTTCTACAAGAAATCTACTAGGAATCATGTCTCTTTTAGCCATTGCTGAACTAAGATCAAGAATAAGGACAAGATATCTAATAATTCCACGCTGTAAAGGAATTGTATCACGAATAATCCTGACAACCCAATAAAAAAAAAAAAATACACCAAAAAATCAACCTTTTGCGTTTTCCAGCTTGCGTTATCTGTATAAGCGTAGTAGTAAGGCTCCCTTGTTGATCTTCTTGAACAACATCCCAAGAGCGATGATATGCTTTTTCCCATGAATATCCACTCACTGAATTAGACTTTGGGACTAAAGATATACGATTCTTATGCTTCTTCCTCTCTTTTTTACCCTTTTTTTCGCCTCTTTCCTCCTCAAAAAGTGAAACATCTGATGATGATAGTTTCTCAATATAATCAATATCTGATTCCACCATATTTTAAATAAAAAAAAAGATAAATAGTTATTAAAAGTGTTAAAATATATTAAATAAAGAGGTTAAAAGGTACATTTTGTGCTTATTTCTTGAATATTTGGCAGAAAATTGAGACATAAAATTTTGTGAGGTTGAAGATTTTTGTACGGGGAGATTGTCATGGAGACGATTGTTATGGAAACCGTCGGTATGGAGACTATTGGCATGGAAACAGTTGGTATGGAAACAATTACCATAGAAACTATTGTCATGGTAACTATTGTCAGAAAATATTACTATAGAAGAGTAGTTAGAAGGAATATAGAAAAAAAAAACATATAAAAATACAGCAAATAGCCTATTTAACATGTCTATTTAGTCTATCAGAGCACATACTAAATTAAAAAAAAACTAGACACACACAAAGATAATTGAGCCGGTTATGTAAAAATATGTTCTTAGCCATTAAAGAAATATTGGTTATAAAAGAAAAAAAAATAAAAACAACTGATATTTATAAATCTTATGAAGGAACATTAAAATCAGTGTCATCTTCATCGTCTTCAAGTATATCATCGCAATTAACATCTTTTACATAATCTACCCTTATTCCGCGTGTTCGACATGATTTTATGATATTTGAAGGATCGATCTCAGCCATATCATCTTCTGTAGCGTCTTCTAAATAAAAAATTAGTATATAATTAAAAGCAAAAAAAAATTGTAAAAATTAAATAAAATATTTAATAAATATTTAAAACAGATATTTAATAAAACCCCTTTCAAGAAAAAAAGAAAACATGACATAAGAAAACATCCATATGCTGTAATACCTTCATCAATTTCCTATAATCCATAATATATCTTGATATATTTTTTTTATTAAAAGAATACCTCTAAATCATTTTCATCGTCTGAATCACCATCACTTGAATCATCCTCAAGATCTTCATCATCTTCTTCTAATATTTCAGGTGATTCAATAGAGTCTAAAGCCTTTTCTTTTTTCTTCAATTCATATCTATAAATTCGATTTTAGAAAATTTATACACAAAGTCTTTAATTATTATAATCACAAGAGAAACTTACTGATTACAAGGAGATTCTACAGTTTCTTGCATTTTTAATAAGAAAAACTAATATTTAAAGACTTTTTTATTTTTTTTTTAACGCTTAGACGTTTATTCTTAACCACCCCTAAGAAAGTTAAAATAATAATTTTTAAGTAGTCTAATTGAAAGAAAAATACAAAGATATTAGTTAAAATAGTTAAATTTATAAAAAACCCTTATGAATTTAATGTAAATAATTAGAAAGGTTTTAGGGTTTATAAAAGATGATATATTTTTGAAGAAAGTAGTAAAGATATGAAAGAATATAAAGAATATAGAATTAATATGTGCTGATAATTGTATTATAATCATTTCCATAGAGAAATTGTTTAATGAAATGATCGAGCAATACATTTATATCCATAAGTACAAAATGACATATGACGTTTTCAAAAAAATCAGAGATGTTTATTAAGATTTGATGAATGCTATCTCGAGCCTTAAGTGGTAATTCATGAAAATCAAATATATTTAAAACTTGACCTAAAAAAATTAAAAAAGAAGAAAGTAAATTGAAGTAAATATAATATACCGATAATCTGTGCAGATCCAAATAAACGATAAATAGAAGTCAAATAAGATTTCCTAGGACCATCAAACTGTACAATCCCGAATTTATGTGTATTAAATTGATCAGGAGGAGGAGTTTTTATCAAAAATTTAGATTTACTAATAAATTTAATCTATAAATGATTAGAAATATATATAAAAAAGTATAAACTCACAATCCCATATCGCTTTTTTGGATTTACAACTTCAGTACCGAATTTTTTTAAAAGCCAAAAACGAAATATATCAACCATATTATCCAAATATACCAATTCTTTAATTAAAGATTGAAGATCATCTTTCTTAAGAGATTTTATTTTATTGAGAGTGAATATTAAAGATTCGCAGACTTTAATCTTTTCTTCTTCTCCTTTTAATTTTACATTTTTAACATACCATATATCTTTAGGTATAAAAAGTTGAGGTGTTATATAAGATCCTTCAGATTTAATAATAAATGGCATTAATAATTTTTGAAGAATCTTCATTAGCCAATATGTTTTTTCAATAGGATTCCTAGGTTTTTGCATATGTATGGGATCCACTTCCAACAATGAAGTCTTAGGGAGTATATTATCGTGTAAAAAAGATATATATGTATCACTATGTCTTGTTTTATTTGACGAACTAGATGGAATTAATGTTGCAGTAGATATTTGTGCTGATGAATTTGTCAATGTATCCGAAAAATTTGTAGATAATTTATCAAAATAATTGAAAGAGACGCAAGAATTATTATATAAAGAATACAATTTCTTTTTAGTTTCAGAAAAAGATTGATCATTTTGATACATGAAAGTATCTTTTTTTTCATTCGAAGTATCTTTTTCAAAAATATCATCATGTTGATTTTCTTTTTGCAATTTGTGATCTGAATAAACTCTTAAAAAAGGTGCTATATGAGTTTCTTCAAAGATTAGAGAATCTGTTGAATCATATGGAAAAACAGGTTTCTTCGAATTATCAACATGAGAAAAAGTGGGTGAATCATTCAACAATGGCGACCAATTAGCAAATGTGTTATTCAAAGAAAATATCTGTTTAGAAACCAATTCTGAATCATTTTCAATAGAAACTTTCCCAGATGAAACAGATTTGTTTTCCTCCATAATTGTATCATCAGCTTCTATATTATCCGCATTCTTAACAAGTTCCAATGACCCTTTAGAATTCAAAGGAATAACAGATCCTATTTGATCCGGTGATTCTAAAAAAGGTACTGGTGGAGAAATAATTTCTTTAATCGGCTTCAGTAAATACTTTATTGGACTTAATAAATTAATATCAGAGAATGAAATCTGCTTAATATAATTCATTGTAAATGATTTTTTTGATAAATCTGAAGTACAAGAATCCACATTATCATGAGATTCACAGTGTGGCGATTCCGGAAAAAATCCTGTAGGAGATGAAGCCGATGTCTGTGCATCTGCAAATATTGCTTCATCTGCATCATCCAAATCCGACTGATTAAGTCCATCAAGCAAATGAACTCGTTCTAAATATGCTCGATACTAATTCAAATTATAAATATCAAATATTTTAATATAATATCACTTACTGTCACCTGCAAACGCTCTTGATATTTACCCTCTGGAAGTTGCACAATAACTTCTTTCAATAATGAACATGCTTGTGTATACGCATGAATAGCTAAAATTATAACATTAAATATAAAACAAAAAAACATAGAAAATACCATCATTAATATTATTAGATGAATCTAATAAAACTGCTGTCTGTGCCTTCTAATAAAAAGTCAATATTTTTCCATAAAAACATATAAATAAATATATCAAAATAAACTGCAAATAAATAAAATAAAACTGTATAAAACACTATGTTTCATACTCCAATTTCACAATTATAAATTGCTTATTAAAAATTTAACCTCCATCTATAAATATAACTTTTGTTAATATATCTCATATTTCTCAATAATATTTCCATGTTTCTTCATATATACTCCAAATTTTTAAATATCTCTTTCTTTTCACATATATACCCAATATATAAACAAAATATACTCAAATTCTTAAACTTATCATTTTAACCAATTTCATTACATACATTAAAAGCATCTGTCAACTATATCTCATATAAATAAAACATAAACTACTTATTATATATTTAAATACCGTTGCTTTTAAATGTTCCTCTAAATTAGAGGAATCCATTAGCCGTCTTAATAAGGCTTTTAATTAACTTTTTAAATGTCCTTCGCCCGTATTCCTGACAAACGTATATATACAAGTAAACAATTTACTGCTTAAACAAAGGATAATCTAAATAATGACTAAACATGAAAGAGCTGAGGATGAAAATGAAGAAAAAAATGTAGAGAAACGTACATGTACATATCCTACTAAACCCTTATATGATACAAACGGTCAAGCATATTGGGAAGTAAGAAAAAATTACATATAAAACTCAAGTTTAAAAGAAATTTATTAATATATTAAAATAAAGTTAGAGGGACGTACACGACGATTGAGTCTGAGCCGATGGAAGGGGAAAATATTAATAGATATAAGAGAATATTATGAGGAAACAGCAACAGGACAAATGAAACCAGGAAAAAAAGGGTTATCGCTGACACAAAAACAATTTGAATATTTAACGGCGATTTTACCGGAAGTCGAGATAGTCTTAAAGGAAATGAATAAAGAGGGACCAAGTTCTGAAAAAAAATAAGCAAAATGACATGTATTATATTATATGTATATTATATGTATATTAAGTATATTATATATATTATATAGATATAATAGGTTTATTTTAACGACAGCGTTAGTATTTAAATATAAATCGCCAAGATTAAAAAAGATAAAATTAATACTAAATGAAAAATATAATTGTATATATTATATAATCGGAAAAGAAATCTATACTTTTCTAAAAATATTGTACATAACCCTTTACCCTTTATGAATTCATAATTCCTGAAACGTTAATGTACGTTTCCGTGTAAATAACGGCTTGAATTTTAAAGAGAAGCCATTACTCTGACTCTTTTAGGGTAATTATAAAAGAAAAAACTCATGCCTCACAGTACCGAGCAAAAAACTTGGTTGGGCACTTTACAACTCGGGTGTAGCGCCGATACATATTTTAAGTGCGAAGCTATATAGTAGTAATCATATATATATAAAAATAGCCCTATTAAAATAATAAAATAGATAAAAAGGCAATCTTTAAAGTGATTCTTTAAAAAAAATAAAGCTTCTATAGCACATGTATATAAAATAAAATTATGCATGTTTGTTTTTTATATAAAATAGGTTTTCAATATACAATATATATATTTTTTTGCTATATATGATATTATATCTACCGTTTTCTACGGCACGATATGTGCTTGGTGTTCCAAATGGCGTCTTAATCGCCGGTTTTCACACCTTTCCCCTGCTTTTCCAGCCGAACTTCGCTTTATAGGGTTCAACCCCAAATCTCTGAAGTATGGTTCCTCTAAGCGCCCTTAAAATCAGATCAATGCAGATCAGTGTTCCGTACGATTCCAAGACGGTCTGCTTGGACGCATCTGATTAAATACTTGGCAAATTACTAACACAACAGAACGACCCAATTCTTTCAGAACGCTCTAGGGCTCGGCCGGCCGAGCCGATGAAGAGCAAACAATCCTCTCAAGGCTCTACACTTATATATACAGCTACAAAAGGGGAAAATGAATCTAATGAACAAGTGGATATATCAGAGTTTGATCCAACGGGTCAAACGTGTCCTCCTGGCGGAAAACCAAGAGTAACAACCACCTTTTGGGAGGATGAAGGGACGCTTTGTTTTCAAGTAGAAGCCAAATCAGTATGTGTTGCACGTAGAGAAGGTATGCTTTATCATTTAATAAGCTATATGCGTTATATTTTCAAATTATGCGTATTATATGCGTTAATTTTCTACAAAATAAATGCATATTATCCATATATTATTATATAAAGGCATATTACTTTATTTTTAATATATTGACTCAATTGAATCAATTATTTAATAAATCGTTTATTCTGAAGGAAAAAACAAGCAAAAACGATGTATTTTACATATAAAACGGAACAAATGATTCTTAACGTGGACTTTGTTATTTTTTATTTTTATATATATATTTGGTTATCTAATTTATTTTTATAGATAATGATATGGTTAATGGTACGAAACTTCTCAATGTTGCAGGAATGAGCCGCGGCAAACGAGATGGTATTCTTAAGGGAGAAAAAGTTCGGTCGGTTGTTAAAGTGGGAGCAATGCATCTTAAAGGCGTTTGGTAGGAAGATATATTAATATAATTATTGAAGGATTTATGGATATTATAGGATTTCATTTGAAAGAGCTCTAGAATTTGCGAATAAAGAGCGTATTACGGATCTTCTTTATCCTCTTTTTGTGACGAATATTAAGGCATTTTTATATCATCCAACTAATTATGTACGAACGACGGCGGTAATGGCGGCAGCACAGCATCTTCAAATGCTTAGATTATCAAGAAACCGAAATCATAGTGTTGCAAGACGTTTAAAAGAAAGACAAATGACGCCGCCTCATACTGCACCAATTTTAATGAATAGAAGATGGTCTCAAGAAGGGGCATTGCCTAATAATACATCAACATATATGAATGCATCTACAGTAACACAGTCACTCCCAGTAACCCCGGTAACAACACCACCCGGATATTTTCTTCGTTCAACAGTTCAATCATCAGAAGAAAGACCGCAAAACTATGTTTTTTCGTATTCTGAACCAAGAAATAAAATATGCCATAGAAAACAATTTCAGCAGACATACGGAATTCCTGTTTCACGATCATTATGGGGAATTTCGAGAGAAAGACGAGCATCTGCTTCTTCATTATCATTAGACCATGAGGAATTGAAACAAACATACGAAGAAGATTATATTAAACAACATCCACCTTTATATCGAGAAATATTTTCTCAACAAAATCAGCCATTTCATGAATTAATGGTTCAAAATCCATCTTTATTATCCCCTGTTGCCCATGAATATATACAAAAAGAAGGTATTAATGCAAATTCGGGTGTATCAATGACACTTCCGGGACCTGCATATCAAGCATCAGATGATGCATCAACAATTAATTCGCAATCATCATATAGCTATCAATCTGTAGATGATACTTATTTATATCTACCAAATACTACAAATATGCCTTCTACATTAAATGATCTAGACCCAGGACAAACAACAAGTACACATTTTCCTATTACAACAGCGATAAATCAATGGGAACAGCGAGATGTATTAAGCCCTAAACGTTATTCAATTGGTCATAATAAACAACATTCAATATTTACGAAAACATGGTCGCCTCAAACATGGAAAGAGGCATCACGATGTAACGACTTTTATCATCAAATAGTTGATACAAATTTGAATAATCGACTCTCTCGATCTACATCAATTGATCAAGCATATCTTTCATTAAGAAATGTATCAGATGATCATCAAAATGATTATAGCAATATTCATTTAAACACAGAAAGTATCACTAATAAAGATGAAACAAATGGGTTTAACAATGCAAAATATATTGAACAAGACATGTCTGTTTCATCTAACTTTAATTCAACTCTTTTATCAGATGTCTCAGATATGAAAGTAAACATGTTTTCTAATATGAAACCTCACAAACGTCGAAAGACAATTCATGAATATATGCCAATATTGATTCAAGATAATTTAACTAATGTAAACCTAAATCAAAACGTTCAAGACGTAGAAGCGAATAGATGTCATCTTATTCTCGACATCTGATTATCTAAGTTTATGGTTTTATGATTAATAGCATCTTAATAATATATGAGAAAAAAAAGTTTTTTGGATAATATACGCATTGAAATTATGTATAGCAAAAACTGCGATATGATAGAAATTCTAACCTAGGACTGATTATGTGTAATTTATTTTTCATTTATAATGATTAGCTAATAATCATCATAAATGAAAAAAAAAATATTAGCATTGTTTTGATTTATTCTTTAGATGACTTGAATATTAGTAATCGCTCGAGTTTATGAAAGACTAATGATTAACGGCAATAACAAATACATTTTGAATATCTTTACATTCATTTCACATATTATGTCAGCTTTTAATATATCAATTAGAAACAAAATCATTGAAGCTTTATATTTTATCTGCTGTATATATATCTAATTCAAGATTTTTTTCATTATATTCTAAGTTTTTTTTTCTCTCTAAAGGCACTACTACTTCAAACCAACCATTGCAACTATAGACCGATCCGCGGACTTTTTTTAAGAAATTGAAAAAAGATAGGATAAGATAAAAAATAATATTAAAAAAGCTTTAAAAAGTGTTAATAATAGACCATTTAGATAAAAATAATTAAGGACTTTAAAGATTTTAATATTTTTTTTTTATAAAAAAAATAAGGGTATTTTTTTATTTTTTTAACCTTTAAATAACAAAAATACAAGAAGAATGGATGAATACGATTATCTTTTTAAAGGTACAAATATCTTCTTTAAGTTGTAACAATATATTACAACTTATAATTATTATTTTTTTTTCATTTATTAAAAATAATTTTTAAAGTGGTATTAATTGGAGATTCTGGTGTCGGAAAATCAAATTTATTAAGTCGTTTTACAAGAAATGAGTTCAATGTATGCCATTTAATATTGGCCATTCTCTTTTATATATTTATATTTTTTAGTTAGAATCAAAATCTACTATTGGTGTAGAATTCGCTACAAGAAGTATACAAGTAGATGGAAAAACAATTAAAGCACAAATATGGGATACAGGTTTAACATTCTACAATATTGTATATATTTTTATATTTTTTATAGCTGGTCAAGAACGTTATCGTGCAATAACATCTGCGTATGTATTTTCTTTAAATAAAAGATCACTAGATTAATATATACATCAAAGATACTATAGAGGTGCAGTCGGTGCTTTATTAGTTTATGATATTACAAAACAAGGAAGCTATGATAGTGTCCAAAGATGGCTTAAAGAATTGTCAGATCATGCGGATTCCAATATTGTTATTATGTTGGTTGGAAACAAAAGTGATTTAAGACATTTACGAGCAGTATCTACAGAAGATGGCAAAAATTTTGCAGGCATTTTTTTTATTTTTATTCATTTATTCATCCATTTATAACTATTTCATTAGCGGAATGCAAACTTTCTTTTATCGAAACATCTGCTCTTGATTCAACAAACGTCGAGGTTGCTTTTCAAACAATTTTAAATGGTTAATTCCCTTTTTTTTTCTTCTTCATAAATATTCATTTTAACTTAGAAGTTTACCAATCCATGTCAACAAAAAATACTGATTCAAATGATTTAATTACACGGCCTACCGAAGGACAAACAATCATCGTTTCATCATCATCTAAAGAAAATACAAAATCTACCGGGAAATGTTGCTGATTTATTATATCTATAATGAAACCATATTCATTATATTTATTTTATCTATTAAATTAAAAAATACATCATTTCATTCTCGATTAAAAACAAAATCTATTCTATTCAATTCTATTTCAATTCTATTTCAATTCTATTCAATTCTATTCATTTCTATTCATTCTTCCCTTTACTCCTCATCTATAAATTTATTTTTTTCCAAGTCCTCTGCGATATACTTATTTATTAATATTTTTTGATAGAAAATGAATATTGAAAAGCTTCAAGTAATATTAATTAATTCCTTTATAAAAATTAACTTCTTCTTATTAATCTAATCTGTTTATTTAGGTTAAATTTCCTAATCTTTCTCAAGAAAATCTTTTTGGATTAATAAATGATTTTAAGTAAGAAAAGCTTTGATAAATGGGAGAAAAAAAGAGAGAATATCACTAAGATTTATTAAGGAAACTTGATATTGACGGGAAAGGATATGTAGATAAACATACTATTGTTAAAGCGGCAGAATATTATGGAGAACGTAAATCATATGATGAAGTCCGGGCGACTTTAAAAGAATGTCATTTAGATAGTAGTGGAAGAGTAGAAGTGGAGGACTATATTGAGGAAAGTGAATGGAAAGAGATTAAATGAGTATTTTTAAAGAAAAGGAATAGTTAGTAACGAAATTACGTGAAGGACGTAATCGGAAAGCTTTTGAGGTAAATAAGAACCGAATTACAGTTCAAGGATCATCAGCGAATGTAACACATACGATTAATGAGGATGAACGAAAAGAATTTACGCTACATATTAATTTAGTGTTAAAAAATGATGAAGATCTATGTGATCGACTTCCATTTGCGTAAGTTTTTAGAAAGAAGATAAGAAAAGGGCCGAAAGAAGTGTTTTGTGGATGATTAATAAGTATTATTTAAATCTAGTATTTTTTGGCACTTTTTTATATATTTATTTTCTTTATGATTTTATGAATGAATGAAGAGTTTAATTATTGAATAGGGAAGATACGATGCAAATTTTTGATGAATGTAGGGATGGACTTGTTCTTTCTAAGCTTATTAATGACTCTGTTATGGATACAATTGGTGAAGATGAAAATGTTTTTTTGTTTATAGTATTTTAAATGAAGTAGATGAACGTGTTCTTAACAAGCCATCACGTGGAAGACCGATTAATAATTTTCAAATGATGGAAAATAACAATATTGTTATTAATTCAGCTAAAGCTATTGGATGTTCAGTTGTAAATATTGGTGCTCAAGATTTAATTGATGGAAAAGGTGAGTATTAAAATTTATATAATAAAAATATTTTAAGTGAGCAAGAATATCTTATTCTTGGTCTTATATGGCAAATTATTCGTAAAGGACTTTTGAGTAAAGTTGATATCAAATTTCATCCTGAACTATATCGATTACTTGAAGAAGATGAAACACTTGAGCAATTTTTAAGACTCCCACCTGAACAGATTCTTTTAAGATGGTTTAATTTTCATCTAAACGCAGCAAAATGGGATAAGAGGTATATTTATTTTACAATTGTTAATTTTTTTACAATGATAAAGAGTGACAAATTTTTCATCAGATGTATCTGATGGTGAGAATTACATAATTCTTCTTAATCAATTGAAGCCAGAGGAATGTACAAGAGATCCTTTAAAAACAACGGATTTATTAAAAAGGGCAGAAGAAGTATTTTATCAATAAATTTTATTATTTTATTTTTCTAATTTATAGATTTTACAATCTACTGAGAAAATAGGCTGTAGAAAATATTTAACACCTAGTGCTCTCGTTTCTGGAAATCCAAAACTCAATCTTGCTTTTGTTGCTCATTTATTTAATACTTTTCCTAGTTTAGAATTATTAGAAGAATTCCCAGAAATTGAAGATTATGATGCAGAAGGAGAACGCGAAGCAAGAGTCTTTACTTTATGGCTAAATAGTCTTGATGTAGAACCTTTTGTAGTTGATTTATTTGAAGATTTAAAAGTAAGAAACTCTTTTACTTTATTATTAATTAATTTTTTCAAAAAGAGTGGGTTAATTTTATTACAAGCTTATGATAAAGTTATAAAAAATTGTGGTAAATCTTCCTTACAAAATTTAAATATATTTTTCATGACAAAAATAAAATAGTAAATTGGAAACGTGTTTCTAAACCTAAAGATGGCATCGAACTTTCTCGATTCAAATCTGTTGAGAATGCAAATTATGCTGTTGAACTGGGAAAAGGATGTGGCTATTCTCTTGTAGGAATTCAAGGTGCAGATATTGTCGATGGATCCAAGACCTTAACATTGGCTCTCGTTTGGCAATTGATGAGGCAAAATATCATACAAACTCTTAGTTCCTTATCAAAAGATGGCAAAGAAATTACTGATTCAGACATGGTTTTATGGTGTAACCAAATGTCTCGAAAAGGCGGTAAAACTAGCACAATTAAAAGTTTCAAAGATCCTTGTTTAAAAAATGGCATATTTTTATTAGATGTATTAAATGGTCTAAAAAGTGATTATGTCGATTATAATCTTGTAACTTCTGGAGTTTCATATGAAGATGCTTTTTTAAATGGTATTTTTTTCTCTTTTTTATAATCATAATTAATATTTCAATAGCAAAACTAGCCATTTCAATTGCTAGAAAGATGGGCGCACTTATTTTCCTTGTGGTAATTCTCTTTTCATCTTATTATCTCCTTTCTAACTCTTAAAAAGCCCGAAGATATTGTAGACGTTCGTTCACGTTTGGTAATTCATTTAATTTCTATCTTATTTTTATAATTATTTATTAGATTTTGACATTTATCGGAAGTCTTATGGCTCTACAATAAAAACAATGACAAGACTCCTCTTTTTTATTCATTTATATTATCATACATCACACTCATTTTTGATTATTTTTTTTCAATTTCTCATTCTAAATCTATTTCTATATGGATTTTAACTTAATTATTCTATAAAAAATAGAATGTTGTATATTTAAATCTTTTCAATACATATTACTATTCCTTAATATATTATATAAAGGCCTTTTACTGAGCCGATCTCTACGATCAAACCTCAGAAAAACCAGAGATATGAGATAAGCTATTTTTAAGTTAATTTATTAAGAATTATAACAGAAAACTAACATTTTTATAGATATTCTTATTAGAAATCTTAAGATGTCTTTTGAAGGAGGTCAACAGGCAGTAGTTCGGGCTACATTGGGTTTAACAGAAAAGTTTAAAAAACATCTAAGTCAACAGGAAAAAGAGGCAAAAAACCGGGAGAAAAATAAGAAATATAATAGAAATTCAGTGTTAGAAAGTATGGGATTAATTATTTATTATCAATATATGAAATATTCTTAAAATGAGTTGTATAGATGAGTTTGAGAGTTTAAAATATCAAACATTCGAATCAATATTTATACAAGAAAAAAGATTAAAAACGAATATTTTGATTGATCGTTATGAATTGAAATCATTTATTGGTGCGGGAGCATTTTCATGTTGTATATTAGCGGTAGATAAGTTACGACCAGATCAGCCATTTCGTGTGATTAAAAAAATGAACCAAGCATATGGAGAATTTGGACATCAAGTATAAGGAGAGAAATGAATACGACTGGGTTTTGACATCCTATTACTAGGAATATTGTTTATTAAAGCGGATTCATCGGTTACCATATTTACAACCTTTTAATCCTCCGATTGTTAAAGCATTTTCAATGTTTGTCGAAAATGAATGCTTTCATTTGGTGCTTGAGGCACTAGATCCGTTACCTATAAAGCTTGGAAGATGCATGCATCTTTCTACATCGGGTGATCCTTTACATTCACCATTAGCATGTCATGTAAGACATAAAACACTTCGAAAAATTGCAAAACAAATCTTAATATCTCTTAATATTCTTCATAATAGAGCGAATATTATCCATGCAGATTTAAAACCCGAAAATATTCTACGTTGTTATTCAGGTAAGAGATACAAGTATAATTATTGGTTAATTGGAACATTTTTTAGATAATCCTAGATCGGTAAAACTTAAAATTATTGATTTTGGAAACGCTATTCCTTTGGAAGCAATAGAAGCTTATTATGTTGATTTCGATTTACAATCAGTTTATTATAGAGCACCAGAGGTATCCGTGTACTCCTTTCTTTCTGAATTTTTACATTATTTAAAAAAAATAGGTTTTATTAGGACTACCATTTGGCCCTTCTATTGATATTTTTTCCCTTGGATTAATTTTACTTGAACTTTTATTTGATAATGATGAAATTAAAAAAAATTCTCGACCTTTTTTATCCACTGTAGAAACATCCAGAACTTCATTAGCCATTGAAATAGCTCGCTTATTAGGAAGATATCCACCTCATTTTAAAAATGCAAAATTTTGGAAAAATGATTATTATAATATAGAAATTAACGCATCATATTTATTAAAAAATAGATTAAGAGAATGCAATAATCCTTTATTGGAAGATTTCATAATAAAATTACTAGCAATTGACGACACAAAAAGACTTACTTCAAAAACAGCCTTAAATCATTTATGGTTATTTTCAGATCAATATGATTTAATGCATTGTTTGCCTATAATAAAGATAGATCATATGGAACCTTTATCTGAAGAAGCATTTTCGCTACATAATAATGATGAAATCGGCATAGATTATACAAACTTATCAGAAAACCATACTTTTGATGATATATATTATAAAGAAAAATATAAAAATACACAGGATACAAATTCTTTTAAATCTAATGAAAAATCTTTTATAAAAGAAAAATCAGCTACTCCAATCAAAAAACCTTATTGTCTTGATCCATGGATAATTAACCCTACATTAGAAGAAAATCAGGTAATTTTTTCTTTCTTCAAAATCTTCCTTCATTTAATTCAATACCTTAGGATGAGGTTTTGCTTATTTAATTACAAACATTCACATAATACTATAAACTAAATCATTAATGACCTTTTATAAGCATTTTTTTCCATTTATTACTACATTTTATACTTTCTTCATACATCTATAGGTCCTTAATTTACATTTTTTTCATACAGACTGAATAATAATATAAATATGTAATATATTCTTCTTAAATACTAATTTACAACTTTAAATATTTTAAAAAAATTATTAAAAATTATTTTTCATCAGCTTTAAGAAGTTCATTTCTCTTTTCAATACTACGTTGAATACGTTTTTCTTTTACAGCCTTTGCCTTAGCTCGTCTAGCTTCCATTTGTTGTTGAATTAGATTAGATCTTGCTGCTTCCGCCTAGAAAAAACATTTATTTTTTCTTTATATATATATATATATAAACATACTTTTTCACGATGAATAAACTCAACTAATGCCCTTTTGTGCTTAAACTGATTTCCCTTCGCCTTTGCGTATAACGTATGATATCTATATATATATATATAATTATTTTAATATATATAAAAATAAATATACAAATATTTATCAATCTTCCCGTCATCTCTATATCTACGCAGTAAACGACGAAGAACCCTTAAACGACATTGCCATTGAAATTTAGAACTGCATCGTGCATTTGCTGTTCCTTTACGTTTTCCCGGTCCCATATGACGACCTTTACTCTTAGAAGCATGCAAAAGACGAACACGAAAACGAGAATGAGTAACATGAGGCTTGCGTATGATCAATCCATCCTTAATTAACCTGCGTATATTTTGTCCTGAAAAAAATAATCAAGAAAAACCCAATATTTTAAAAAAAATATACGTGAATTAGCATTGCTAATCTCTGATATCTCATTAGGATCAATCCAGATCTTCCGTCTGCCACATCCAAGAACAGCAGCTGCTAAACGCTTCTGAGATTTTAGATTTACCATTTTCCAAGATGAACTTTGAAAAAAGAAGATCCGAGTCAAAAAATATAGTATAGATTAGGTCTAGGGTAGATAAAGATAACCATGAAGAAGAATCAGTAAAGATCACAAGTAAAGGACAATCCAATTGCCATAATTTCATTGTAAGCATCATTGCAATATGAAGTTATATGATTTTGAAAATCAGTAGAAGTAATTTTTGTAATGATACGTTTATGATAAGCAGCTATAGATTTAGCCAGAGTAGAATCAAGAGTAGCAATGTATTTATTGAGAAAAGACCGATCATAAGAAGTGATTTTGAATAAAGAAATGAAAGCAGATTCAGCAGCAAGTTGAATTGGAGTTAAAATATGATGAACATTTTGAAAAACAATAGGAACTATAAGGTTAAAATGAGGAGATACAACCTATTAATGTAAGAAAAAGATTAATGTAATTAAATACATACATCATAAGATTTTTTACTAATGCAAGAAATGATGGTTAAAATTAGTCGATTAGAATCAGATGCAATATTTGGATTTTTCATACAATTAACCAATGTTTCTATGATTAATTTAGTGTAATTAAGATTAGTATTAAAATGAGTGTCCAATAAAAATTTCCCTGCAGCCAAAAAAGAATTATTAGCAATATATGGCTAGAAAGAATTAATATATAATAAAGAATATATATAACAAACTTTATTATCCAAACAGCCATTAATAATTGAATCCACTGCTTGTGCACAACAATCTAATTCGATTAAATATTCTGAACAATCGACTAAAATAGCATTAAGTGTAAGAATGGAATAATTATTATGCTCTGTAAGAAAAATTCTTGAACTATTTATCTAAATAAAAATGTCAAAACATTAAAACAACATACCAAAGAAAGACCAAAGCATTATTTTTATCAAAATATTTAAATAAGATCATAGAAAATCTTCCAATATAACTGAGTATTTGAGCTAAATTAATTAAGTCGATATAACAATTTTCTTAATTATAACTTACGATCATTTATATACATGTTATCTTCAACTAATGTATATAATATGTTTTTTAATGAGTCGTTAATAGAAAAAGTAGGATTTGATATGATATTAAAAAGTGACTTGATCATAGCCAATTTAATACCATTGTGTACATTATTTGACCCATTAACAAGTTGACTAATTAATGGGTCAATCCTAGATTGAAGTGTAGCCAAAATTTCCAATAAAGAGGCAGCCATTGATCGCAATTGATCAGAAACAGGATCAGCAAGACATCTTAAAAAAGTTCTTTGTAATTGAGGTAAAAAAGGCCTCAAAAACGATGGTACTTTCCTTAATAAAAGCTTAAGGGTATGTAAAACATGTAATTTTACTTGAACCGGATACCATTCTCCCATTGTTCTAATAAGAGGTCCTGTAATTTGTACTACAAAAGGACTAAGCATATCAGAATTTGCGCGCTCAATAATATCAGAAATGCCTATAGCAGCCAATTCTCTTTTTTCAGCATTTCCAAATATCATTCCCTGTAAAAATATAGGCAAAATAGCATTAATTCCGTTAGGCAATTTAAATGCCTTCAATTCAGTTCCCACCATTCCAATATTATTAAGCACTTTTTGTGTAGATCCAACAAGATTCTCCATATCTATCTTTTTTAAGGAGGAAGTAAAGGCATTTTGTGCCTCCCATGCTGATTTTACTACTTCATCATTTTGATCATCAAAAAGTGATAGAAAAGCATAAATAAAATCATCAAAATATCTAGAATAATCTTGTTTTGTAGATTTAAAAAAATAAATCAAATGTTGACATGCTAAAACTTGTTTTTTCCAGTTTTCATCCTAACAAAAAATCAAAAGATGCCCAAAAAGCAAAAAGGAATACCTTTACTAGTCCAAGCATTATTGGAATTAATATATTCATACCTTCAGGATCATAAACTGAAAGTAAAACGCTATCTATAGCATTTTTAACCTCTATTTCTATCTCTGCGTCAATGTCAAATATTAATGTATCCACTAAAGCATTGATTATTGCTGAAAAATAGTACTTAAAGCTAGGACAATGAACCCGTGCAAAGGAATTAATGATCTTTGCGTTTACATCTGAAAGAGGAACTTTTGTAATTTTTGGTATCAATATTGGTAAAATGTTTTGAGGACGTACATAAATAAGTTCTTTCAAAGCTTCCAATGCATTTTTTGAATTTTTATTTGAATAAAGTGAATCAAGAAGGTTTGGTAAAATTTGATTAATAACAACATTCCCATAAAGTTCATACATAGCGCTAAACATTTGTGCTGCAGTTGCCCTAACATCTTTAATATCCATAAGACAATGATGTATAGTTTTAATTAGACCATTCTTATATGGTTCCAATGACTCAATATTCGAATTTTGAATAATTTCTATTAAAGCAATACATAGTCTAACTTTTGCAACAGGTCCGCTACAAGTTATACTTTCTTGAAGTGGTAATAACATAGAAGATACAACATCTTCTAACTTCTTTACTAACTCTCCAAGAGTTCTTATAAACATTGAATCCCGTGTTTTATTTAGAGTATTAGGACATTGAATAATCATGTTAATTATAACTGGCAAGACTTCTTTCACTGTTTTAGAAGTATTTATAACTAAAGCTTTCCAAATATTTAAAGCAGAAGACCGAACCTGTTCAATAGAATCTTGCCTTAAAATATAAAGAGAAGCCAAAATACTATCTCTCTTTTCCTGACCCAAAATATCCAAAAGAAAATTCTTGGAATGTTGAGAAGCATTGATATTTTCTTCTAAATGAACTTTCCCAGATATCCCAGTAATATGAAAGAGAAGATTGCTTATCAATTGAACAGAACCAAGCCTAATTTTCCAATTCTCATTAAATATTTCTTTTTGTAATTCAGGTAAAAGAAGATCCACTGCTTTTGTTGAATAATTATCAATAATAACTTTTCCAGCAGATAATGAAACATCACGAACAGATTCTGAATCATCTGCTAATCCTAAAAGAATCGGTGATACAATTTTTCCTATATATGGTTGAAATCTTGGTCCAAAGGCCTGAGGAAGATAAATGAATAAAGATATATACCCTTCTTTAATATATGATGTAGAACTTAAAGAATTTTCAAGAATTTGAGGCAATATATCTTCTAAATATTGAATATTGAGACCTGAAAGTATCTCAGAAATTCCCTGAGAAGAACCATGACGTTCTATTGAACTAATATCTTTTTTTAATGTTGATAATAAATCAGGTATTAGATGAGGAAAATTAGCTCCTCCTAAATTCTTCACCAATGTTCCCAAGGCTTTTGCGGATGTTTCCCTAGTTGCAGGAACTGGATCTACAAGAATTTTTCGTAAACTTATAAGTATAGTATCAAGATATGGAATAAAATCACTTGTTTCTATTAAAGATGAGATTTTTTCTATAATTTTAACTGCCTTTTTTCTTGAGGTTGCAGATCGTTCTTTTAGTCCTTGTTCTAAAACTGGCATAATCTATTTCATGTTAAATATGTTTAATATATATATATATATATATATATATATTACCATAGCAAGTAAAGTAGAATCAATTGAACTTTTAAATGAAAATCCAAGCAATAAATCAAGAGAAAGCTCTGTATATTCATTTGGATTGCTTAATGACTTCAATAAGGTAGGAATCAATTTTTGAATTTCAGGATTATTAATTATTTTGCTAAATTTCAAAAGACTATCATTTGCAGCCGAACGCACCTGTAAGTGGGAATCATTAATCATTTCAGTTAAACGAGGTATAATTATAGGCAAAGAAGAAGACAACTGATAAGGTGAACAATACGCCATAGAACTAAGAAAATCAATTGAGCCTTTTTTAGAACGCCAATTATTTTCCTCTAGTCCCAAGAGTAATGATGGCAATATTGATTTCATTCCATGTCCACTAACTTTACCCATAATTGTTTTTGCCGTATCAGAAGTACTCTCTCTGATATCTACAACAGGATCTCCAAAAGTAGTTAATAAATAAGGAATCATCTCAATAATATAAGATTCAAAAGCCTGCTCAAGAATTTGTGAAAACGATTCAATTGCAAAAAGTGCGCCTTGTCTATATTTCTGATCCTTTTTATTAGTAATTGCATTTTTAAGTGTTTCTATAATATCATATTCCTCAAGCAATTCTATACCACCACCTTTAATAACTCCTAAACAACAATAAAATTAACTAATTTAAATTAAAAACGATAATACCTGCTAAACCATAAGCAGCACCTTTTCTTTCAGCATATTTTTCAGATGTAAATAATTCTTCTTTCAATCTTTCTATGTAATTAGGAACCTTTTCTAAAGAAAATTTAATTAATGAAGAAAAAGATTCAGCAATAGCTATTTGAATATTTTCTGATGGACTTTTAAGTATATTCATAAGTTTTCCAATTGCTATAGGAATTCTTCTATCATCCATCTTTAAATGACTTGTTATTGCAGCATAAAGTATAATTACAGCCTCATTGAGATCATTTTGTAAAAACCCATCTGAAGATATTAAATGATTATCAAGAATTTTAAAGAGTTTTTCGACATGAAAATCACCATAATATGAAATGATGCTTAAGCCATTTTTTAGCATTTTTTCTCGTACTTCTGAAGAATTATCCTTTAAAGGAACATATTTGTTAGGCATTCCTAATAAGAACTCTAAAAAGAAAGGAACTATAGTTAATGTAAAATAAGGAATTAAATAAAAGAAAGATGAAGCTATAGCACTTCTAATTTCCCATGGATCTCGTCTATTTGATATCCTTGAAATAGGAATTCCATACTCATCATATTCTAATGGTTGTAATTTAGACTATATTATTAATTTAAAACATAGAATTTATAAATATTGTTACCTTTTCTTCATAAAGATCGACTAATATTAAAACAACTTCTTCTACATTTTGAGTATAATTTTTAACATATGAAGAAATTGCTTTAGAAGCACATTCTCTAATATAGCATTGATCATTACCTATAATAATTAAAATCAAGAAAATAATATTTTTATATTTATTTACATAGATAATTTATAAGAACATTCTTTGCATCATGAGATATCAAAAAATTGTTTTTTTTAATAATTGCCAAGGACAAAGAGGAGTTTATCTCATTTTTATCATGAGCAGCAAGGTATAACTCATAAAAAAAATCGCATTGTGACAAGTCTAATGACTAAAATTAAATTAAAAATACTTTCATGAAATTTTAAAAAATAAAAAACCTCTATAGCTTGAAGAACTGTATTACGAATTTGAAAATTAGAAGAAAGAGAACCTTTTATAAACTCCAATATTTCCTCTTTTGTTATATTATCCTTTATAACTTTAGATAATAGAATAAGGCAATCCTTAGCATGATTAAATTGATTAGGAAAATGACACAAAACATTTAAAAGTGCTTGAATAATTTCAAGCCTTGAAATAAAGAATTTATCTAGAAATATCAGTCAAATTTCTAAAAGATATAAATTCTGTACAAAAATCTATATGAAAAGAGAGTATATCAACAGCTAACATCACTTGTTTATCCGATTCGTTAAAGTTATTAGTTCCTATTCCATTGTTTTTTATTACTTGAATTAAAAAAGGCGATATATAAATAAAAGATATTTTATCAATAGGGCATTGTCTTGTCAAAGTATCCAATTGAAGTAGCAACTTCACTACTAATTCTATCATTTGTAAGACTACTGTTAATATTATAATTTATATAAACCATTCAAAGGTTCCTCGACAAAATCAGAATGTATATAATCAACATTAAGTATATGTAGCATTGCAATTCCAATCATCGTATTAATATCTTTCAAAGGTGTACATTTAGCACAGTTCTATGATTGGTTATTATATCAAAGTTTATTTTTTAATATTACTAAATATGTTTGAATTGTAGATTCATAGTCAATTAATGAACCCTTTTCCAATAGACTTTCTGACAATAAAACATTAACGGCATAAAAGTACCATGGATCTCTGCTTTTTTGAATAGCTAATGCAAGTCCTTGAATCACAGTAAGTCCGGAAATAAGCCGCAACTTCACATTTAGAATTTTGGTTCTAATAGCTTCTTCTTCAATTTGTTTTTTCAAAAATATTTCATTGTTCTTATTTAATTTATTCCTGTTTTTATTCAATTTGTCCTTATGTGTGTTCTTTATAGTTTTTAAGTTAATAGAATTGGTTTCAGAAATTACTAAAAAATTAATATAATTAGCTTTAAAATAAATATTTATAGAAAAATACTTTCTTCCATTTTTTTGTCTACTTTATCCTTTAATATAAAAAGGTCTTTTTCAGAAATACTTTCAAGTTCCAAATGAGAAAGATATTTCAAAAACACTTCTACAAATAAAGGAACAATTACTGCTTGATCCAAAGATGTTAAAGTAGATATGGATGATTGAATAGCCAACAATGTTAAATTGCTCTAAAATTAAAATTAAAATATACCCATTTATTAAATAAATATACCTTATTTTCAATATTGTTTTGAAGAAAATAATCAATAGTATTAACGAATTCTAAAGCATGACTAGTTACCAATACAAATGGATCCATTTTATTTCTTTTACATAATTTGACCCAATTCAATTTATTTTCTAAAATAATTAGCTATTATTTATAACTTAAAAAATATAAACTTAATAATGAATGATGATACAAAACAATTGTCTTTATTAGTTGTTTTTCGAAGCTTTCTTTATCTTTTTGTGACAAAAATTCATAATCACTAGGTGAAATTGAATTAATGATAAAAAAGATAGCGTCAAGTATTGTAAGATCTTTATATGTCGAAATATTTGATGTTTCTAACTATAAAATAATTATTAAAAATAAACTAAATTCGAAAGACTTTACTAGTTTAATATATTTCCATATTTCAGATAAAAAAATATCTAAAACCAATTCCCTGGATTTTAAATAACAACGTTTTATCATACCACATATTGTAGAAACAATTAAGTGATCATGAGATATATTTGATAATAATAGTGAGAATGATGCTTGAGCCCATAAAAATCCTATTTTTTCAAATTGTTCTTCTGAAGTATATTCTCCTATTGTTTCAAGAGAACGTATAAGCCATATTTTTTCATCTTTATGAGAGATTTTAGTATAATTTTTTTCCCATAAGATAAAATGAGGATTATTCTCAAAAGAAAATAAATGTCTTTCCAATAAAGATTTTATAGATCCATCATCTATAATGCTTAATAATTTATGAAAACCTTCTAAAATTAAACATACCAATATTTTTATCTTTCCAGTTATAGATAATATTAAAAAAAATTATTGTACATACATATCCATCAATTATAGTTCCACTTTGAATAGTTTGTAAAGGATTAGCCAGTATATCTTTATATATTTTTAATAATGAATTTAGTAACTTTTCGATCAAATATATCACTTGTTTATTAGGATTATATCTACAATCCCATATAATATTGCCAAATTCACTAAACCATGTTCTTCTTATCTTTTCCGTGCCTTCTAAAAATCCTTCCTTAATCAACTCTATATATTTATCAGAAAACTCGCCAGTCGTGCTAATAATATATGTGAAATGAGAAAAAAAACATTTAATTAATGCAATAGATATGTTTTCATTTGCTTTTTTATGAATATGAGTCGATAAGAATGACAGAACGGAATTAGATAGTTTAAGTGACTTTGGAAGACATGCTAAAGATTTGATAAATAAAAGTTTATGCTCAAGAGAAAATAGAAGTCCTGTAAATAAATATTAAAATCAACAAAAGATTATACATTTTAAATTCAACCTGAATTTAATTCTTGTATTATTTTTTCCATTATATGATGAATCTGATCCTGATCATTGCATTTTTGAATTATCCCTTCAAATGTCTGTAAAGCATTTTCACAAATATTAGAATCCGTTGATTTTAATGAATTTAAAATTGGAATAAGAAATTTCTCATGAATAATTTCATCTATTTTAATAGTAGATGGTAATGATTGAAGAAATTCTTTTAAAATTCCTAATTAGATCATAAATAAAATAATATATATATATATATTAAAAAATACAACCATTAAGAGTAATTTCCGGGGTTCTCAACAAAGCCTTTTCAAGATGAGACGCTATTTTAAATTTGAAATCCTCAAAAGTAATAAAATAAATAAAAAAATCATTCATTCCAGTCTAATTCAGTTAATATGAAAAGCATAAAAAAAATCATTTATACAATAATTCTATTAGGAAGTAATACCCGTGATTCAATAATATTATTTATATAATAACTTATGATCTTATCCTTTTTTTCCATAACAACACTTTTTTCATTGAATTGCGAATGATATGTAATTTTTGCAATCATACCAAGTAAAATAGTGTTTTTCATGCAAATTTCTTTCTTTGTATCCTTTATAAGCTCATCTATATATATATTTAAACATAAAAATGCATTTTCATTCAATGTTTTAATAATTGTACTTCTTAATGTCCCTTCAACTGACCGTAAAGCACTTGATTTAGCACGAGCTTTAACTAACGATGATAAAAACAGATTAAGCAAAATAGCTTGATTCGATACAAGTCTTGAAAGATATTTTTGAATTAATGTTATACTCACCAATATATTAATAATTAATTTGTTTACCCACTTAAGAAGAATAAAAATAGAATATGGTGATACACTTTTTGAAACCATTTTCGTTGTCTCTTGATCAAGCATTTCAATAAACCTTATTAAACACTGTTTTTTATCCTTTTCATACATTTTTAAAATAACATGTTGTATACAGAGCTGAATTGATTTGTTATAACAAAATTGACCCCTCTTAAACAAACAATTCAAAATCATTGAAAATTTAGATGTATCATCCACTCAAAATACTTAGTTTTATAGATAAAAAAACCTATTTATCCACCTTCTTCAATCCATATATCAAGCTTTTTCTTAATTAAATAAACATTACGTTGTCTAAAAGACTCTGACAAAAAAAATAACTCTTCTATCACTTCCTCCTCCTCTTCCTTAGACGTTTTATACTGAGAATCATCTTGATTCTTCACCATTCAATCAAGTTCTTATGATCTGACGTTTTATCTGGATCATTTAACGTATAACGTATAACGGGTTTTACCCGGGTTAAAGTCTTTAAAATAAATTTTACTCTCTTTAAAGCTATCTTATCTGAAAATATATCCAATATTAACATTCATGAACATATTAGATATTAATAAGAGAAAAAACTAAAAAAAAACATATGGTTATTATATAAAATATGCATCTAAAGAAATGAAAAGTTATATACAAATATAAATATTATAAAGAAGGAGAAATAAGAGTTAATAATGAGGAATAAATGAATATATGATTAAAATATAAATTATAAATAAAGGGTATCAAAAAAAATAATATCGAGTGAATAGAGAAAAAAGAAAATTAACCAAGAGTAAATGGAGATATTTCGTCCAGTAAAGTAATATCATTAAATGAATGAGTAAATCCGGATATATAGTTATCAGTAACTATTTGTAAAGGAGGCTTTAAACTAAGCGATTTCTCATGTTTTTTAAGATTTGAAGAATTAGATAATTGTGGAAGAAGCAAAGATGATTGAAATGAAGTTTTCTCGAATGGTTGCGATATATCTAGTTTTTTTGGTTTTATAGAGTCCTTAACATGAGAAAAACAACATCGTTGACCGTATGGACAAAAACCGATCTTAAAGAAATATTAGATAAATATTGTATAGAAGAATTGTGAATATTTACTTCCATAAATGTCTTACATGGAGACGTTTTATATTTAGGGTGTCGAAGTAAATTACGAAGTTCGGAATATCCATGAGCAAATTGACATTTAAGACCATATCTTCAATTAGTATTATTTAAATATCTATTAATAATTATTCATACCGGCATTCTCTATTTTCTTCCCAATTTCTACACAATTCTGTTTTATACAAATCTGTTTTAATTGAGGATTCTGGACTTTTTTTCGAATGCACAGCATCCAAACTAGGTTCATTTGTTTCATTGCAGAAATATTTTTGCAACGATGAACCTGCACTATTCGTCTGCAATTCTTGATGCTTAGTTGGATATTTGTGCTGCGTAGGAATATTTAATTCTTTAGATAAATTCGAGAAAGGCGATGTCAAAGCACCCATATTATTTTCATTTCGTATTGATGTTAAATTATTCACTCCATCTAACATACGAGATGAAAATACATCTCTCGCATTAATAGATTCTGAATTATATGAATCATATTCAAGCCATGGCGAAACTCCTTTCAATGATAATACTTTTGCACGCTGCTTAGATTCCACAAAGGAAAATGACTCTTCAAATAACACTTCACTAGAACTACTCGAACTTATTTGTGAACCATACGAATGTTTCAAAGGTTTATTTAAAATATCTCGAAATTTTTCTTGTGGAACATCCATCCAGGGATGTTCACATCTTGATGATACTGTAAACCACCCTTCATCCCATAACGTAGACCATTTAGAAAACGTTCCATTCGTACTAAGTAATTGCATTTCTCTTCTTCTTTAAAATTTCTCTTTAAATATTTATTTAAAGATATTTCTTTCACTTTTATTACTATTCACTACACTCAATTCCTCCCTCTCAATATCGCTCTATTATCAATTACTATAAATTCCTCTTCCTTCAATCTTCTGTCTTTTTTTCACTAATAACCCCTTCCTTTCTTTCTTCAATCAATCACATAAATACACATACAAATAACATATATATAGGATTTAACTATATTCAAAAAATGTAAAGTGCCCTCTAAAACTATATAGTTCTGCCCTTTAATTATACAATAAAAAATTTATTCTCTGATAATAAACTATTTAACACAATTTTTCTTTACAAAATTTCCTTTATAAAATTAAGGGATGTGCATCTCATCCCTTTTATATTATTAATTTTCATGTCTTTTTTTATACAAAGCTCATATCCACTAGTGGCGCCCCTTCTTTCGATGCACAACGCCCTTTGCGCCTTGTGGTTTGGCGTGCACGATTTCATGGATACCCTTAAATTTAATACAAATTCTAAATATTAGAATTATACAGAGCTTATTAAGGCTTAGAATAACATCATAAATCCCCTATTTTAATGTATTTTAATATATTTTAAAATATTTTAAAATCTTAAACAAATAATGTTTTAATGTACGTAGAGATAAATAAACAAGTAGAGGTTTAATAGATAGAGAGTTTATTATGAATATTAGGGAAGAATATAGTGTTAAAATGTTTTTGATATTTTATTTTTGAATAAATCTTTATTAGTATGATTGTTATATATATGTGAAAAAACAAATATTTTGTTACGTTCGAAGTTTACATGTATTTTCCATGAACAAAAAGCTGATAGGGTTTCTTTTGGCACTTGCATCAGGTGAAGGGATATTTATAGAATAAAATGAAGATATTTATGTATATAGGGTTTTTTATTGGAGCAAGTTTTGTTATTAAAGTGAGAGAGAGAAAGATTTTATAATATAAAGTTTAAAATATTAGAAAAAAGGACTTTTAGATACAACTCGTAGTAGGGGATTAATAGCAGGACAAGGTCATGCATATCTTAAAAATGGGATTTGGTGGATAGGAATGATTATAAGTTAGTTTTTATAAAAAAAAAAAAATGTAATAAAATGTATAGTGATTATTGGGGAACTATGTAATTTTATTGCATATGCATTTGCAAGTGAGTATTTAAAGAAAAATTTAAAAAAAAGAAGATTTTTAATTTATTAATTTTTATAGGTGCGATCCTTGTTACACCATTAGGTGCGATGAGTATTGTAGTATGGTAATGAGAGAGAGAGGTTAGAATAAAAAGAATTATGATTAATTAAGAAAGTTCTATTGGATCGAGTATATTTTTAAAGGAACGACTTTCATTTGTGGGAAAAATTGGATGTGCATTTTGTATAATTGGAGTATGTATGATTGTGATAAATGCACCGGAACAGAATTCTTTGGAAAGAATCCAGGATGTGGCGAAAGAGATGATTTCAGCAATATTTTTATCTTATATAGCAATTATTTTTTCAATATGTTTTATTATTATAGTATGGATTGGTCCTCGATGGGGGAATAAAGTAAAATATTTATACATAAAAGTTATTTTATTAATGTATTTTCTAGAGTGTACTAGTATATTTATCTATATCTTCACTTGTTGGTGGTATTACAGTTGTTTGTACCCAGGTATAAAATATATATATGTATTAATTGAGGTTTAAATAATATTTATAGGGTTTTGGTATGTCTATTGTTAGTGCAATTTCAGGTGTTCCTGGTCAATTTACCCATTGGTTTTTGTATTTTCTTGGAGTTTCTATTATTGCGATGATTATAATTGAAATAAATTATTTAAATGTAAGTTACTTGTAAATTTTTTAATATTTTTTATTCTAATGATATTAGAAAGCGTTAAATATATTTAATGTTGGATTTATTTGAGTTTTCCTTTTTAAGTATCTAATATTTTTTAGACCGCTATTGTTACCCCCATTTATTTTACTTATTTTACGACTTGTACGATTGTTTCAACAGCTGTATTACACCGAGGTTTTCATGGACCACCTATTTCAATTGTAGATGTATTTCTTGGTTTTTTGACTATTATTGGAGGTATTATACTTCTTCAATTTTCCATTGGAGCAGATAATACATCAGATACTGATATGTTATCTACTGATTTATCCAACATTCAAAAAGCAGCTGATGCCGTTACTGATGCTGATGTTTTGGATCCTGGTCCTGTTGCTATCAGAGGAACATTCAGTTTTAGACACATGGATCGGAAGTTTAGCGAAACTAGTTCAAATAATTTTATTAGACGTATTAGCTATTCCTCTGTCGAATTTCAAAAATTCACTTTACAATCTTCACTTCCTTTGAAAAATAATCATATAAATTCTGAAAATCATACAGAAAAAAATATTCTTTCTCCACAAACTTTACCTGCTAAAATTAATGATTTTGACAATCTTAAAGATACCACTCTTTCTTCACAATTATCAACACAAAAACTTCTTTCTCAAAAAAATAATTATTCCTCAGAAAAGTCAAACAATAAAGATAATCATAATACTTTATCTAGGCTAATATACCTTTCAACTGACGATTTTTTATACTTCATTCACAAATACTTATTATTTAATCCTCTAATCTTACATCATTACACTTCTTCAAAAAATTTACATAATAATTTCAAAGACAAAAAATTCATACATAAACATTCAACTACTTCAAATACTGATAACACTCCTTCATCTTCTTTACATCTACCATAACCACTACTTCTATTTCTTCACTTATTTATCACTATCTTTATTTATTACAAACTAACTCTTTCTTTACTTGTATTTATACTTTAAATCAATTATAACTCTTATATTTATGTATACTTCTTCTACCTCCATTTCCCTTATATTATCTGACAACATCCTCCGGTACGATCCAACGTATAAAAACGACTGGGCATGAAAGAAATATCAGAACCTCATCAACCAGTCTCTGAAGGATCAAATTATGGAGAAACTAAAGAAGATGAAGATAGTTATAAGGCTTTATTTTCTAAATTGAAGGAAAACGCGAGAAGCAGCCTTGTTTATAGTCGTTTCAGGGTTTTTGTAAAACTTAGTAATATTGTTTCAAAAATACATCCGTCTATTTTGATAATTTGTGTATTTTTACTTGTTATTATTGGTCATATCTTGTATATTCATATTTTTTGGTTAATTGTGGGGTTAATTCTTGGTGTAATGTATCAAATAAGGACACCATATATGGAGTTGAAGGGAGAGGAAGGGATTAATAAGAAAGAGACATATGAGACGTTACAGATGTAGGAATAGGCCTAAGATTTGTAGAGTTTTTATGGCTGATTATATTTTCAAAGACAGGAGCATTTGGTTAATCTTTCACCTATGATTGCGACATCGCTTTCGCTTTTATTTGATAATATTATGAAGGAATATGTATTACATTGGTATTATCCTATATCTAAGGATATGTCGTTTCCAAGGGCATGCCGAATATTTTTTGATAGTTTTTTTCTGTCATTGTACCGACATATTGCTTCAAGAAATTCATACGATATCATGATGATGTTTTTTATTCAATGTTCGAATACGATTATAGTAGCATTACGAGAGCTTAGATCAGCACTAGCATTTTCAGGCGATGATCATAATATTAATTCACTTATTGCGGCATATACAGCTCAAAATCCCAACTCTGCATTATCTCGTTTATTAGACAGGACGTTACAAAGAGAAAGATTTCGTTTTGAATCGGAAAATATATTAAAGATTTTGGGTAAAAAGGAAGATTTAAATTGTCTTGTGTTGAAAACGTTTGTAAGAGAAATGCTTACGGTTCAGGTTTTTGAAAATATTGTTGAAACTTGCTCATCTTCGGATTTTATTAATGAATGGATTATTTATTTCTATAGTACAGATAAATCCCGTGAAACAGATCAAGAAAAGGAACAAGAAAAGAGTGAAGCTCAACTTGCAATGGAAGAAGCAATGGCAGAAGCAGCAGAAATGACAAGATTGTTACAAGATAAATCAGAAAGTCAAGAATCCCCGATATCTGGTCAATCGTCACCTATTGCTTTTAATGGTATTATTACGCCCGAAAAGAGAGATTATTTTAAGAATTCAAATATAACATGTTTTGCTTCTCCAATGCGTTCTCGTGCATCGAGTCCTGATGGAAGATATCATTTTAAAGCTTTTAGTAATTTTAAAAGTAGTTCTCCAGATCGTTCTCGACTTAGTATATGTGAACATAGAGAACCAAAAATCTCGGGGACACTACCTCAAGATATATTCATAGACAAGGATATCTCGAATTTTTCTAGAGAAAGTTTATACGATGCTGAGATCTCTTTATCATATGTTAATTCAGAGTTATCTCCTAAAAAAATTATAAAATCAAAATGGTCTATTCAATTTTTAATAACAATTGAACCAGCCGGAAGTCAGATGTCTGGGTGGGTTATTATTAAGAAATATTCAGACTTCGAGACATTACATGAGGTTCTTCGTCGGTTAGCTGTTGTTTCTGGTCTTCATTCTTTTAATAAAGAATTACCTTATTGGAAAAACATAAGTTATGAAGATTTAAGAGTTTCTCTAGAAATTTATCTACAAAAAGCTTTAAAATCTAAGGATCTTTCTGATAGTCATGCAATGAAGAGCTTTCTTGATAAACAATCTAAATGCGATTCTGTTAATTTTTCCGTTAAACGAAAATCATGGCAACAATTACGTACTGTAAGTGATGGTGTACGTGATGTTATAAAAGCCCCAGCAGCAGGTGGTAAAGCTATTATAAATGCTCTTGGCGCAGTTGGACGAAAAACATTTCTTGATATACCAGATAATATATTCGAAACAGAAGCAGAAAACTCATTAACAGATACTTTAGAAGAATCTCCTGTAGTTAATCCAGAAAATTTACTTTTTAATCCATCAAAGGATGATAGGCATATTCCATCTTTTCGTTCTAGTTTTCAATCTCATACAGAGAAAAAAGACTTTATTAAATCACATACAACATCTCCTAATATTCTCTTGGATAACCCTGCATTTAATTTAACATCAGAAACATGTTCTGAAGAACTAATGCTGGATCCTGATAAAAATAATGATTTTAATGATGAAAAAAGATCTTCACATGAAAAAACTAATTCTAACACAACAAAAGGCCTTTCAAATTCTGACATACAGCTTTTTATTGATATCAATTTTTGTATTTTATCAGAATTTTATTCATTGTCACCAAAAACATGGTCTATTCGTCGCTCTCTTCTTGGAATACTTCGAAGTTTATTACTAAGAAATGGCGGCACTTATGTTGAAATTGTAAAGGATGCTATTGAAGAAAAAATTACGAATTATTTTGCTAATGAAAAATGGATTTCTGATCAAATTAATGAAATTATAATGAAAATATGGCCATCTAATCCGGATAAAATTATTAGAAAAGATTCTGAAAAATTATTAAATGATGCAAAACGTTTGTTCTTAAACAAAACTATTCCAGATACTTTAAAATCTCTTGTTGGTGGTTCTGCTACTAAGGAGTCTCTCGAAATAGTTTTTGAAAGTTTACAAGAAAAAGAATTCATGAGAGGAATACTTTCAAACATTTTGTCTGATATATTGCAAGTAATTTTTCAATAATATGGATATTTCCACCAAAAATTAACAATTCGTTTATTTCTTTTTCATGATATTTAATAATGAATAGGATCTTTTAAATCTCTACAAATACACTACTCAAAATACCTTATTTTATCTATTCTAATCTTTTAAATTCGAACTATTCATTCAAATATGATCAATCATAAGATTTTGCTAATATAACTAATAATATCACAGCAAATCATTGACTGATAAAACATTATTAAATACAATGTCTTAATCATTTGTTTTGTAAAAATAAATAGCTTTTTACAAAAATGATTATATAATTCTTAGGGTGTTATATATTAGATATAATGATTTTCAATCTTCTACTAGATTTGATGGGTTAAAAGTTTATGTATTAGATAACTGATAAACATATATCCTAGGGATATCTTTTATACGACTTCAAATGGTATCTTTAGAATATAATAAATCAAGTAAATATGCATTATTTAATAGAAGCAATTACGCATATACTACGCATATAGTACGCATATAGTACGCATACATTACGCATATATAATACCCATATATAATACGCATACAACACGCATACAACCCCTCCAATCTATACTTCTACCCCCCCTCACAAAACAAACACCTCATTACCTATATTCCTTTGAAATTGTATCTTATTATACACGTTATACACGTTATACACGTTATACACGTTGTTATACACGTTATACATCTTTATATATTACTATTATATCCAGCCCTCGACTCGCCACACATTCCATTTCAACCCCCCGTTAATACCTAAATCACTTATAGAAATTTCATCACAAAAATACAATTATATAGATTTTTACACAATTGCTTCTTCAGATTATCTATTTAAACATTATAACGCGTTTTAAGACGCGTTATTCTTTAATTCTTAGATCTATCTAAAAATTTAACGCGTATTACGTCTTATATGCTACTAATATATATATTAACCCTAGACATTACTGAAAATTACGCGTCTTAACCATATATAACAAGGAGGTTGAAATGTGTTATATCATTTTATCCAAAAAAGGAAAATACATGTCTGATTAGATGTGTCATGGAATGTTCTACGCGTTGAAGCGTGTTGAAGCAAAGATATAAATATAAGGAAGAATCCCCCAGAATTAACAATTGTGCATTTTTGTCAGAGTCGTTTTTTTGGCTAAGAAATATGAGAGTTGTCCGAGTCTTGTCTGCATTGATATTCTTTTCTGGCGTATTAGCGGAGGTGGATAGAGAATCTAACGTGTTTCCTAGATGGTTTGGATGGGGTAGTAGTAGTAGTAGTTCATCAGATAGTACGCCAAATGCGGATTCAAAGGATGCCACAAGTAAGGTAGCAGATTCACTAGGTTCGACAGGACTTGGAAATAAGGCAGCAGATTCAGCAGGGTTTGGCAAATTACCAGATTCAGGGGGTGTTGGACTCGGGAATAATGGTGTTGCAGATTCAAAGGGAAGTGCTAAAGAAGGATTGCATTCAGGCCTGGTAGTTGTGAGATTGAATGATGGTACAACGAAAACTACGTCTGGAAAATTGTTGACAACAACAACCATTGTGCAATCGTATACTACATCTATTTCAGGTCCAACTACATTATTTGAGAATGGGGTCAAATATGTAGTTCCAGGGCCGACAATTCTTACTATTACGGATTGTCCATGTACAAGGACATTGACATTTATGACATCAACCGTTACAAGATGTGTTTGTACTACAGAAGTTTCGAATTTTGATGTCATACCTACAGATGATATGCCTTTTGTGAATTTTGGTACTAAATTGGGCATTGCGGGATTTGGGATGACTTTTGTTACATTTTTCTTGGTCTTTTTAACTATGGTGCTGTTGTAGAGTCGTATTTTTGGGTCTTTTAATCATTTAGATGAATACTGTTTAGTTGAATATTGTTTGTATTGTGGATACACTAAAATGTTTTTTATAGAATAATTAATAGTAATATTAATTTTTTCCAATAAATTTGCGTGTGTGTTGCAGCATTTGAGCAGAAATTCGATAACAATTCATAATATATCGAGGTTTTATGTTGAATTTAACATTGCAGAGTTTGTAATGTTTTTATAAAATAAGATGAGTAACTCGAGTAAATAATTTAGAAAAAGGATGGAATAATGATTTTAACATATATACTTCTTACCGAATAAATATTTTTTCCATGAGTTAATGGGTTATATTAACAGGTATATCTAAATCTACATAAATTTACTTTTTATAAAAAATATATCTTTCTAAATAGCTTTTATAGGAATTATATATCTCTGTTTCGCCCAATAATTCGGGATATTTTAATATTTGTTTATATGGATATTTTATATATTGTAACTTTTAAACACATTTTAATCAAAATCTAATCCAGAAGTCGATAATTTAATTAAATTATAAAAAAAGCAACAATTGGAGTTAATTGTTTTGATTCCTTTGGAGGTATATTTTTTGTCTTTATTTTATTTATTTATTTATTTATTTTCAGGAATTTCACATCTCAAGCAGTTTGAGTGCTTTGGGATCTTCTATACAAAATAAATATAAATACATGATATTTGATTTGGATCAGTTTTTATATATCTATATATTCTGAAAGATATATGGGTGATCGTTATTATGGAGGGACCATGCATGTTGATCAGATGGAATTACTTTGCCAGAAAAGAGCATTGGATCTTTACAGCTTAAATAATGAAGAATGTGGCGTTAATGTTTAACATATTGGCGATACTTATATATTTTTATTAAACTAAATAAATTATCATTATCAGGATCTCTTGCTAATTTTTATGTATATACGGTATATTAATGAGGCTTTATGAGAAGCCTATTTCTTGAAAAAGGGCTTTATTTCATAAAAAAGTTAATCTTTCAAGACAAGTTATTGAAGATACATATTTCTATTTTCTAATATGGACTTATTTAAGTTAATACATTGAATAAAATTGATGACAGGTATTGATAGGTCTAAATTTTTTCAATTTTTTTCAAATTATATACATGTTCTTTGCTCTTAGAATCAATAATAGCTTATATTGCTTCTTATTTCAAAAGAAATCTACTGGTTTTAAAGCTTTCTTAACTTTTTTCATTATGCAAACTAAATTTCGATAACGGCTTATCTTATCTAAATTATTCATTTAGCATTAAATCGTTAATATAAAAGATAAGAACTAAGAATAAAAGAGTTTAAAGAAAGATTACTATTAGGAATTTATTATTTCTTATAGGTAAATATCTTCTATATTTTAATGAAACATTTTTATTAAGTATTACCTTTAGAAACTAGTATATTTTTTTAAAAAAAAGGACATTCTTTAATTCTTTTTATTACTCTTATTCTATCACATCTTATTTCTTTCATTTTATTCTATACACTATTGTCAACATATAATATTATGAAAAATGATAAATCATAAGACTATTCCTTTGGATTTCAAAGCACATAATCATAATGTCTATGATGATTTTTATTTTAGTGAATTATCAGATGAAGATAATGTTTCTTCTGAGAATATTCAAGAAAGTTTAACATCACTTACAAAAAAACTGAAATGGCAAATAGCTAATAAAGATCGAGATAAAGAAAAACTTTTCACTGATTATGGTTAGAAGAGTATTATAAATCATAATTTGATTGTTAATTTTATAGAGAATTTACAGAAAAAATATAATTCGTTGTTATTATCCTATGAATCTCTTCAAGCATCTTCATCAAGACAATTGGCAGATCTAAAAGCAAAATTATCATCTCTTACTTCTGAAATGAATAGAAATATGGATTGTCTCCATGAGGAATTGGAAATTAAAACATTACATCTTAATGAACTCAAACAAAAACTCGAAAAACTTAAAAAAGCAAATTGTATAGCTAATGAAAATATTAAAAACCTTCAAATGGAATTTGATCAGGAAAGAAGTCGTTGGGAAGAAGAAAAAATAAAACTAACTTTAAGCAAAAATTCACTCAAAAGAAATGAAATATCACAAGAGTTTATGTTATTGCATAAATATTTTGAAAATATGAAACTCAAATCTTTAGAAACAAAAGAAAACTCATATGTCAGTGCTGCTTCATCTATTAATATTAAAAATGATGACATTATTGCTTCATCTTCTTCTGATAATTTTTTTCCAGGTCAAAGTCTTGCTGAAGAATTAAGTTTATGTTTTGATAAGGATAAAAATTTGAATTCCGATACATTTGTCTCAATAGATTTTTTAGATATAAACAATTCTTCTCAATCTCAACTGGATAAGATTTCTCTACCTCTAAATCAATCTATTCTAAACCTTTCTTCTGATGACACCGTTTATTTTCCTACAAACATAAATACTTCAATTACTTCATCTACAAATCTAGCTCAAAAAAAACTTTCTCAATTGACTCTTTCTACTCAAACTCTACCGAAAAAAAAAACATCTATATTAAATATGATTCAAATATCTACAAACGATTCATTCAATCTCAATAATAATCATTCATTTCAACCAACAAATTCAAAAAATTATCTTTTAAAAAATCAAAGGCGTTCTATTTCTACTGCTACTTATTTTTCTAAATTTTATGATTCAAAAATTTCTCCACCACTACCTATTCCTATCAGAAGAGCGTCTCTTATTTTTAAAAAAATACACTAAGTCTTTTTTAATAATTTATTTTCTTTTAAAAATATTACATAATAAATCCTTTTTCTTTGGATCATTTTAAAATTAAATAAACTCTTTAATACTACTTTTTATCAATTTTTACTTATTAAAATAAGTAAAAAATATAATTCTTATAAAATAATTCTTATAAAATAATTCTTATAAAACAAATCAACCCTTTCATTAACTTAAATATTATACAAAAAATCTTTATTTCTTACATTTATTTCTTATACTTTAAACATTTATAGTTTTATCTTATCTTGATAAGATAAAATCGTTGCTATAGAAAGGCTCTCCAGACGTCAAAGATCTTGAAATATTTTTATCAACTTATTAAGATGGAGAAGGTTCTTAAGAGCTTTTGTAGAGATGAAATAGAGACATATGAGGGTAATAACTCTCTATATAAGGAGAGAATTCCATATAATATATTAAAAGAGGTCTATTTTTTCTTAATTTTAAATAGTTACTTATAATATAGAAATATTTAAGTGTTTCGGATGTTACATCAAAGATTATACATGGTACAACGACATTATCATTTCGTTTTTCAGAGGGAATTATAGTTGCAGTTGATTCTAGGTTTATATAATGTTTTTTAAAGTGGATATTTATTTTTATTTTATAGAGCTACAGCAGGAAGCTGGATTGCCAGTCAAACGGTTCATAAAGTGATTAAAATTAATGTTAGTTAATAGGGTTTTATGTAAATACTTATGGGATAGGATTATCTTTTAGGAACAATGGCAGGTGGAGCAGCAGATTGCCAGGTAAGAATAAATTGGAAAGTCCTTATAAATTGATGATAAAATGATTTATTTATATTTAAGAGGATTTTTATATTTAAGAAGATTTTTATATATTTATTTTTCTAATATGTATAAGTTTTGGGAGACCCATTTATCTATAGAATGTCGTTTGTATGAGCTTCGAAATAGAACAAGAATTTCAGTTGAAGCAGCATCTAAAATCTTAGCTAATATTCTTTATTCATATAAGGATATGGGATTGTCAATGGTAAATAAAAATAAAGTTTATATAATTATTAAAATTTTATATTAGGGGACTATGATTTGTGGAACAGATTCTCAGAGGGGAACTAGTATATTTTATGTTGACAATGAAGGTACACGACTTAAAGGAGATCTTTTTTGTGTTGGATCAGGTCAAACATTTGCTTATAGTATTCTCGATGCAGAATATCATTGGAATTTAGAGAGAAATCAAGCAATTGACCTAGCAAAACGTGCTATTCTTGCTTCAACGCACAGAGATTCTTATTCCGGAGGATCTGTTAATAGTAAGTCAATTTATTTAAATATTATTCTTTAATTACTTATATTTTAAAAGTTTATCATATTAAACCATGTGGCATTGAATTTTGCGGTGAATTTGATGTTGGAAAATTATTTTATGATATTTCTAAAGCAGATAATTCCTTTCAACATGTAATTCAAGCTTCTGCATCCTAAATAATCTCTTTGGAATACCTTTATTTTTTAAATTTTATATTAAAATATAATACATAAAAATATTAAAAAAACATTTATACATATAAATATTAGTCTAAATTAACCCTTCTTTTATATTTCTAAATACTTTTAAAAACTATCTTTTTCAACTTAAGGTTTTCACCACTTTAGGGTTATGTCCTTAAGTATTCGGATCTGCCTTTTTTTTAACTTCAAGATTTTAACCAACAAGTTATATTTATATTTTTAAGGTTTAAATTAAGAGATAAAGTTGAGGAATATTACTAACGTTTTTAAGGAAAAGAATTGTATTTCCTGAGGAGCTATTTGAGCTTTTTTTTCCCCTAAAAAAAGGACAATTTTTGAGTATTTTTTCAAGAAAAATAGAATTCATTTTAAATCTTAAAAAAAGCTAAAAAAAACCGGGAAAAATCTTATAAATCAGAGTTTTATAAGTAGTTTAATCATTGTTTAAATTGTTAGAACAGTTGGAGGCTTTTTTTTCTCTGAAAAACTGACAATATTAGGGATCATGGGTATTTCTCGTGATTCTCGCCATAAACGTTCTGCAACAGGCGCAAAACGCCCTCATTATCGTAAGAAAAGAAAGGTATATTGTTTAGATACTTTTAAGGTCTTTTTTAATATTTTTTATATAGTTTGAATTAGGCCGACAGCCAGCAAATACACGAATTGGACCTAAACGTATTCATATTGTTCGTGTCCGTGGCGGAAATAAGAAATTTCGTGCTTTAAGATTAGATTCCGGCAATTTTTCATGGGGTTCTGAAGCAATTTCGAAAAAAACTCGAATTATTCAAGTAGTTTATCATCCATCTAATAATGAACTTGTTCGTACAAATACACTTACCAAATCTGCTATTGTTCAAATTGATGCGGCTCCCTTTAGACAATGGTATGAGTCTCATTATGGACAAAGTATTGGTAAAAGACAAAAAAAAACCGAACAAGTAAAAGATGTAGAATCAGTTAAACGTTCTGCTCATGTTTTAGCAAAAATTAAAATGCGAGCAAAACATTCTAAAATAGAAATGGCATTAGAAAGTCAATTTAATAATGGAAGACTTTATGCTTGTGTAAGCTCACGTCCTGGTCAAAGTGGAAGATGCGATGGATATATTTTGGAAGGAGAAGAATTGGCATTTTATTTAAAACGAATGTCTGCAAAAAAACATTCATAAATTAAATAATAAATTCAATATAATCCCTTTTTTATTAAATTACTTTCAATTATTTATTTTTAATCTTAAAATCCAAAAACCCTGGAATATACATAAAAAATTCATCTGCTTTTTATTATAAATCTATTCATTATATTACAATAAAAAAACTTCAATTTTCTATTCATTTCAGCTTCTTTTTTGGACGCAGTTGATTTGAATGCCCACACGATCGTTTTCTACAATTCGTTGCTCTTAAAGGAAGACGTGCATAACATTTTCGGCAAATCATTTTTTCACAATTATACTACAAATCAGTTAATTCAAACTACTCCGTATACATAAAAATTTATGTATAATTTTTACTTTTGATGCAAGTGCTTTTAATGACGGCTCAATAATCCCACCTCGAAGACGAAGAACTAAGTGTAATGTAGACTCCTTTTGAATATTATAATCTGACAAAGTTCTTCCATCTTCTAATTGTTTTCCTGCAAATATTAAACGTTGTTGATCCGGCGGAATCCCTTCTTTATCTTGAATTTTGCTCTTTACATTGTCAATCGTATCTGACGACTCGACTTCGAGCGTAATCGTTTTTCCAGTAAGTGTTTTAACAAAAATTTGCATTTTTTTAAATTAAAAATAAAAAGTTATAAAATTGATTTAAATAAACTTGAAAGTTTTTCTAACCCTTAGCTTAACCCTTTAAATTTTCAAAGGTCTTTAACTGATTATAGGAGGGTTTAGTTGTAGGGTCGGGGTTAGGGTTACGTTTGTAGGGTTAGCTTTGTAGGGTTATATTTTGTAGGGTTATTTACGGAGTTCTTTACATGGCTAGGGTTAGGGTTCATTTGTAGGGTTCTATTTCGAAGGGTCAGGGTTAGGGTCGCGTTTTACAAATTTACATTTTAGGGTTAGGTGTCGCTATAAATATAGGGTTAGGTATTGCTATAAAATACGGGGTTAGGTATTACTCTTATGAGATAATATTAGCTTTGACTTAGGGTTTTCTTAGGGTTCACTTAGGGTTATTAACAAGCTGAAGGAAAGGGTTTTAAAATTAAAGTCAGATTTTCGCACCAAAATTTATAAAAATATACAACTTTGAATTATATTAACAATTTATATTAGAAATTGTTAATAATATTTTAGAATAGAAATTTATAATGTTAAATCGACCATTATTTAAGGTAGTTTTAAATCTTTATATTTTTTAAATAATCAAAGGGTTTAGAATAATGTTGAAATTGGAAGAGTTGTTTTATTTATAGATGGAAAATATAAGGGAAATGCGGCGGTTATAGTTGAAGTATTAAATCGTCGTAATGTTAGAGGTTTAGTATATTTTTGAATTATATTTATAGTATTAGGTTATTGTTGATGGACCTAAAACAAATGTACCTCGTCATGTTGCATCTCTTAACAATCTAATTTTTTCATCTATTGTAATTCAATCATTATCTCATGGGGCTCGTACGGGTATTGTTGCGAAACGATGGGATTCGCAGGATATATCAACTAAATGGAATGCTACAAGATTAGTTAAAAAATTAGAAGCACGACGTCGACGATCTGAATTGAATGATTTTGAACGATTTCAGGTATTTTTCATGTATTTTTTTTTACTTTTATTAATGTCTTAGGTAATTCTTCTAAAGAAACAGCGACGTCGTGAAGTTACAAGAGCTCTTGTTTCAAATTAATTTTTTATATCTAATTTGTACATATAAATCTTTATTATTTTTAATTATTTAATGAATATTTTTTTGAATTATAACATGTCTTTATTAAAAATCTTTAATTTAGAGACGGTTATAATTCATTAAGACATGACATATGAAAATGCGTATAAACGATATAAAATATATTTATCGGAACGTATGTTTAAAAGACGCATATAACACGCATATAGTACGCATACAATACGCATACACAACGCATACACAACGCATATAGTACGCATATATCACGCATACATTAAACACAAGTTGATTGAATTAGTTTCTATTAAATGATTGATCTGGATTCATCAGGTAAATTTATTATTTCTTATAGAATTTTCTAATTTTTATATTTCTCAGCTCTTAAATCTGTTAAACATATTCTTCTTGTCTTATCAGGCAAAGGAGGAGTTGGTAAATCCTCTGTTTCAGTTCAGCTTTCTCTTTCTTTACTTCTGATGGGATTTCGTGTTGGATTACTTGATATTGACCTTACTGGACCTTCAATTCCATATTTATTAGGCCTTGAAGGATGTCATATATATCAATCATCTTCAGGATGGGTTCCGGTTCATCTTTTTGTGAATAACCCATCAGCAGAGATGAAAGTTGTATCTATCGGGTTTCTTTTGCCAAATCGCGGGGATGCGGTTATTTGGCGTGGATCTAAGAAAACATCTATGATTCAACAGCTTTTAAGCCGTGTTGAATGGGGTATACTTGATTTTTTGGTAATAGATTCACCTCCAGGAACAGGAGATGAACAAATAGCAGTAGCGGAGACATTACATGCTATGAGTTGTATAGAAAAGAGTCATGCTATAATTGTAACAACACCACAAGAAGTATCATTAGCAGATGTGCGTAAAGGTATTAATTTTTGCCGGAAAGCAGGGTTAAATATTTTTGGAATTATTGAAAATATGAGTACTTATAGATGTCCTCATTGTTTTACATCTACGGATATATTTTCTAGTGGTGGAGGAGAAGAACTTTCTAAATCATATGAAATACCACTTCTTGGTAAATTTTAAATTTAAATTTTTATTTATTTAATGATTATTTAGGGAAAATACCATTAGATTCTACATTATCTGAGCTTATTAAGTGTCAGCCTGTATCTGACGTAAATACAAATGAAAATATTTCTTCCTCAAAATTACTAGATGAGTCAAACTGGGATTTGCCTGAAAGATATAAGAAATGCACTTTATATCCATTATTTAAAGAAATTGTTAATAAAATTTTGTAAAATAACTTGTTAAATTTACAAAATTTATTATGCATTAAAATTGGATAATAATTGATGCATTCTAGCATTTAGAAACATATATTAAAGCAATTGGTCAAATAGAAAAATCTATCATGAATCTTTATAAACTAAAATTCAAAAGTGTAATACATATGAACAGATGTTATCATATATAGATTCTATCGATGAACATATGTCTATTTTTATCAATTAGAGAAGAAATTTATGTTTAATTTCTCAAAAACATATTTGATTTCTATTGTTTAAAATTGTCAAAACTTTTATTTTGAAGATAAAAAGGCATTGATGGTTTTATTAAGGGCTAATTTTGTCAAATAATAACTTTTTTAATTATATGCAGGCATTTAATTAAATCAATATGATTCGTACTATTTCAATTATTATTTCATTAATGATAACTTTCAATATATTCAAATAGGACAAATTGGTATATTAAAAACATGAAAATAATATTATACTTATTTGAAAATACATTGTTAAAAGTATTTAAATCGTTAATCCTTAATAAGCTAAAGTAGATGATATTTAATGGTTGGTCAGGTTAATATTAACTTTAATTAGTTATATTTAAATAAAAAATAGATTATAGAATATTTAAAATGAAGCAATAAATCCTCTCTAATGTTCTGGAAAGCTATTTTTTCTAATGATAAATAAAAAGAGTCCTTTCTTTTGTCATTTTTTTAAAGATTCACTTAATTAAATGGTATTTCTTTCAATTTAGAGTAAAAAATCTATAAGAAATATAATTCAAGAGATTTAAAATACTAAACATATAAGAAACCATCGTTATTAAGCTTTAGTTTGCATTAGTAGATTCTTTTTAAAAAAGAAAACAATAAAAAAGTAACATTAATGATTTTATTACAAAATTAAAAGTATTGAATGCATCCTGAGAATCTACAAAGATAAAATAAGACCCTATTTATTTAAATTATATATGTTATGTCTAATATTTGAGGTTATTCCGACTTTTTAATCTATTAACAACTATATCTTGATCAACAGTTTTATAATATAAAAATGGGGTTGTTTGTGTTTTTAAAAAAAGATCATTTAAATCATACTTTTTGATATCTGGTCTTTTTGTTTTGTATCTATAATTAGAATTGTTTTGAAATGATTTTTCAATTTTTTGATTTGAAGCTACAAAATCTTTATTAATAACCTTTTTTTTAACCTCTGATAAACTAGCCACTCCATTCATATCATAAATAACTTCCCATTTAGTATCTCGAGGACTTTGTTCTTCTATATTAATCCATTCGTCTACTTTATCTTCCGGAACATAATCTACCCATAAAGGTTGTCTTCCTTTCTCATAAGGCCATATAGATTTATGTAAAACATCCCGAACTATTTTTGCATGATCAACATTTGTAAATACAATAAACGCATGCGTTTTAAGATTATTCATCCAAAATTGTTTAAATATATTATCTTTTATTTCATCCATATCCTTAATAATATCCAATAAATATGATTTAAATTGAGAAGCTTGCAAAGGCCGAGTAAGATCACGTATATAAACTGCACTTGTTAACTTATGTATAGGTTCTAATATTTCCTCTTTTTTATTCAAAGTATCATCATGTGCACTATTACTGCCCTTAGTTTCTATAGATTTTTCTAATAATGGGTCTGGTTTTAATTCTTCTGAACTCTCTTTAATTTTTTTAACTGCTTTATCTGTTTCTTTATCATAGTCTTAGTTATAAAAAAAAATTTAAAAAAAATGTATCATACCATCATTTAAACATGACGAATCTCTTTTTAATTCAATATAAAACCTTTTTTCTTGTTTTTTTAATGAAATATCATTATTTATATTTTTCTCTATTTCATCCTTCAATTCTTCATTTTTATTCAAACAAACAGCTGATGATACATCTCCATCAACTTCCCCCATATTCTTATGGTCTTCTTCTTCTTTTTTAACACTTTTCTCGGCTTTTTTGTCCTCTGATATTAACATATCTAATATTATTATTAAATTTGTTTTTTTTCCAAAAAATCTCCAATAAACCGCCATTTTTTTCCGTTTTTTCAAGGCATACCACTTCCTTCTCATCAGATTCATCATCATTCTTATCTTTTACTGGGTTTTTTCCTGAATTATTGTCCAAAAAACCTGTAAATCCTTCTTCATTTAAGACCTTCTCAAGACGATCTATAAGATCTTTTTTAAGTCCTGTCTTTGAAAGACCTCTTTTACCAAGCTCTTCCTTTAATTCTGATACTTTTAATGATGACAAGTTCATTGCTTTTGATAAGATAGAAATTTTGAATAAGAAATGTTATCTCCACGTAGAGTTATAGAGAGATAATCATAATATAAAGGTCTTTAATAATAAAGTGAATAAAGTAGAATTATAAAAACTATGATCTATTAATATAAAAAAACAAAGTTAAATTATGTATAAAGTTGAATGTAAATTGATGTTAAGAAATTGCTTAGATTTAGATAAATATAGATCAGCTAAGGTAAATTGAAGAGAATAAAGATCTATAATATACCGCCGACGATATGTGAACCGACAGAAGCACCTGCACTAATTATATATGTTAATTTTATTAAAGGAAAAGAAGGAAAACCACATTATTCTTACCCGAAAACAGCAGCATTACCAAATTTTTTTCCTACATTAGAAATGACTTTTTTTTCAGAATTATATTGCTGTGTTTGAGGTTGAGAGGGTTGTTGATATCCATAATATCCTTTTTGAGAATATGTTTGTTCTTTTTGAGATCCATGATCTTGGGATGATAAATGTGATAATGTAACCCTTTCATTAGCTACAAATGGTTGTATTTTTTTCTAATTTCATTAAATTATTCGATAAAAAAAATATATTAAATATATATATATATTTACCACATGATTAGCTGGAAAAATCCCTTCTTTACCATTACATACTCCTCTCCACCAATCTTCATTTACATATTCCAAAACGTTAATTTTATCCCCAACTTTTAACGTAAGATCATCTTCATCTTCCCCTTCATAATCATATAAAGCTTCTGCTTGAAAAATTCCCGTAACATTCGCTTTCTTTGGAACTGATGGTAATGGCGCTCTTGTAATATGATTATTCTCTTGTGCTTGTTTAACTTGAGGTGGAGATGATATTGTAGCTACATTTACATTTTGTTGAAATTTTGACGTAATTTCTGCTACATTCGATCCAACACTCGTTCTTGTACATATCCCCTTAGAATTCTCTTCTCTTTGAGTATATATATGTTGATTATCTGCTTTTCCTTTCAATTCTAACTTATTTATTTTCCTCAAAAACATACTTTGCGTCATATTTTGACTATTTCCTATTTCTTTTCGTTCCGAGTAATTCTGAGACGAAAAACACCCTTTTTATATTCAATATAATTTCTTATTTCTTCTTAAACCTTTCATACGTCTAGGTATTTTACTTATTACTTCTTCATATATGTTTTCTGTAATAACCCCGCAATCCACAAGAAACCCAAGATCCTATTAATAAATACTTAGAAATATTCTTAAATAATAAGATTATTTATACGTTATAAATAGATCCAAGAATTCTGTTAATATAAGCCGTATTATCCTTCATCTTATTAAGTGGTGGAGGTCTGTTGATGTTGGAGAGGTTAAAATTCGAAACGATGAAGATAAAAGATAAAAGATAAGATAAGAGATAAGATGGAGATAAGATGGAGATAAGATGGAGATAAGATGGAGATAAGATGGAGATAAGAAAGATAAGATGAAAGATTAGACAGAAGATTAGATGAAATAGATAGAAATAGATAGAAATAAACAAGATATAATTTTATTAAGACAAAAAAAATGATTTAAAATAAAAAAAAATATTTGAAATAAAAAAAAAAAGATTTGTATATGTTAAATTAGTTAAATAGAATTAATCTTAAAAAGTTATTAAATAATTTTTTTTAAAAGAATATAATACTTAGTCCGGCAACATATCCATATTGACGAGTATTAGTCATATTTTTAGCCTCGTTAAGCTGTTTTTCAGTAAAATGAATTTTTCTACTAGTAGCAAGTTTTGGACCTAAAGCAGGTACATGAAAACCAAGATTTTGAACAGCATAACGAGATAATGAATGAATACATTGAATGACTTGATAAGTATTTTTTCGTTCATATAAGTCAATGGTTTGAAATAAGTCATAATTAGGAACACCAAGTTTTTGAACGAATTCAAGGAAGGCAGCAATATTTTCCATCTATAATTAAAGAATTATGAAGTGTGATAAGAATTTTAAGAGATAACCTTAACGAATGGCATATTTGAAGCCTTGTATCGAATCTGACATGGTCCGATAGCATTTGCAACTCTTTAATTAACTTTTATTAAACAATAATAATAATAATACTTGCACAAAATAACACCATCATGTAAATTATCAATCAAATCCTTAGTAGAATCAAGTTTCTCATTAATAACATCTTCAATCCAGTTTCTTGCCTATAAAATTCAATTTTTCTTTATAAACATTTAATAAAATACATCCAACTCAAATGTAGGATTAGAACGGGCTTTTTCTTCCATTTTTTTTCGCAAAGATCTATCAAGAGACATTTTTCTATACAATTCTAGTGCTTTTAATCCTCAATTTATCCTTAATCAATAGATTTATAGGCTTTTATGAATCTCGAGCTCAATGTTTTGATAACTCACGGTTGACACAAAACAGCACAAAAAAAAAAACAAGTTACAAAGGAATTTTAAAAAAATGTATAGATTTTAATTTTGAATATATATTTGTAACTGTTTTTTCTTAAAAAGCCCTTTTATTACTAAATATTTCTTATTTTGATACTTTTGAAAACTAACTTGAAATACCATATTTCTGTTTTTCACAATCTATTCAACATAATAAGGTCTCTAATACCTTATAGATAAATAAAACACTTAATATCATTATTATCTCCTTCTAATTCCACTCTAAAATTCCCCTCTTTCTCATATAAATATTAAATAATACGAAAAAACTTGTTTCAAAATATATTGGATATCAATTGCACTAAAACCCATAAATCTTTCTCCCTAATAAATACCATTCATACAACAATAATCCCAATACATATTCTACATCCTTATATATTCTTATAAATCCTTCTTTAAAACTTTATACATCTATACTCCAGATTTTCTTCTTAAATTAAATTATATTCATTTCTTAACATTAATATATTCATTTTATCCTTTTATTCTCTTTTTTATTTTTTTTCTTTTTTCTTAACAATTATCTGACATGTCTTTTAAGAGCTCATCCGGCTTGTGTCAACAGACAAAAAGTTTAATGACGTCAAAACTAGATATTTTTATTGAATAATTATGACGGAATTAGAGACAATTGAGGTCTTATAAGTGTAGATTAGTTATATTTGTGCTAAATATGAGTAGGTTCAAGCTCGGGATCTTTTATTACGTTGGATTTATGTGCCAGATAATGAGACACTTTCATGGCAATTAAAACCACATAAAAAGTCTATAAGATATGGAATATGTAAGAGAACGAAGGAATTGAAGGTTACTATGCGTGAAGAAACGGAGTTACGACTATTAGCAGCGACATCATTTACATCACATTGTCGTTTATCAAAGAATCATAAATGTTGTAGGAATGGGAGTCTTAAAGAGCGACTTGAGAAGGCGGGATTAACAGAAGTTGTATCTTTTATGAGATGCAAGGCAAATGTTTTAGAAAAAGGAGTTTATCATGTGGGACCGAATAATGGAGGGCATTTTGCGCTTGTTTTTGGTAATAATTGAATATATTGAGATAATTTGTTAAAAATGTATAAGATAATACGTTTTCTAAACAGACGTCTAAGATTATTACATATGTTTTGAATGCATGTTTAATGCCTCTTGAAGTGATGTCATTTAAAAATACGTCATTACAGACAATAATGGAAGTTGATCCATCAAAAGTATATTCTGGGGTTTTATTGAAAAAAAAGAGAAATAGACTTCAAGGATGGGCACGAAGATATTTTACATTGAATATAGCTACAGCAGTATTATCGTATACAGGATCATCGAGTCAATCGATTCTTCGAGGTATTATTCCACTTTCAATTGCGGCAGTTAGTGTCAATCCTAAATTAAGATACATTAATATTGATTCTGGAGCGGAAATATGGCATCTTCGTGTATTGTCAGATAAAGATTGGGTTGGATGGTGCCGAGCAATTGAAAAAGCAGCGAAAAATTGCAATAGTAAACATATAGAGCAGCAAAGTGTTATTGATGCGGATGCAATTTTAACTTCTGGGCAATATGAAAGTTTAAACCGCCAACTTTGGTCTAAAGTTGAAAATCTTGTTAATAAAATTGGTGTTCTTAAAGTAGAAATGGACAAAATGTTGCAACAACGAAATGACAACACAATGGAGATTTTTGATACCAAAAACCAGCATGATTCGTCAGATATGAATGATATTAATCAAAATTCTACTTCTGTTGTATCTTTAAAACGAAAAAATTTTATTCTGCCATCAAGCATAGGTAATGTTAATATTATATAAAATGATCATTTTCTAATATATTAAGATGAATTGTCATTTGATATGAAATTGTCATCATTTCAGATTAAATTAATAAGTTCTGAACTTGGAAATATTTCTAGTCAATTTAAATCATTATTATCAGAGCATCATGTTTTAAGTCAGCATTCATCATATATATCTGCATTAAAAACACCTGAAATTTCTATAAATTCTATTAGCTCAAGAACTAGCATGGATACAACGTTTACAAGAGACTATTGGTTTGATGCAGAAGAAATGCCGGAAAATGTTAAACCATATTTGTTAATTAATAATGATTTTGAAAATGCTATTGCTAATGAATTAACAACAGACGAAAATGATAGTAAAATGTCTAATATGTCTCAAGATTCTTACATTAGAAGACTATCACACAGCAAAAATATGGAACAAAATAAATGCAAACAGTCCTTATATCCCTTAACTTATTCAATTCAGGTTAATCGAAGGGAAAATATTCCTCCAATTACAGTTTCACCTCCAAGTCTTTTTTCTTTTTTAAGGAAAAATGTATATTTTCTTGAAATATGTGATTTATACTTATTTTTTTTAGGTTGGGAAAGATCTTTCAAGTATTACTATGCCTGTAATAGCAAATGAGCCATTGAATCTTCTTCAAAGAGCAGCAGAAGATTTAGAATATTCAGAATTAATTGATAAAGCTATTAACAAGCCTAAAAAGGATGGGGAACGAATTCTTTATATTGCTGCTTTTGCAATTAGTTCATTCTCTAACATGCGTTGTAAAGAACGTTTAGTTAGAAAGGTAAACGATGGGCAATGGATCAATTGATTTTATTTTAACGTTTTATAGCCATTTAGTCCTTTATTGGGAGAAACTTTTGAACTTGTTAGGGAAGATAAAGGTATATCAGCGATATCCAATCATTTATGTATTTTAATTAGAATAGGTTTTAGATTTTTAGCAGAAAAGGTTTCTCATCGACCTGTAATAATTGCATGCCATGCTGAGTCGAGTTCATGGACGTTTTCTCATTCTCCTAAACCGAAACAACGTTTTTGGGGAAAGAGTGCTGAATTGATTACTGATGGGTCTGTTCTTATCAAATTAGTTACAGGAGATGTATATATCTATCGAAAGCCAGCAGTATTTCTTCGAAATGTTGCATTTGGAGAAAAATATGTGGAGCCTTCTGGACATATGACTATTTTAAATATTTCTACAGGTGAAAAGGCGGTAATATCATTTAAACCAGGGAAATTGTTTTCAGGACGGTGTGAAGAATTATTTGTTCAAGCGTATAGTAGCTCTGGGGCTCTTCAGCCTTTATCAATTACAGGTTTTTGGACTCATTCATTAGTCTTGAAAAGAAGTGGTACAGATTTCAAAGAAGTTATTTGGAATGTAGGTTCATTGGTTGAGGATCCCTTATCTCATTGTGGATTTACCAAATTTGCAGCTTCACTTAACGAAATAACATGTATAGAAGAAGGATTAATTCCAAATACTGATACTAGGCTAAGAAAAGATCAAAGAAATAGAGAAAATGGGAATATAGATGAAGCAGAAAAGATAAAATCTCATTTAGAAGAAAAACAAAGGCAAAGAAGAAAGAAAATGGAGTCGGAAAATATTGAATGGAAACCTAGATGGTTTTACCATGCTAAAAATCAAGACCCTGGTTGGATTATTAAAACAGGAACTGATAGTTATTGGATTCAACGAGAAAAGCAAATGTGGACAAAAATACCAGAACTTTGGTGAATATAATTTAATCCTAGAATTTAACTTTTATCGACTTTATACTTAATACTGCTTATAGATACTACATTTTTGTCTATTAAAATATTGAATATATTAAGACTTAGGAATAACTATTCATTCAAATAATTTATATCTAGATATTATATTTTAAGATCATAATCAATTATAACGATCAAATTTATTAAATTATTATTACTAAATATTATTTTATGTATAAAATCATTAACATAAAGCGTATCGCATTTTATAAATAATTTCTAAGTGACATTTGTATTAAAATTAAGTATGAGATATAGAATGATACAAATTTTGGTTTCTAGTTAATCCTTTAAATCTTAAAACTTCGTCTATAATCATTTCTAGTAAAAGGGTTAATAAATTATTTTATTTTATAAATATATTACGTTTTATTTCTTCAATACTGTCTATTGCTTCAAATCCAAAATCAAACTGTTCAGAACAAACAGGTTCTTTTTTTGGATCATGCCAAATAATAAGATAAGGGTGTTCTAATGCCTCTTCACATGAAATACGATCACATGGATCAAACGTAAGTAAACAATTGAGAAGATCCAATGCTTTAATTGTTAAAAAAAATATTAAATTTATAAAAAATCTTACCATCTGGATTAGCATATGGAAATATTTTTGAATATGGCATTTTTGGTATAGTAGGTAAACTTCTAATATAGTTTTGAGCAGAAGCGCTCTTTATTTTAGATATAATATTTTCATTTGGTGTACCAAGAATGCAAAAAATTTGATTTAGTTGATCAACATAATTACTTCCTTTAAAGAAAGGTTTTCTTCCTAGAAGCTCTGCCAAAATACATCCAACGGACCAAAGATCAACTGCTTTTTTTAGAATTATATTTCATATTATCAAAAACATACTAGCTTTGCTATAACTTTGAAAACTAAGCATAACTTCTGGTGCTCGATACCATCTTGTAGTAACATATTCAGTCATATATTCAGTACCTTGTCCCTGGTTTACAGACATACCTCTAGATAAACCAAAATCACATATTTTTAGCTTACAATCTGCATTAATTAAAAGATTACTAGGCTTTAAATCACGGTGAAGAACATTGGCTGAATGAATATATTTTAAACCACATAGAATCTGGTATATAAACGATTGAAAATGTGCATCTGTCAATGGTTGATCTGATTTTATAATACTGTTCAAATTAGCTTGCATCTAAACCTTATCAACATTCAAATATATATCAATTATATAAATACAAGCTCTTCATATAGATAAAGCTCATTAAATTTGCTGGGATCTACTATATCCATATCATAAAGCATAGTTATCTGTTTATATTTAGTTTATATCTATATATCCCTCATTTAAAAGCTATTTTATACATTTTTATGATTTCTAAAATGCTGAAGAAGCATGATTTCACGTAAAGCTCTTTTTGCAACCATTTTTTTAGAAAATCTTTAAGACTTAATAAAATCTATATATTTATCTGTTTTTTCATACATATTTGTTATTTTTTTGATAGCCACTTTGTTATTATCATCATTCTCTATATTCTTTGCAGAGCTGATAATTTAACCCAAAAAAAAAGAAAAAAAGCAATAATCCTACCAAACAACACCGTATGAACCTTTTCCAAGGCCTTTTATAACCTCATATCCCTTTTGAAGCACAAATTCCTGGCCCATAACATTAAAAATAGAATGTTTATTATTCATCAATAATAATATCAATTTAATCAGAAAAAAAGCATTATTTTATAATAAAATAGGTATAATAAGAAAATATTATTAAAATATGGTCAATTCAGTGTTTTTCTCCGGGCAAAATAGCCTCTTTAAACGTATTTATAGGTGTAGCGTCTTAACAAGACGTTGGAAATTGATACAAGATAAAATATATAAAAAAAAGGTAAAAATTTAATATATTTTTAAATCGTTTAATCTAGAATTATATGTATTTTTGTTTTTTATTTGGATCTAAAAAGAGAGAAAGAGTATCATCAGTAACCAATTGAAGTTTCTCTTGAAAATCAGCAACAAATTTTTGTAAAACATCAATTGCAATTGCTTTACATTCTCCTGTAAGAATTTTTCCTGAAGAATAATCTTTTCTTATTTGTTCAAGTTGATTATCATCTTCCAAAAAATACTTAAGATAAGTAAATGATACATCAACGTCTAAAAAAAATAAAAATAATATATCAATTGAATAAAGATCATTACCTGTATTAGCACCTCGTAATCTATGTTCTTCTAGTGTTGCTCCTCCGCCTGAAAAGGCATGTTTATTAATCTATATTGTTAAATTAAATAATTATAAATCAAAAAAAGACCTTATTTTTAATTTGAGATGGTGTATCAGAGAGATAAATAGCTGTATTTTCATCTGATGCACTCATTTTCGTGCCATGACCCTAAAAAAAGTCCAGGATCTATATAAAAAATTAAAGATAATACCTGAAGTGCAGGAAAAAATCTAGTATGTATCAAAGATGGTTTCAAATAACCAATTTTTTCTGCAACATCTCTTGTAAGACGGAAATACGGATCCTATAACAATAAATAAACATTTAAGCCTTTATAAATATTTTACTTGATCAATTGCCATAGGAATTAAACATGGAATATCTGTCCTATTACCAAAAATGCTGGGAAATGAACTAGAAAAACTAGGTGCAGCCTGGACAGAAACAAAGTGATATTTTCCAATAGAATCCCTTATATATCTTAAAAAAATATCACACATTGCTAACCCTTACTCTTCCTTAAACCCAAATGTTGCCTTACATTTACTATATGTTATATATTTTGAAACTTTAACAACATTTTCATAAAAAGAACCAGAAACAAATTCTGTATCAAGAAATATCAATGTTTTTTCTGGATCAAACCCACATGCAATAATATCCTTTGCATTTTTCCTAGCAAATTCACGTATATCTTCCAATTTTAGCTCCTTCTTAAAAAGATACTTCTCGTCATCTTTCATAAACATCAAAATATACCATTTCCCTCTTCATATTTACCTGTAAGCTGTATAACTACAGGAACATCAAACACACTTTGAAGCCATCTATACTCTTAAATTTTTTTTTAAAAAAAATACATAAAATACTTGCAAAACAAAAATGGAATCATATGTCCTAAATGCATACTTGAACTACTTGGTCCTCTTCCCGTATATATATAAAATGGCTTCTTTCTCTCATAATGATCAAGAATATTAGAAAAATCACTATATTTATCAAAAAAAAATCCTCTTTCTTCCTAAATATCCAACCGATGAGAAAATACAATCCCTCTCCTGATGAAAACATGTAGTTTTTGTCCTATTAATCTCTCAAATCTCTCTAAAATCCCTTCATCCAAATATCTCGTCCCAAACTTCTCTATAAGTCGGTCATAGTCAATTCCTTCCATTCTACCGTCTACAACTCTTCCCTTAACCTATTAATATATAAATATATCCTCTTATTTCTCCATTTTATAGACCTTCCATGGAGTAATAACTTGATCATCAGATTCCTCAGCAATTTGGTCATCTTTTATGCTTAAAGACGAAATGTATATATGTTCCACCTCAGGAAATACATGTTCATTCATTTTATAAGCTTTTTTCCGTCTTATTTGACTAGATTTATAGGAAAATATATATATTGAAAAAACTTGACGTTTATCTTTGTTTTTTTCAAATTTTTTCCGTAAAAAAAGGCCATTAAGAACAGGATTTTTTTAGATCTATTGGTTTCTTCATGTTCTAATTGGAAGACCATGTTTTAATCCAAAAAGAACGGCTTTTTTTCATGATTTAATGATTGAGATGTATAAAAATTTAAAAAAACCTATTTTCTCTAAATAATGGTCAAATTTTATAAAAGTAACTATTATTACGAGTACGTATCATCATGGAGATTTGGTTAAATCTTTTTTTTGACGTTTTTTCCAGGTATTCATGGCCTATTGTGACGCTTGCTTGGTTTTTGAGATATCCTAAGTATTTTTTCTAAGGAAAAAGAGTTATATTGTCTTATAAAAGACGTAGTCCTTATTCAAAACATGTTGTATCAGTAGATGTTGTTGATCGCTATGTTGATGGGGAAGGATGTCTTAGAACAACCCGTTTAATTTTGAAAGAAGGGAAATTGCCTAAGTGGGGGACAAAAGTGAGTAAAATAAGCGGTTTTTTGGGTTTATATAATGATATTAATGATCTTAAGCTGTTTAAGATTTCACGGAGTTATATTCTTGAGGATTCTATAGTTAATTTTGAGTCAAATCAGATGCACACGTTTATTCGTAATCTTGACCATACAAAGGTCATGAAAGTGGTTGAAAACCAGACATATTCAGTTTCACGTAGTAATTCATGCCAGTAATTCTATTAATTTGTTTAAATAGGACATGAATTGATAAAAAAATAGGACATTAGTGAATGTTACAGCACAAATTAAAAGTTCATTTGGATTTGGGTTTACAAATAGAATTGAAAGGTTTGGAGTTATTAAATTTTCAAAAAATCTTATAAATGTATGTATTTAATATTATAAATTTATTATTCAAGCTTTTTTAGAGCCGAGCAGGTATGACACATGTTTTAAAGGTTCTTCGTGATAATGGATGGGCAAAACACACTAATATGTTTGATGCTATTGTAACATAGTCGATATTTTGTTTTTTCTATTTACAATTTACATATATATTTATTAACAGTATTATATTAATTATTTTAAAAGGAATGTTTCAAAAGTTAAAATTATATTTTTCAAGATTAAAAATAGGTACTTCAAACACATATATAGACACATAGAATGGCTGTATTTTTCATATAGGACCTTATCTTGACAAGTTTTGTAAAAAATATATCTCGATATATTTTATGAAAGAAAAATATTATAAAATGTATAATATTTCTATGCAAATGTTTTCAAAACAGCGACTTAATGTTAATCCTTTATTCCGGAACAATTTTGAATATTTAACCAGAAACTTGAGTAGATTTTATAAAAAAATACATACTATATTTTTTGATTCTTATGATAAAAAGTAAAATTAAAAATATTATATAAAGATTCTTATACTTTATAAATAGAGCTTCTGAAAGGTTTATATTTTGTAAATATTTGCCTTATAAATCAAGGTATTATCCTTTTTTTCCTAAAGATATTCAATGGCAATATCGGTATTTGCATTGGCAAGCATCTTCAAAACATAACCCGTCTATAATATGGTCCTCTAGTAACCATGACGAATCTATAGAAACTATGAGAGCTCGTCTTCTTTATCAAAGTCGCAAAAGAGGTATTTTAGAAACAGATTTGTTATTATCCACATTTGCAAAAAAATATTTGCCATTATTCACAAAAGAAGAACTTGAAACATATGATAAGGTATCCTTTCTATATATTCTATATTTTATTTAGCAAAAAAATAGCTTTTAAAAGAATCTGATTTAGATATTTATTCATGGATTATTGGAAAAACAGAAGTACCTGATAGATGGAATAAAAACAGTCTTTTCCTTACTCTTAAGTCACATTCCCAAGATCAGAGTGTATCTATTCGAAGAATGCCGGATCTTACTTAAAAATATACCATTGAAATAATTTGATGTATATTAACTGATATATAAAATACCTTGAAAACATCCACGTAAAGAATTAAATAGTAGAAGACGTTCTCCATTTATAAGATCGTTTATTTTAATAGAATGTTCTATTATATATTTTTTTTCTAATAATGTTTCTCTCATAACACCTGGAAGACATCCTTCTTTTAAAGTAGGCGTAATCCACTGATAATTTCGAAAAAAAGCGACATTACAAATACTCCCTTCCATAACATATCCATATTGATTATATAGCAATACTTCCATTTCTTCATGTATTTTTAATCGTTTTCTTGCAGCCTCATAAGGATCTCTATATGTTGTTTTATGACAAAAAAATGGACGTAGTTTATCATCCATTGGAATTGTATCTAAATATACTCTCCATGGTTTTTCCTCCTTCCAATCATTCTTAGAAAATATACCAAAAAGATTTCCTGATAATATAAAAGGTGATACTTGAATATCTATAATACCATTCTGATCAACTGTTAAACGAACCTGAATAAAATAAACAAATATGAAATTAATTATTGATACATAGAACCACCTTTGAAGATCCTAAATGACGTACTGAATCCCATAATTTTTGTTCAATTCGTTTAATATCAATAGTTTTCCATTCAAAGTATATAGAAGCTTTGATTAAACGCTGAAGATGCTTTTCTAATAAAAAAAAATTACTTCCATCATAAAGAATTGTTTCTAAAAGATCCCATTCCTTTCCTTGTGTTATATCCTTTAACTTTCTTGTTTCATTCATTTTAATAAATTTTAAATATTCGATCTTCACTTTAAAACATATAAATGTATATAATATTTGATAAAACTACTTTTTAGATATTATTTCTGCATATATTTTATCCTGAACAGAAGGTAATAACAATGCAGATGCATCTTCATATATTATAGATGCTTCATAACCAAGAAGAATCATTTTTTCATTAATTATAACTTTACGAGCAGCTAGCACCTTGATAACATTACACACCCGAGCTATTTCATGTAAAATATATGGCTCAATTTCCTATTAGAAAATATTATCATTTTTTTAACTTAAACCCTTAATAATCTTACATCATTAATATTTGAATAAATCGTTTCAGATGCTTCTTCTTCTAATCGTGTAATACTAACTCCCTGCCTTCCTAAAGAAATTTCTATATGTTTACTCACCCATATATACCCATTCGTCCCTAAAATCACATCTGTTCCATTTGGTAAATTGTATAAATGAACATTTGATCTCATAATTAAATTAGATGGCACCTGTATAAATAACCCATTCCGAAGCTTGCCATATTTAAGAGATCTTGTATGTAGTGATACCCCTCCATCTGAATAAAATGTTTGCACTTCTGCCTGTTCAAAAAACTATCATTTTAAATATTAAAATATCTAAATTATAATACAACTAATAAATCCCCTTCTGAAAAAAATGTCCTCATCTGTAATTCATCTGTCTCTGATTTTCTTCTCAAAATACCTCCTGGAAGGTTGATAGACGATAACATAAGAATTGCATCTTGTTTTGATCCAATATCAACTTTCCAACGTTTATGACCAACCTATAAAAGAATTGGCTTTTTTTACAAAAAATATAACTATCCAATACTTTGACAATCTTTCCAACTACAAGATCTCCAATTTCTGGAAGATATCTGCCTATTTATCCTCTGTTCTCTCTACATAATAGAGATATACCTTGATCTTAATGGTTTCACTGATATAAGCTTATTTACACGCTGAACCGTCCCTGCAACAGATCCATACACTATATTCTTCTCGTCCGTATATGTTCCATGTCCTCTGAATGAGAAATAGGTTAAATAACTTGTTATATATTTAATTATTAAGAAACCTCATAAATTGAGGATCATCAGTAATAAATTCTCCTGGTGTAACAATTTTTGAGCGGGAAAAAGGACGGATATATGAATTATCTAATAAATCCTCTTTAAAATATCTATTTTCATTGTTATTTATTTGGTTTATGTCAAGATATTTGAGATTTTCTGGAGTTTTTATAAACTCGATCATAATCATGAAGTTAGGGATTAAGAGAGGAAGAAAGAGGTATATATATATATAAAAAGAAGGAAAAAATAGAAAAAGATATATAAATGAAAGAATTTTTATTGATTTAAATTTCTAAGTATTTTTTAATGCAGTGGGATATAAGTAGTTGCAAATGAAGATAATATGAATTAAGTGTATATATCAATAGGAGGAATATGATCCAAAGTAGAAAGCCAATTGCCACTAAAAATTATAAGAATTGAGAAGAAAATAAAAGAGACTTACTGATTATATTCTTCTATAAGCCAATCGGTAGGCCAGATAACTAAGTGACCTTGAATTTTTAATAATTTTTCTTCTAATATTTCTTGTGGTTCAAGAAATATTTCATCAGAATTTTTTGAAGGTTTTTTGTTGGAAAAAGTAGAAGGATAAGAAGAAACAAGATTTGTTTCATTAATTTCTTTTGATAAATCACCGGTAGATTTTGATATTGTCATAGTAAGAGATTTAATATTGTCAATTGAATCACTAGTGTCACTAAAAGATGGATATGGTTCTTGATAATAAGGTGGTAATGTTTCAGAAATTTCTTGAGTTGAACCAGTATTTATTTTTTTTGATTCATATCTTTGCATAAATTTTTCACTATATCTTTTATAACGATAATACTCTTTCCATGTGCGTACTTTATTATCAGGCATACATCGAAAAACTTGACGATAAATTTCAGTATTTCTCTGGGCAATTTTATCCCAGATATCTTCGAAGAAACTATCTGCTAAGGGATCTGAAAATATTAAAGGATCTATTTTAATTTTTTGCCAATTCTCTGATGATATTTTAGATTCAAATTTCTTTTTAGTAGAATCATTTGTTTTCTCAAAATCATATAAATCGTTATCTTTATTAAGTTTATCTGAATCTGTTTCTGATTTATCTAAATTTTCAGTGTGATCAGAAATTTTTTGTTTTTCTATATCAGATTCTTCATAAATTTCTAATTTTATAGAATCTTGATTTAAAGGATTCGTATTAAAGCAATTGGAACCCGAAAGAATTTTTCGGACATCAAGGCCAAAAATTAAATGAGTTGTTGTAGTGGTAACTTTACGTCTTCCAAATGATATTTCTGAAAATTCTGGTACGTTCTTAAACTCTTTATATCGAGGTATATTAGAATTAATTTGATACAAAATTTCTTTTTTTTCGTTTAAAGCATATTGATAATCTTTTTCCTGAAAAGAAAACATATATTTATTATATAATTCATTTAATTGTCGGTTTTCTCTTGAAAAATCATCCTTTATTAATTTTTCTTCATCATTTAAATTTTCCTGCGTAGGTAAACTATCACAATCCCAAGTTTTAATATCTTTCCATTTACAATCTTTAGATAGACCATCCATGAAACAGTCCATTTTTTCCATTTCATCGCAATTAATTCCAAGATGCTCTGTCATTAATCTTACTCTTAATGTATACGAGAATCTTCCGACCATGTATGATTTCCCAGCCATAGTAGACAATTGCATTTCAGTATCTCTTACTATTGCTGCGATCTCTGAATCACGATTTCCACGCATTGACCTTTCATTAATATTTGCTGATCCAATTATACAGATCCGATCATCAACAATCATACACTAATATTGTGTAAATCTTAATGATATTTTTTTGAATATCTATACCTTTGCATGAACATAAACCATTTCGCTAACGAGTCTCCCGTTTTCCTTAAGTTTAGCCCAATTTCTAAGACTATATATCCGAATATATTTTATAGGATCAATTCCAGCAGCTTCAAGTCTTTTAAATATAGAATATTTACAACGACATATAGAACGATATTGACAATGCATTATTAAACGCAAGCTTGTTCCTTCTTGTGAATCAACATCATTTTGAAATCCTGGAAGTAATGGTAAAATTATTATAGCTCTGAATATTTAAATAATTACTTATAAAGAAAAATTAATAACATACCTCCATTTTTCATTGTTTTTATATGCTTTTATGATTCGTTTTACTAAAGCATCTCCAATACTGTTTTCAATAATAGCTCCTTCGCATTCAGATGATGTTATAAAAAATTGATTTTCAATATAAATAAAATGTTCACTAGTTTCTATGCATTTAACATATGCATTGAGAATACTATGTTCAATTTTCATTGGAGTACCAATAGACCATGGTCCAGCAGAACGCAATACTTGTAATTCATTGGTTCCAAGGAACCCATTTTTTTCAAGTTGCTCTTGAGTAAAATCAGGTGGAGGAACCAAAAATGGTATAGATTTTCTTGGACTTTTATTTCTTAAATGATAATTCCATCTTTGTACAAAATGCCTAGCAATATCTCTTGAAGGTTGTCCTACAATTTGCATGGAAATATCGTGCCATGCCATTCTTGGAACTAATGTACGATTATACATATCCTCATAAGGCTTATCGAGTGTAAAAAAATCATGGATTCTTGGATTAGAATAATCTTTACCCGGCCAAATAAGCGGTTCTTCCGGAATTTGAGGAATTGGATTATGCTTTTCATCCCATCCACTGGGTTTATCATCATATAAAACATGTTCATAAGAATCCCAACGTCCAAAACAAAGATCAATCCCACCTATAAAGCTAATTTTTTCATCTATACATATGATTTTTTCATGATGTGCCCAAAAAAAAATACTTTGTCGTAAATGAGATGGCGATCTTTGAACATAAATATTCGGAGAAAGGCTAAGTAAGGAATATTTTGTGTAAGCAGAATCAATAGGAACAGTTGTTCCGACATTTCTATATATAATAATATAGATTTGAACACCTTCATCTGCTTTTTTTTTTAAAAGTCTATCCAATCTCCAATCCTCTGAGACGCATGCTGGACGACGAAGATACTATATTTAATTAGTTAAAAAATCTAAAATCAGAGTAGAAAAACCAATTCAGGACTAAGCCACCAATCGTGTATATAAATTGTTTCTTTGGCATTTAAAATTGCTCTGCTTACATTCCAAAAATAGTCTCTCTAAAAAAAATGAGAAAAAAAATCAAACGTAAGATAAATAGTATTACTGCATCGATAATCCACTGAGCTGCAACATTAGTCCTAACAGGTGAGAAACTATTAAACCGTTTAAATGTAGTCCATATAGTAGCCTTACTCATATCCTTAATGTTTTCCATGAATTGTTGCACTGTTATTTCATTTTTAGCTAACAACTTAACTTGTCTTTCACAATTTTTAATTTTAAAAGTATGGCGCTTCGGTTGATACTTGTTCAAATTATCTCTTTTAACTTTAGATGAATAAGATGATATTTCTTTAGAAAAATGTTTTCTAGCAATTTCAAAACCATCATCCATAAGAAATACATCATAAATTTTAGTAGAACTTATATCATTGACACATACGATATATGATTCTCTTACAAGATACCATTTTGGAAGTGAACGGTCTCTTACTTCAATAGGATTACATGTCATTTTACGTGTAGAGCCTTTTGAGTTAACAACTGCTAATAACCCTTCTTTTCCATGATATTTCTCATATTTTCCCAATTTTATTCCTAAAGCACTAAGTTCTAAAAATGAACAGAGTCTAATCCCTTCTAATCTAAAAATAAACAAATGTGCCATTTTTCTTAAATATTCTTCAAGTTTTCTTCTTTGCATGCCAGAAAAACTATGATTTTTCGCAAAATTTGCCTTTTTATTAACACCAGATATTTCGCAATTTGTTTCTGTAAATTTATCTTGTTTAGAAGATTTAATTGATTTTTTGCTACAAGTATCACTATCATCAGAGGTAAATCCCCTTATACTTCGAAGATATGGAGCACTGGATTTTGGAAATGCTGGTAATCCTTGTGCTTTTTTAAATTGGCTATTCATTGTTTCTGAAACTCGATATCTCGCATGTAGATTAAGAAAGTCCCTCCATTCTTTGTATACAGACCATTCTACTGCATTTTCTCCATCGCCATATTTAAGTTTTATCTGAAACAATGCATGAGACCTGGATTTCGTGTTTTTCGACTCAAGAACATCAATTTTTAATTGATCTAAAAGAATAGGCACCCTTCGTCTACCATTATCATCTCTTTGAAAGACTGATGCAAACATAAGCACAGTAGGAACACCAACTTCTAGTTGAGAAAGAAGTTTAACTGGCTTATGAATATCTTTCTTTTCTTTTTTTTTAAAATTCTTCAATTTTATACTAGATTTTAAAGCATTCCATTTTTGAAAAAACATATTTTCATGAAATGACAACCCCCCTAACCCATGAAATGGGTGGCTTGTCTGCATTTTAGACTTTTTACACTTCGTTTTTATATCATTCTCTGTTACTGATCTACTTGATGTTGTTAATGAATGAAAAAGCATTGAATCCCTATTTCCCGCCATATTATCAAGAATATTCTTGATTTTCGTATCCGATATAAAACTATCATTATCATCATATATCTTTATTGGTTTTTGTTGTAATTCTTTATGAAAATAATAAAATGACGGACATCTTATACTAATATTTGAACACGATCTTCTAATATCCACACAATTATCATCCATAAGATCTTTTAACTGATATTCACTCCTCTATCTCCGATCAGTCCTTCTATCTTATATGTTTATCGATATATATTATTTACATTGTTTTCTTTAGATGGTCGCAAAGAAAAAATATATGACTCTTCATTATCCATTTCACTTGATTCTCCCTTATTCTTAGGCTTATTTTCTATCATATTTCTCTCTTAAATCCCTTAAAAATACCTCTTTTATAGCTTTTTAATACTAATTTTTAATCCTTATTTTAACCTATTTTTATTAAAAAAAATACCCTTTTTCCCCCTCTATTTCTACTCTTAACCTTTATACCTTATAAAATACCTTTTGTTCTTAAATATTTACAAAATTTGCCTCCATTTTTAACCTTCTTATTGATCCCTCAAAAAAAGTCGATCTCGAGAAGTTAAGAATCGAGATAGGAAAATATTCGATATCTATAAGGGCCAAGTCTGATAAGATGGACCTATTTATAAGAATACAAGATATATAGATTAAAAATAGATTAGCATTATAATAAGATTTTTGTATTCCAGATAGATTTTGTTTAGAAATATGTATGATAAAAATAGATTGAATAATAAACCGTTATATGAAGTGATAAAAAGTAAATAAAAGATTAACGACGACGTCTTTGAGTTCTTTGTCTTTTATCTCTTGAGCGTGAGGTGTCATTTCGTTCATTCCAATCAGAATAAGAAAGATTTTTTTGTTGACCGCCAAGTAAAGCACTAAAGTTGAAAGGTGAAGCAGTTGAAGAGAGAGTAGGTGTAGGGAAAGACGATTGTAATGGTTTTTTTTGTGCTTGTTGAAGTATTTGTAATATATTAGTTATATTTGCAATGTTGACGGGAGAAATGGTAGAAGAAGGTAAAGGGAGATATTGCGTTGTTTGTGGAAGTGAAGATATGGATGAAGGGTTATTGATAGTTGCTTGTCCAGAAGCATTTAATAAATTCTGTAGAATAGATGTGATATTAGCTTGAGTATTGTTAATCGATGAAGTGTTAGGTAAAGAAATAGTATTTTGATTAATGTTTGAAAATGACAAATTGTTTGTAGATCCTGTATTATGTTGAAATAAATAATCTGATGAGTCTGAATCCTAAAAAATCTAAATATAAAGTTATGTAAATAGGATAAAAAATACTTTCATATCATTGGGTAGGGGTATTATTTTTGTTTCGACAAAAAAACCATCAGAATTAGCATCAGGCTCTGTAGGTGAGTGTGGAATATCCTTTTCATAAAGATAGGATACTAAAAATACAAAACGTTCTCTCTCCTCCTGTATTTTAAATTCATCACTATTACATTTACTAATGCCTCCTCTCTTTGGTCCAAGCTTAGATAACTGTGACTCTAAATGAGAAAAATCAATATCTATTTATTGTTAAAATCTTATAAAATTTAAATCATAAAAAACCACCTTCTGGTTCACGCCACGTCATCATATCGTCTTCTATATTATGTGTTTTACTAAATGCAGCACGTCCCTCGTAGATATCTAAATCTCTTGCATTTTTAAACTCTCGTGAAATATGAATATATGTGTCATCTGTATCTTCCGGTTCAATAGGTTCAAAAATTCTAATTTCAACAAGAGTATCATCTGACTTCCATGAAACACATTTCCTTTTCTTTTTAGGTATATCATCCGGAACTGTATTAGTATTTGTTGTAATTATTTCTGGAGTTGGTTGACAACCAGGGACTTCCTCCAAAACACTTGTAAATTTTTTAGAAACAGACGAGATTGTTTCAATCACTTGAGGCTGAGTGGAACTTTGCCTATAAATTTAGTCACTTTTTCAAAACTTATAAAATTAATACTTTTTAGGTGCTTTTATTTGTGCAAGAACACTAGAAAGAGAAGGTTTTTGGGATGCTTTTGCCGCAGAGGTTGAGAGGTTTTTAAAAAAATCAGTATTTGCTACTGCTTGAACCTTTTGAGATTTAACTACTGGCTTTGCTGGTGCAGGCTTTGGAGTTACAGAGGGCTTAATAACAGGATCATTTGAAGCTGCCTTTTGTTTCTTTTTTGAAATGTCTTCAGTTGTAGAAATAGGTGGTATATTGGCCGCCCTTGAAAATATTAATAATAATCATGACAATTAATTTTCATACATTGAATTTTCTGTAGGTTTCTCTAACGACAAAGATTTTTCTGCTGCTTCTAGCCATTTAATAGAAAGTTGTTTAACAGCTTTAATATTTAGCTTAGTTATTAATAATTCTGTATTTATTTACTTTCATTTTCCGATTTTTTTGCCAAAATTATTATTGGTTTTCCCATTTTTAGCTCAGCTAAAATGGTGGAGTCTAGTTTTAATATATTCATGATCTAATATAATTAGATTATATCTATCAAAAGATATTTACATACCTTCAAAATAGCTATAATCACCATGTTTTTCTTTTCGTTTATAGCGTTGACTAGCCAATTCCTTATTCTTCCTAAAACCTGTTTATTTTCAATGAATCTAATCAAAATTAATTTACTAATTATGAAAGTTACAAAAATATTCATACGCTGCTACTATATCCTCTTTTATTCCCCCTTTTAATGTCTCCAGCATTACAATTTTGGTCTTATCTTCAACTATATCCTTCATTAAATCATATACTGTTCTAACACAGCTTCTAGTATCTCCTGTTACTGCATAAACGCTAAAACATTTACGCAATTCGTATCGAAGAACATCTTCTGGATCCTAACTTATATAAGATTATCCTATTTATGATAATATGCTTGTACCTTGGGTGCCAACTGATTCTTTATTATAGGAGTTTCATTTTTCTTGATAGTATTGAGTTTATTTTGTACTGTTGTTTTCTCTAAATGTGGATTATCTGTTTGTGTATCCATAATAGTTGCAAAAGGAAGATTAGGAACTAGTTTTGATTGATTAAATTATAATATTTATTTTTAAAAACTCACTAGGAATTCCAGGAAATTTAAATGGGATGTTCTTGCTTTCTTGAGGGATTTCTTCATTTTCTAAAGAAATTAAATATAAAATTTCAAAAAATATATCATATATACCATTCGTTTCATAATATTTAGAAAAATTAGTGTTATAATCACAAAAATCATATGTTTTGTCGTCAAGAGGCATATTCAAATTATGATTAGATATTTTATTTGACAAGACTGATGTATTAAAATCAAATCTTTTATTATACATAGCATCACTTAATTCTTTTTCTTGTTTTTTTTGGACCATTTCTTCAAATATATGTTTCGAATCATTGGTTAGAAAATCAATTGGCTGATCTTTTCTATATGTATATACTGCATTAACAGGGTGATTTGACGAAATATTCAGTGAAGTCGATTTTTGAGCTTCCATATTCGTTTGCAATGTAGGTGCCTGAAATGCTGATGTTAAAAGTACAGGTGTATCTACATGATTGCTTGATAAGCTATTTAATACATTATTTAACATATTATTTGAACGAAAAACATTTTCTAAAGGCTTTTCTAATGATAAAGCCGTGTTTAATGGATTTTTCAAATGTAATGTATTATCCAACGTTATATTTTCCGGATAATTAGCCTTCAAATTACCTGATGATTCATCCGTATTCTTTACTGCGTCTGAATATGGACCTATACCTGATGTTCCCCCCAATTCTGTCGATACATTGGAATTCGACAGATTCATCGTCGTTTTAATATAAATACACTATAAACTCCCGTAAATCCCCCTAATATAACACAAACACCAATAACGACTCTCTATAACTTCTAAAAAAACCCTTTAATTCCTATTATCGTCTGTTTAATTCCTTAAATAACAGACTACAAAAAAAACGCAAAAACTCCAATTAATCCTCCAATTCTACCCCAATAAAAGCAATCCCAACCTTTCCCTATATTCAAAGAGCTCCCGTCACCCGATATATCTCCTAAAACACTCCTTCTTCCCCAAAAATTTCCCTATTACTCAACTTCTTCTTTATTAAAAATACTTCTTAATATCAAATATTACCTCGAGATTCAAAAAATACCTCTCAAAATATCATAAAATATATCCTTATTCCTGCATAAATACATCATAATCCTCTATTTGCCCTTTATTTGCCTCCAAACCAAGATTTTACTGGGAGATGAATTGGCTGACGTTGATCTCTTGTGTCGCCGCTTTTTCAAAAATCCCAGTGGTTTCCATGGCAACCTATGATTAAGAATTTAAGCCCATCTCACAGTACGTAAGGGCAGAGGGAACGTCATCAAAATATCAGGTAAGAAGAAGAGAGTATTTTGGGGTATGACGGGGGGTTTAACGAGTATTAAAACGCTTTATGATGCACAGATGGGTATTTTTAAATGAAGTGTCTTTTTTGAGCGGTTGAAAAGGCTTATTTATTGAAGAATCGTTGATCAAAGTCTTAAAATTGAATGTGGAAGATAAGAAAGAGGAAACGGGAGATTATGAAGAATCGGGAGGCCTTACGGAAGAGATTATATGGAAGATTCTTATATTTGATAAGTTTGGACAAGATATTATATCTACGGTTCTTAAAGTGAATGATCTTCGAGACCATGGAGTTACAGTTTTTATGTAGAATAAAGGATAATTGAGGGATGTATATTTATGATTATGATAGGCAGTTGATGTCAGAAAGACAGCCGATCATGGGTGTTCCGGCGATCTATTTTATAGAGCCTACGTTAGAAAATATTCAAAAGATATCACGAGTGAGTTTATTAATTTTTTTTTATTAAGGAATAATTGTATTTTTTTTATTAAGGATTTATCTAATAATTTATATGATACGATATATGTTAATTTTTTATCATCAATTCCTCGTTCGCTTTTAGAGGATTTTGCATCTATTACGTCATCGCAAAATACGACAGAAATGGTATCACAAGTATATGATCAGTATCTTAATTTTGTAGTTCTTGATCAAGATTTATTTAGTTTATGTCTTCCAAATACATATTATACGTTTAATCATCATTCAGTATCAGAATCAGCTATAGAAGAGATTGCTGATAAGATTTCAAGTGGTATTCTTTCAGTGTTGATTACATTGGGTGTAGTTCCAATTATTCGATGTCCGTCAAATAATGCATCTGAAATGATTGCTCAAAAATTGTGTTGTAAATTACGTGATTATATTTTAAATACTAAAAGTGATCCTACTTTCAATTCGTCATCATCATCATCATGTTATCGTAGACCAGGTATATTTAATCTTTTCAAACTTTGTAATTAATTTCTATATTAGTTTTAATTATCTTGGATCGTACAATTGATCTTATTCCTATGCTTAGTCATTCTTGGACTTATCAATCACTTATTAATGATGTTCTTGAAATGAAATTAAACAGAATAACTGTTAATGTAGATTACATTCTTTTTTTTTTCTTTCTAAGGAACCTATTAGGTTATGGAATCTGATAAAAAGGCAATTAAGAAGAATTATGATATTTATCCTCGTGATTTTTTCTGGGAAAAAAACTCAAATACTCCATTTCCTCAAGTAGCTGAAAATATTGATTCAGAGTTTATTCGTTATAAAAATGACGCTAATGAGATTTCTAAAAAATCAGGTTTAGATATTGCAGATTTGTATATAATGATTGTCCCATTTTTTCTATTCTGATTATTAGTAGTGATAATTCAAGTAAATCAGAGAATCTTAAATTAGCTATGACAGCTTTACCAGAACTTACATCTCGAAAACAAATTCTTGATATGCATATGAATATTGCTACAGCTTTATTAAAGGATATTAAAGAACGTCAATTAGACAATTGTTATGAAATAGAGGAGTCTATTACACGTTGTACAAAATCTAACATTCTTGAAATAATAAATGATCCACAAAAAAAGCCGGAAGACAAATTGAGGATTTTTATAATTTATTATCTTAGTGTTGAAAATATTAGCAACGTTGATATGTTTGAATATGATGATGCATTGAAGAAGGCAAAATGTGATCTTAGACCTTTAAATTATATTAAAAAGTAAAAAAGAATCATGAAAAAAATATATGCTAATTTTATAATAGAGTAAGAGAGATTACAAAAATGACTACGATGATATCTCCTCCAGTACAAAATTCTAGTGCTTTTTCAAATACAGGTGATAATCTTTTTCGAGGATTGAATTCTCTTAGCAGTATAGTAAGTATTAATAATTGGATAATTGTTTGGTAATATTGATAATTATTATTTTAGCTTACAGAAAAACTTAAGGATGGTGCTATTACAGGGGGATTAGAAAATCTCATATCTGGAGTTAGAAATTTTCTACCATCTTATAAAGATTTTACTATAACAAAGATAGTAGAAAGTTTAATGGAACCTACTTCATCAAATATTAGCAGGACTGAAGACTATCTTTACTTTGATCCGAAAAATCATCAAGCTCAACAAAATCCTATTCGTAAACAACAATTTAACGAAGCAATTGTATTTATGGTTGGAGGAGGGAATTATCTTGAATATGGAAATTTACTTGACTGGGCAGCACGATATCCTGGAACAAAAAAACGAATTATATATGGCTCTTCTGAATTATTATCTCCAAAAGCTTTTTTAGATGAATTAAGTCGGTTATCTTCATAAATTTTATTAGTTTTAAAAATTATCAATTAATCTATGTATGTAAATTATATAATAACCCAATTAACCTCTTAAGAAATAATGCCATGTTTATTATTTTAATTATTTATAATATTTTTAATTTTTATATATAAACTCATTTCAAAAATGGCTGTTTAATTTCATTTGTTCTGCCCATAGTTCTAACTCATCAAATAATGGATCTAACCCATTTCCTCCATTCATGCAACCTTCTAGATCATATAAACTATAACCACAGCGATGATCTGTTATTCTATTTTGTGGAAAATTATAAGTTCTAATTTTATCTGGTCGAGTAGCTGAGGGAATTTGGGATCTACGTTGTTGTCTTTCATTCTCTGTATTTTTCTCACTTCTTAAGGCTGCGACTCTAGATTTTAATATTATGAGAGCTTTTGAGCGATTCTATAAATTAGTATATAATAAATGAAAATTGTAATTTTACTTGATGTTGTGAACGAGAATCTTGCATAGAAACAGATATTCCAGTAGGCAAATGAGTCATTCTTACTGCTGATTCTGTTTTATTTACCTATAGCTATTATTTTATTAATAAAAATATTTATACAATTCCTAACATGTTGTCCTCCTGCTCCTCTTGATCTCATAACTTCTATTTTTACTTCTTTCATATCAATTTTATCAAAGTTTTTGTCTTGATCAACTTTTGGAAAAACATTAACAGTTATAGTACTAGTATGAATTCTTCCCTTAGATTCAGTAATAGGAATCCTCTGAACTCTATGAACACCTGTCTCATTTTTTAATTTTCCAAATGCTCCTGGGCCGTCTAATTGCATAATAGCTTCTAAAATACCTTCATTTCCTTCATTTTTGTTTATTGATAATATTTCATATTTCCAATTCTTTGTTACAGCATATTTTTGATACATTCTTAGTAATTCTGTTGCAAATAAGGTTGCCTCATCCCCTCCAACGCCTGCATGAATTTCTAAGATACATGGTAGATGTGCCTGAGGATGTTTTGGTATAATATTCTTCTTCAATTCATTATAACATTCTTCCAATAACTTTTCTTCTTTTCCAATTTCTTCATTTGCAAGCTTGATCATCTCATAGTCTTCACTTTCATGTTTTAATTGTTTAAGTTTATCAATCATCTAATATAGTTAGATATTAAAAAACATTAAATTCCAAGAACAAGCAAAGATTTATGATATTTTTCCAAAGAAATTGCAATAGGTTTTAGATTTATAATTTTTTTATTTAGTGATTTTATAGAGTCCAATTCTTTCATCTAAAAATGATAAACATTACACCGATCTTTATCAATACTTACTAGTGACATTTGTTGCTTAAGATTATTGTATTGATTTAGTAAAGATTCAGCAATTTTTATAACTTTTTCATTTAAACTGATCTGATTAATATTCACTTTGCCTTATAAAAAATGAATCAAAAAATATAAATAAAAAACAAAAATACATTTGTCCTCCTTGTTTTTAAATGTAGATGTATATATTTTCCTTTTGAAAAAGCTCTTTAATTCAAAATTTTTTTGATAATACTTATTGTTTAAAGGTATTATATATGTAAAAATATTCTGAAATATATATTGAAATTTATTTCTACCATTTAACCTATGCTTAGAAATATGATTTAATGCTTTGTTATTGAAAATCTTCATATTTAATATATTTTAAATATAAAATATATTTGCATCCTTCAAATATTATATTGATCAATCAAATTATAGATTTGTTTATATAATTTTTTACAGAATTCCTTTATTTATAAAAGAGATTTATCTTCGTTTTGTTAAAGTATCTGTTTATTTCATGTTTAAGTTGTTTCTGTATTAATTGAAAATCGAAATTTTATACTTTTCTATAGAAAGTTATATTTATTAATAATGTATACTTAAATAAAAATGTATCTTTATAAATATGTTTCAATCTGTACATTGTCTTTTGTTATACGAAATATAAATCCTGTCCTTTTTGAAGGTGCTAAGTCTTTATTTGATAAACGCTGAAGCACTGCAAGATATAAACCAAGTTGAAGAATGTTATTTCTTTGTTGTGAATAAACTAAAAGATTCTTTAAATCAATTCCAGAAGAGAATTGAGATACTGCTTTTTTAAGAAAGCAAATTCTATGTGATACTTGACTTGTATATGAAAAAGGAAGATGTTGATGATAAATTTGAAATGAATCATCAGAAATAGTAAAATAACGTATATTTGTTGTATAAGGATTAAAATTTTGTGATGTTTGTAAAACCCAGTTTGTACTAATAGCAAGTGAACACCATGTATAACAAAATTTCTTAAGTAATTGAGTAATTTGCTTATAAATAATGTTAATTCGCTCTTGAACATAAGGATTAGAGAGCAAATTTGAATATAAATCTTTCCAGTAAAATGCTGAAATAGAATCAACAAAGACATAGCGGATTTTTACATCATTTGCATATGATTTAAAATATTGAGGCAAATATTGAAGAGTAGCTATTAAAGATATTGAATCTTCCGGCCGAAAAATATATAAACGAGTAAGGCTTTGTTTAACTATATCTTTAAATATTCTATCCTTACATTCCTTATCATTTTCTTCTTTAATTCTATCATTTTGACTCTTTTTAAATATATTCTTGACTTTTTCATACATTATCTCCTCTAAACGATATGTTTTCCACTTTCTACTGCAATCTAAAAGAACAATTCCTTCTTCAAGACCTCCTATCACTTCTTTTTCTTCATTTGATTCATAAATTTTGGGAAGAAGTGTTCTTGATGCAATAAAATAAAGTAAATGTCTCTTTCCTGATCCATAAGGGCCCTGTAATTCCAATATATCCCCATAATGAAGTCCTCTATCATCTTTCGAGGCTATAAGATCATCTAATAGGCTTATACTGAACTTAATACCGCCTCTTTTACAACATAAATGAGATCGAATAGCTTGTACAAGCTGTTTTGCCGGTTAATACTTTGTAGAAAAAAACTGGATCATTTACACTCGTACAGGACTCGTACTCGAATGTATTAAGAAGTTCTTTGGCTAAAACAATTGCTTCCATTTTGAATTTTAGTTATATTTCAATAAATGATAAAGTTTCAAAGTTTTTCAGCTCAAGATATTCAAAAATTACTTGATAAAAGCCGTAAATCAGAAGAAGAACCTTTAATGGAGCTTATTATGTACACATGTTACGTTAAGGAGCAGAAGATTGTGTGTAAACCCGTTCATCGGTTGTTTAAAGTGTAATTTATATAAGTATAAATGTATAAAGTAAAATTTCTATAGATCTAACAAGAAAAATGTTATTGAAGTTACAGGCTTGAAAATATGAAGAAGATATTATGGTTATAGTTATTTTTTTTGATATAAAATAAGATATTTTTAAGATGTTATAAAATATTTCTAAGTTGACGTGTGTATCTGCTAGTTTCCCAATTAACAAGACCTTCATAAGGTCTACAAGCATCTTCTTCATAGCCCATATCTTTCCAGACTTTTAGAAAGAGTTCATCTTGTTTAATAGGTCCCTGATTTATTTTATGTAGATTTAGTTTGTTTTCAATCTGAATAATTTTCCATAAGGCATTTTCAGCCAAACGACTTTGTTTTGCTGACAATTCCCGTATTTTATGAGGACATGTCATTCGTTGTACATATACTGGTGTACTCATATATGTATGTTTTGGAGGAAAGATAGGAAGATGTGATAAATGATAGTCAGGTCGTTCATCATTGATACCTGTTAGCTCTGGTCCTAAAAGTTTTTCAACAAGCGCCGATGACGTATTCATAAAACGTGATGTGGCTTTCGATATAGATTCGTCTGACCTTATATCAGCCTTTTTTAATAATTATTTCTTATCCACCTTTCTCTAATTCATAATTTCTTCCAATACGTTGCTTCATTTCTATTTCTAATGATTCTATCTTAATTCCTTCATAAAAAAGCATCAATTCAATATCATAAATTGAAATCTTGTATCTCCTTTGTAAAAATGCAAAGCGTAATGATCTATCTAAGATTTTCATAATATCTACATTTATTTGTCACATTAAATCTATAATACTCCCTTTTCACTGACATAAAACAAGAAATCTCTCTAATGCCATTATAGAGCTCTTCATTGCCGATGAAAACCCAACTGATTGAAGTATTTCTACAACTGCTCGTCTCTCTAATATTTTCTCAAATCTTTCTTCCCTCATATCTCTTCCAAAATCCTATCAAATCGCTTCGTTTTTTCAAATAACACTTATATATATAATATAAACCTTATAACATGATTTCCTCTATGTTTCCTCCTCTTAATCCCTCTCTTTTCTCTTTTTTCATGTCTTCCTCTTTTTTCTGACGTTGCTTCGCCTCTTATTTCGTAAGGTTATTAACCACACAAAAAAAACATAAAACCTTAAAAACATTGTTTTTTCGCCGTATTTTCTGTAAAATACCCTTTAAACTTTATTTTATTCTTATTTTTTTCAGGAAAATCTTTTTTATCCGAAAAAACCGCTTTTAAATGGCCTTTAAACCTGTTATTGGTGTTTTACAACGTTCTTTAATTAAAGTTCTTCAAAATAAATAATAATCCCCTCTTAACCCTTTTTTCTAGGACATTTCTCTCTCTCTTGGACTCGGTATTGCCTCTGCTTATCTTTTCTGGTACGGATATCATCTTCCTTCTATACGTAAACGCGAGGCATATTACAATACTCTAAATCACACAAAAACTTGATATCCAAAACAATAGATTAATCTCTATCTCAATTTACACATTTCTTTGCTTCTTTATGTATATTTTTTCTTCATCTATTTTCTCCTCACGTGACACTCATTTTCTACAACTCGACGAGACGTCAACTTCTAAGAAAAACCAAAATTATCAGGAAAGACGAAGGCGAAGGTAAGATTGAGTCATATAAGAGGGTTTTCTAACGGTATTTTTTATAGGAATATGTTACTGGCCTCTTTAGGAGGAGCTTTGAGTGATTTTGGAGCATATTTATTGCGTTTCCAGAGTAAAGATACGGAATGGTTTTGGAAGCGTACGACACGTTTTTTTTTAGGGCGACGTGCCTTTATATATACGGCAGGAGCGTTTTTTGTGTTTCTATCATTAGGGAGTACGTTTTATCTTTATCGTGGAATGTCTAAGGATGATACTGTTGGATCGGATAAAAAACAAGTAGGATATAAGAAAAAACCTAAGAATAGAAAGAAACGAAAGGTTAGAATTACGGAGAATGAGTCGTCAGTTAAAGGTTTAATGGGTGGAATGATGAGAAAAAGATTGAATGATGAATAGATGAAACACAAGGGTTAGAAATATTAGATGAAGAATTATTTGTTACACAAGAAAAGATTGAGCAATTTTCAGAATCAGTATGAGAATGCGTTTATTTTTAGATAATAATGGGTTAAAATTTGATAGGAACTTAAAGCGCATTCGATAAAATTGAAAAATGAGGGAAACAAAGCATATTCTAGAAAAGAATATGATAAAGCTATTGAATTTTATACGCATGCTATATCATGTTCAAAGGATCCAGTATTTTATTCTAATAGGGCGGCCTGTATGTATATATATATATGAGGTTGAGATTGTTAAAATTGAGGGATAGGTTATATTGCATTAAATAAACCTGAACAAGTTATTGAGGATACGACAACGGCTTTAAGTTTAGATTCGACATATGTGAAGGCATTGAATCGTCGGGCAACAGCATATGAAATGTTGAATAAAAATGATGAGGCGCTTTTAGATTATACAACGAGTTGTATAATGGATGGATTTTCGAATGAAAATGCTGCTCAAAGCGTTGAAAGATTATTAAAAAAGATAGCGGAAGAAAAGGCGAAAGCTATTATGAAGGTAAATAGAGATCGTTTGTTTTTATTTTGAAATTAACTTTTTTTTTTTTTAAGACGAAGAAAAAACAATTGCCAAGTCCGACCTTTATAACAGCTTATTTGGATGCATTTCGACCTAGACCTATTCCGAAAATAGAGACAAATGATGAAACATCGGGTGATTATCATCTTAAACAAGGATTTAAAGCCCTTTTAGCTAAAAATTATGATACTGCGTCTCAAAGTTTTTCTAAAGCAATTGAATTAGAATGTTCTAGTTCACTGAAGTCTCTGGCATATAATATGTCGGGTACTTTTAAGTTTATTCAAGGAAGTACACTTGAAGCGTTGGAAGATTTTAACAAAGCGATTGAATTTGACCCAACTGACACGCAAAATTATATTAAACGTGCAAGCGTCCATATGGAATTGGGTAAGAAGGCGTGTAATATGTTATATATATATATAGATATATTTAATAATATAGGCGATCGTTTTGCAACATGGTCTGATTTTGATACTGCACAATCGGTTAATCCAAAAGATCCTGATATTTATTATCATCGCGGACAAATGCATTTTATTACCGGTGAATTTTCTGAGGCAGCAAAAGATTATCAAAAATCGATTGATTTGGATAAAGAATTTATATTTTCTCATATTCAATATGGTGTTGTACAGTATAAATTAGGAAATACTGCATTAAGTATGTCGATTTTCCGTAAATGTTTAAAAATGTTTCAAAAGTCAAGTGATGTTTATAATTATTATGGCGAGCTTTTATTAGATCAGCAGCGATTTCAGGATGCAATTGAAAAATTTGATATTGCTATACAACTGGAGAAGTCAAGCAAATTTACAATAATGAATGTTCTTCCTCTTATCAATAAAGCTCTTGCTGTTTTCCAATGGAAGAAGGATATAGTAGAGGCCGAAAAGTTATGTAAAAAGGCTTTAGCTATAGATCCTGGTTGTGATGTTGCTGTATGTTAAGTGAATTAATGTTTTTCAATTAATATTTTTTAGGTTGCAACTATAGCACAATTACTTTTACAGCAAGGAAAAATTGAAGATGCTATTGAATATTTTAATAAATCCGCACAACTTGCACGTACGGAATCAGAATTGGTTAATGCACTTTCATACTGTGAAGCAACGAAGATTCAACTTCAAGTTACTCGAAAATATCCTCATCTTGCTGAACGTTTAAATAACATAACTAAAGGGAATTTTTCGGTATAATTTTTTTTATTTTGGATATACACACATATTTTTGACTTACATTGTGTTTTTAAACAAATTAACATTTTATATAGTTATAGCTGATGTAATATTTTGATATTTATGTAATTATTCCTATTCTTAAGGATTCATATTTTAAATTGTTTAGAGAAATAACAAAAAAGTCTTAATATGATTCTTTAATGCTGCATAATTCATCGAGGTTCTTTAAAGTTTTACAAGTCGAATTAGATAGGTTTATCACTCTGTAAATTAGAAGGATAGATTCTAGAATTTTGGAATATTGAATTATCTACATAATATATAAAAATGATATAATTTGTTTTCTTTTAATTATATTGTGTTTTTTAGTTAATTAAATGCTAATTTGATTTTTGTTAAACACTAATTTAACTTAAACCTTATTTACAACAAATTGTATGCAAATAAAATATGCTTTTGTCTAGAATTTTTATCAATAAATGGTCTAGATGTCCTAAGAAATATGAAAGGGCCTAATAGAAGTTTTTTTTCCAGAAAAATATGTTAAAAATTCTATTTTTTTTTAATAATATTTTTTTCCTTGACATTCATGATAATAAATAAACACTTTTTACCCAATTTAATAGATTTAAAATATCAATAGATCATGCTTCTTGGTTAGCCATTACTAAAAATGAATATTCTTTTTTAATATCTTTTAGATCTATTAACAATATCTTTTTTTTTTTAACTGATTATTTTTGTTTAGAACTTTTTTATTTAGGCAATTTATTTGGTTTCCTTTCAATATCCCTGGCATTTTTAATAAGTAATTTATGTTTCTTTAAGACATCTTGAGAACATTTTAGTAAATTCTTCATTGTAATAAATCAAGTCCACATGCATTCTTTCTAGAGAAAGGTGATAACATTAAGTCAATCTTCATGATTCATGATTTTTCCTATATATAAAACCTTTATCGAAAATAATTAACTTTTAAAAAATCCTTTTTATCCAATCTTTTTTTTTAAGAAAAAAAGTTATGTCCATAAAAAATATAATAAAAAAAGAACCTATATCTTCACCTAGTTTCTTGCCTTGTGTATTTTCCTTTTTTTTTCATTTTTTTTAATATAACTATTGTTGATGATCGGATATCTCACAAATGCCAAAATCTTTTAAAAGAAAATATATTAAGTTTGCCTTCTTTTATACTCTCTATTACTTGTTAATAACTTCTCCAGATTATGTGAGAATTATGATTCTTTAATTGAAAAATCTGAAAACCTTCAACTGCAAATTGAAAAAGCTAAAGTTATTGCAAATCGTATTTCTTCTGAGAATACGTAATTTCCTTATTTTATAAGAGAAAGATGCTAAGAATAAATAAGACATCTTATGGACCTTCTTTTGGATCAAGAAAATGTGTATATAAACTCTTTGGCTTCATCAGAATTAGAATCAGCAGCAGAATCAAATACAGAAACAGATTCGTTAAAAAACTATAATACTGAAAGTGATATAAGTAGTTATTATCGAAATGGAACACCGCCTCATCTACTTTCTTTAAGTCCTCACTGGGATTATTCACCGGTAGAGATTATAGAAAAAGATGAAAAAAAAGAAGATCATAGTCAGTCCATATTGTCTACAAATTCGCTTTTTTTATCTGAAAAAAAAGGGAAAAAAGGTTCTGATTAGTCTGATAATGTGTATGAGAATCCTTGACGTAGTATAATATATATAATATATTAATAAATTTTTCTAAAAAGAATACTATTTTTTTGATCGACTTCTAGATATTCGGGTTGTAGATATATAGCTATGATCTCTTTCTGATGAATGTTTATTTTTTAATCTTGAACGTGTTCTTTTATCCTATTAAAATGAATTAGATATGCTAAATATATTTTGGAATAAACCTTTACGCTTGTTCTTGTTTTCTTTCTGGGGATATCATCTTCTTCATATTCATCATCGTTATCATCAGATCGATCACGTTTCCAATCTGTTTTTTCTTCATTCATTTCAAGTTCACGTTTAACAGATGTAAGAAGTGTTGCACATCTTCTTTGCAATTCCAAAGCAGTTCGACTTTTAAAGAACCAATCAAATCTAAATAATGGTGATATTCGAATTTCTTCTCGTAAACGTTCATAAACATCTTCTGTTCCAAGTCCATATTCATTTAATTTAACAAGAAGAAACCGATCTTCCTCTTCTGTATAAGATTTTCCTTTATTTTGGTTATACATAATTTTTAATTGCTGCAATGGAGCACGATATTGTGAAATTTTTTCATGAAGAAGCTTTGTTTGACGATCCTGTTTTTGAATTCGTCCTTCTCCTGCTTCTATTTGTCCAATATAGCGTTCATATCCTTCAAAAATTAGATAGAATTTCACTTGAAATTATGAATTACCATCAATTTCAGAATATCTTTCCCAGAATACTTTAGAGTATTCTTTAATTTGAGCCAGAGTTTTACCTTCAATTTCTTGAGCTATAGCTTTAAATGAATTACGACCATGTTTTGCACAAGCTTGGATAAAATGATAAAAATCACGGCGTTGCCAATCACCAAATCCATGTAAAAGTAGTTTTTCTTTCTCTAATTGTTCTTCTTCTGTCAATGGAACAGCATTGTCTATCTCTCTTTGTTCCATATCTCGAACAGCCTTTCTTTCTTCAAGATCTTCTGGAGTTCCATCTGCAAGTGGTATTTTATAACCTATTTCTTTCTAAAATAAAAGTATTAGCAAAAAAAAAAGCAGTATAAATTCAAATACTCTAAAATATGCAGTTTCACGATCTTGTAAATCAATTAGTCTTTGTGGAAAAAATTGATGATCTTGTCTAATATTTGTTAGTTGATCGCAATAAACAAAAAAAAATATACATGTTAATTTGTTTAGGAGGTCGAGGTGCCTTAGGAGGGCCATGTGTTCTACCACCTGTTTTTAAAACACCCTTATAATATTGATCCAAAGAATATGATTGCTGAGTTCGTTCACGCTTGCTTGGATAAATCCATTTAATTCCTGCCCCGTCTGTACTTCTTTTTTTTGTGTAATCTTCGCCATTCCATTCATAGGCCGAATCAGTAGAAAACTTTTGTAAATCGTCTATTCCAAGACTTTCATAACGTTTATTAAGCTCAGCTGTTCTTTTTTCTCCTTTCTTCATTATTTCCTCAATATCGTCTTCAGTCATAGTTCCTCCCTCTTTTTGTTTAAAAACATCCTCAGCTCCATGTTGAATCATGGTTATAAGCTCTTCTTTAGATGCACTATTTTTATTTTGCAATTGAGTTCTACCCTGTTGTATAACTAATTGATCTAAACGAAGCTTTTGAGCTGCTCGTTCTAAAACTTTTTCTTCTACAGTATTATCTGTAACAAAACGGAAAACATAAACTTGTTTAGTTTGTCCAATACGATGAGCTCGGTCCATAGCTTGTAAATCAGCTTGAGGATTCCAATCGCTATCATAAATTACAACAATATCTGCTGTAGTAAGATTAATTCCTAAACCACCCGCTCTCGTAGTTAACAGAAAAAGGAATTTATCACTTCCTGGTGCATTAAAATCATCGATAGCAACAATACGATCTTCATGGGATGTTTGTCCATCAATTCTACAATATTTATATCCCCTTAGATAACAATAATCTTCTAATATATCAAGAACTCGACCCATTTGACTAAAAATAAGAACTCTGGAATCCTGAGCTTTCGACCATCTTAATAATTTGTCTAACATAACCATTTTTCCGGAATTTGTCACTATATGTTCATCAGTTGTGTATGGAGGTCCTGGTTCAGCGCCATCAAATAAATATGGATGATTACAGCATTTCCTCAGCTGCATTACTATATTTAACAAACGTGTCTTCCCTTCCTTTTTTCCTATTGCACCATTGACTGCATCTATATCTTTTTCAAGTATTTTTTGATACCATTTTACTTGCATCTCTGATAAACCAACATACAAATTGGTTTCTTTTTTAGGTTTAAGTGTTCTTTCTACATCCGACTTGACACGACGTAAAAGAAAAGGACGCAATACTTTGTGTAGTTGCTTAATAACTGTATCTGAATCGCCATTTTGGCTTTCAAACCATCTATCAAAAACTTGAGAATCTGCAAATATATCAGGTAAAAGAAAATTTAATAAAGCCCATAATTCATGTAAATTATTCTGAAGCGGTGTTCCTGTGATTAAAAGCCTATTTCTACTATTAAGCAAGCGAATAATTTTTGATAACATAGATTCTTCATTTTTAATACGATGTGCCTACTAATTAATGACAAAAAAAAAACAGAAAAGAAACAAACCTCATCAACAATGATATATTCCCAGGCAAATTTCTTAAAATGCATCTTTTCTCTCAATATTGTTTCATATGATGTAATACAAACATCAAAATTATTAGTAAGAAGTCTTTCATTAATTAAAACGGCCTATAAATTATCATGATTATTATTATACAATGATGATTTCTGTTACAAACCCTTTTGTCTTTTGGTGCTTGAAAAACAAAAACATTAATTTCTGGGATCCAACGTGAAAATTCTCGAGACCAATTATCAAGTGTTGATTTTGGTGCTGCAACAAGATGGGGCCCCCTTATACCCTTTAAAAAACGAAGATATCCTAAAAACTAATAACATAAGATCATTTAATTATTTATTTAGTAATATTTACTGATATCGTTTGTAATGTTTTCCCTAATCCCATTTCATCTGCCAAAATACCATTAATACCATTTTCATATAACGATATAAGCCAATTAAGCCCTTGAACCTGATAATCCCTCATCTTTCCTCCAATAATATCTTCAATCTTATAAACAATCATGTATAATTAATCATATTAAACTTACAAGGCGGACTTTCTGTAAAAATAGTCTGATTTCCTTCATTCGGATCCTCTTCTTGTAATAATTCCGCATCTTCCTCCTGTTCCGTTTTACGATGTCTATGATCTTTCGAATTCATTTCTTTCTTCGGCTTTTCATTCGAAAGTTTATTGATAATCTCTTTAGAATCCGCATTTGCTCCCGTCTGTAAATTAATAAAATGACGAAAAAGCTCTATTTCACATCATATCAAAATATCCCCCTTATCTAAACCTATATACCTGTCTGTCCAAGAAGAAATGAAAACCTTTTTGTCGAATCTACCGCCTATTTTCCATTCATCTATATTCTCTCTTCATACTCTTATTATATACCTTCGCTTCATTCAGTTTCGCATGCTTTTCCCCAAATTCCCTTTGTCTCTCCATATTCATCATTGTTCTATAGTTCCTCTGGCTTAACTATGCTCATTTCATGTTATTTTCATATATTCTTTATATCCAAAAACCCTTCTTACTTTCTCCTCCTCCATTAATTCCTCCTCAAACTTTAACCATTAGATATACTATTAGAACTCTATCTAATCTTATACTTTAACGTTCTGTTCTTCAAATTCTCCTGATAATTCACTTGTTGATTGGTTTTCATTGTTTTCGCTCATTTCTTATTCAATTTTTCTCGTTTTTTCGCCCTTCAAATTCACTCTATAAAAAACTCTTTATTTCTTATATAAAATACGTCTTATTCTTCTTATTTCCCTTCTATTTTACTCGTTTTTTTCCTAAAAAATATTGATTTTTTTCTCAAAAATTCTAACTTGAGATGTTCTCGAGTGATTAAAGACGTTAAGTCCTGTGAACTTCGATAAACTAAATAGACTCTCACATAAAAAAAGGGACTTAGAAAAGGATATAAATAAGCAGAATAACATAGAAATCTTAAGGAAATCTATAGTATTTTTAATTTTGGAGAGGAGCAGCCATGGATATGTCATCGCTTCATAACCATTTGCCAGGAAGGCGAAAAGAAACAAAGAGTGAACAAGATGATTTACTTTCAACATTTAAAGCAGGTATGAGTTATTTATATTATTTATGAGAAGATATTTATAAGTGATGAATAGCAGCGCTTTCAGTTACGAATTTATATAGACAAGCATTGACGGCAGCGGGTCAAGAACGGCAAGAAGGGTTTCAAGATGCTGTTGAGGAGATGTTGATGCTTTTAAATGATGGTATTACGGATATTGAGAGTCTTCGTGAGTGGTGTATTGCACGACGTAGAAATGAGGGGAATTCATATTCATCATCAAATTTTTCAGAAGAATCTAATCATAATACATCATGTACAAATTCATTAGATTTAAACTTTTCAAAACCGACCTTATCATCGAGTCCTACACCTCAGTGCTTTCAAAATATATTAACGGAGCGGACTGAGACATTATATGATTCAAATAATCCATCTAACGACGAAAATATATCATTTCAGCTCATTGATTCACCTCGTTTGTCAACTAAACATCGTATCATTTTCAATGATTCTAAAAACGTATCTTCAAAGAAATGTCGTCATTTTTAGTTTTTTGATTTACGTTTATTCTATCTAACTATTTCTTTACTTTCATTATTCTTTTTTTCTTTATGTATCATTATATATATCCATTATACTATACAGATAGACCTAAACCATAAACCTTGACCTTCCCATGGCCTTCCCTTGACCTTACCTTGCCCTGTACCATACTGTACACCTAGCCCTGGCTCTTTGACTGCCCTGCTTTAGTGACGGCCAGGTTTTGCAAAATCTTAACTTGTATTTGATCTTTTTAAAGGCCTGCTTATATGGATAACTTGGTTCTTCGCTCATCTCTTGAAGGACATACGGGATGGGTTACTGCTATTGTATCTTCTCCAGAAAATCCCAATATGATTGTTTCTGCGTCTAGAGATAAGACAATTATTGTCTGGCAATTGCTAGAGAATGGAACATTTGGAATACCAAGGAAAGCATTGAGAGTAAGATGGGATTATATTAGTTTTTGGGTGGTATTTAGTCTCTGAATAGGGACATAGCCATTTTATTCAGGATTTGGCTATTTCATCAGATGGTCAATATGTTCTTTCAGCGTCTTGGGACAAGACGCTAAGATTATGGGACTTAAATACAGGGCAGACTACGAGACGATTTGTTGGACATACAAGTGATGTTCTAAGTGTTAGTTTTTCTATGGATAATAGGCAAATTGTTAGTGGATCTCGAGATAAGACGATAAAGCTTTGGAATACGCTTGGAGATTGTAAAATGACTATACGGGAAGGAGGACATACTGATTGGGTGTCTTGTATTCGTTTTTCACCGGGTCTTAATAATCTTATTACTGTATCGGCTGGATGGGATAAGATGGTTAAGGTATTAAGAAGAATTTTTATTTCTCCATTAGAAGATCATCAGAGATCATGAATATTTTATTATGGGACATAAATATCTTATTATGGGACATGAATATTATATATTTATGTTTTAGATATAGTTTTTTAATGATTTATTGTAGTTGATGATGAATCGGAGAAATATAAAGTCATTATTTGGTAAAACTAATATATAAATAGTCATGGGATCTTTCAAACTTTAAGCTTAAAACAAATTACATAGGTCATAATGTAAATATTTTCATATTTTATTTTTTTTTTAAAAAAAACAGGGTTTTATCAATTCTGTAACTATATCTCCAGATGGATCTTTATGTGCTTCTGGTGGAAAAGATACTATAGTCATGTTATGGGATCTTAATGAATCTAAACATTTATATTCCTTAGAAGCTGGTGATATTATTAATGCTTTGGTATTTTCACCTAATCGATATTGGCTTTGTGCTGCTACTGCTACAAGTATAAAAATTTTTGATCTTGAAACAAAGTATTATATTTATACTTTATTTTTCTTTTATTAATCTAATATTCTTAAAGAATTACTGTTGATGAACTTAAAGTTGACTTTACTGGTGTTGGAAAAAAATCTTCTGACCCAGAATGTATTTCTTTATGTTGGTCTGCTGATGGACAGACTCTTTTTTCTGGTTACACTGATAGTATTATTCGGTATTTTCACTTATTTCTATTATATTTTAACTTTTTTTTTTAGTGTATGGCAAGTCACTACTTGATTTTTTCATTATTCATCTTCATATAATATCATTAAAATATTTAACTATTTTTGTTTCTAAATTATATATTTTTCTACATTTAATATATATATATATTACAAATTTCTTATATCGCCTATTTCTCCTCATACAGACCAATATGTTAGTTCTTTTTACAATATTTAATAGAGGAGGGATTGTTCTTTGGGAGAGAGCTTTTGATGATTTACCATTTAATATTATAAAGAATTTTATTAATGATATCTTTATTGAAGAGCAAAAGTCTAAGACAACCTATATAAAAGAAGATTTAGCAGTGAAATGGACTATATCTAATGAATATGGGCTTGTATTTGCAGTATATATCTATATTTTTCATGGAGGGATCTGAATAGTGGTTTAGGCCGTATATATAAGTCTTTCAGAGTTATATTATGTTGAAGAATTTCTTGAAAATATTAAGAAGTTATTTTGTCAGATATATAATGAACATCTTAAGAAAAAGGACTTTTGTTCAAGAAATTATAAATTTGATTCATATTTTGATACTAAGATTGAAGAATTTAATGCTTTAAATGTATATTTTATAAGAAAAAATATGATAGTAAGATAATGGGTTAATTAGACAAAGAAATTAGCAACATTTATGTCTAAAAAAGAGGAGATTACGGAAGATTCTTTATCTTGTAAGGATTCTGAGAAGAAAAATGGTATAATATTTATTTATTTATTTAAAATATGAAATTAAGATGTAGATATTGTATGTCAAAATGTTGCTATGTCAAATGTTTCAGAGACAGTTAAAACAAGGTTTCCATTAAAAAAGGATCATCAGAAAAGGAGTACGAACAAGAATTCTAAGAAAAATGATCTTAAAATGGGTGATTTAAGGTGATATTTAGCATTTTTTATTATTATATATATATATATTTCTTAGTGATAAAGAAACTGTTAAAAAAAACAAAAAGGTTATGCGTAAATGGGAAAATCATTATATTGTAGATGGTGATTGTGAAGATGATGCTTTAGATTATTCTGTTGAGCCTGAAAATTCTTCTTATTCAAATCAAAATGATATGTTAGATATAGCTAAAGAAAATCTAAGTTCAAAAAATGGAAAAGTTTTTATTATTAAGGAAATTGATGATGATAATGATGAAACTAATGGTGAAAATGATAAAAAAGAATTACATATATGGGTATTAAATATATTTACTAATCTTGTTAAAAAAAGAGTTCTTTCATTAGATGATATCAATCCTGCTTTAACAAAAATGAAAGAATTATTATTGAAGAAAAATATTGCAAAGGAAGTTGTGGATAATATATGTGAATCTGTTCAGAATAATCTAATTGGGAAAAATATTGGTACTTTTCAATGTAAACTAAGTGCTTTTTTATGGGCATAACTAAAATTTTTAAGCTATTCATACTATTATTAAAACAACTATGGAATCTACTCTTAAACAGATTTTAACTCCATCAGCATCTATAGATCTTCTTAAAGAAATTGATGATTCAAAGGCACAAAAAAGACCATATACAATTTCATTTGTTGGTTTTAATGGTGTTGGAAAATCTACTACCCTATCTAAAATAGCATTTTGGCTTTTAAAAAATCATTTAAAAATTCTTGTTGCTGCTTGTGATACTTTTAGAAGTGGGGCAATAGAACAACTTCAAGTTCATGTGAGAAATTTGCAACAATTATCTGAAAGGGAAAATTGCGGTAAAATAGAATTATTTGAAAAAGGGTATGGGAAAGATGCGAATATAATAGCAAATAATTCTATTTTATATGGTATTTTATCTTTTATTTTATATATAAATTTAATAATATATATAGCGAAAAAGAAAGAATTTGATGTAGTTTTAATAGACACTTCAGGAAGACGCCATAATGATACACGTCTTATGTCCCCATTAGAAAAAGTTATCAAAATATTATTTTTTTTGATTTTTACTAACATATATAGCTTGTTACTACAGAAAATATTGATAAAGTTTTTCAGGTAGCAGAAGCCTTAGCAGGTGCTGATGTAGTATCTCAAGCTAAGAATTTCAATAATGCTTTAGGTTATAAAAGAAAATTGGATGGATTCATTATTTCTAAAATGGATACTGTTGGAAATGTTATTGGAACAATAGTTTCTATAACATGGGCTACTGGTATTCCAATTATATTTATAGGAAATGGTCAGACATATACTGATATTCGTGTTCTTTCTGTATCATGGGCTGTAAAAATGTTAATGAATTAATTATTTATAAATTATAAAAGTTATTTTATTAGAAATTATTATATGTTTTAACACTCTTTATATATTAATGTTATTAATGTTATTAATGCGGTATTTATAAAAACATTGTTTAATTATTTTATGCTGTAAATAGGTTTTAGATGATTTATATTATGTATATTAAATAGTAATATTATTTATTTTAGAAAAATATTACATATAAAATTTATCAGACTCTTTAAATAAATTATACATTGTTATTGAGTTTTATTGACTTATTTAGATTTAATATATATTAAAGATTTAGAATTTAGTACAGAAATTAGTTTAACTTTTAATTTATTAATTCTACACTTTTTAATAATCTTTTATAAAAATATTTGCCTCTTGGATCTTAAATCTAATTCTTTTGGGTTTTTTTATATAAATTTATAGCACTGGATGTATTCAAGTAATTTAAAAAAAAATCTATTATTTAAATATATTATTGCAGATACAATATTTGATATTTAGAATGTTTAGTTCATTTATAAATATAGATTATTATTTATTCTTTTTTGATTTTTTTTAAAAATTTCAAGATCTTAAATGATATCATTTTCTATTTCTTTATTATTTCCCTTATTTCCCTTATTTCCTAATAAAACAATTTCTCTCTTCAATATTTAAACATTATTTGAAACTTTATATTCTTGTATTTTATGTTTTAATATAAAAAATACATTCATCAATAATTTTTACATTATCATTAATCAATTGATATACATTATCATTTTAAACTTAATCACAATAAACATATCATTTGTTTTATTCATTCCAATTGATATTATCTCATCAATTGCTTCTTTATAAAACATCTATTCTTTATAATGTTCTTCTTAATAAATTCTTATAATATAATACTTTTTAACTGTTTTTTTGGATATTTACATATAGAATTCTCAAAAGAATTTTTATTCTTATATAACATTATCCATTATATACATAAACATTATTCTACATTAGATATCTGTATAAATTTCAAATCCATTTAATCAATTTGATTTTATTTTAAACAAATAGACTCTTATTCGCTTATTTAAATTGATATTCCATATACATGTTTTACACATAAAAATGCCTAAATACCATATATATATTATCTAGAACATCCAATAAAGGTTTATATTAACCTTTTGTCTATATATATGATATTTTTAATTTTTTGTTTACTAATAATATATGTTTTTAAAAAATTTATATAGAAAATAAAAAAAGTCCCTTAATATTAAGAAATATAAGACTTCTATCCCATTTTATTCCTTTTTACTCCCTCATTGCCCACTATTTCTTAAAAATATTTATGTCCTAAATATCTTAATATATTAAGATATTTTTACCAAAAATATCTTAATATAAAGATATATTCCTTTTTATTTAGAGAATATCTCAGGGTTTATCTGTTTTTTCTTGGAAAATACTAAGAAAAGCTGGGTTTAGCGGCTCGTTTGTTCTATACTCTTGAATTTTCAAAAATGGGTCTATTTTCCTATTGTTTTAAGAAAAAAAGGTTAACATCCTCTTCAATATTGTCCCATCAAAGAGGTTTATGGGTACGTTCTTCTTTAACCCAAGATTTATCAGGATCTCCATTGCCATCACCAATTGATAAGTTTCGTAAGCAAATGGGCTTTATTTTTGGTCAGAAAGAGGGTTAATAGGGAATTAGCATTTGTATTTAAGCATGCGCCAAAGGCACCGGCTTATTCTCGTTTTTTTCCTCCTTCAAAAGACTTAAAACCTCTGACATATGTTTTTGATTCTTTACAGAGTATTTTTGCAACATATTCTTCATATTCATCAGCAGAAGTTCGGTTTGGTAAAGATTACTGGCCAAATGAGTTCAGTATAGGAGGTATTTCGGTCTTTTTTGGGGATTTTTTGCTTATATTCTAAGCAACATATGCTATTGGCAAGTTTTTCCAGCTTCTTAAGGAGCCTAGATCAAGATTGTCTGAAATTATGACAGAGGATTTACTTGTACTTCTTGATGAATATATTAGAAAGGATAATGATGAGCCTTTGAGGCTACAGCCGTATATACGGCTGAAACAAGTGTATAATTCAAAGATTCGTGCAGTATATGTCAATTTTGGGTGCAAAGATACATTTAAATGTCTTTCAGAGCTTGAAAAATCAAATGTAAAAGATCCAAGATATATTAGAATAAGATGGAAGACGTTTAATATTGGATTGAAACTAACATCATATGAAAAAGATGTTCCATCATCATTTAGTGGTATTAAAAATCTATCTATAAGGGAAATGAAGAAGGGAGTATCATATGCAGTGGATTTAGAGATAGATGGTGAGTTTGAGACGGGTTATTTTGATTTTTTAGATGGAAAAAATGAAAATATTCTGCCCAAAATTGTAAATAAGGAAAAACGCACAATAGTTGTGACATTTCAAAGTCAACATTGTAATCCTGCATGTAAATTGTCTGTAGAGGATGTATATGATGATGATGAACTTGTTAAAGAAGGGGTTGAATGGAAAATATCAGTATATAAATATATTTATTGGCATTAATTAAAAATATTATAGGATATAGACTATGTAATATTTGAAAAAAGGCTAAGAGATATTGAAAATTTTGAAAAAGGATAAGACGCTTTCATATTTGTTGACTTGGTTATGAAATATTTTTATATATATAGAATATAATCATAGAGAAATGGTTCTAAATTATCTTTATAATTTTAAGATTTAATCCTCAAATATTTATAAATCATATATCAGATATTGATATTTAAAACTAGAGGCACCCTTTTTTTGTGATAAAAATATTAAAGATTTTATTTGCACTATAAAGATAAAATCATAAAATAATTCAAAGCAATATGTAATCTTGGTAAAAATATTCATTAATATATTACTTAATGATTATTAAATATATCTATCTAGAATATGTTTTATTTTTCTTGGAAAATATATTTTAAAATAAAAATATGAATACTTTTTATGAAAATTAGTCTTAAAGTATTTAATTTTGAAAGTTTAGGATATGTTTTTTAAGAAAAATGTATCATAATTAAAACCACCATTGCTAAATTATAAATAATATACAAAAATGCCCTTAAAGGTAGAAAAATATAATTTTAAAAATTGTTTGAATTATACTCATAAAATGTCAAAGAAATACTTAAAAAAATGGTAAATATTCCTATAAAAAGCCTTTCTTAACATAAAATCATGATTATAAAAGTATCAACATAATATCCTACGTAATTTATAAGTTTCGAAAAAATACTTCAACATATTATACCATTACTAATTCTCCTCATATTTCTTAGTTTAAATCAAATTTATTAATCCCAAAAATACGTTTTCGATGTGTCTACATTATTAGTAATAAATAAAAATCTCTAATATAAACACTTACAGAGGGAAGTTTTGGTACTAATACCATTAAAAGTGCCCAGAGATTAATAAAAAACGTCCAGAAATCATAATGTGTATAATGTGTGCTTAAAAGAAATCTATTTATTTAAATTAAATAATATTCAAAAAAAAAATTATACATACAAAATAATAGGAACCGCTGTAAGATACTTCTTAGCTGGTGTATATTGCGCACCATTGTCCATTTGCTCCCACATCGTTAAATTATCATACGCTCCTGAATTAAACTCAAATGGAACTCCTTTTACCCAATGAAACATAATATATGAACTCTATCTTAAATCAGCTTCTCTTCCTTCTTCTTAATTCCCTCATTACAAGCATGTACGTCAAATTTGTAAGTGTCCATGAGAGCTCTTGAGATACCGCCGGAAATGCGTTATATAGTATTTTAAGATACGAAATAACAACAATATGTATAATCCATGCTCCTAACCCCCTCCATTAACTTTCTTTCTAACTATCCACTATATTCCTGCCTTTAAAATTCACCCAGTCACAATTAAAATTACTTTGACTTCCTTGATCTAAACTATCATCTGCCGTCGATGCTTGAACATCATGGATAATTGACGACGATCGTCTACACATATCATAAACCAGAATATCCGATCTATATATCTGGTCTAATATACTGCATGACATAGAGATTCTTTATAAAGACTTTCTTTAAAAAACTCTAATTTTACTTAAAAAAAGTGCCTTAAAAACTCAATAAATACTTCAAATAATATTCAAATAATATTAATAATCCTAGATTTAATCATTAAGACCTGTTAATCTTCTTTTAACCTGTATTCTTACCTTTTTATAAGAATTTTTAAAAATTTGACGTTATCAGCTTAGATTTTCTTAATAAGCCTTAATTTTTACGTAGGAGACTGGACGTCATAAAAATGTCTAACAGCTTAAGAGGGCTAGAAGAGGGGCAAAAAGGGCAGGACGAAGAAGATAAGGTATATTTTTATGAAGAAAGGTCAGTATATAAGGAGTTTATGAGTTTTTTTAGTATTTAAAATGGTTTAGATTTGATAGATTTGAAATGAAAAAAGTTGAGGAGTTTATGGGTGTTTTTGAAGGGGAAAAAAGGGAAGAAAAGGACGGGAATGAGTGGGTTATTGATGTAGAAGGGGTTGAGCGAAAAAAGGAATCGAATCTGGGGAGTTTTGGGCAAGAAAATGAAGAAATAAAAGTAAATGAAAAATTAAAGGAATCAGCAAGTGAAATAAGTGAAGAATCGGAGAATACCGATGTAGCAGATGATTGGACAGAAGTATGAATTCGTATGGAAGTTTTTAGTAATAATATGGTTAATATTTTTTTTAGTTGAGTAAAGGTAGATATTTTGGGTCAGTAGAAGATGAGATTATATGTCATAAATGTGCGGAACCAGGACATATTGCACGTGAATGTTTTCAAGAAATGGTATATAATAAAAGAGATTTGAAAGAGATTGATGTATTTTTAATGATAGTGTACGAATTGTGGGACGGTGAATGAACATTTAGCATCACGATGTCCAATGTTACAAAAATGTCATAATTGTAATGAATTAGGACATATTCTTATAGTGAATGAGGAAATTTTTGTAATAATTTTATACTTATGAGATTAGGATTGTAAAAAACCTCGAAAAATAAATATATGTAGTACATGTTCATCAAAATACCATCCAGATGATGTAAAATGGAATGATAATGAGAATAAAAGGGTTAATGATAATAGATGTGTCCTAAAATATGGAGATGTTATATATTTAATCCAGATGCACCAAAAGAATTTACTCCTAAGCGATATTGTTATAATTGTGCGGAATATGGACATTACGGTGATGTATTTTGCTTGTATATATAATTAATAGACTTAATATTTGATATAGGATTGTCGTCTTCCTCAATATTCTAGGTATTTAGAATCATCAGCTTTTTGTATTGATAATGAGCCGATTCCTGCCTCTGAATACGAGTATTTAAAACATAAAGAAAAGATAAAAAAGAAGAAACTTTTAAGAGAATATAGAGAATATGAGAAAGAAGATTGGTTTGTACGAAAAATGAAAAAAAAGTGCATGGATCATAAATCGCCAAGACTAGATACTTTTCAAAAAGATAAATCATATAATAAGATAAATTATTTAAATAGTGTACATAATAGGCATGACGAACTTTTATATAATAACTCAGATAAACGACAAAACAACAAATATGATAAAAAACGACTAAAAAGAAATTTAAATAAAGGGAAACCTATTTATATTGATTTGATTCCACGTTAAAATGGTATTCTTTATAAAAAATTGTGATTATTTATCTAGTAAAAATAATGAAACTCATAAAACTCTTTGTATATATTGTACTATTATTTCCATGTTATAGTCCAATTTAATACACTTCCTCCTAAAAAAGGTACTAAAATATTATCATCTGAACCAAGTTCTGATGCAATTTGTAATGGTTTTCTCGTCAATATAATTCTTTTATCTATACCAATATCTTTAACATTATAAAATTCTCTTCCAAATATACATGCAAAATTTTCAAGCTTATCTAACTTTCCCACCCTATCAAAAGCTTCTGCAAGATAACTTATAAGATATGGTTGAGTAAATATTCCCGCCGCTATTTTTCTTGATCCTATTTTATGCTTTTGTGGATGTGGTGCTGAATCACTTCCAAGAAAAAATTTCTTATTACCACTCGTCGCCGCATTCAAAAGAGCTTTTCTATCCGATGGAAACTTTGCTACCGGCTTACAATATGCATATGGATCCCCTGCCCAATCATCAATCGTTAAAAAAAGATGGTGAGCTGTAATCGTCCCCGATACATTCTCCCCACATTTCTCAATCGCTTCTATAGCTTCTTTTGTCGTACAATGCTCAAAAACTATCTTCAATCTCGGAAATAATTCATGTAATTTATAAAGTATTGGCAAAAACTCTCGTTCTGCTGTTAAAATCGTAACATCCTCCTCAATTGAACTCGCTATTTCACCATGAATATTCAAAATAAGTCCATATCTCTCCATAGCCGAAAATACCGGATAATAGGTTTCATAATTTTCAACCCCAAATTCTGAATGGGTCGTAACACCTTTTCATTTTTAATACAAAAATATCCCATAATACTTTCATAAACCCTTAGGATACATTTTGACTCCTTCAATATCATTAAATATTCTTCCTCTTCCCTCCAAATTCATATACCTATAATCCCCTTCCCCTTCGCCTCCTCAATCACCGACGGCGTAATCTCTTCGCACAAATAAAGACTCATAAGAAACGTTATATTTGGGTCCAATTCCTCTAGTTTACGCTTATATTCCATGCAGGATTCAATAGATGTAATAGGAGGATTAAGATTAGGCTTTATCTCATCAGTTTATCTATTTTTCTCCGGAAAAAAAGCAACCATAACATATACTATTGAGCAACCTCCATGACGAATAAATGGGACGACGTATTCCATCATTTTATCCGATCTTAAGTGGGTATGGAAGTCTGCAGCAGAGGATAATTCGAGGTGGTTCATGTGGTAAAAAAAGCGTAGGTTGAGAGGTAAGAAAAATATCGAGGATCGAACGACATAAAAAAATACGAGGGTTATTGGGTAAGAAAAGGGCCGAAAAAAGGGTAAAATTGAGTGGTAAATAAGTCTAAATAAGAGAATAAGCTATTAATGAATATATAGAGGCTTTTTTTCCGTTTTTTTTGGTGAAAAAATCATAAAAAACAAGGTATTTAAGGGAGAATTAGTATATGTCAATATAATAGTGAGAATTGAAGGGAAAATGGAGTTTAATGATGTGTACGTCTATGATATGAAGTCATTGAAGAAGCCTAATAGGATAAAGATTGACGAATCAGCCGATATGTATTGATAATGTAGTGATTTTATAGTGAATGGATAATGAAAGAATATTTATGTATGATTAGGGGTCAGGAGTGATAAAAGCGGGATTTGCAGGAGAAGATCAGCCGAAAAGTTTTTTTCCGTCATAGTAAAATGATGAAATTTGGGGTATAAATGAAGAAATGACGTATATATAGTGTTGGACGACCAAAACATTTAAAAATTATGGCGGGGGCGATTGAAGGGGATATTTTTATAGGAAACAAGGCTCAGGAGCTTCGTGGTCTTTTAAAAATTAAATATCCTATAGAACATGGTATTGTTGTTGATTGGGATGATATGGAGCGAATATGGCAATTTATATATACAGAAGAGCTTAAAACGGTTTCGGAGGAGGTATAAATGAGGTATATATGATGTGAATTAGTGTTTATAAGGATTAGCATCCAGTATTATTAACAGAAGCGCCATTGAATCCTAGAACAAATAGAGACCAGGCGGCACAAGTATTTTTTGAAACCTTTAATGTACCGGCATTATTTACATCGATACAAGCAGTATTATCTCTTTATGCATCAGGACGAACTACGGGGGTTGTTTTAGATTCAGGTGATGGTGTAACACATGCAGTTCCAATTTATGAAGGGTTTGCAATGCCATCTGCTATAAGAAGAATAGACATAGCGGGTCGAGATGTAACAGAATATTTGCAATTGTTGCTTAGAAAATCAGGAACTATATTTCATACTAGTGCAGAAAAAGAAATTGTTAGAATTATTAAGGAAAAATGTTCATATGTTACGTTAGATCCGAGAAAAGAGGAGAAGGAATGGATTAATGCATCAATATCTGGGGGGAAAGATTATACTAAAGAAGAGGAATTTAAACTTCCAGATGGAAATGTTTTACGTGTATGTTTTTTATTTAGAAGTAAATGGTTTCTTATTTTATAGCTTGGTGCAGAACGATTTAGAGCACCTGAAATTTTATTTGATCCAGAAATTATTGGATCAGAATATTCTGGCATTCATCAAGTTGTTGTTGATGCAATTAGTCGAGTAGATTTAGATCTTCGAAAATCTTTATTTGGGAACATTGTATTATCTGGAGGATCTACCTTGACAAGAGGTATTTGAAATTCCTAGTAGTAATTTGTTTTTCTGACTTTTAAGGATTTGGGGATCGTTTACTCTCTGAAATACGCCGACTTGCTGTAAAAGATGTAAAAATCAAAATCTTTGCTCCTCCAGAAAGAAAATATAGTACATGGATAGGTGGTTCAATTCTTGCAAGTCTTAGTACATTCAGAAAGGTTATTATTATTATTGTTATTAATTTACATTAAACTTTAATTAGATGTGGGTTAGTGCAGAAGAATATCAAGAAGACCCAGACATTATTCATAGAAAAAGTATTTAATTTATGATATTTATAAAAATGCACTATTATGATCAAATTCAATTAAGTTATAAAATTAAGCGTATTGCTTTTGTTTTTATTTTTCTACAAATGAGAGTAAAAAGTCTTTTTACTCATCTCAAATAATTTTATAGCACAATCTGTGTACAGATACAAAATAGCATTTATATTTAATGCTAATGTATATTATTTCAACTGGACGTTTACCAATGGTATCTAGTTTAAAATAATTCTTATGGTTTCTAAAGCTAAATATATTGTTAGAATAATATTAGAATATTTATTATTAATGTATATTATAATTTTGTAACTTTGAATTTTGTATTAAAAATATAATATTTGAAGATTTGAAATAATATTCTAATTCTGATTTCTGGAAATTTTCTGTTATAGATTCTAATATTTTTGTATTAAACATGATCTTGAGTATTTTAGAGTGTTCTGGATAATTTTTGTAAACATATATTTGTTAAATTATTTTTATTTTAGTAAATTATTAAATATACTTAAGAATGTCTATAAAATATATAATAAATCAAATATATAAAATATTTATTTAAAATATTTATTTATATAAAATAACTAATAAAATTGAGTAAATTCCTACTAATAAAGTAATTTTTATTAGAGGTTTTTATTTTTAAAAAATAAAATTAAACACGCGCCTAGTTATAAATATTAATTTTATTACTTTTAAAATTGAAAATAACCTTTTCATCTTGGGATGCAATGAATCGAATTAAATCGCATATGCCTAGAAATATTAATCTATAATTTTTAAAGCAATTATAACACATACGAGAGCTATAACCCCATTCATTATCATACCATGATATAAGTTTGAAAAAATTATCATTTAGAGCTATACTAGCCTTTGCATCAAATATTGAACTATAACTTGAACCGACGAAGTCGGATGAAACAACATCCTTTTCAACATATGACAATATTCCAGAAAACTCTCCAGATGATGAAGCTTTAATTGCTTGTTTAAGTTCAGAAAATGTTGTAGGCTAAATATTTTAAATATTTCAAAAACATAAAATAAAAATATACTTTTCTAACACGAACAGTTAAATCCACAACTGATACGTCTAAAGACTATAAGACACATATAAGACTATGAACACCATGCTTACTAGCTACAGGGACACGAAATGCCATTCCAGTAAGTTTTCCACTAAGTGAAGGAATTACTTTTCCCACAGCTTTAGCTGCACCTGTTTCTGATGGAATTATATTTCCAAATGCAGATCTTCCACCTCTCCAATCCTTTTGAGATACACCTAAATGTATATTTAAGAAAAAAAAAAAAACCTATAAATATATACCATCAACAGTATTTTGAGTTGCTGTAGTAGCATGAACAGTTGTCATTAAACCCTCTATAATTTCAAAATTACTAAAAATAATGAATTTGGATATTTCATGTTTTTTTTTTGAAAAACATACTCATGAATTACTTTAGCTAAAGGTGCTAAACAATTCGTTGTGCATGATGCATTTGAAATAACCTTTTTTGAAGGATCATAGGCATCAAGATTAACTCCACAGACAAACATAGGTGCATCTTTCTAATATAAAATTAAAAAATACAAAATAATTCATTTTATTTACTGAAGGTGCACTTATAATAACTAAGATTATATTAGAAAAAAATACATAAAAAAAAAATCTACCTTTCTTAGCGCCCCCTTCAAGATGTAATGATGCTTGAGATTCTGCTGTAAAGACTCCCGTTGATTCAACAATGTATTCTATATATATGTATATATATATTTATTTTTTATTAAAAAATATATAAAAACCTGCTCCAGATGAACCCCATGGAATTAATTCTGGATTTCTCTCTGAAAAAACACTAATCGCCTTTCCATTCACAATTAAACTAGATCCAGTTGATGAAACTTCTCCCTGAAATTGACCATGAACTGAATCATGTTTAAATAAATATTCCATATATTCAGGTGATATAAAAGGATCATTGATTGCTACTACTTCAATATCGCTACTTTGAGTTGCAATTCTGTAATTTATATTAAGTTCATATATATTAATATATATATATATATATTACCGCAAAAAAATGCGTCCAATCCTTCCAAATCTATAGTAACTTAGTATTTTAAAGATACTGAAACGTAATTATGTATACCCGTTGATTCCTGCACGAACTTTTACCATCTTATCTATTTAAAATTTATAATATTCTGCTAAGTTCTTAATAAAATGTTATAAAAAAAGCGGTTGTATAAAAATTTCGAGATCTTTTTAAAGAACCGAGGTTAATAACCTTAAAAAGTATTTAAATGTTGTGTTTATAAATAGAATTTGTGTATTTTTCTTTGAGATCTATACAGAGTGCATACAATACGCATATAGTCCATTATTTCTCTATATATTTAGAGATATATATTTTCTGCCTTTTTATAAGGACTTTTTATCCTTTTTAACCTATATAAACAAGGTTTTTTGGTATTTGTAAACTATCTTGAATATGCCGCGTGCAACTAAAGGTAGAGTTTTTTATCATTTTTATACATATATTAATTTATAGGTGTTTTAATTGAGTGGTATTGTTTCTTAGAGACATTAGAAAGTAATAAAATTGATTAATTTAGTGATCCAACTGTTAAACAGATTATTCTTAATCTCGATAATCAAACACATGATATTGTATTAGAAGTATGGAAAATATTTTTTGTATATAATGTTTAAGAAATAATAGGATTTGGATGAACGATTACTTGTACATTCTCAACAACTTGATCGGATACGTTTAGAATTGGATCGAGTTCTTGAGGAAAATTCGTTTAATTCACTTCCAGCTTTTTCATAAGGTTAATTTATATATGAAATGTCTTATTTTTCAGTGGAAATGTAATTTTTGTTTGAGACAAATGGGGTTAATGTATTTTTAATTTTAGCTTGGAAAACAGTAAAATAATGTATTTAGTAATTTATATTATTTGATTTTTATTATATTTTTAAAATGATATTTTTTGAATTATATGATTAATTTATGATATTATAAATTTTTAATAGTTATGTAAATAGATTATGATTTTTTAAAGAAGAATTAGATTTTATGAAAGTATTTATGTAATTTTTAAATATTTCTTATAATATATAGATTTTAGAATATTTTAGCAGATTTTATATTTTTAGGAATAATGATTTATATCTTTATAAAACATTTTAAAAATATTTAATAAAATTTTAAGGATTTTTGCTTTTTTGAAAGTGTTATATATTTGTAGAATATATTAATATTTTGAGAAAACAAATTATTTTTATTAATAAAAGTATATTTTGTTTAAATATAAAAATTCTTAATATTTTTGTTTATATTTTAATTTATTTTATTAAAAGAGGTATTTCTTATGGAATTAAATATGTAAAAGATTCTATTTAATTGTTTATATTCTTTCATATTTAAGATTGGTATTAGTATTTAATTTTAAAGTTTAAAAATATCAAAGATTTTATATATGAAAAAAATAAATTCATAGAATTAAAAATATACTTTAAAAATGTTATTAGATTGCCTAAATTTGTTTTTGTTTTACAAAAAATATATTTTATAAATAATGAAATTTATAATTTTAAAAATTATAGCTTTAAGATAATTTAAATAATAATATATGTTAATATATTAAATTTTAAAAATCTAATAAATTAATAAATCTAATAGATTAATAAATCTAAAAATTATCTTAAAGTAATAAATTATTTATAAACTTCAAATGATTTTTAAAAATAAAAATTTCTATAATTAAAGATTTATATTTAAATTTTAAAGTATTCCAACAAAAAAATTAAATCTAATTGGTAGTTAACTTGTATAAAGAAATATTGTAACATTAGAATATATTAATTTTTTTATCATTTTTTATAGAGTTAAAATTATATAATTAAATTTGTAAAAATTTAAAATTTTATTATCTGAAAGGAAGAATAATATATATAATATACTTATATTTTAATAGTTTCTGAATGTTATACAATGAAATTACAATAATCTTTCCAAATATATAAAATAACATATAAATTTAATAAATATAAGACTTTTAAAATTAAAATATATATTATCAAATTTAATACCAATGTGCTTACTCCAATAAAAATATATATTTTAAAACATTATAAAGGAAACAAATACAACACAAATGACAAATTAAATTTAATTATTTTAAAATACTAAACTTCATAATCTAATTTATATAATTATATGTAATTACTGAATAAATACAAATGCTATAATATTAAAATAATTATAAGATCCTTTATAAATAATAATAATATCTTTTATTAAACAATATCAATGTATTTTTATGAAAATTTCCTAAATTTCATGATGTTTCTATATTTACATCTATTATATCCATTGTTTTCTCTGATACTTCTTCTTTCTCTTTTTTGTTTAATTTTCTTTTCTTATTCCATTCTAATAACTTAAAATAATAATCAAACATAATAATACCTATTTCAAGAAAGAAAACAGAAGAATATGATATAGCCGCGAGAATATCAAATTTTGGTTCAAATACTATCAATTAAGTTAAATAATAATATTATTAATATTATTAACATTATTACACAAAGATAAGAAAGAAAATAATGCACCTCCCATATCTATTAAAAGAAAAATAAATGAAATCCCACGAACACATTTATGAATATATATATCATAATACGGAGGAAAAAGTCCAATACATATAAAAATAGATGATATTACCCCTATAGTAATAATAGGCCATTCAATATTTCGTCGTATAAATAACTTTACTTTATATTAATACTCTATTAAATAATATTTTTATCCCATTTTACTCGTGCTAAAAAAACAAATCCTGCTTCAATAAATCCTGAAATACATCCACCTGATGAAAATACTGTAATACATTTATAAATCGACCATTTCTATTTCTAATTAATCTTTTCATTTAAAAAATATATTTCACTTTTTCATAATAAAGACATTGTCCCCATGTTATAAAACATAAAAGCAAAAACAATTGTGGTTGAAGTTGTAATGGAATATTCAGATTACGTGATATATTATAAATACCCATAATAACTGCTCCAATCGACCATAATAATAACATAAGAGGCTGAAGCCCTTGAGTACTATGTCTAACATAATTCACAATAATCTGGGGGATTAATTGAATACACCATAAAATCTATTCTTAAGTTAATCTAGTATATACTTGTTTTATTCTATTTTACTGTTCCTATAGTACCAAGAACTGCTGCAATAGCCGCATTATAACTCATTCTTCATATATTTTCTGCTTTAACTAAGTTTCTTAACATTAGTCTGCAACTTTTAGTTATTAAACATATTAATAAAAATAAAATAAAGACATAATCAAGGTTATCAAGTCTTTAGAGGGTTAAAAATAAGCTAGAAAGGTTAATATCTTAGGGCTTTAAGGGTTATAACAAGATATTATCCAAATCTTAAAAAACCGGACGTCAAAAAAGATATAAACTTGGGAAAAAGGCCCAACTTTTGCTTAATGATGGAAGAAGAAGAGGACGTGCCTAGTGTAAGAAGAAAGAGCAAAAAAAAAGGAGTCTAATGATATAGTTATTGAAATATATGGTCCTAGAACAACAAGGAAAAGTTCAAGCAGAATATGTATGGATTGATGGATCAAATGAGCTTCGATCTAAGACAGTTACATTAGATAAGAAGCCGAATACTATTAGAGATCTTAATGAATGGTATTTTGATGGATCGTCTACAGGTCAAGCGACAGGAAAGGATTCAGATGTATATTTGCGGCCAGTAGCGTTTTATCCGGATCCTATACGACGAGGAGATAATATTATTGTGATGACGGAATGCTGGAATCCAGATGGTACGCCGAATGAATACAATTATCGCTATGCATGTTCGAAACTTTCAGAGAAATATATTAAACATGAACCATGGTTTGGAATTGAGCAAGAATATACACTTTTAGACAAATATGGAGAGCCATATGGATGGCCAAGAGGAGGGTATCCAGCGCCGCAAGGACCATATTATTGTGGGGTTGGTACGGGAAAAGTATATTGTCGAAAGATTGCAGAAGCTCATTATCGAATGTGTTTATACGCAGGGATTAAAATAGCAGGAATTAATGCAGAAGTGATGCCATCGCAATGGGAATTTCAAATTGGACCATGTTTGGGAGTTAGTGTTGGGGATGATCTTTGGATTGCTAGGTATCTTTTAGTTCGTGTTGCAGAAGAATTGAATGTTAAAATATCTTTTCACCCTAAAGTTGTTAAAGAATTTAACGGCGCAGGATGCCATACAAACTTTTCTTCTATAGAAATGAGAAGAGAAGGTGGAATGGAACATATTTTAAAAGCAATTTCAAAACTTAAAAAAAAGCATGAAGAACATATTAAAGTATATGGAGAAGATAATAATAAACGTCTTACAGGTATTCACGAAACAGGGAGAATTGATCACTTTAGCTATGGAATAGCAGATCGTACTGCAAGTATTCGCATTCCACGTATATGTGCAAAACAAGGTTATGGATATTTTGAAGATCGTCGACCAGCATCAAACATTGATCCATATAGAGTTACTAGTATTATAATGGAAACGGTTTTTTCAGATAACTAGCTTTTAAGTATTTATATTTAATATTATATGGTAGTACAAAAAAGACAAAAATCATGGTTACTATTTTATTAAAATTTCATAAATTTCTTAAGGAATATTCTATTAATTCTTTTTTATTATAAGTCTAGATTTAATTTGACGTCTAAGACTATTTCTTAAACATATTTTCGGCATGTTTCTCTAATACTTATAAAATTAAGATTTAATTCTGGGTTTGGAGGTTTGCATATTTATTTAAATATATATATAAAAAGTATTATTCTTTTATATTATTTTTATACATATATTTGTTTTCATATATATTTTTGTATAAGAATTCTTAATTTTTATACTAATTTTTCTAAAAAAATTAAAATTTAAAATAAACAAAAAATTAATAAGTTTTTATTGATTATTTATACCTTTAATATTTAAAATATAAGCAAAAAATATACAATTTTCATATATTACTTTTATAATTTTATTTTATTGGATATTAAGGCTTTTATCTAAAAAAAATACCACTTTTATTGAATATTTTAAAGAGTTTTTATGAAATAACTAATATTCTTAACTGGAAGAATCTTAATATATGTTTTTGGATTTTAAAAATAAGTAAAATATTGGAAAAATAAAGAATTATCTTATAAACATAGTTCTTTAAGCAAAATACTTGTGGATCTTAATGATTATATTAAAGATAATAAGTTTACACCATTAGAATCAATTGATATAGCAATTTCTGCACTTGAGGAGAGTAAAATTGATGATTTTATAAGTGCAGAAGCATTAGAAACTCTTGGGAAAAAAGAAGGTCTTGAATGTTTTCAAGATAAATATGAAAATAAAGTTACAGTTAGTCTTGGAGGAAAAATAATGGTAATTGATGTAATTTTTAATAGGGATTTATATATTTTTGAAGTTAAGATTTTTTTAGATAGATTTAGAGAAATTTTCAATTTATTGGAAGGTTATTAGAGTTACAACAACATGGGCAGATTGTAAGGGAGGGCAATATTTTTCTCCATCTACAGATGCAATTCTTTTAGCAAATTTTTCAGAGTCATATCGTCTAAATTTATTTAAAAGTAACTTTCAACGTCTTTTACGTTTTGATCGTCTATCTTCATCACCTATATGGGACGCTTTTTCAGCAATTAAGTCATTATATCTAGCTTTTGAACAGATTTATGGATATGAACTTGAAATATATAAAGATCCTGAAAAAATAATGTGTGAAAAATCTGGGAAACCTGAATTTGATGTAGCAAATGTTGTAGGTTTAACTCTTTGGTATTGGAAACAGAGACGTTACTGTTCTACAGAAGAAAAATTATGGAGAGTAATAATAGAAGTTGAAGAACAAGACACTACTGTTTCATCCATTTCTCCTGCTGTTAATATTCAATGGATAGATCAGAAAATTACTTTATTAGAGTATTTTTTCTATATAATTTTAAGATATCTAATAATTCAATAGTGGAGATTATAATTGGACCGTACCTTCCTATACTTTTTCTTCTTCTTGTCAATTTGTAATGATATTGGATCCTCCTGTTATAGTTTGTGCAGAAGATATAAAACAAATCTGTAAAATAATTAAATCATATGATTTCATTTCTCAAAATAATTTAGAGAAAAATAATGATCAAGTATATGAAACAATTTTGGTATTTTTATTATAATTCATATTTAATTTTTTTTACTAACTTTATTTAAAAGACTTCTCAATCATTACCTATTCAAACAGAAAGAATATTATATTTGCCTTTTTCAATAACTCAGCATCAATTTTATATTTTGGAAAATTCTACATTATCTCCTGCATGTCATTTAAATCGCATTCCTTTTTCTCATCCTAAACAAATTCTTTCTATTTTAAAAGTATATCTATCTAATAATATATAAATTATATACTTACTTAATAATAGTTACTTCGAAAATATATAGTCTTTCAAACTTTAACTGAAAGTTATACAAATAACAACATCTCTAATAACTCTCTTTTACATAAACCTAATCATAAATCACATATAAACAAAACTGATTTTAATATATCTACTTTTTATGAAACAAACATACTAATTAACATTTTTTCTTTGGCAATTGATCTAAAAATAATTCTATCTATTACAGAAAATGGACATATCTATCTACAGGATTTACATACAAATAAATCACTTTCTGAAAACATAAAATTAGAAATCGAACATGTTTTTCAGATTTCAGAAGACATAGGAATTTCATGTGAATATATTAGACAAATATTAGACAAATATTAGACAAATATTAAACAAATATTAAACAAATATTACACAAATATTACACAAATATTACGAAAATATTAGGAAAATATTACGAAAAATGGCGTTAATACTCATATACATAAATACTCCTCCTTAAATTTATTTCATATATATTTAAGTAGGTTTTTATGTTTATATCGACCTATAGAAATTTTAAAAAAACCTTAACTAAAATTAAAAATATTTAATTAATAATTAACTTTAAATACAAAAAAAGTTAATTATATTGTATTCTTTTCTTATAAATATATTTATCTTAGTTAAAGATTTAGTTAATATTTTAAGATGCCACGTTGTAAGTAAGCTTATAAACATGTAATTTAACTAAGATTTATAAGATTATTGTGATTATTGTGATGTATTTTTAACACATGATTCAGCATCAGTTAGAAAAGCCCATAATGCAGGGAAAAATCATCTTACTAATGTTCGTGAATATTATCAAGGTTAATATTAGTAAATATAATATAAGTTTAAAGTTAATATATAAGAAATCGGGCATGAAAAGGCACAAAATGTGATTGATTCGATAACTAAAGCCTATGAGAATCAGCCGGTTATGTTACCATTACCAGGAATGTTTCCTCCTATGATTGCAGGAATGCCACGTATGGTTATTTTTTTTTTTCTAAATTTTTAATAATAATTAGCTCTACCAATGCCAGGACTTCCAGGACCATTACCTCGTAAGTTTTCATGTATAATTTATGTATAAATATTTATAATGAATATTTAGCACATCCAGGTATGCTTGATACAGCATTACCACCACCTATTCCAGGAATGCCATTTCCACCGCCATTTGTACCTCCTCGTATGTATAAGATGTATTACAAAACAAATTTTTATAATTTATTTTTAGCACGTTTAAATTTACCATTCCCTGGAGGATTTGTTCCACCATCAGTACCGCCACCAGGCATACCTCAAATTCAGCCGAGTCAGCAACCTCCAGCATTTCTACCTCAAAATACACCGCATTCAGGCTAATTTAACAATTTCTTGATTAAATTATTTCACAAAAAAAACATAATTATATATATGTATATATGTACTTTTATGCAATTCTATTGTGTATTATGATATAAAAAATATTTGAAAATATACTATTATTTTTCAAAATGATAGTGTATTTTCTAGGAATTTATAATGAATATTATTTTAATTTCATAGTTGGATATCGATTTTCAGGACAAGCCTTCTTAATTTTCTGTAATTCATGTTTTTTCCATCCAAAAAGTGTACTTTTTTTCTTTTTAGATGCATAGGAATTGTTTGTAGAATCTTTTTTAATATAATTTAAAGGAATTGTATTCTTTAAGAAATCGGTTAAAGATTCCTTATATTCAATATTTGGTTTTTTGATAGAAATATGTTTAAGAGGATACTGACCAGTTCTCGATCCAATTATTAAATCATTAGGATCATTTAATGAATTTTGAAAAAATATACTTTTATCGTTAAAATCCAGAAAAGAATCTTTTGAATCTGAAAACATATTATCCAAAGATAGCTTTTTTTTTTCAATAGATTCTGGTGTTTGATATGGATTCTTTGAAGGAGAATCTTTTACATAAATTAGCCGTGTTGCACCTGAATAATTACTGTTTTTTGGAAACATATTACTTTCTGAGGATCTTGTTGATGAATCCTTATAAAGTTGAATTTTTCTATATAAAACCTTATTTTTATCATCATCCAACGAAATAGATTCTTGAGATCTCATTGGATATGTATTAATTCGTTCAGAACTTTTTAAAAATTCGATTAATGATTCTTCTCTTCTACACACTCTTGAATACGATCTATTTGAATTTTCCTTATTCTTGTCACTAAAATCCTCTTTTTCTAATGTCTTTTGTATTATGGAAGTAGAAGATACTTGAGAAAGGGATGCATAATCACTAGAATTAACTAAATCAAACGTTTTTGACGAACGAGAATGTTTAGTAGATAATTTAGAATCCGAAAATTCACGAATTTTATCCATAGAAGTTTCTATCAAAAACTCTTTAAGAGAGCTTGTAGTTGATTCTTTAGAAATAGTTGGTTCTCGTGGTTGTAATTTATTTTGTTTGTGTTTAATTGACGCTTCCTTTATAAAATCAAGCGTTGGCGATTCTTTTGACGTAAATATTTTTCATACTATTATTAGAAGAAATATCCTTACCTTTAACATTGTTAGAATATTTACTTATAAGTTCTGTATTATATAAATCTGAAATATTTCGAACATCTGCCATTTGAGAATATGTCTTCAAAGATGATTTCTCATTATCAAACTATAGTTGTAAGACGAAATTTACTTGAAAAAATATGAATTTTTACGTCAATTTCTCTTAAGCCTTCTGGGTTTAGATGCATTTTCATAGTTGCATTGCTATCTACAAGTTTCTTAAAAGAATTAACTTTATTGTCTCTTGTTTTATTGTTTTTTTCATCTTGTGAAGGTTTAGAATTTAAATAATTTGCATTTTGGCATAAAGTTCTAATGAAATTAAATTTAATATCATATAAGATTAATCTTACATAGTTTCTGAATATTTATCTAATGCTGGTATCTCTGAAATTAAAAAATCGTCTTTAAATTTATTTATTGAAGGATTTATTTGAGTTTTCAAAGATGTTTTTAATAACAGACTAGAATCAGTAGAATGAAAAAATATATTTCTATTTTTGGAAAATGTTTCGTTTATATTTTGATTCATTGTATATGTGTTTATTTCTGATTTCATATCTATATGATCTCCATGAGAATTACAGTCTTCTTTCTGCTCAGACTTCAATATTCTATAACAAGGAGAAATTTCGTCATTCAATGAGTGATAATTTTTGTGAGATGAAATAAAATTATGATTAATCGTATTATTGACATTATAATTATGAATAAAAAATTGGTGACTTTCACTTTTTTCTTTCCTAAAAATAGGTTTTTCTTGATCACATGTCAATGAAAGCTTTCGAACTTTATCAAATAATTCTTCAGATGTTAAAAAATCATTCTTATTTTCACGCAAAATATCTATGAATTGGCGTGTATTTATATTAAATGGATCAACAGAATCCTGATCTACATTATTAATAGTTGAACTCTTTTCCAAAAATGATGAAGCAGTCTCAGGAATACCAGAGCTAAGTTTAGAAATATCTTTTGGAGAGATTTTAGATAAAACACCTTTAGACAAAGTTGTATTAAGAACTTCTTCTAAAGTATAATTATCCACTGTATTCTTTAAAGAATTGTTATTATTATTAAAGAACAAAAATTTTTTATATACCTGAATATCACTTCTAAAAGTAACAGAAGAATCCACTGGTACATTTTCTTCCGAATTGAATGAAGTAATTGATTTCTATTATATAGTCAAAATTTCTATAATTCATATAAAAAATATAAACCTTTTCTGAAAGTAAATGCTGTTGATTTTTCTCGACATTTACTTTATATATATGTTCTATTTGTTTTACCTTCGCTTTGTATTCATTTTCTTGCTCATTTGAGCTATCTTGTTCCAATAATTCTATGTTATGAAAAGATTCATTCCGAGCATTTTTTTGATTTGCTAGAATTTCTTCATAACTATAAGTATTTATAGAAGAACCTTTTAAAACAGCAGGAAAAAATGTTTCTTTGTTATCTAAATTTAAATATTCTGTCTTATGTATTAATTTTTAGTGTGCTAATCCATCATAATATTTACCAATATTTGAATTATCACTTTCAGTATTGATACAAGTTTCATATTCTATATTCTCAACATTTTCTTTAGAATCATCATATTCCTTTTTGAATTTATTATTTTCTTGTGGAGAAATAGTGACTGTATCAATAAGAGATGCACTAAAAGGATTCTTATTAGCCGTTATGTCGAAAAAGGCGTCAGAAGATTTCCATCTATTCCATAAAGATAAAATTGCTTGGTCATATTTAAACCCCTCATTTAAATCTATTTCTTCAATAAATGGATATGAATTTTTAGTTTCACTTAATCTTCTGTGACATGCATTTCCTATAACAAGAAGCATATATTCTGCAATAAATTCGAGAACCGATGTAATATATATTGAAACCGAAGGTGATATTGATTCGTCACTCCATAAAGCAACGGGAAAATCATCTTTTTCTTGATTGCCTAATGTAGAATATACCATACATTTTACACGAACCCTTTTCCAAATTTCCACAAAATTCCTTGAAATATCTTTATTAATTTTAGAATTTTGTTTCTTTTCTAAAGGCTCATTATCAATATATGTTTGTAATTCTGCTTCCGCCTCAGAAATTGCTTCTACACCTAGAGGAGTAGGCAGTTCATTTAATATAGCATTTTTTAAATCTGAAATTTCAATAGATTCAGATGTTTTTATGAAAATAAACAGAATATAATCCAAGAATTCATTAATTAATCCTAAGACTTGCGGAGAAAAGTTTAAAGAGACTGTAAAAGATGTATCTTTAAATTCTGTAATTGATGATAAGATAACTGACAATGCTGCTTCATGAGATATATAAGTAGGTTCCGAAACACCTTTTAACTTAGAAATTGGTGTATTTCTTAATAAAACCATAGATATTTCTTATCAACGTGTTTCTTTTATAATAGACTTTGAAAAAAGAAACATAAAAAAATTAATATAAACTGTTTTTAAAGCTTTTTTCTTTAAAAAGAATCTTGTATAAACTATAAAATTCCTTTATTTTTATATGAAAGCTATTAAAAAGTTGTTTCGAAGCGACTAGTGTTATTTAATTTAATATATTTTAAAGACATAAATATATATTTCATATTTATATATGTATAGATGTTTTTATGAGGTTTTTAAAGCTATAATTATATGAATTCTACATTAAAAACTTATAAAACATGTAAATAATGTATGCCTATGTAATTTAGAAATTATATGTATATGAGATGATTATTTTAAAAAGATAAGTTTTTACAATGTATTTGATCTTGGAATTGTTCTTTTATTTGTAAGATTTATATATTTTTTGGGGTAGACTTTTATATTTTTATGAATTCGAATAAGTTTGAAAAGAAAAAGAATACAGGATTGAATAATTTTATAGAAAACAAAATAGAAATGTGTTTTATATTACTAAAGCATGGAAAACTGTGTATTGTTTTTATATATTATAAAAAAAATAATGTATAATGATATATTATATCTTGAATATATAAAGAATATATATGTATGTAAATATATAAAATTTATATAACATTATGAATAATGATAAAACATTATGAATAATGATAAAAAAATTATATATCTTTTAGTTTATTATTTTTACATAATTTTAAATTGGATTTTTTATGCTATTAAATCAATTTTTAGATACTTGAAAATAAATGATGCAAATTAATCTAAAAATAAATAATATTTTTAAAGATAAAAATAGATATTTTTCATAAAAATATACCAAAAACAATAGATATCTTTTGTTTCTAAATTTTGTTTATTTTTATTTGCACATAATCAATGATTTTCAATATTGTAAACATACAATATAATATTTTGTTCTTTTTTACATAATAATCAAGTCAAATATCACAAAATTAAAACATACATATTGTACTTGGAGTATTTATAATGTGCTTTAATTTTTTCACTAGTCATGAAAAACCTATGAATAATAAAACAAAGTCATGTATGTGTCTTCCTTTATCATGCTTAAGTGATAAATCATGCAAAGAAGAGTGTGAAATAATGAAACTTCCCAATGAACAAAGTGGCTTAGATTTATATGATTGTTTTTTTGGGGATGAAATGCCTGTATATGTAGGAAAGTCTCATGGAAGCTCAAAAGTAAATGATTTTGTCTTAAAAGGTTCTTCTAATATTAAAAAGAAATCAAATAAAGATATACAAGTGAATAGTAATGCATTAAAAGATATTTTTGAAATAAATCCTCAATATGATGATGGAAATGTAGAAGAAATTATTAAAGGATTATCAAAAAATACATCAAGCTTAAAAAATCTTAAATTAAATAAATTATTTGATAATCCTCTAGATAGAGAAAGCAAATGTACTGAATTAATAACAATGAGTATGAATTCTCAACAAATGCTTGGAAAGTATGGCTTTAATTTATTAAATCGGGAACTTGGAACTATACCAGAAAACGAGGTTTTACATTGTTTTTATACAACATATAATAGAAAACATGTTCATATATAATAAAATTATATATGAAAAGAAATAATTAACATGTTTTTTTTTATAACTGTTAATTATATTTAAAAAATATTAAAAAGTTTTATAGAGTTTAATTATGTTTTTTTGTTCTTAATATTTTTGAAAATTCTGAAATTAATATTCCAGAAGCTACAGATACCTAATGTAAATAAATTAGTTTATATATACCCATGGATATTATTTAAATACATTTAAAGAATCTATTAGTGAAAAAGTAAACGGTGAAGCTGGAATAGTGACTAGAAAATCACATTTATTTTTAACTAATGTTCTTATACCTTTATCTAAATTTCGTTAAATACTTATTTATATAATATTACTAAGAAATACGTTCGTTTCCCATTATTAATAAAGTGGGAGAATTTGAAAGATATTTATCTAGCTCATTGTATGTAATTACTAAATTATTCTTTACTTTATCAGACAATGATGTAGTTCCAATTATTTTCCAATTATTTGATTTTAATGATTGTAAAAAAGATAAAGGATTAGCAGTTTTAAATATTTTTAAAAATTCACATGCTCCTGATGATGCTTTATTTACTGTTGGTGATAAAGGTGCACTTGAAATTATTAAAAGATTAAATATTAAACATTATTTACCTGTTTTTTTGAGAAATAATCACACCATTAAGTCCAAAATAATATGCATTTCTTAAAATAGCACCCATATTCATTGGATCCATTATTTCATCCAAAAAAAGCCATAAATTTAGATTATTAGACTCTTTACATTCCATATCATTACAATAATTGTTCTGAAAATCAACAAATTCTTTCCTTGTACTAAGTGAAATACTTCTAATTGGTGATGTTTCCAAAACAAATCCCTATAATATGTAAAAAAAAAATAGACTTATTACATAATTTATACATTATGTGGTCTATTTAATGAGTAATTATTCAGAATACCCTTGTTCTTCACAAATTCAATAGGAATAGACATTGATTCCGATATCTTTAAAATATCTCTTATGATCACCCATTAATTTTTAAAAAAATATTATATAATTTATACTTGTTTTTTTTATTATCTCCATATATATATAATTTATAAAATTCTCTATTTTTTGCTATTAAAGCTGCAAAAACTGGTGATCTACCATAAATATATTCTCTTAAAACCTTTTTCTCATCTTTTCTATCCTTTTCTTTAACAATTCCTTTAACTAATTTATCTACACTATATTTTTTATTTGATGAATATTCATATATTAAATTTTTATCTAAATTTAATAAAAAACTTGAATTATATATAAACAATTACTCAAATAAGCCCTTTTAATATTAAAATATGTCTTTATCTTAATATTAAAACCATATTTAACATTCATATAAAAATTATATTTATTAATAATGAAATCGCTCAGATTTAATAAATAAACATTAAGTTAATAAAGGTTTTTAAAGCTATTTTTTAAGAAGAAACTAATATTTTCTAGAAAAAACATGTTTTATTTAAGAAATTGGAGGACTTTTTGTATATTTTTAAAGCAGAAATAATGATTTAATAGAAGATGTTTAAAACAAAAAATTATCCTTAAGATAGATATGAGAAGCGAGTCAGTAGAATTACTGAGAAATTTAACATCATATGATAAAACAGAGGGGATTATTAATGTATCATTGGGGAAAGAAAATGGATTTAAGAAAGAAGAATTAATAGTATCAAAAAACAGCGATTTATTATATAAGAAAGAATATTTTTGTAAAATTAAAAAAGGATTCCTAGAAGGGCCGGTTAATATAGAAAATCATGAATATTTTGATCATAAATATAACACTAAAAATCAAGTACATGGAAACATGTATAAAATTTCAAAATTCTCTATTATTATTTCAAGGGTAATTGAAAAAGAAAATTTATATTATGAACCTTCAGAACATACAGTAAAACATATAATTGAAAAAGTAGATACGGGATTAGGGGAGACGCAGAAATATATTGTATTATTTGAAGGAGGATATAAAGCTAAAGTATTAAATTAATATATAAATTGTAATTTATAATATTTTTTAGGTTAGTTCAGACCAAATTATTAAATATGATCGGGGGAATATTGCTTTAAAAAATTATAATGAAAACATAAGTTCATTAATAAATGAAGATGGTATGGAGAAAGATTTTTTAAAGAAAGAATATGATTATTCTTCTGATGATATTCCATCAATTGGGAAAGGATGGCCGGATGAAATATTTTTCAAAGATAAATTGTCTCCTGTTTCTTCAGAGAAAGCGTTATCTAATGATATTTTCCAAGATACAGAAGAAGAAGATATATTTACATCGTCCAAATGGAAAAATATAGGATTAGGAGAAATTATATTTTCTAGAGCAAAAACAAGTATATCATATGAGCCAGAAAACTCAAAAAAAATAAGAAAAGAATATAAAAAAAAAGCATCTGGATTTCAAATAAGAAGATCGAACCGTATCAAGGAATGTTCTGTAGACTATAAGGAAGATAAATATGAATCTTCTGAGGATTCGTCTTCTGATCATTATATGAATGAATCACAAGATATGTTTTTAAAAATATTAAAAAAAGATAAAAAAAAGTCAGGAATTACTTTTTTTCCAGTGTTTAATGACTTTATGGATTTTCATAAACCTTTTTGTGAGAGGTGTGGTGGAAATAGGGACCTTATACCTTGTCAAGGCTGTTGCATAACATATCATCAAGATTGCATGGGTTCTAGAGCTAATAAAGTTGTCGTTTTAACTTTAATTGGTGACAATGAGTACGTTTTTCAATGCTATTATTGTATGGAAATGAAAAAGTCATTTAAATTAAGGAATAGATGTTATGTTTGTGGGAAAGTTGGAGAAAATTGTATAAAATTTGATGTATCACAAGAAAATTCCATGCATGACGACTTTGACGAATTGAAAAAAGAAAATCAAAAAAACACTGATTTTATAATAAACAATTCAAAGGGATTACTTTGGAGATGTAATAAATGTTATCGTGCATGTCATTTTTATCATTTACCTAAACAATTTTATAAAGTTGAAGAATCTAAAGTATCTCAATTTGGTGATTATATTAAAAATTGGACATGTAATGAATGTATAAAATATCCATACTATATAGATAAGATTTTGGGATGGAGAATTTCTTCTGATAGCAAGCCTATTGATATTATTGTCGGTGAATGTAATGTAGATTGTGCTGAATGGTATCGAGAATATCTTGTAAAATTTAAAGCTCAATCTTATTTAAGAGTTGCATGGGTTCCTGGACTCTGGTTATCTGGGGTTTCAAAGATAAAGAATTATTTTGATCTTCAAGAAAATATTTCAATTGAAAATATTGAAGATGTTATTCCTGAAGATTATTGTACTGTTGAAATTATTTTTGATATTAAATATAAGGATGATCTACTTAGAAGTCAGAAAATGTTTAGAAACAAGGAGGAAGAAATAGAAGCAATAAATACTGTAAATGAAGCATTGTGTAAATGGAAAGGTTTAGAATATAATGATGGTATGAAGTTTTATTTTTTATTCATAAGGGTTTAATTTAATAATATTATAGTAACATGGGAAAAGGTACCTGAAAATAATTCTCCTCGTTGGGAAGCGTTTAAAAATGCATATATACAATTTGTTGAAAGTCATTATATACATAGTCTTGGTAAAAATAAATCACATAGAATTATGAAAAATGTTTCATTTTCTGATCTTATAATTAAGGATCAGCCAAAATATATACAGGGTGGCGAACTTATGGAGTATCAAAAAGAAGGACTCAATTGGCTGTATTATATGTGTCAAATGGGGCGTTCAGTAATATTAGCAGATGAAATGGGTTTAGGGAAAACAATTCAAATAATATCCTTATGTTCTGTACTTTTTTATGAATGGGAAAAATGGCCATTTTTGATAGTCGCACCAAATTCTACAATATCTAATTGGAAACGTGAATTTTCAAAATGGTGTCCTCGTTTGCATGTTGTTCCATATCATGGGGAAAAAATTCAAAGAGATATTATAGTACGTATTTAATAACATGTATTTTTATTGTGTTTTAATATATTATTAGCGCCAATACAGATTGTTTCATCATCAGTCTGGAGATCTTAAATGTCATGTTGTTTTAACTAGTTATCATACAATTATAACTGATTCTACATTAAGTAATTTTGATTGGGAATGTTTAATTGTAGATGAAGGGCAACGTTTAAAAAATGAACATTCTTTATTATTTAAAAAGTTGACTGCTTACAAATCACAGAATCGTATTATTCTTACAGGTATAATTCTTGAATGATTTGAAATTTCTAATTATAAAAGGAACTCCTTTACAAAACAATATTAAAGAACTTTTTAATTTATTACAGTAGGGGAAAGCCTTTTTTTTTTTTTGCTTAAAGTTATAGGTTTTTGGATCCAGAAAAATTTGATACAACTAAATTATCTTTTGAATATTCAGACATGACTTCTGAAAAAGTAACTCAAATGCATGATATTTTAAGGTATTTCGGCTAATTTGTATACGTTATTTTTTTAAGTAGTTGATCTAGGCCTCTGTTATTACGTAGAACAAAATCAGAAGTCCTTAAGTCATTACCACAAAAATTAGAAATTATTCTTCCTGTAACAATGTCATCTCTTCAAAAAAGTCTATATAAATTGATCTTGTCTAAAAATGCAAAATTGCTTATGTCAATAATGTCTAAATCTACTACTGATCGTCCTTTAACAAATTATAATAATACAGCACTTTCAAATATTTTATTACAGCTTAGAAAAGTCTTATCGCATCCATATGTTTATAGTCCAAATGTTGAAGAGAAAACATCTAATGAAGAATTGGAATATGAAAGAATGGTTAAGGCATCTGCAAAACTAGAATTTCTTAGTAAATTGTTTCCCAAACTTAAAAGAAGGGGAAGAAGAGTTTTAGTTTTTTGCCAATTTACTTTAACATTGGTAATTTCTTATTTTCAAAATAATTTCTATCGCTTAATATTTTTAGGATATTCTTGAAGATTGGTTAAATTACATAGGTTATAAATCACAAAGAATTGTATGTTTTTATTAAATCTTTACTTTTTTTTTTAAATATTTATAGGATGGAACAACTCCAACATGTGATCGTCAACGCAGAATTGATCAATTTAACGCAAAAGACTCTGAGTCATTTTGTTTTTTACTTTCTACAAGAGCTGGGGGTGTTGGTATTAATTTAGGTTAGCAATTAATATATATATACTACTATTATTAATTATAATTAGCAAGTGCAGACACTATTATAATATATGATATTGATTTCAATCCACATCAAGATATCCAAGCCATATCACGATCATATAGGATAGGTCAAACTAAAAATGTTTTAGTATTTATATTAGTAACAAGAAATACAGCAGAAGGTACATATTTTGTTTCTAATTTTATATTAATAATTGTATTAGAGAAAATATTAGAAGGAGCTAGACGAAAAATGGTATTAGACCATTTAATAATTGAAAGTTTAGATGAAAAAAGCGAAACTTCTATTGATTATCAAACTATTCTTAGTTTTGGCGCAAAATCACTTTTTGATGATCAAAATAATGATCAAGAAATATATTATAATGATAATGAAATCGAAGGTTTATTGGAGCAAAGTGAAAAAGATGTTTCAAAGCAAGTTAACAAGAATTCTGTAGATTCATTTTCATTTGCTAAAGTTTGGGAATATTCTATGATGAATAAATCAAATGAAGATTCTAAAGATAATGTCAAATCAGAAATTGCTGATATAGATTTCTGGGATAAAATTATAAATGAAAATAACATAGAAAATATTTCAGATAACTCCAATATGGAAATTGGAATGAGAGGAAGGAAAAGAAAAAAAGTATAATTATTTTATCATATAATTTAATTTATTCTTATTTGAAATATAGATAAATTATTCTCTAGATATTTCAAGTATAAAATCTCAGAAATTTAAAAAAACAGAAGCAATTCTTAATTCATCAGATACAGAATTTTATGAGAATACTGACTACTTGAGTAACAATGAAAATAATCATATAAATAAACATGGCCATGTTCGTAATAAAATATTTCGGGATGGTTCATGTTTAAGGACTATTAATACTCAGGAAAAATTAAATACAGAAACATTCACAGAAGCAATATCAGATACTCATGATGTCTTAGAATCACATAAATATTTAACTAATGGTTTAAAAAATAATAAACAAAAACATAAACAAAAACATAAAAAAAAACCGAAATCAATTACTAATTTGAATATAATCATAGATATTCCAAAAGATCTAACCAAAAAGAACGTATGTCAATAATATTATTTTTCTAATTTTATTAAATTTCAACAAAATTTTCTCAAATATCTTTTTATTTAAAGATTTTAATAAGGAATCCAATCAACATCTAAGGCATAATTCTAATATAACCTCGTTTTTGGAAATGCATTGAAACTTTAAAAAATATGAGAATTCATTTATAAATAACAGAATAATGATTTTCTGTTTGCAAATTTTAAAAATCTTAAAATTCATTTTATTAAGGCCAAAATCATTTATCAGAAAATATTCTTGTATTCATAAAATCTTAAAAAATCTAATTATTCTTTTGTAATGATAATATATAATCCAATTATAATTTCTTTAACTAAAAATTCATTTATAAAACTAGATTCTAACTAAATCCCATTTGATTATCTAAAATTTTCTGAAATGTTGATTCATTAGAAAGTATAAATGGTTTTAATTTATTTTTATTTAGATCTTTTATTGCATATAAAAGATTCCTAATATTTAGTAAAAATATAATAATTTTATTTCATATTTTTATACTCTGGTGTGCTTGAAATAAGATATTTTTCATCTCTCATTACTTCTGTTAATTCTTTTTGATGATTATCCATCAATGTTTCATTAACTACTACAATAAGCTGTTTTTTAAGTTCTAATGCTTCTATAATTGATCCCGATCCTTTATTATTTATTATTTATACCTATTTTCTTTCATTTTTTACCTGCATGTGATATAATTAGACTTGATCTTTCAAATTCTTTCTCCATATCATTGCAATAATCAAATCCACTAACTTCTATACCATTAATTGGCTTCCATTCATTAAAAATCTCTTCTGATTTCCCATATTGAACTATAATTTTAGAATATCCTTGAGAAATCAACGCTTCTTGAACTGATTTTTGCTGAATACCCATTATTAACCCATCAAATCGTGTTGACCCAACTGTAACTAATACTGTTTTATCTTTTCTCATCAAATCCTTATATATATATATATATTCTTAACCCGAGACGATTTCTTTCTTCATATAATGTTTTTTAATATCTTCTTTAAAAAGCCCTTAAATAATCTCCTAAAAATTAGATCTTTTTCCTCTAAATCTTTAGATTCCTCTTCAGAACTTAAAAGCCCTGATAGCCGTTCTAATAAAAGAAGATTTAAGACAATAAAAGATGGTAAAAATATAGAAAAACATATAAACGAATATAGATTTGATGATATTACATCATTAGCACATGATTATCTTGATGAACATAGAGAAATTAGAGAATATTATCGCAAAATAGCTTGGGAACTTCCTACATTAACAAGTAAGAAATGATAATAAAAAAAAAGGGATATTATAATAATTATTAAAAAGAATTTTCAATGAAATATAAAGTTCCTGGAAAAGAGGATATTTTAAAATTTAGATATACAACATATCTTGGAGAAAAGCATCCAGCAGAATCAAAAGTGACGATGGAGGTGTTATTAGATAGTCTTAATCTTAGTATGACGGAGCGTCATAAATTGATTGTACTTTCAGGACCGAGATATAACCCTTTAACAGGAGTATTAAAGCTTAGTTGTGAATTATTTGCAGAAAGAGATAAAAATAAAAAACATTTAAATGAACAATTGAAGAGACTTATTAAAGAAGCAAAGGTATAAGAATGTATTATTAATAATAACTAAATGTATTTTAAAGGATTTAAAAGATACGTTTGAAGATATTCCTCAGGACTTTAGACATGTTAAATCGAAAAAAAATATAACTTTTCCTAAAGAATGGATTAAATGAACAAGAAGATGTTATAATATAGGATAATATGTATATTAGAAGTATATTTATGAAAGGGATATAATAAAATATATAATTAAGTATTTTTAAGAAGAAAAATTAAAGATATTAAAAAACCGAATAATTAATTTAAATATGTAAATAAAAATTAATGTAATCATTATAGGAAGGGGAAATAGAGAAAGTTTTTAAGAATTATATGCCAAGACATGTTTAATATTTTTAAAATACATTAATTTAAAATATTTAATTCCAATTGCTTGTTAAATGAGCCAAATAGTATTATTTTGTGATTAAAAAAGCGTTTAAGTTTAATAGAATAGTTAATAAGATGACCTAGAGTCTTGAATTTTAATTCCTAGCAGTTCAAAAGCAATAAAATATAAGAAAAAATATAAAATATGTAAAAATTTATAAAAATTAAAAAAATATTAATATTTCGATATTGTATGTTAATAAATGTCGATTTTTTAGTAATTTTTGAAAAGATTATTATGTATTTTAAAGTTATTTTGGAGAAAAAAAGATTAGATTTAAGATCGATAGTTTTCTGTAAATAATAATAATCTTTAAATAATTAGACTCTTATTGATCCTTATGTATTTGATTGTTTATAGGAACCGTATTTCTAGAATGTTTTGAATTTCTAAACAATTTATCAGTGTACTTTTTAAGTGTAAAATATCTTTTTAATTGATAGTTTGTGTTAGAAATATTTACAATAGCATCGTTATTTTGAATATCATTAATATTATCAAGTATACATGGGAGTTCTTTTTTTGGCTTATTTGCAATTGAAGTTCTGAAAGAAGATAATTTTGAAGCAAAATGATGGATATTTGAAGTAGAATTAGTATAATCTGTTGTACTTAATAATAAAAAAAAAATATAAAATATAAAATACCTGAAATTTTTAAATTAAATTCATTTAATATTCCATATCTTTTATTTGCAGATAACGAGTATGAATATAAATTTAAATCTTTGATAGGTAGCTTTTCAATTTCATTTTCTATTTTAGAATCAGAAATGTTATCTTGTTTTATTTGTGACATATCAGATTTCTTTTTATTATTCAAAGCTAGCATATATTCAATTTTACCGTAAGAAAATGGAACTTTTATAGAGTTTAATGTTTCTAACGAATCATTTTGTCTATAAAGATATTCTGTCGAACTTCTAGTAATATTTTTATTTGTCATATCTTGCTTATATTCTAAAAGAGACTTCTTCTTTGTTCTAATAGTTTTATATCGTTGTATAATTTTAAATTTATTTTTCTGATGCTTAAAATATTCAGATAAAGTACGCCTAATTTTGTGATCATCATCATTTGAAAATGATGATTTATGTTTCTCCGTATTATTCAAAAAATTCTGTTTATTTTCTACTGAAGAATTTGCAAGAAATGGATTAAAAGATATGCATTTATCGCGTTTATTATTTTGTTCCTGAAATGATCAATTTTAATCCTTTATGTATTTCTAATTTAAACCTCTATAACGACCCATTTTTTCTCATCTAATTCAATTTCAAAGAGAAAAGATTTCCCAAATAATGTTTTTTTAAATATAGGAGTTTCTTCACTACATGAGTCAATCCAAACTGCCCAAAAGCTTTCATCTAAATTAATACGAATCTTATTTGATATTGTACTTTCATTTAACCATTCGGTATTAATTTTTGTAGCGGAATCTAATTTTGAGTGTGGATGAATTCCATTTATAGGAGAAAATGAATTGTCAAAAGGAAATACATGATGTGAAAATGGATTTTTTTCCAGAGAGAGTACAGGATCGGTTTTTGATTCCAAGTCTGTAGAACGTTGATCGAGATTATCTTCTATGAAATCATTTTAATATATCATATATATCATTTTAAAGGTTATGTTACTCGAAGTATTTTGTTTATCTATTTTGTGTAATGAATCACTTTTAGTGAAACTTAATCTATTTTCGATATGATCAAATCCAAAATTCATAAATTCCTCCCATTTTTCACATTCTTTTGAAGATGATGTATTTATTAATGTATTAGAAATACACATAAGAATTCTTTTTGATTCCTCAGTCAATGCATTTTCGATATGATCACGATGTTTCCATAAAGCTAAAGAAATCTCATCATCTGTATCTAAACTTTGAATTGCAACACGCTGAAGAATTGTAAAAATATTTGGACTAGGTATATTTGAAAGTATATCAATACATAGAGTATCTTTGTGATGCAATGTCATTAACGATGTTACAGACAAAGGATATGGTGTTTGATCAAGTAATTTAACAAGCGACAATGGTAATGGATTTGGAACATATAGTTCCGTATTAGTATGTTGTTTTTTTATACTTCTAAGATATGCGAAAAATAAATGTTCATTTGCATCTGCCGATCTAAATTATAATTAATATTTTATTTAAAAAATTAAAAACCAAACCTTTTCCAATTACTATAACCTCTGTGAAATCCTTGTTCTTTATTTTTAAAATTAAACGCCCACCATCCTGCCGTCCTTGATAATTTATCTCCACAAAGTCCATTAATTTTTGAATAAGCTGCTATAGCAGAAAGAATATCAAAAAAACCAAGAATGATTTTTTCCCGGATTCTAGATTTTACAATTATAGGAATATAATCAAAAAATGCATTATGTGGATATTTTGCTTCTAAAATAATAAAAACTCAAGTTAATCTATAACTTGAAAACTACCTTTCTCAAGCTTTTTAAACGCTTCATAAACATTCCATCCTACTACACCATCAATTAATCTTAACCAACACCAGCGAATAATCCCAATTATCACGTATATATCTACCACTGGAAGCTCTTGAATAAGCTGGTTTTTATCTACTTGTGAATTATCCCCTGAAAAAAACTTCCTAATATATGCTTTTGTTGACAAAACATCTGACATAGGCCTAAATGGCAAAAATACCAAGGGAATCATTACTCCTCTAGATTTAACCTCTATATAACATGCTTCTAATAAATCACAGACTTCTTCTTCTAGAACATATTCCCAATTCCATGGATCTTCACTTCTAAAATTTCCCGTATCTGTTTCTTTATCATAAACTACATTTTCTTCTGTATTTATTGAAACTTGATCCTGTTTTTTAAACAGATATGGTCTTTTAAATTTATTAAGATATTTTGTCATTCTTTTGTCCTTATTAATAAAATAAAAATGGGGTATTTTATAGATTTAAAGGCATGTCTTTATATATATTGCTTTAAATATTATTAATTTTCAAAGTATAGGCTTTTAGTAATATATTTTAGTAATTTTGTTAATAATATTTTATCCCTTTCTGTTGCTATAGTTTTATTTTTAGCTTATTTTTTTAAGGGGTTAAATATATAATAAATAGATTAAAACAAGTAAAATAAATGTATTTAATATTTTTAGAGATTTAAATCTATAAAAGTAATTAATCATAGATTATATTCTAAGAAATTACATTTTAAGTAATCAGTTTAAATAAAATAAAATAAATATAAATATGTAGATGTAGATGTAGATGTAGATTTTATAAAGTATTTTTAAAGAAATTAATAAGAACTTTAACTCCTTCGCGAAAATTTGCAACATTTTCACTATTTGTTAAATCTGAACGAGCAGCCATGAATCCATGATGCATAGTGTCAAAAGTTTTAAAAATACAAGCATCTGCAAAGGATTTTGTTTTAACGATCTTTTCAAATTCATTGCATTGATCTACAGGTTCATCTTTGCTTAAAAGACTACATACTGGTACTTTTAAATTAGCAGCATCTTTAGGATCAACCATTCTATTAGAGTATTAAAAAAATGAATGAATAGATGAGTTGATTACGCAGGATGAATCATAGCAACAGATTTCAATTCATCTCCAAAGTGTCCTCCGCCAAGAACTGAAAGTTTACCTCCCCAACAAAATCCCAAAACACCAAGGGATTCTGTTTCATCTTGTTTAACCTCTTTAATAATAGAACCAAGTACTTCTAGATTTTTTTCCGGATCAGCAGGTCCTGAAATAAAGTCACTAAATTCTTTTCTTTTTTCTGGGGTATCAGGAGGAAATCTATCAATTGGATAAGGTTTTTTTTTGAAAAAATCAGGCATAATGATTCTTGCATCAAGCCCAGAACTAAGTAAATCTACGCATTGCTTTGTTTGAGGCCAAAACCTTAAATATATTTAGCTGTATTAAAATCATTAAAATATAAAAGTACCCAAAAATATCATAAACACATACTAATGTGCGTTTTTTATTGTTACCAATTACATATGCATCAAGGTTAGAAACCTTTGTCATAAAACCTTTTGGTGTATAATCTGAAAGTACAGGAAGAAGAGTACAGCAGGGACTATTTGTAAAAGGCATTAGGATTTAAATATCAAGATATTTAATAATTGTAGATTCCAAAACTAGAGGTTTAAATAAACTTAAAAAGATCGGATATTTGATAAGATATTTTAATTATTTAATATAAAAATTGAATATGATTTTATGAATTATAGGTTTTTTCTATTATAAAAATAAAGTATTCATGATTAGATTTTATAATAAATATATGATAATGTATATTTTTGTTTTTTTGTATTAATTTTAAGCATTAAGAATAATATGAAAAGAATTATATATTTTTTTATATGAAGTATTAATTTAAGATTGAATGGATTCATGGTTTGTTATTTTCAAAATAGATTTCTTTTGATATATAAGTTTTTATATTATTTTTTTGAAGCTTAAAATGAATATAAATTTATAAAAAGATATTTAAAAATAATTACAATTGATAAAAGAAATATGATTAAGAGGGATATTAATTAGATATTTATGATAAAAAAGAGATTTTTTGTCATAAAAGAGTATTAAATTATTAATTTTAAAATATTTATGAATATGATTCAACTTTTTTAAAGAAAAATATGAATATCTTAAACAGAAAACATAATACATTTTCTTTGTTAATTAACAAAATTAAAAATATTTAAATTTAAAACGTCTGTAAATACTTATTTTTTTCAATAATCACTATGATTATTATTATTATTATTTATATATCTTTAGATTTTTTTAATAAATCTTGAATATTTTATATAGTAATTGAAATTAAAATTATATATCTAAAGTTTCTTAAATTTTTAATTTAAAGACTTTCATTTAAAGACTTTGATTTAAAGATATGATAATTAATAACATTAATTAAAACAAATATATAATTGTATAAATAATAAATAATATTAATTAGAACAAATATATAAATGTATAAATGATAAATAAAATTTTAATAAAAATATTAATTTAGAGTAGTAAGATTACATCTTTATGTTAAGAATTTGTAATATAAAGGAATTATTAGATACTGAGATGAAAAATCATAAAATTAGTGCAGCTCAAATCCGAGTTCAAAAAGGTATAAAGAAGATGCAGAGAAAAAATTAGAATTGATAAATATATAGATATTACTGAACTTCTTTTACCAGAGACGTTGAAATATATTTTAAATGTTTTTTTTTTAATTTTATTTAGAATGAAAATAGAATTTCCAGATATTGATGATTTTTTAAATTTTTATCTTACAATTACACCAGATGAAGGTTATTTATAGTTATTTTAACATAGATCTTTCTAATTAATGGAAGGTTTTTATAAAGGAGGCTCCTTTTGTTTTAAATTTAATATTAATGAAAATTATCCTCATGATCCTCCTAAAGTTAAGTGTACTCAAAAAATTTATCATCCAAATATAGACTTAAACGGGAATGTTTGTTTAAATATTCTAAGGGAAGATTGGAAACCTGTTCTTAGTCTTAGTGCCATTATGTTTGGCTTACAATATCTTTTTCTTGAACCGTAAATTTAATTTCCTTTTAATAACGTTATTAATAATTTTTAGGAATACAGAAGACCCTCTTAATAAAGGTATATATATAAGTCTTTTGGATGATTTTATTGGAAGTTTTAATATTATAAAGATGCAGCAGATGACTTAAGAAATAATCAAGAAAGTTTTCGACGAAATGTACAAATTTCTATGAGAGGTGGATATGTTCTTTCTGAAATGTTTGAAAATGTTTTTTCTTGAAAAAAGAAGGTACTTATACTATATTTTTAATTATATTTTAAGTTTTATATTTTAGATTTTTTTTGAAATTTTCATAAGATTAATCATTACATATGATTATATTAAAGATAAATAAGCTTTATTATTGGATTTATGATCGTTTTCAATAATACAAAGGAAATAATACTTTTAAATATATAATAAAAATACAAATATTCTTACTACGATAAAAAAAATCCAATATAAATTTGACTGATTATCTTTTTCTAGGAATTTTAATTATTTGATAATTGTTTAATGTAAAAGTGTTGAAATAATAGAATATAATTATTAAATTCCTATAATATATTTGAGTTATTTTATTTAAGAAAAAAGGATATTTTAAAATTTATAAAAAACAAAGAAATTTAAAATAAATAATAATACATACAACAATTATAAGTATAACTATACTGTCATAAATAATGTCTAAATATCAATCCTAAAAAAATTAGAAACAGGGATTTTGAAAAGACATAAAATATTTTAAAAATAGACAGATTGTCATTATTTCAATTGATATAGTATATGCAATTTTAATTATAACTCTACATCTTCTTCCTATTACTTGAATTGTTCTTATGAAAATTGTAAGATATAACAAAGTTAATTGGAAATTTTGTAAAAATATAGCTAAATTGTATATATTGAGACTTTAATATAACTAGATTCTATAAATGTTGTAAAATATGGGTAATAATATTGCATTGGTTCATAATAATATATTATAACATGATTATTCTGTGTTACAGAATGAACATTTGAAGATGATAGAGAAACCGATGAAACAGAAAATATATCGCGATAGAAGATTATATTAGGAAAAACTTTTAGGAAATTTATGACGTTTCTTAACATTTTTTGCCTTCTCAATTAAATAGTTATGTTTTTCAAAAAATTCATTCTTATATAATTTTTTTGTTAACCTGATACATAAAAGACTATCTGATAATAATGAAACATCTTCACACTCTGTATCCCTGCTACTTATAATAATTTTACTATTAAAATACAAAAATTCAGAATATAATGTTCTATCAATTCTATTTGCCTCTATTTTCATATAATGTATTCATCTTACTTTACTTCTAAGCCTTAAAGTAACAATACATTTTCTAAATAACTAATCTAATAAAAACAAAAACATCATAAACAAGCTTTTAAGCCTTTAATTTTTTTATCTTTTTTATTAATTCAAAGAAAAAATAAAATATATTATTAAGTTCATTACAAATATTTATAATAAATAAAATCATCTAAATCTCAAAAATCTTAAGAACGAAGCCTCGAATTGGATCCCTTGATCTTCCCGTAGACAAGAGCCGAAATAATAGATAATATGATATACAAAAAGAAAAGAATTAATGATAAAAACGCTAAAGCATGGAATTCACGGCAGAATCCTTTAGATCCCATAAATACCGGCGTTCCCCTCACATACGAATCATTTGTACATGAATGGAATCCTGTTATACGTGCAAGAATAACACTTGCTGAAAATGTAAAAATTAAATTAAGGATATCATTAATAAATGTAATAATAGGACGATTAAGAACATGAACTGATGACTTTATAAACTCAAAGACCACCGTTATAATAGAAAAAAGCCCTGTAAATAGCGTAAAATTCATCTCTGTTAACTGAACATGATTTTTATATCGACGTTGTTGGTTAATATCAATAGATAATGAAAGTATTAATAACCCAACTATAATCGCCAATATACGTATAACTATATAAATATATTTCTCCTCCATATTCTCTTTCTTTCTTATGTAACACTTTATTTATTTTTTTCAAAACTTTTTAAAATTCGAGTTTTCAAAAAAAAAAAAAAGTCCGATAATTTTAACTTTAAAATATTTTTATTATTTTTTACATAAATATTATTTATTTTAATCTTAATTCTCTTTTCTTTCCTTTCTTTTCTCTATTTTTTTTCTCCTCATTTTTTATACTACTTTTCTAAATTTTTTTACTTTTTTTTTAAAAAATTCTGCTTTTATTTAAAAACTTTTAATTATACTTTAAAAAAAACCATTTTATATATTTTAACTTAAATACATAATGAATTCCATGTAAATCTAACAAATCTCTCTTTTTTTTTAAATTTCTATTTAAAAAAAACTTATATAAAAAATATCGTTCAAGAGTTACGTATAAAAAAATTGAATGAACTCAGAGAAAGATTTATCATATGCATTTAGACGGAATGCATGCGACATGTTCTTAACATCAACAGTTAATGCGTTTTCAAGCGCATATATTCCAGAAAAAGGACGTGCAAGTATTGCAGTATGGCAAGATGACATAGTTGATGGAGTATTTCTTAAGAATAAAAGGATATCAATAGCTAATTATATAGAGAATTGTTGATATTAAGTGTATAGAGAATATTCAAAGTATTTCTAGTCATTTGTTTAATGGTAGTATTATAAATTTGAATGAATCGTCCGTATCAGAAGGGTTACCAGTTCTAGAGAATTCAACAAGAGTGGATAATTTTTCAATACATGAAGAAGAGCCGTTAATAATATCGGAAGGGACGGGAGAGGGAGAATGTATGGATAAAAATTGGATAGATGAGAGTAGAAGAAGATTGATAAGTTCGTCAATGAATGGACGAAGAAGACCGCTTGCAGCATTATCTACGAATACATTAGCAGTTAAAAAAAAAGAGAGATATAGTTCAATTGCATTATGTGAAACAGCTTTACAATGTGAACCAGTATATACATGTAATAGCTCAGCAACGATATTATCAATTACGCCCTCGCTTACAGAATTTTCACAATCGATACCAGTAGAACATAAAACAATGGTATTGAATGGAGAGAATGAATTAAATGAAGAATTTTCGAATACAAATATGAATAGTTCAATGATTGAGGAAAATACGGGTCAAAAAAGACAAGATACGCTTGCTCTTTCATCAATTGTTCTTGCTCAATTTAGAACTAAGAGAATATCAACGTTGCGTGCAACGACACTTGGAAAACGTGTTGGACAAGAATTGACGAAGCTTTCAAATAATTTTTCGTGTAAACGTCTTTTTCCTAACAATAAAAGAACTATTGTTGCTAGTCGACACTTTCGTCGTGTTCGTCAAAAAGCTACAGAAGATGAAGTTGATGACATACTTCTTAAATCAGAATTTTCTCATTCTCATATACAAAATATATATTCAGCACAAAAATCTATACGACCATCGTACATATATTCCAAAAAAATCGATTTTTTAGATAATAATATTGTAGTTAAGAGCGAATCATCATCAGACTCATCGCATTCATCTGATTTTTTTTCACCTATTTCATCAAGGCCTACATCACCTCTTTCTACACAGCGTACATTTCCTGAAAATATTCCTATTCATCCGGATTTTTTTCGTTATTATCTTGCTCATCCACGTTTTACTTATTCTAATGGTAATCCGCCTATTCAATATGATGCAGATGATCTTTATAATCCTCGATATATCAAAGGTATAGGAATAAATAAAATGGGAATGTGTCCAATTTGTTGTGAAAATATTGAACGTGGTGGTCAGGGAAAAGAGGTATGGTTAAAAATGAAAATAAGTGCATTTTGGTATATATTTAGAAGAATTCTTTTAAATCTTTTTAATTGTTTTATTTTAGGTATCATATGAATTTTTTCCATGGAATAAACCCGACAACAGCATTACCATATTCACCTCCTGTGTCTTTTCGAACAGTTCCTCTAGTAACCATAAATGCTAATGGTGTTTCAAAAAAGAAAAAAACATCAGGGTTTACTAGTATTCCAGATAGAAAAGAAATTCTTGAAGGAAAATGTCATAAATGCAAGAAGTGGGTACGTGTTCAAGGTATAAAAGAACAAGAGGTTAAAGTGGCTGAAATTTTCTGGTGGAAACATGCACGCAGCTGTCATGGTACTAGTCGTATTAAAGGAGAGGGATGTGAAATGCGATAAAATAACAACTTAATATTTTATGACGTTTACATAATATTTCTTCTATTTTTTCTAGCTCAATAAGGATATTCTTTGCAACATTTTTTATAAATTATTTATCTTTTCAAATCTTATCCAACTATAATAATATTTATTAAAGACTATTTATTTTGCTTATTTATTTATTACGCTAAGCATATAGGTTAAGAATATATATGGGTGTTCATATTGGATCTATAAATTTATGTTGTGTATCTAGCATCTTTGTTTTTTTATTTGCTTATTTATTGTAAAATTTAATTTTAGATCTTTTTATGTTTACAACAAAGTCATATATATATTATATTAAATTTTAAAAAAATTATTTTTTAATCTATTTTCTTAAATAATTTATATAATACTAACAGATATTATTGGATTTGTTTTACTTAGCAAATATCTATGCTTGTTAGGACTCTAAATGCATCATAGTTGAAATATATAAACTTAAGTTATAACTTAAATATTATATAGGATAAATATTAATTTTTATACAAATATAATTAAACATTTAAATCTACTTATAAGTAGATATGAATTAAATATGAACATTATAAGAATAGGGAATATATTTCACTTAAACACATGAGAATAATAATAAACAATTGACAAATTATATGTAGATATGATCCTAATGTTTCTTGCTGCTTCCACTCGGAGCAACGCCATTAAGAATAATTTCAGCGTCCCGTTCTGTAAAATTAATAAAAGATCCAAAGGCCACAGGATATCGTTTCTTTTTATATTTAGTTGAAGTTGTGCGAAGTATATCTTTCATATTAATATTTTTAGGTAAATCCGCTTTAATAGATGTTAATGAAGTCGGATTGACTTGTTTTGAAGATAATAATGCTGTTGTATCAGGAAGATAAACTTCATATGGAATAAGCGAAGATGTATCAATATATTCCTGTTTTCCATTTGCAGTCCATCCGTAATTTTTAAAAGATAAAGCATTATTATCAAACATAAATGCCGATTCTGAAGATATATGTGATTGCGGTAATGATATTAAAGAATTATCATGAATGACAGGATTAAACATATGGCCGTCAAGATTATTTTCTATCGGATATGTATTTTTATTTCTTTTAGGAGACGACAATGATGACATATTCATATCGCCATTAGAGAAATCTTGAAAAGAACGTTTTTTTGTGAATAATGCACTTGGAGTATGACTTTTTGAAAGGTTATCAGCAGAATGCATGTTAAAATTACCAGTATATAAAGCCTTTTCAGATAATTTGCTATTATTAACAAATTGTTTTGAAGTCATATTGTCTAATGACGTATTCCCTTCTTTTACGGGCATCATGACAGGCGGCTTCGAATCCAAAACGAGTAATTCTTTTAGTTCACTTCCTACTGATGGTGACAAACGTGGTGTCAATGGACATGTAAAAGATGACTCGGAAAAGTGTGGAGTATTAGTAAAATTAGATGCATAAGGTAAAGCTGATTCTTTCTCATGACTCTCAGGAACATTTATGTCAAAAACATAATTATCATCTTCATGTAGTTCCCTGTTTAATTGACCTGTCTCCTGAGCAACATCATTAGGTGTATCTGTTATTTCGTTTAATAAGGTTGATTCATCGAAATTAATATAAATGTCAGATAATCCTTCTTCCTCAAAAATATCTTTCTTTTCTGGAATCCTCTGTGTAATATCATCATTAAATATCGATTTTATCCAAGGTATATCGTATAAAGCTGATAATTGAAAACCAGAATCATCTTTAGTATTAAAATGAACATCCTTTGAATTTAAAAAATTCTCATCACAAAAACATTCTACATCTTGTTTATTATTGTCTTCACCGTCATCAAAGTTTAAATTTAAGAATTTTTCAATATCATTAACTTGAGCATAATTAGAATTATCAAATGGATATTGTGTAAATGTATAGTCAAGCTTCAAATCATCCAAAAGTGTAGGTGAATCAATAAATTCCGATGCTGATGAGCACAATGGATCAAAAAATGTTTGCATTTTATAAATAATTTATCTAATAAATTCCCAAAAAAATCGGTCTTTAATAACAATTTTATACAATGCCTAACTTTCCCCCAAAAAAAAGATATAACTGATACTATGTCTTTCAATTTCACAAGAAAAGTTACTTTTATTTGTATAATATTTTATTATCCATATCCTTTCTATAAAAAAGTAGGTTTAAAAAATTTGTATTCAAGAGCATTTAACCCATTCTGAGCTGTTCCTATGTTTTTTCTTCCTTGATTTCATTATTCCACTATTATTTTATTATTATGCCTGTTCTTCCTTTTTCGAATAGTTATGTGTTTGATTCCAGAAGCGGAACATAAGATTAATAATATATTAAATAATATAAAAATATATGGAAATCCTCTTATTAATGCACTTGTTTCTAAAAATTAAAGCTAAAAATATATTCTAAATGATCTTTTTATATAAATCATAAATTTTATTAATATTTAATTCGTATAAGGTTTTATTAAAAGTGTATATCGGATTAAATAAAAAATAGAACGTAATTAGAAACTAATATCTATACATCTATATACATATATCTATATACATCTATGTACATGTATTCTGAATGATATTAAATATTTTTCAGTAAAAACTTATTTATTGATTTGATAAAGAATGATTTTTTTGGAAATTTCAGGATTCAATAATAACATTAATAATTTAAAAAAAATAAAATTAATCCTAGAAATATTTTATGTAATAGTAATGTTATAAGAAATGAAAGATAAGTTTTATATATTATTGGAATAAAACCAAAAAATAGTAAATATATATAAATATAAGATTTTCTAGTAAATAAAATTCATAAAAGAAATAGAAAAGAAAGATAAAAATTAAAGTATAGTTATTTTTTTTAAATTAAGGAGTAAAAACGCATCAACTCTTATTTTAAAAAGAATTAAATAATTTATGTAAATTTAATTATGTATTTTTAGAAACAACCTTAATTTTGCGAGTGCATGAGAAAATTAATGCGAATCATATAATAAATATATGTCTATAATTGAAATATTTCGGGTTTATTAGATTATAATGGATATTCTTATATATTTTATGTATTCTGAATTTATAAATACAAAATTATCTATATTTATAATGAAAATAAGTTTACTTGTTTTTACTTATTTAATATTAAAATAATCAACTGTTTTAATGTTCGATATAAAAAACGTTGCCAAATATCTTTTGAATAATTTTAATTATAATAATAACATGCCTTTATTAAATAATAAACATGTTTAATATTTTAGAAAAAAAAGTGTAGTTTTTAGTTTTTATAAATATTTGCAATCCAACAGACATGTAATTGATTTATTATCGTATTATATATTTTTGCATTAGTACTGTAAATAATAACATCTTTAAAGTTAAATCATTTATTATATATCAGAATTTCATTAATAAAATGGAGTTATTAATCTACATAACCCAAGGAAACTTTGGTTTTTGATAGATAACTCTATTGGTGTTTTAGTTTTTATGCATCGTTCCCATACTATGATTATAATTAGCATAATTACGAATTTAAAAAAAAATTATAATTACAGAAATAAGCAAATTGACGGCCTGCCCATTTTCCAATAAATGGAATAATAACCCAAAATAAAAAGATATTTAGTTGACTTAAAGATTCTTGCCATTCTTTATCTGTATCAGATGATATTGTACTCAAAGAATCAGAAATATCTGATGGTATATTTAAAGGATATAATTCAGCATTTTGAACCATAATTTTTAAATGTTAGCATTAATATATCTCTCTTAAAATTATATATTTTTTCTGAATTTCATATTTTTCAAAATCGGTTATTTACATTTTTATAGTTTTAAATAAATAAAAATGTAATATTTGGAATATTTTGATAAAATTATTACTAATAAGATATTTCTGTTATAATAATAAATCTTATATTTAAAATAGTATATCTTTTTCAACGATATTTACTTTTTTTCTGAGATCAAATCTTCACCTTTTTAGTTTAAAAATCTAAATACTTTTATTATTGATGTATATTAAAATGTATAAATCATGATATATAGAATGATTTTTTTAAAATGATTATAGATATTATATATTATATATAATATCTATAATATACTGTAACTTCGAAAACTTTCGTAAACATATTATCTATGTCATTAACTTATTAAAATTTATTTTATATCAAAAAGTAGCATTTTGTTAACAAGATTTTTGAATTAACTATATAAATGGAGATGTATTTTTTTAAAAAATTTTTTTTATTGCTTAAAACTAATGAAACATGGCCTAAATAACGCGATTAATTTTATAATGTCACTTCCTTGTGTATCTGATAAACCGATATTATCTCAATATAATACTAAAAGGTATATATTTGTTTTTTTAGTCTTATTATGTTTCTTATGTTAGATTAGAACTAATAATAAAACAAAAACTTTACTTAGAAATAATTTAGAGAAACCTCAAAAATTATGTAAACATAGTAAAAAATTCATATCTAGTCAGAAAAATGAATCAGAGGAAATTTTATATAAAAATTTTGAATCTAGACTCGGTTTAGATTATGAGGAGATACTTTTTAAACCAAGACATACAAGATATAGATCACATCTTTCGAATGAACAGGAAAACTATACAAAGTGTTCAAATTTATCTCAAAAGCGTCTTAATTTATGCAATGATACCTTTGATCCTGAGCATGATCTTTCAGTTAATATTCCGGTAAAAAAGTTAGAAACAAAATCAGAAAAACATTTCTCAATTGAAAGGACGTTATTTAAAAGTCCAGGAAAAGCTAAAAATTCTAAAAGTCATAGTTCTAATAAAGGATTTTCTGTAACCACGTTTCAACCTTCAAATGAAAATAAACTTTTTCATTCAGAATTAGAACCAATATCTTTAAAAAAAGAGCATTATGAATTATTTTCAAAAAAATATATACAGGAAAAGAAAGTCAAATCTAAAGAATTTAGAAAAATCAATAATAGTAACAAAAAGTTATTTAATTTTAAGACTTTTATAGATTTGGGATCTCAAGAAAATAATCAAGTACAAATAAGAAAAAATAAACAGCTAGAGAAGATTTCCTCTGTAAAAAAGCAGAAAGAATCTATTAATGAAAACGATTCTAATTCTGATTCTAACTTAATTATTCGGGAAAAAAATCCGTTTGTAGTTACACGTGAAATGCTTCTTAAAGAAATTAAAACTTCATATAAAGGGCTTATACGTTTGGAGTCTCATGTGAAACTTCAAGATAATATATGTGAAAAGTTTGATATAAATGTTTCGTTTTCTGATAAAGATCATGAAAAATTCAGAAAACTTAGCGAATTACATGGAGCGTAAGTAATATAGTTTGATAGTATATTTGCTTATAAATTTAGTCTTTTATTTTTATATATAAATTTTTTGTCACTTACTCAGCATCCTTCAGCATGTCATTCAATAATGAAAATTCCTATTAAATATACTATTCCGGCTAGGTTATGGAAAAATTCCATATATGCTTATCTTGAAATTCTTCGTTCCCAACTTCCATATACTATTGAGCATCTGATTTCATATATTTTATTTTCATATTCTCAAATAACGGTTTTACTTGAAACTGCTTCTACATTTAAAAATGAATGGATGGAATGTTTGGGGGATTTAGCAAGATATAGGATGGCTATTGAAGAAATAGATATGAAAACTAAAAACCATTGGAGTAATATTTCGAAATATTGGTATATTAAAGTATTAATGAATTTACCTACACTTGGAAGATTATATCATCATTTGGCTATCTTATCGAAGGATAACATATTAAAAAAACTGTTTTATTATTCTAAAGCGTATTTTCTTTTTATTTTTTAAAACAATATTTATATTTTAATAGATTGGTTGTTTCTAAATCATTTTCATCTGCTAGAGGATCCATACTTTCTTTATTTGATCCAATATTTATCCATAAGGAATCTTCGTGTTTTTCTGAAACATCTAGAAATTCGGACTTGATTAATAATTATGTAAAACTTCATGGATTATTGTTTACTCAGCTCCAACTTGATAATTTTGAAACAATTCTTAATGATCTTCTTTCTCTTTTAAATAAAGAAAATATTTGGAATAAGGAAGGTGTATTAATGGCTATTACAAATATTGTAGCACTATTTCAATATGGAAATAAACATGGAAAATTGAAATATTTAATAAAAGAAAGTAGGATTAACAATAAGAAAAAAAAGGAAGAAACACATTTTTTTGATAAAGATTATAGTAAATTAAATCAGGAATATTTGGAAAGGGTTACGACAGTTGGAAATAAAACAGATATTTTATCTTATGATCTAAATAAAAGTGATCTTCCTGCAATTAATCATTCTTTATTCAAAACCGTACATATTACTTCTACACTATATTGTCCTATTAGTCTTATTAACTCATCTGATTTATCTAGGAGTCGTCATTCTATAAAAGATCAAGAAACATTACCTATAGACCATATAGTATTTTTAAAGGCATGTCAATTACACTATTTTATTATGTCACTTTCTATTTCTATAACATCATCAAACTCTCTTGCATATAATTTTATATGTATGATATTTCTATATTATTGTTCAAAGTATTCATATGTTCTTTCTTCTATGGAAAGATTTATACCGTGGCTTAAGATTGCAGAGTATTTGTCTAATATTATTAAAAAAATAAACTATGACAGCATACTTGAAATGAGTGATCTTCCAGTTAGACAAAATAAAAATCCTTTACCTGAGGATTGGGCTTTAAGAGGTATAAACTGGACCGAAAAAATTTGGCCTAAGGCGTATTTTGAAAATATGACAGAGGATGATTTTAATTTTACAGTTGAACAACTTAATGATGAAGTTACTGAAATTAGAATAAAAAGGATTATTTGGCTTGGTTTTAAAATAGTTTCAGTATTTCCTTATTTTTTTTAGTTTTTTTATCATTAACTTTAATTAGCTTTCCAATATTCTGTTGTATAATAATCAAACTCAACATTTTACAATTAGTAGAGAGTATATTAATAAAATTAAGTTTTCTAATAAATATTATGGGAATGTGATTTTATCATTATCTGATACTGATGCATTTGAATCAGAAAACGACAATTACAAAAATAATATAAAATTTAATGATGATCTAGAAGTACAGGGAGAAAGTGAAGAAATTAGAAATCTTAGGGTTTATAAGTTAAAGTCTATAAGGATATTTCAACTTATTTTTTTAGGAACGTCGTCGAGCTTTAAAATCTATATTAAGTAAAAATGATTCAAAAAAACTGGAATTTAATCACAAAAAAGATACTCAATACTTTTTTCGACAGATTAAATCTGGTTATACGGTAAATTGATTTTTAAAATATGATTATATTAATTTGGTTAGACTTTAGTTTTTGATACCAACTTTTTAATATCTTACTTAAAATTATTTCGTAAGATTCTTTCCATGAATTCTTGGGATATTGTCATTCCTCTTGCTGGTAAATAAATAATATTGGTATTTAGATTTATTGTAATATCTTTTAGTTATTTTTGAATTATATGGATTAAATAATAAGCCCCCTCCTATTGGCATTACTGCTTATAATGCAATTATTCTTATTATTTCTGCCTTGAAAACTCAAAAGGCTAAGATTGTTACAGTTAAAGGTAATATACTTCATGCTTTGGATTATATATCAGAACAACCAGAAGATATTTTTGAGGATGAAAAAAGATATAGAAATATTGATGACAGAATTATTCAGGTTGCTTTATCTCAAAATGAGAATCATGTGAAATTTCAAAAAGAATTATTCACATCAGAAGAATTTGAAAAAGTTGTATTAGTTACAAGTGATCTAAATATGAGGATAATTGCAAAAGCGAAAGGACTTAGTGCTATATCTGCAATAGCTTTTAAAAAAATTATAAAAGTAGGAAATTCCAATTCTTTATTAAAAACTAAATTAGCTTTTGATAGCAATATTTATAACTAAAAGTGTCGATTCTAGGATCTAATTATATTTTTTATTATAAAAAAACACTTTGATAAAATTTTTAATAAATATTGTTATTTTTATTGCTTAAAATGCAAAATTATTGATTTTTTGATTTATACTTCGATTTCTAATTTTTTACTTAATGATATTTTTTTTTATTTATATAATTAAAAAAAAACAAATGTAGATATGTATTAACAAAATACTCCTAAATACTAGATAAATTTTAATTTTAAGCTAATATTATATATAAATTTTTATTTGCAGTTTAATATTTCAACAATTGAAAAATTATTTTATGACAATGATTTAATATTTAAATAAATTTTTATATAAATTTTATAGACCAGAATATTTAACAATTAAAATAATAACCAATAGGTTTATTTCTAAAAAAATGTAAATAAAAATAAAAAACTAATATTTGTATTAAATTTATTTTTTTAAATAAAATATTATCATAAACCAGAGAATAATATTTCAATATAAATTAATAATATATTTGTATTAATAAGCCAATATATAAATTCCAATAAACACTAAAATATATTTCGAAATATAATAAAATTATATTAGACCTTATTCCATAATTTTAATACTACTTTTTCAAAAATATGCAAGTTTAACAAAAACGTAAAATTTAAATCTAATATAAATTAAGTATTATTATAAAGTTATGAAACTTTAATACCAAAAAATTATTTATTTTATCTTTTTTTAATTTTCCAAAACCCAAATTTGTAATTTAATCTCATAATTAGTAAATCAACAGCCATTCTTAAGCTATCACTTATTAAACTTAACTTGCTGCCTGGAACTTCTTGCCAGGCTATTGGTACTTCGACTACTGGTATTAAAAAAATTCCAGCTAAGATTAGCACTTCTATATCAAATATCCATTTTTCTACATGCATATTTGGAAATATCATTAAAGCTGCTCGGCGAGTAAATAATTTAAATCCACATTGAGTATCCTTAATATGTCTTATTCCCATAAACCATAAATACTTTTGAAAAGCATGCATCATAAAATTCCTAATCTTAGATCTCTAAATTTATTAAAATAAATTAATTTTATCTATTTCATAATTTAAAAAAATACTTTTAAAATAATATCATTTGATGCCGTGTAAGAACGGGATCCTATAGCGATACCACATCCATTTTTTTCAATTTTTTTAATTTCTTTTAAAAGATTATATAAATTAGAAAACCTAGATGCACCATCTGCATCTGCAAATATAATATATTCTCCTCGAGAATGAATCATTCCCTTCATTCTATCGTTAGTATTCTATATATTTTCAAGAAAAACAATACATGTGTCACTGCACCCCCTTTTCCTCTATTTTTTTCTAAACTACAAACTCTGATTTCGCCATATCTTAGTAAAGAAGTTTTACTTTTAGATAGTGCCCATTTCACTGAATGCTCATAAGTATTGTCCGTACTTCCATCATCTATTATAATTATTTCCCATCTTTGATCTTTTTCAAATTCAAATGAAAGAAACTCTACTGCTTCTTCTAACATTTTTGAAAGCCGCAACTTTTCATTGAAGGCAGGAATCACAACAGACATAAAGACTTCTGCTGGATCTTCTAATGTATTAAGGAGAACTTTGTCAAATTCACCATTGTCTGATATAACTTTGCAATATAACTCAGATTGATATGAAAGTCGTGATTTAGAAAAAATTAATAATAAAACCTGAATAAATGATTTAAAAAAGCACTAATTAGATATTGTATAACTCACAATAACAAAAAAGAGCGAAAGAATAAAACTTATTGCTATAATTAAAATTGACCAAATATTTATCAAATTTATTATAGTCATTGATAAAGAATAAATAAAAATCCTTTAAAAATATTTAAAATACCATTTCATTAGCTTGGCTATCGAATAAAGATACATTAATAAAACTATGTTTTATAAAAAACATCTTTGACTTGATAGAAATTTAAAAATATTAAAAGCTAAAAGTTTAAATTCGATAACATAAGATTTTATAAGACTATAATTTTGATATTACAAAATAAAAATATTATACAAATTTTTAAAGTAATAAATGCAAAACTTAATTGATAGATATATTAAAATATTACATTAAGTGTAATATTAAGTGACTTGCCAAATCTAAAAATGGAAAAGGGCTCGTAACTTGTTTTTCAGAAAGATCTTTTCTAGAAGCATTTAATAAATAATTTGATGCATTTAAATCCTGAGAACTAGTTTTCGTCGTATCATTTTTCATTAATTCAGATATTCCAGTAATTATTTTTTCGGTTTCGTTTTTTATATCATTTGATGGTAATTCAGAAATAATTGAACATACGTTCTCATAACCTCCATATTTAAAATCCACCAAAAAATTATTAGATTCCAAATGATATAATTGAATAACGATAGTTACTATAGTTTTTTTTTCTTTATCAAATGATTTCGTTAAACGACATTTTATTACATAAGGATCTTTGGTTTTATTTGAATCCAATATAGTATCATTAGTATCATTATTTTCCGATAAATTCTTTTCTTTAGATTTATTTATTTTTTCATGCAGATCTACATTTTGAGATTCAATATCAACCCATTCTGCTCCAAGATCTTTCAGTGCTCGATATATTTCTACCATTATTTCTAATGGAGAGCTTCTGCTACGTATCCCAAAATGCCAACGAATTGCCCGCTTTTTCTTTTCAGTATTTATGGACATTGGTGCTAAAACTGATTTAGAAATGCTACTTTGTAATTTCTTATCCTTAGTATTTCTATCCAAGGAATCCAATGAACTTTTCTTATTCATATACATTATATGATAATTATGAAGACTAGATGGCAAAATACTAATGTGAAAAGGTGTTTGATCTTCTAATCGTGTATATGGTCCACCAACTGAAGATAACAATGTGCTATATATTCCTTTGTTTATGGAACGAGTATTCACATCAGTAGGAGAAGATTGACTTAATGAAGATGATGAAATATTTCGAGGAGGTTTAATTTGTTCAGTATCCCAGCTAGGTGGAGATTGAGCTAAAAATGATTGTATATTTTTTGCCATGATAATTCGAACTAAAAAAAATAAGATAAATATTAATACTAAAATACTTACAATCCTTATATCTCATCTGATTCTCTGCAACTAATCGATATGCATCTTTTATTTCATTGCAATCGGACCTAGCAAGTGCTTCATATACATGATCCTTATTATAACCCATAGCCTACTCATAGTTAAAAATTGAATAAATTAAAAAAAATATTCTAATTTACCTGTCCAAGTTTCCCGACAATTTTATCATCAACTTCATTCTTTTCGTCATAATTATCAAGTGGATGAAGATAATCAGGTAGGTTAAGATTAAACCATTTACTTTCTCGAATCTCTTGCAATGTAATTCGTTGAATTGGATCTACAACAAGCATTTGACTAAGTAATTCTTTCGCGTCAGAACTTAAAAATGAAGGAATAGTATAAATTCCTCCATTTATTTTTTTAAAAAGAGTAGGTATAAATTCATCATCAAATGGGAGCCGACCCACAAGCATAACATAAAGAATAACTCCACATGACCAAACATCTACCTCTGGACCAGCATATAATTTCCCAGATATAACCTCAGGTGCCGCATAGTTTGGCGACCCACATGATGTTTTTAGAAAATTTCCATCAGTCATAAGATTTGATAAACCAAAATCAGCAATTTTAACATTAAGAAAATCATCCAATAAAAGACTTCAATAAAATTAAAATAAATAAAAAAAATCTAATGAAAATACTTTTCTGGTTTAAGATCTCTGTGTACAATTTTATGACGATGACAATATTCAACTGCAGTTATAATCTGCTGAAAGAAGCGACGTGCTTCATCCTCACTCATTTTGCCTCGAGAAACAATATAATCAAATAATTCACCACCAGCATATTCAATAACCATAATTATATCCGTCGGAGTCGCAATTACCTCATAAAGTTTAATAATATGAGGATGTCTTAAAAGCTTTAAATATGATATCTCACGATCTACTCTCGATGACATGTCTAAATTCAATAATGATTTTCGCGAGATTATTTTAAGAGCTACTTTATGTCCAGTAATAGAGTGAATTGCAACTAAGGAATATTTAATTAGCCACTTCAGTTTTATTCTTATTTCTTACGTTTTACTTTCCCGAAACTTCCTTCACCCAGTGTTTTCAAAATCGCATAGTGACCTAGCCGAGGTTTTTCTGATATATTTGATAGTTCTGGGATTTCATGATCCAATATTATATTTGCATCTGTATTCTTATCATTCATTCTATAAATCTCAATTTTTTCTAAAAATAGTGCGATAACTTTTTATACTTAAAAATTGATAAAAATTATATATAGAAAAAATAATAAATTGATAAAATTAATGAATATTTTTTTTAGAAAATATAACAAACAAAATAAATACTATATTAAGAATTTTCTATATTAAGCAGTAAATATTTAAGTAAATTCAAATAAGCTGCTTGCGTTGAAAAAAACGACGTAAATAAACAATTTCACAAATTCCAAGAATAACCAAAGAAATCATAAATCCAAGACCGTAATATTTAACACGATCATTTGTACTTTCATTAATATCTCGCATTTTTTGTTCTCGTCTTTGCATGTAATCCATTTCCTTTGCAATTTCCTTAGAAATTCCCTCAATTCTCAATAATTCAACTTCGATAGGTTTTAAATGTTTCAGAATCTCAATTTCATTCCAATTAAGAGCGTCTGCGCCTTTATTAATATTTAATTCTATTGTTCGGAAATGATTAAAAGTACTATCAAATCCTAAAACCAGTTAATATTTATTTAAAAATAAAATTATGCTTTATAAAACAATGAAGTTATTGTTTGAATTTTTCATAAAAAGGAAAAATATAAAAAATTATATGCAACAAAACTTCAAAGTTTTCTATTATTAAATAAAATCATTACCATCAAGAAGAACATTATTTATGCACACAATGATTGTAGATTCATTATTTGTCGTAAAAACAATTTTCCTTTTGCCCATAATCTCTCTAGAATGACCGTATTTATTTCCAGCTATATCAGTAATCTAAAAAAATCAACTTTTTATCTTTTATGCTCAATAAATCTAATATACGGTCATATTTACTTTTTGCCCATCATTTGCTGATCCAACAACATTAACATAAATTGCTACCAAAGTATCTGCTGGTACAAGTGTACGAATACATCGGTTATTCTCAATATTTTTAGGCATTGCTACAATATCAAACATTAAAGAAAAAATTGAAGTAAAAGCTGAAAAAAAAATAATTAAACCCAATAACACCTGATTTCTTGTAAATAAAATCATCCTATTTTAATAAATTCAAGTAATCTTTATTGTTTTGTCTCTATTTATAATTTTTCCTATATTTATAAACAAATATTCCAACATAAAAATTCGAATTAACGTTTTATAATAGTTAATTATCTAAAAAGTTATAAACCCTTTTAAAAAACAATTTATTCATTTTTTAATTCTTCTAATTTAGCGCTTTTTGTCTCGAATTTTCGATTATATTTAAATAGAAAATTTATTTTTTATCTGCGCTGCATTTTAAAAAGGTTGATTTTTATAAGAAAATATTAAAATGGCTACTTCTTTAAGATCTGTATCATGCATTAGACCTCTTTTAGATCGTGTGCTAGTTCAGCGAATCCAACCAGAAAGTAAGACTGCTTCAGGTATTTTTTTACCAGAAAAGTATGTACTATTTTTTGTTTAAATTATATACTTTTTTATTGTTTTATATGTTTTTTTTGAAAGAATGAGGTTTTTAAGTAATGTAGAGACTAATCTTTGTTTTAGATCATTAGAAAAATTGTCAGAAGGCAAAGTCATTGCAGTTGGTCCAGGAGGACTTGATAAGGATGGAAAAACAGTTAAAACCAGTGTTAAAGTTGGTGATAAAGTTATTATTCCTGCATATGGAGGAAGTAATATTAAAGTCGGAGATCAAGTATAATTTTATGATACGATGCTTTGTTTTTAATGTTTTTAGGAATATCAATTTTATCATGATCATGAGTTATTAGCTACTATATCTAGCTAATTATATATAAAAAAGTAGCCTTGTATGTATATAATGTTTTAAAGCTCCAAACGAGGCAGCGTTTATTATCAATATAATAATTTGTAAAAATTGTACAAGTTTTTCTGAATTATATTTTAATATGTTTGTAAATACCTTTTATTTCTTCCGAGATATTTTTGTAGATTTTGTAGATTTATTCTACTTGATGTATAACGCCTCCACCTAAACATACATTATCTTTCCATACAGCTACATTTTGTCCTGGTGCAATTCCTCGTTGCATTTTTTCAAATTCAATTTTGATCATATCGTTTTTGTATCTACTTATATAACATTTTTCTAAGAAAATAAACTAATAGCATTAAAGAATTTGAAAAACTTACGAGGTATTTGTCTATGTCTTAGTTGTCCAACAACTTCGCCATATTCTTCTAAAGATGGATCTATCCAATGCCATGATTTGCAATACATTATATTTTTCATCAAAGCAGGATTATCCCATCCTCTACATAAATATATGATACCTTTTGATGGATTCTTATCAGCAACAAACCATTTTCCATTAACTTCGTTTTTTGCTTGTGGTATATAAATTCTAGAAGATTCGCCAATAGTAGTATTCCATATACCTTTATCAGAGGAAACAAAAAGGATATCTCCTGTAGAAATATCGATATATGTTAATTTTTGAGGATTAAGATAATTAGCTAAAAAATTTGAAAAATGTCGTCCTGTATTTGGTGATACAAAACAAAGTCCTTGAGATTCTTTTTTATCTGCTGTTGGCAATGAAAACTTTCTAGCAATTGCACGGACTTCTGATTTCGTAAAGTTTGACAAAGGAAAAAGGGTCTATTAGAATTAATTATAAGAACATAATTTGTAAAATTTACTCGACGAAGAGAACTTTGAGAAACTCTTGATAAATATAAACACTGGTCCTTGTCCATATCTTTTGAACGCAATAAATGCGATGAACTAGTTGGGATATGTGTCTTAACTGTAGCATAATGACCTGTTGCGACCCACCATTTGTTACAATTTGAATATTTTTCTCGGATTATCTGTTCAATTTTCTCAAACAAAGATCCAAATTTGATATATCTATTACAATTCACGTCCGGGTTTGGAGTATATCCATTTCTATATGAATCAAGAGCAGGCTGGAAAACAAAATTCCAATAGTCTCGTGAAAAATCGACATAATATGGTTCTGGCATGGATAATACTTTTGAAACTCTTTGAACATCTAAAAAATCTTTTTCAAAGGAGCAAAAACTGTTATCTTCTATCCAGATCTGAATAAAAATACCGACGACATCTAATCCCTGTATATTTTTAATCAAAAGTATTATATATATATATGTTTATTTATTTATATTCACTTTACTTTTTAATAAAGCAGCAGCAACACTTGAATCAACACCTCCTGACATTGAAACAAATACTAATTCTTTAAATGAATGTCTTATACTTTTGTCGATAAATACTTTTATCTTGAGGCTGAAGGATATGATCCATATAATTATTATCAATATTATGATTATTAAAAATATTTCTTTTTGAATGTTGAAACAAAAGAGATTTTATTCTAGATAAAGCTACTCTTCTTCCTTGATTTTGAATCATTACATTCATTTTTAATTTTTTTCTACACTTCGTATATTTCAAAATTATTTATAAAATATTTATTTGGCGATAAATATAACTTTATAATTAAATAATATAAACAATTTCTTAAAAATTTATGCATAACTATAATCTATTCTGAGAATTCAAAATGGATATTTTGAATTTTCAAATTTTTAATTAATTCATAAATTTGCAAAAATATAAAATTTTATTACAAGTCATTAGTATTTTAAAAACTAATTAAAATATATTAAAAAATAATAAAAATACCTTCTAATCTCTGGACATGTTTTATATCACAGTTAACAGAAACCCGCCTAAACTTTGGTAAAATATTCTATAATTTACGAAATCGAAATACAGTATCATAAAAGCAACTATATAACGAAATTTCCATAATATAACACCTGAATTCATAAAATTTTGATTGTATTTCCCAGTATAATCCTTTATTATTATTAAACTTGATATTTATTCTCATTCTCATTATCTAATAAACTTTCCTCTTTTTTTTCTAAAGATTTTTGTTTATCTGGTCTATATACTTTTGTCTTCCATGCTGGTACTTTGTCTCTCCATATTTGCTCAATTTCTTCTAATGATCTTCCACATGTCTCGGGAAACATTAAATATACATGAATAGCCATAGTAACTGAGAATGTTGCAAAAATTAAAAATGTCTTCCATTGAATATTCTTAAATGCAGTAGGAACAAAGATAGCCAGTATAAAATTAAACGTCCAATTTGCGAAAGTGCAAAACCCATTAGCTTTTGTACGTTGATTATGAGGAAAAATTTCGGAAACATAAATCCACGCACATGGTCCCCATGTAGGAGCAAAAACACATACAAAAAGATAAGAACATGCAATTACCGCATTCGCTAAATTTCTATGACCTTCCATAGTCCATCGTATATATTCACTTCCATGATAACTAGGAACATAATGACCTCCAATAGCCATAAAAATTGACTCTGCAAATAATAGTATTGCCATTAAAACTGCGCCATAAATGAATGTCGGTCGTCGACCCCATCGATCAATAAAAAGTAAAGCAGGGACAGTCATAATAACATTAAGAACATATTGAATAGAAGATATAAGTAAATTTGAAACACCAGAATAACCTGCCATTTGGAAGACATTTGTAACATAATACATGATAATATTCATTCCTGTAAATTGTTGCCAAACTTGAGTAAAAAAACCGACAAATGTTCTTGTACGAGAACCTTTAGAAAATAATGCTAGATAGCCTACACTATCCTTATCACTTTCTACTGCTTCCTTTATATCTTTTATTTCAGAAACAACTTCAGGACTATTAAAATTATTTGAATTATTTACTTTAGAAATGATAAATTGAGCTTCTTCCCAACGATCATGTGAAGCAAGCCATCTAGGAGATTGCGGAAGAAAAAGAACAAGAAATGAAAAGATAAACCCGGGAACCACCTGCAAACCCCATGCAACTCTAAATGATAATGGTCCCTTAATCTTTGTACAACCGTAAGAGAGATAAAACATAATACATATACCCCATGTTATGGACCATTGAAAAATCGAGACAAGAGATCCTCTATATTTTTTAGGACTTAACTCAGAAATCCAAACAGGGATTTGACTAGAACAAAGACCAATTGCTATACTGGAAATAAAACGACCTATTATAAGATGGACCGCATTAATAGATGTCGCTTGAACAATTGAACCAACAATCCAAATCCAAGCACCTATTTGATTAATAGATCTATGACCCAGTTTATTTGTAACATATCCAGAAAAAAATGATGCTATTGCTGATCCAATAGGCATAGATGATGTAATAACACCTTGTAATAATGAACTGGGCCGATTAAAATATTCAAGATATTGTGGTGCAGTAACCTATCTTTTTATTAACATAAATCTTAGGATATATAACTAAATAATACAAATGCAGACATGGATGAAATATCAAATCCAAAAAGCATAGCACCAGTTGTTGCTGCTGCGGCTATAGCAACCGGATGATATATTGTATACATTTTTATCGTTTATACAACAAGAACTTGTTTATTTCAATATATTTGATTATCTTATGTTTTGTATTTAAAAAAAAAATGTTATCTGTTATTTTTATTTACGATAATTTGGATTTATATATTTATTGCTATTCAAAACTATTTTAGTTTTTTTTTTATTTTAGGAATAACTTTTTTCCTATTTTGGATAAGATAGCTTCGTTCCAACTTTTAAGGAAGTTTCACGAGGTCAGGTGTTCTGAAGTTGACATAAATTTATTTTAAAAATTAGGGTTTAATTTTATTTAAATCATATGCTTTAATTTTATTCTTTAAATTTTATAAGCATATTGAAATTAAATTATGAATTTATATAGTTTTAATATTTTATTCTAAGTATTATTTTTTAAATTTTAAAAATTAGAAAAAACTAATTTAATAAAAAAATACAGTTTATATTATCAAATTAAATGGAATGATCGATTATTTTTAAAATATTTTAAATGGGATTTTACATAAAATTTGAATATATGAAAAAAAATCATAAAATTTAATCAACATTAAATAGATAGAAAAATAAAAAATAATATTTATTTATCATTTATTATATGTTATTTATTACTTTTAATCGAGATTTAAGATTTTTTAAATATAAAATAATTTTTAAGAATTAGTTAATGAAATTTTTTATACTACTATATTTGTTAAATATATATTTTCAGAAATATTAGTATTTTCAGTTATTTTTTTTTAATTTATTTATAAGCCAAATCTATTAGAATTAGAAATAGATAGTAATTTTGAAATGATATTAACGTATTAGATATTAGAAATATTTTATCACTTATCGGAATAACTATTTTTTTTAAATTCGATATCTTAATATAAACATTTCTAAAATGTTAAAAAAATGTTTATAATAAATTAGAAAAATGAATTTTTAGAATTAACAGTGTTTCTAAAGGAATTATGGAATATTTATATAAATGATGAACTATAAAGAATTAATAAAATATAGAAAAATTTGCAATAACTATAAACTTAAAAATTTAAAGCGTTCAGAAACTAGCAGTTTAATAGATAAAAATTATACTGAAAATAATAGAGAATACTCTTTTTAGATAGAACTAATCGGGCCATTACAGAATTATCTAATAAGTTGAAAGGTAGACATTATAGAAAAAAACGAATTTAATTATCGGAGATTCTTTTAAAAGCATTGAAAAAATTGAGAAATAAAAATATATTCTTGAAAGGAATTAAAGAACATTTTAAAGTACTTGAGATTAATAAAGATAAATTTTTTAGAATCATTTTACAAGACTACTTACTAACAAATCTTCAATTATAAAAAGTTGCAATTATAATATTTTTAATTTAGAATTAAAATTTCGAGATACTTTTTATGAAGTATGAATTAAGGTTTAGGATATTTGAAAAAGAATATTTTAATATGTTGAAGTCTTCGAAGATAACTTAGAATACTTGGTAATTTATTTTTAAGTCCTCTCAAATGTTAAAGAAGTTTTTTAAAAAGAATCCAATTATTATAATCATTAAAGTAGTATTGAGTCATATTGAAACTAGTATATATATAATTCTTAAAATAGATGTTAAAAAAGTTTTTATCTATAAGAAAAATTAAATAAAAAGTGAAGTTCGAAAAGAAGAAAATCTCATTGAACTAGAAAGAAAGTGTACAAATATTTGATATATTTAGCATTGATTGAATTAATTATTATTATGAAAAATGTCGAAAAATTAAAGCATCTTTTGAATAAATTTTAATATTATAAATTTTAAATACTTAACGAAAAATATTCTAAATGGTTCAAAAGGGCAGATATTTCATTTTTTTTTTCATATACGTTAGTTTTTAAAATTCTAATAATAATAGTTGATATTAAAAAATTGAAAAATACTTAAAAAACATGTGGAAAATAAAAGTATTAATGAAAAGATAAAAATAGTCTAATAATGAATATTTATATTTTTTTAAACTATATTGTGATGTTTTGGCATTATATTGTAAAGATATGAAAAAAATAGAAAATTAGATACGCTTTACTCGAAATTTCAAGATAGTTGTAATCTATTTCAAAAGAAAAAAGAACAAGTATTTAATAATGAACTTATAGGGAGTTTATTTAGTAGAACATATTGCATATTTGTTCTTGATAGATATTATTAAGAGTTAGTGAAATTAAGGGACTAGTTAAAAAAATTATCTAAAGATTAAAAAAAAAGATATATACCTTAAAACAATTTTCTGGAGAGTCTATTAATGATATAATAAAAAGTAGGTATTTTTAAAGAAGTTATTTAAGAATAAGAAAGATATAAAGTTCAATTTTTTTAAAAGGCCAATAAATTAGAAATTTAACAGGAAACATTTGCTTTTTATTTATCAAAATAATGGATAGGAATAATATAAAGGAAAACGATATAATTAATATAACTAATAGCAATATTTCTAATTCGATCATAAACTATTTTACTCATACATATAAGAAAATATAAGTATTCAAATAGAAAAAGACGTAATGTCATTTTAAAATGGCCTCTTTTTAAGCCGACTATTCAGGTTATTTGTTTTTTTTTTGTCATTAGCTTTCCTTATATTTGAATTATCTTTGTTTCACTCGGAAAATATTTTAAAAACATCATTTGAAATTCAAACACTAGAATTATTTTAGCTTGACTTGCTCATTTACGTCAAATAACACAATATGATTAGAAATTGTTACATCGATTAAAATCCTTAGAAGGAAGATTACTATATATACTCTATGGACCTTCGACTTTAGATTTATGTGAATGGTGCAAAACTGAGACGCCTTGAACATTTTTATATTATACTATACCACACGTATTTTTGTATTATATACTAAATCTTGGAATAATTTATCTGTCTATATCTATTCTATCTGAAAAAAATAGAAAATTATTAAGGAAGTTAATATTTATCATACTTTTTGTTTTTTTTTATTAAGGAATTAATTATGTTGAATATATATGATTCGAGATCAAATGTCTATATTAATTCGGCCTTAGATATTAATTGGATTTATTGGAACCTGAAGAAATATCGATTATTTCTAATGATAACATTAAATTTATCTGTTGCTTTTATTATATGGGTTATTAATACTAATATATTATATCAAATACCTAATAAAGAAAAACAGCTAATCTTTTCTATTAACAATTTGGAAGAATCAATAAATTGTATTCGTGTTTTAGTTATTATGAAAAGAGCGCTGATTAAAGATGCATTTTTGCAAGAACAAAAAATGAAATTTATCAAGCATTTAAAGGAATTGAATAATCTTGCTAATATAAAGGATATCAAAAAAAAGATATCTCATGACGATATGAAAAAAACTTTGGAAGAAATTGAAAGCTATGCAGAAAACTTAATTAAATATATGGATATGGAAAAATAAATATTTTATTATAATATAATTATTAAAAAAAATCATACAAGGATTTATTATGCTGTAATTTTTGTTTTAATATCCACTTATTTTGCTCCCATATAATCCAAGAAATACCCTGAAGAAGACTATCAGCAAGATCATCAATTTTAAGTTTATCATTATCTTTTTTTCTAGATATAAAATCTTTTGCAGTAATTTGGGTATTTTTAAAATCAAAAATAGAATCTGCTTTTAGCCATGACTTAACTATTTCTATTTTTTCTTTTTTAGATCTCAAGGCAGATGTTTTTGTTAGATAGTTTGGTTCCTTGCTTTTGGAATTAATAAGTATTGACAAATTATGTTCAATTGGGAAATTTTTCATTAAAATATTTTTTTTCAACCAAAATGACGAGATTTTGGCAGGATCTATACTTAAAATATCTGCTTCTGGATTATTCCATATCATCTCTTCTTTAAAGCACCTAAATATAGAATGTAGCATATTTTCAAAGATATTTATTTTTATGATCCATTCTTGTACAACGCTTTTACTCTGAGTTCTATATCTCTGACGTTCTATCAATATAGTCTGTGGTTTAAATTTGTTTAATAAAGATTTTGCTAACTGGTATGCCAAAAAAGAAAAATTTGTAGGGTTATAGGGTTTCTTAACAATTTTATCATCTATTTTATTTGATTCAATAGATAGTTTGTCCCATCCATCAACAACAAAAGGTTTATGATGAATTAAATTAAAATCTTCAATTATGACTGAAGGCGCAATTATTGAAGAGAATGCTAAATTACGAATTCCTACATCAATACTAAGAATACGATGAGGTGTAAAATCATTATTAATTAATCGTGTTTTAGAAATTTCTTGAAGAATCCTTTGGGCTAATTCTAGTTTTTTTCCATTATTTACTAGGTAGAAAATTAGCTAGTATCTTATAAAAAAAGTAAACTTTTACAAATGCCGCATTTTATTGCTATTGTACGTAACTGCGCTAAAGTTAATTGTTGAAGTCTATTTTAAAATTTAGTATAGATAGATTATAAAGACATTTATACTCAGATACCAATTTATTAGAAAGCATGATAATATTTTTAATCCTAGAGACTGTTCTGTTTTATAAATTTCATATTTTATGTTTTAAATCTGGAGAAATTTGACAAATTAATCGTTTATTTAAATTATTTTTGAATTTGTAAATATTATAAAAAATATAATCAAAAATATTTAATTTAGATAAATTAGTTTTTACTTATATTAATGCTTTTTATGATAAATAATGCCCTTTTAATTTGAATGTATTTCAAAGTTGAGAAGTTTAACACAGGAAAATTAATATAAAAGGAATCAATCTATTTTTTATATTTCAGAGATATTTTATTAAAAAATATTTATGATGTTATAAATATAAGTTATTAAAATTAATTTATATTTGTCTATTAATGTTTGAACTTTTCTAAATAATTTATTTTCAATAAAACATATCTAAATTAATATATTTAAAGTTAATATTTATATTTAATACATAAATTATTTATATTAAGATTAATTAAAAACCTTACAAATAAAGCAAATAAATCTATTTTAAAAAAGAATTTTAGATTTATCTAATCAAAAATTTTAAAATATAATTAATTAAAAAACAATTTAGTAATAATAAAAGTAATTTAAAATAATTTTAAATATATAGATTTTTACTTTTATTAAATATTAAATTTAAAAAAGTTTATATATATTATGAATATTTTAATAAAATTTTTTTACAAATTAATTATATGAATCTATTTTTTTAAAAATATTTAATTCAAATGTTTTATAAACGAATTATTCTCTTAGTTTTAAATATTATTATTAAATAATATTCATTATATTAAGTAGAATTTTCATGGATATAAGGTTTTTAATTTTTTTTAAACTAATTATTTTTATTATTTTTATAATAAGAATAATTTATGTTTTAACAAAGCCTCGTAAACATAAACATAAGTCTAGAAGCAAAGATGATCAAATAAAATTACTTATATTTCTTGGTTCTGGTATATTCTCTTAAATATTTAAACGTTTTTTATCAAAAAAGGTGGCCATACTGCAGAAATGATAAGATTATTAAAAAAAGTTGATTTTTTAAGATATAGTAAAAGAACATATGTTATTTCTGCAGGAGATTTTTTAAGCAAAGGGAAAGTTAGAAAGCTAGAAATAGAAAAAACAAATTCTAGTGGATACGCAGGAAAAGTATTATTAAAGCTAAATTATATGGAAATCTAAATATTAAATAGTACTATATAGAAAATGTTCCACGAGCACGTTATGTTAATCAAGTATATTATACCACTGCATTTTCTTCAATACTATGTCTGATATCATGTTTGAAAATACTTTTATGGAATAAATTAGGAAGACCAGATGCCGTATGTAAGAAATATTTATTTTTCTTCCTATTAAATTAAAAAGCTTCTATGTAATGGCCCCGGAAGCAGTGTAATGATGTGCCTGGCTGCTATAATTACTGAAGTAAATTTAAAATATTATTAACCTACGAAATAATGCAAATATAGATATTTGGGCTTAATCGTCCAGATATTATATTTATAGAATCATTCGCTCGTGTAAAATCTTTATCGCTTTCTGGAAGAATACTATTATATCTTGTTGATCGATTTATTGTTCAGTGGCCAGATTTAATAAAAAAATCCTCAAAAATAGAATATTATGGTATTTTGATATAAAAAAATAAATTTCATATATTTATAATATATTAAATGAGATTATGTGTTTATATTTTTTATATATTTTGTTTGGTATTTTTTATTTTTAGAGAAATTTTAATTAGAAAAATGCTTTTAATATTTTTACATTAAAAAAATAACAGAATATTTAAAAAAATACATTTTTTAAATATTTTGTCTATATTGAATTTATGTGGAGTTATTTTATATTTTTATTGTTTCTTCAAGAGGAATCATATAAAATACAATATAATCTATCAGATTATTTTTTGTATCCAAGAAGTGAAGTGAATCTAAAGGTTCTTTCTGATGTTGATAAACCAGAAATCGATTTATCTTTACATCAGATCATCGAGTTGCCAAATAAACTTCATGCTTTTTATTGATTTATGATCTGAGAAGCCAATTATCAGCAGCTTCAATGGATGTAGGCATTGGATATTATTCTGATCCTGTAAGTCTATGAGAATAAATCTATTTATTTATCTATTTCTTGGAAAATATCCCTTGCTCACTTTTGTGAACATATGCTATTTATGGGTTCATCAAAAGTAGATAACAATATATAAATAATCTTTATTATTAAGATCTTTAGTATCCTGAAGAAGCGGGCTTTTCTTTTTACATTAGGGAGAATAGTAGTAAATATAATGCGTATGCAGTGTCGCAACAAACAAATTATTTCTTTTATATTCCACCTACCTATTTTGAACTAGCATTGGATAAATTTTCCAACTTCTTTATTTCACTTGTTTTCAAGAGATTCTGTTGATCGTGAACTGCGTGCAATTCAATTAGGTCTTTTATTTTTTTAATAAAACTTTTAAGCTTACAATTTTCAGAATTTGAGTTATATAAACAATCTAATTTATGGCGTTTGCAACGAATTGAGAAAACACTTTCAAGTAAAGATTTTCCATATTATAAATTTGGTGTAGGGATTTTCCAAACATTAATAACTGATCCAAAAAATAACGGTAAAGACGTTTTGAAGTTAAAGAATTTTATAAAACATATTCTACGAATTTGATGAAGCTTGTTGTAGTTTGACTAGGTATATAATATATTTTTATTTTAAAATATTAGCCTTTACTATATATTAGAATCACTTAACAGATTTTAAGAATTAATTGTTAAGTACTTCTCTGAAATTCCTAATAAAGATATTCAGAAGTCCGTATTTACACAAAAACCATTTACAAATGAGATACTTGGCATAGGATTTTTTTATTTTATGATTATAAAATTTATACTTACTAGATCCAATATTGGTATAAATTGAACCTTGGCATTATAAGAATAAAACTTACGTTTCCTGTTGAAACACAAAGTAAATTTAGTGGAACTAATCCTTTTGATTATTTGAAATATTTAATAGCTTATATCTTATAATTTTTAATAATTTTATTTTGAACAGAAAATTGGAAGATAAGGCATCTGATTTCCTTCATAGACATTTATTAGCACAAGAATGGTTAGTTTCTTTTAGGTAAATGTTTGATAAGATTCCTTAGATTATATTTACATTTTTTATTAGCGCCTATGTTGAAAATATGGTTTTAAATGTAGATTTTTTGAGGATATCTTTACACCTTACTACTTAGGGACTAGGTACTATTTTTTGCTTTTCTAGAAAAAAAAGCTTATTTTTAGCTGAATATCAAGTAATAGTAGCAATATTCCAATATTTGAAATTGCTTAAAGGTTTCCTTTGTTTTAATTAAAACTATAATATTAAAAGATAATAGATCAAGAGCCTCAAGAATAGATTTTCAATGAATTAATACGCTTGGATGATATGAATTTTCACTTTTCGCCTTATATACCGCCACATAATATTATTTCATTTTTCTCAATAGCTATACAAAGAACAAGTTTAAATTATTCAAATCTGTTAAATTTCGGATTGATTAAAGAATACAGTTCAGTGGATATTAAGAGTTTATTAAATTCGTTGCGTCCAGATGAATATTTACTTTCTATCTCTTCTAGTAGCCAACCTGGTAATTGGAATTTAAAGAAATGTTGGTATGAATCAGAATACAAAGTTGAGTCTTTGCCGGAACATTTGTGCAGGTATTTTAGAGAATCAAAGCTGTCTTATTTTTAACAATGATAGTCAAGCAATAATTTAACAGCTAATAATATGTTTAAATTATCTGCTATGAACAAATACATTTCGAAGTATATTATGAATTCTCCTTCTGCCTAAGTAGTTTCTATAATTTGCTAGTTACATGATTTAATTCTATTTAGAAAGTGTTCAAGTCATATCTTGAATATACCAGTGAATTACTTCATTACTGGTATATGGAAGATGATAGACATTCTTCTTCTAAAACATGTTTATTTTTATTTTTCAAAATGCATTAATGAAAACAATACATCGGATATTACTTATGTTATTCTAGTCCAGAATATTCCAATACTCCTATACAAGAAGCACTAGTAAAGTATATTTTGAACTATGTTTGAATCATATTAAAAATTCTAGTATTTATATAAATATGTTGGCACGTAACATTTCTGAAATAAAATATTATTCAGAAACTACAAGGAATCAAGTTTCTATATTTCCAGATAAATTAGGATTTCAATTATTAGTACTTGGTTATAGTGACAAATTATTTGTATTGTATCAAGGTGTTTTAGACGCTATTTTAAAATTTGTGCCTACCTCTTTTATGTTTAATCTTACTTTACAGGTAGAGAAAGGCATGACTTTTTTTAGTCTTTATAATGCTTATAGCCTTCTCTACTCTCATGTTTATTGAGCATATGATGAGACTCTGATTTCTTTAGAAAGTATTCTTGCTTTGAAAATTAAATATTTACTGACTTTGAATATAGTGATTAATTTTACTAATATTAAAGCATTTCATGAAGTACGATTTTCTCAGATTTTTGTAGAGGCATTAGCAGTTGGAGTGCTTCCAAAAGTAGAAAATATATGCAACTAAATAGTTAATTGTTTTTAGAATGCATTGCTCATTATCAAAAAATCTTTAAAACCTATTACTCTATACAATTCTCATCCACTTCCAGATTTCATACACGAACATCTATTCTTGAAAAAGGTTAATAGATCTTATATATATATTTATTTATTTTATTCTTAGAAAGAAACTTCATTTGTCAATTAGAAACTGAGAGTTTCCAAAATACGAATTCTCATATTTATTATTCTCTTTAAATTGGAGAAGTAAATGATCCAAAATTACTGGCACTAGTTAATATTATACACTTAATTATTTCGGAGATGTCGTTTGCTCAATTAAGAACAAAAGAGTAATTAGGATATTTTGTTAGAGAATGTCATTCTCAAACATTAACCATGATAATGCCCAGTCCTGTATCATTTATAGTTTTTGATATTTATAGCTATCAAGTTACTATTACAAGTGCAGGGGATCCATTTTATTTAGAGTACGAATAGTTACATATCTATATAGATTGGCGGCAATTATAGATGCTATAACTGATGAAGAATTTGAAGTTTATGTTAATTCAATTACTCATAAATTTTTTTACATGCCTGAAAACATATTTTCAGATGCAAATTTATATTGGGATAGTATCTTTACAGGATTATACCATTTTGATTTCGGTAATATTCTATTAATTGATGATTAATATAATAATTATAATTTAGCTAGTACAGCACTTGATGTTCTAAAGAATTTAACAAAAGATGATTTAAAACTTTTTTCTACAGATATTTCTATCCTGATTCACCTAGTCGAAAGAAACTATCTATTCATATAAGATCTGGTGCATTAAAGGATGTTTCTTCTGCTGATCTATCATTACAAAGATTATATTATTATTATTATTATAATGGATTAGAAATCCCCTGTGATAATCTTTTCATTCTAATAGTCTAAGCCTAAACTATCAAACTTTGAAGAATTTATACGGAAATTACTTGTAAAGAAATACTCGGATACAGATATTTCCATAATAGTTACTCGAGCTTTTTAATATTTTAAAAATCACTATAAGGAATTAAAACGAAAAGCTTTAGAGAATTATAATTCAATAAACATTTGGGATCCAGTAATATTTAAAAGCTCTTTGAGATTATCATCTGCTTCTGTTCCATCATTACCACTTGAGGCATACAAAAAACCTTGATTTTTTTGAGGTTAAGATTATATCTGTGAATATAATTTTAGAAATGCGTTAAGAGTCTATTATAAATATCAAAAATTATCATATTTTGATAAACTATTAATATTTATACAAGATAAAGCTATTCAAAATTAAAATATTATACATTAATGTAACAATTATATAACTTCCATGTATTAATAAACAAAATTATTTTAAATATTTTTTAAAATTTCAATTTTATAATAATTATACAAATAATTTTAAATATTATATATTTAAAATTGATAGAAAAGTAGCTTTTAACAATGTAGATATGGGTTTAACGTTTACATACGTAAAAAAATATCTAAAAGGTGGGTCGACCGTGGATCGAACACGGGACCTTTGCATCTTCAGTGCAACGCTCATCCCAACTGAGCTACCAACCCACATTATCTCTAGCAGAATAAAATTGTCTTTTATATGATGCAAATTTTATAAATATAAAATTAAAAAAATATTTTAAAAATATTGTTTTTTATCTTTTATTAAGTGTAAAAATGAAATCTCCTGATGTTTTATTTGAAAAATTGTCTTTTTATAATATTGTCAAATGACAACATTGATATAAAACGGAGTGTTATTCCATCTTTCTTTTGCCAATTTTATCCAATTGCCTGATAACGCCATTGGCGTCCATAATGGATTTGAAAAATAATCTCAATTTCTAAGTTGAAATGATCAACGTGTTAAAGATTCTGATAATGAATATATTGTCGAGCGCATTTGTAGAAGTAATATATATGTTATAAAAGATAATATAATGCCGCTAAGGAAAAAAGATATCCTTGGCATAATTGAATAAAATTAAAATGTATTTATTTATGAAAAAAATGATATTTGTTTTAGAAAAGGTGGCTTAGCTACTTTAAAGAATATAAAAAATGAATTTTACAATTTTTTTAATGCAAAAAAGGAAAAAATATAATATAAATTTTATATTTACTTCTATATACTGTTTAAATATGTTAAAAGAATGTTTAAAATATTTATAAATTGAAATATGTTCTAATATTCAATTGTTTGGTGATATTAAAATGAGATTTTTATCTTTAACAATTATAAAATCCAAATATAAATATTTAAATATTTTAGTAAAGTATTTTTAAAAATATCACATTTTTAATATGAAAACTATTCAAAACAAAAAGAATTAATACAATTTATTTAAATATTATAATTTTATAAGAAAAAAACATTAAAATTAAATTAAATTATTATATACTTGTACTATTTATTAGCCTATATCAACATTAGGGTTAGGTATAATTACTAAATATTTTAAATATCCAAGTTCAAGTTTAAAAAATTTAAGAATTTCTAACTAAAAAGTTAAGAAATTCTAATTAAAAAGTTAAGATAAATACTTTTTTCTTAACTTTTCGTCATGATCCTCAAAATACTCCTTACTCTTACTTTATACTGGATATATTTAGTTAGAGTAAGATGTGAAACGGTGCCAGTAGACTTTGAGAATAATGATTATTATCATTTTCATTTCTCAGAAGATGTTGATATTGAAGATTTTTCGCGGGTGTTAGGATTCAAATATCATGAGAAACTAGAATATCTGGATAACCAGCATATATTTTCTATAGAAAAGGGTGTTTTAGAAGACGAAATTAAAGAAAAAATTGAGAATTATTTTGGTTTAGAAAAAGGAAGAAATGCAATAAATGGGTTTAATAGTGACAAGCTTTTTCATTATGAGAAACAAGAATTGCCGGATTATGAAAAGAGGGATATGATAAGAGACGATATATATTTTGATAACCAAGATCTTTATAATGATGAAGAAATTGTCAATAATGTTGTAAAAGATCCGACGGTAGATCAGGCGAAAAAATCGACGGAAGATTTAAAAGAGAGGTTAAAGGAAATTAAAAAAAAATTAGGTATAAGTGACCCTTATTTTGATAAACAATGGTATTTGGTATAGTTTATTCTTTTTTTCATTAAAATCTGATTTTTTAATTAGTTCAATACACAAAGACCTGGTATAGATTTGAATGTTACAGGTCTCTGGTTAGAAGGTTTGATTTTTGTGTTGTTGGTTGCCTTTTAATGATTTTAGGGATAAGGGGAAAAGGTGTAACAGTTGCCATTGTAGATAATGGCCTAGATTATACTAACAAGGATTTGGCTCCAAATTTTGTCTGAAAAATTATTGTAAAATTACTATTTTAACTCTTTTTAGAATGCCGAGGCTTCATTTAATTTTGCTACTGGAACTACCGACGTAAAACCTGAGTACAAGTATAACAATCATGGTACTAGATGTGCAGGAGAAGTAGCAGCTGCCAAGAATGATTTTTGTGGGATTGGTGTTGCATATGAATCTAATATTTCAGGTATTTTTCCTTGATTGGTACCAATCTAATATTGTTAAGGAATACAATTTTTGAATTCTTATAAGGTTTGGAATGAGGGAAGGGCTCTTACTCATAAATATGATGTTAATCAAATTTATTCTTGTAGCTGGAAACATGGTAGAAAAACTACAATTGTATCCGCTTATTATTCTACATATAGTGCAATTATTAAAGGGATAAATGAAGGAAGGAATGGTCTTGGATCTATATATGTTTTTGTAACTGGGAATGCTGGATATCGTGATAATTGTAATTACAATGAACTTTCAAATAGTCTATATACTATTACTATCGGTACTGCAAATGCAGAAGATATAAGATTTTACTTTTCACAGCCATGTCCTTCCATTTTGGCTGCTGCATATTCTGGTGGACTCAATGGACGTATTGTAATCTTTTCTTTTTTTTTATAATAAATTTATCGTCTTAGTATACTACGGAACCTGGTGAGA